CCACTCAAATTAGGGCAGCGAGGAATGTCGCCCGGGGGCAACCGCGACTCCGCTTTGGGTTGACCTTGCTCGCTGCTGGGGGCGAGACACTTCTCTCGCCCGGGTAACAAGCGAGATGAGATCGCCCCGGGGTAACGTGCCGCGTGCCGCAATTCGCGCTGGCGATGGCGGGCGATGGCGGGCGAGTGGTTGAAGGACAAGAGGCAAGACGGCGCTCGAGTCTTGGGTCTTGTCTGTGCTGCGGGTCGTGCATGCCCTGCCTGGCGTGCTGGTGGCCCTCCCCGCGCTGGGCCAGACCACTCGATCAGGTGGCATTTCGAAGGGGAGTGTGGGACGTGGTCGGGTAAAAGCTGTAGTAGGATTAGCAAGGTAAACCAAGTTGGCCGAGTTATAATACGCACTTCCAGACCCTCCCGCGGTCTCTCGCCGGTGCGTACTAGCTCAAGAATGAGAACAGTGGAGGTGAAGGAGATGGTAGAGTAGAGTGGGCCCAGCATTCCCAAAGCCCTATTCCGAAGAACAGGTCCCGCGAAAATCACTGCAAGATTGGGTTAATACCGGCAAATGCAAGGGAAGAGGGTAGGAAGAGAAGAGACACAAGAGCACTCACCTTATATAGTGCCAGTCAACAAACGCGTCAACAAACGCGTTCGCGTGAAGAGGGTATGAGCACGTGATCGGTCACTGTGAGAATGTCGCTCGCAAAAAATCGATTCCATTGACCATTGACCATTGACCAACGACGGAGCAATTCTACTTGGGCACAATGGTGGCAGGCTTTATAGAGCTACTGTCCACCGCATAAAGCTCACAGAGTCTCTTGAATAGGGAGTCCGGATTGACTTGTCGCATTTTTCCAAGCGATTTATCAAGTGCTTCCCCGCGAGCATCCATAACCTTTTCCAATCCGCCATTTTTCTGGATAACATACCCAGCCTTCATCAAGCCAGACACCCAACCATCAGGCTTGAATCCAAGTGCGCCCGCCCAGACCTTGAAAGATGCGTACTGTTTTTGACCTTCAAGACAACGTCAAATTTCACTCTGACAAAAAAGCAACACACACACCATGGTCTTCAACAAACGTCTGCAAATAGCGAGTATACCCCCATGCGCACCAACTCATAACTGTGTCCCACTTGTAGTCGTTTTTGCGGGGTGGTGGCTTGCCTGTGCGCTTTTCAGCCAAGTGTTCGTCTACCAACTTCTGCTGTTCCGCTGCCTCAATAATCTGCTTAAAAGACAGATCTGACTCATAACGCTGAATCATGTTGGTGAACCTCTGATTCCGAGCACGGGCGGCAGGGTCGTTAGGCTCTTCCTTGCGGCCAATCTTGCGGGGTAGAGTCCATTTATGTTCGAATTTGCGACTGACCACAACCCTCAGATGGTAATAGGGAGCAGTGTCTTCATCTGCGTATCCAGAATAGAGTGAGGCATGAAAGCTGGTTAAGTCTTCAGTTTGGTGGCCCCACAGCAATTCGTTTTCATCCTCCTCATCAGTGCGCTCCATAACTTCCAGTTTATCAAGGTACACACAGTCCTTGCTTGATTCGTGACAAGCAGCTGAACATCTCTCCAGAGCCGGTGTAATCTTTTCGAAGCGTGCCCAGGCCAGAGTTGAGTAGTCCACATCTGTTGGGTAGACGGATAATGACAGCTGTTGTGGATTAACTGCAGAACACGGTCAATACACTATGCCAGCAAATGTGCGTCAACATACCGTCAAAAAGTTCTGGCTTCTTCGCGCACAGCTTCTTCTATGGCAGCTCGTATTTTTATAAGCGACACATTTATCTTCGGAGGCAAAGGTAAGGGAGCCAACACATGGTGCTTCACACTTGACCGAGGAGCTGAAAGTTCAAAGTCACTCTCTGAATCACGAAAAGCCGACTTCGACCCGACACCATACTACCACCTTTGTCAGGCTTCAATAGTGAGACCATCCGAGATATTCTGACCTTGCACAGTGTCTTGTTCAATGGTATCTGGCTCTTCATTTCTTGCCTTTTTATTGCTGGATTGCTCTAAGAAAGGTGGGATGCATTTGACATCATCATAAGAGCTGACGAACCATTGCTGGGAGGCTCATCCTCCTCTACATTCTTGCGTCGCTTCTTCTTCTTATTTCCTGTGGCATCGGGCGGTGAAATGTTCTATACCCTGTGAGTTGAGAGCAAAATAAATGAAAAATTACGCACCTCTTCAGGAAGCTCAGTGAGTACATTAGAGAGATTCCACAGAATATGTTCATGTGCAGCAGCAACAGGTGGAAGTTCGTCCGCTGTAACATATTCGGGTCGGCCCTCAAAGGAGCACTCCTTGAGCAACTCAAGCAAGGCTTCCCTTTGGCTGTCGTTGACAAAGTTTTTGGCTGCGGGCAGACGACGTTTTGAAGTATCGAGATAGTGGGCACCAGCATGTAGTGAGCGTAGCTCTGTGAAGTTGAGCTTTTCAAGCTCCTCTTCTGGTATGCGGTACCGCATAAGAGGGATAGTTGGTGACTTTCACGTGTTGTACATATAACCGGAACAGCACAATTTTTTTTAAAAAAAAGATGATCTAATCTAATCTAAAGTATTGATGGAGGTCAAACGCATGACCAAGTTATGCACGGATAGTCTTCTTTGCTGCAACTACTCTCTTGACCACAGACACCTGGTTGCGCTGCTTACACCAGTTCTTGTAATGCCTGTTCCAAGTCCTACGCACAGGAAATGGGTGGCCAAATGCGACTTCAGCACATATCAGTACATTCTGGCCACTTGTGCCATTACTATACAGCCGTTCGAACTCTTTGAACTTTCTGGTAGCCTCAGCAGGGTCTGTTGGGGGGAAAACCTTGTTGTTTGTTGGCTTAATAGTAGATGTGGATGGCTGGGGCGCCTCTCCGTCGGACTCAGACTCGGACTCGGACTCGGAATCGGACTCGGAATCTGAGACGATTTCAATAACGTGGTTGGTTGGCCTGGCCATAGGTAAATAACGGTTGTTGGGAAATAAGAAAGTGCCTCATACTTGGGGCGTTTAGCGTGTTTGAGATTCGCCGGGTTTTCCAGTCCAGAATCGGAGACCGTTCTTTTCTTGCCTGCTTTTGCTTGTTTCTCCCCAACATTCTGACCAACTTTGGTGGTTAGAGTCAGGCCGCCGCGTCATGGCGTCAAGAATAAGAGATGCAGGTCCTAGAAAAATCTTAGCGCCAGGACCAAGGCCATCTAGTGGTGCACTCCGCAAGGTCCACTGCCCTCCATCATACAGTGCGTACGTGCTGAGCGTCAGATCACTGTCTGGCAGCGCTCTGATGGACTTTGAAAAGCTTAGTGCTGTTTTGACGGTATCAGATTTGGCTGGCTCAAAGAAGCGTACATCTGGTGCTGACGCCTGGAGGGGAAGTGGTGCTTGGTCAATAGACTGAAATGACTTAGCAGAGTTGACGCATAGTAAAACAATCATGTACCGTGTACCATTCAATATTAATAAAGCGGAGAGCCGCTTGAGCAAGTTTTTGTCGGTTGGCGTAAGCAGAAAGCGGTGTATGTGTATTATTCAGAGAATTTTTGATAAAATTAGGAGGGTAGTTGTCCGCGTAATAGCCAGAGACGTTCAAGCCATGGACATGGAACTTTCCAGTTGAGTTTGGACTTTGAACCGTAAAAGGATATGGAGCTGGAGTTGGAACTGTGGAAGAACTTGAAGAAGTTTGTGTTATATTCGGTGGTGCGGGTGTCGGTGGTACGGGTGTCGGAGGATGAGAGAAGAAAGGAGATGGCTGGCCCATTGGGGGGAATGGAGTGGTTAATAGCTATTGGAGCATTAGTTAAAGCCAGAAAAATATAAGAAACACACAAGAAGGCCTATGATTGGCCTGGTTGCAGACATGAGTGGCGTCTTGAAGTCCATTCTTGACACAACACTCTTTACACATCCAGTGCTCACAAGAAGCATTCCTCCTCCCATTACCCTTACAGGGAGCAGTCTTAGGACATTGAACCTTTCCCTGATACAACAGCTCAGAAGAAAATCAGGTTATGAGGCAGGAATGCTTACAGGAAGCTCATGAGGATCATCAGGTCCAAGAAACCGAAAATAGGTACAACGATCAGCACGCGCAGCTTCAGTGAGCCAAGAGGCAGAAGAACCACTGTCATATGCACGGGAACACTAATATAGGCCCTGAGTTTGAGTTGGAAAGAAGGTTGATTGCCCACCTTCTGATACGGTTTATTTAAACTGCTGCTGTTCCGTGTCCCAGATGAATATCTGGTGTACATGATGGTACCCTTACCACATTGGAGACATGTAGTTCCAGCTGTGGGTCTGGTCGTAGATTGGAGGGTTGAATTGCTTGGGATAGAGACAGGCAATGGAGTGAGGCCATGAGCAAACATTGAAAATTGCGGTCACATTACGTGGTTGTCCACATATAAGTGGACCAAGAGTATGAGCCCAGGGTGAAATGCTTAAAAGACCCAGGGAGAAAATCATTTCCTATTCGGGGCGAAGGTGTTTGTTATCTTTGGTGTGACTGCCAGGTTCACCCGGGGGTGTGACTGATGGGTGCCCGTGGTGCTGATCACCTTGACACCGGGTGATTTGTAGCGCGAACCCCGGGAGATTTCCTGTTCACACATATGGGGCTCTGCATAGTTGACACGGGGGATCTAGAGAGTACACAGTGGGTAAAGATAAAGTAGGCCTGGTTGAAAGTATAAGTCACATGGGGGGAGAGTCGAGATCGCCCTGGTGGAGATCGACCTTTACCCCATGGGCCAGTTCAATGTCGCCCCGGGCGACTCCGTACCTCCCCATGAGACAGCTGTCTCATGTCTCATGTCCCATCACCAGTAATAGCGGTGGTCTCTTTCAGTTGGACATTATTGATATCTGTTCGAGTAATCGTTTGCTACCTTCCTCGCTAATGTCATGATACTGGTCCTGAGCCACAATCTTATCTCATCAAGACGCACAGCCACGATCGCACAACTTACCTTCTTCACATCATGTCAACCGAACACGACCCTGGCAGGCAGAAATATACACGAACAGAGCGGAGTTGCGACTGTTAGTGAGCCCCTCTCGGAACAGAGAGACTCGACCACTAAATACGCATATGACAGTATGTCGTCGACGCAAAGGTGCGGACATAGGTTTAAACAGGGCCGCGTCCTAACGCGACAAACAGTGCGATGTAAATACCATTCTCTTTCTCACTTGAATGCCTTATAACTTACCCTATAGGTGACGGGCTCAAGAAACCAGGCGGTCGTTGCACCAATTGCGCGGATTTCGGTCGTGAATGCACATATGAAAGTGAGCAAACTGCGGCCCAGCCTCAACATTGATTGTTACACCAGGGCCGCAGTGCAGCCTCAAAAGCGAGGACCAAGAGAGAAAGTGGTAGACCAACTGCGGAAACAGGTGGCTTTCTTGGAAAGCAAGTTACGCACATTGTCCGTGTGCAGTCTGTGTTCGCAGCCTCTGAAAGGAGAAGCACTTGAAGCGGGGACACACTACTCGAGCTCCGTGTTTCCAACAAGTGCCCCAAACTCAGCCTCCCCGGACTCAGAGCAAGACGGCGAACCTGATAGCTCGGATGATGACGACCCGACAGCAAGTATTTCTCGGCGCTTCAACCGCCTCTCCATCGACTCTCGCTACTTCGGCTCCGTTAGCCATTATTCACTCGCGAATCAAGCGATCATAGTGTGTTGGTCGCACTCTTCCAACTTTCTGATTTGACCAACAATGTTTAGGCCAAGGAACAAGCCACTGGTCAACGGGGTCTGCCTCCCCGCTCTGACCATTGGCCCATGGCTTCTGTACGTGAGCATATGTGCAATTTCCCCGACCTAATTGTAGACAAACTTAGTGGGAAGAGGGTTTATACCGGCAAGAAAAGACAACATACGTCTTCCCTGATTCCGACTTGATATCCTCCTTGGTCGCTCTTTACTTCGAGCAGTTTCACGCAACGTTACCTATTCTCCATCGCCCTTCCTTCGAGGTTCGCCAGCAATGATGTATCAGGGGGGCTCACCATTTCAATAGCGATCTGTAGCCAACGGTTTACATTTGGAAAATCCACAATTTGCGCAACTTCTGCTCGTGGTGTTGGCTACAGGTTCCCGTGTGCGTATGCCACGGTCAGCTGATTGTTTGTGTGAGCACTAACGTATGACAGTTTTCCAATGATCCTCGAGTATTAATTGACGGGGAAACGACACAATCTGCTGGATGGGATTTTGTTGCCCAAATCCCTACCGCTCGTCGGTGGTTCGACCCTGATCTATATGAAGTGCAGATGTACTTCCTGATGACATTCTACTTCATCGGGACCTCGAGGCCTCAAGCGTGTTGGACTTTTCTCGTCCGTTATGCACTGGTGCATGAATCATGTCTGACACTTGTCTTAGGGTCTTGGTTTGAGGTTCCTTTTGCAACGAGGGGAGCAACGGCGCAAGCGAGAGCAGAATACGACCGAAGAACTCGAGCTCTGGAACCGAGCTTTTTGGTGAGGGACGCTGCCTCATTGCCATAAATATACTCTCAATGCTCAGCCAGGGCATATATTTGCATGGATCGTCTTGTCTGCGGTACCATTGGTCGGCCAGTTGGAATTAGTCCCGAGGAGTACGTTATATTTCCCGAAAACAACTGCACGAAATGACTGCTTTTGAGTATTGACGCTTCGCCTTTACTCGAAGTTGATGATCAATACTGGGACACTTTTGTTCAACCACCAAACAAGCCTTCACTCTATGCTTATCTCAAGTGCTATCTCGAGCTTTGCGAGGTATAAGCTGCACACACTGTCCATTCCCTTGCTTATTTGGCCTAGATTTTGGCGACCACCATGCGGTTATATGGCTCCAAAAGGGCCAAGGCATTATATGGATGGGATGGACGAGATGGAGAGAAGCGAGGAGTGGCCGCTCTGGACTCGTCTCTCAACAAGTGCTTCGACTCGTTTCCTCTTCACCTTCGTTGGGATCCCGACAGGAAGACTAGTGATGCTTTTTACGACCAATCGTTCGTTCTATATCTGACGTATCACTGGAATAGAATTGTGGCAAGTAGGTCATCTTTCAACGAGATATCGACTCAGGTGCTGCAGATTCATCGTCCCCATATCAACAAAACAAACGAAATGGCAGCGGCTTCACTTGCAACGTGTACTACTGCCGCACGAGCTGTGATTCGTGCGACTGACAAATGGGTTCGAGCTCGGCACAATCTCCTTTCTCAAGCTGCTGTATCAGCGCTGTTTGTTTCTGTTCTCGTCCTCCTCATGAGGACATTTTCAAGTAGAAATAGCACATCAGCGGACGACAAGGCCTTGATTAATCGTGGTATTGAGATCATCAAAGTCTCTGGGGGAATGTTAGTTGTTCTGGTTCTTCCTTTTCCGTTGATTCTGATTGTATGGTCTCAGACGGCAGTCAGAAGCTCGCTTGTACAAAGTCCTCACTCAACTTGTAGCTTCGAATACGTTATCGCGCCGCGACAACGATACTGCACAGCACCCGCCCTTTACAAACACTTGGGATTATTCTCAGTCGACCGTTCATGGCAATAGCCCTCTAGGCTTACCGCCAAACACATATATTCCTCACGAGCAATCGTCGTCCAGCCTATCTCTATCCCAAGGTGTTTCAATCGAGCAACTGCTCGCCGAAACCGAGGATTTGTCGTCTTACTCTAATGTCAACCCCGGCATGAGAATGGAAGAAGATTTCACCGAGCTATGGATGTCTGTTCCGGCGGATTTCAAGTCAGTGTCAATGCAGTGCTGTTTCCCTTACTCATTCATTCTGCAGCGATCTTACACAGTGGGGCTCTTATATCCAACAGCAAAACCCGTATGCCGGATACGGGCCGTCATATTAATTGCTAATTTTCTGTAATCTTGGCTGGAGGCCGGAGTCGGATAATGTACCAGTAGTACTTTTTCCACGAGGAGAAGCTTATGGTTGACTTGAAGTCCTATTACAAGTGCTCTAACTTGTACTCTGTCCATGCTAAGAGCTTGAATGGGATGTCGAGGGTACCACTATATGGTTCAAATATCGCTAATAAGAGCTCATACTAAACTAGAGCCTGTCAAGCTTAAGAAGGTGAAGATTGATCAAGACCTCGACGCTCAATAACAACTTTAGCAACTATGGTAGCTGGCTGGTTAAGCGTTCCTAGGATAGATAAGAACATGGAGTGTGGTTAGGCATAAACCCATCTCGCGGCCTCGATTCGTTGTCCAAACTTGGATATTATTGTCAACAATAGTGTATTGATCAGGTGTGACGAGATCAGGCGGCTGTCACACGCTTCTCCTTCTTTCCCTTTGCTGTCATCTTCCCCATCCTTACTTAAATGCAGAACAGGCGTGCCAGCGCGTAGCTGGGCGCTGCTACTCAGACATATGGCACCCACTGGCTCAATTCACAACGGCCGCCTGGCGAAATGGCATCGCGTCTGACTACGAATCTGATGACTCATCAAGTCACGTGATCGGGATCAGGAGATTGCAGGTTCGACCCCTGCGGTGGTCATTTTATAGCCTTTTTAGAACGTTTCCAGTCATTTTTCTCTTGTTGGGCAGCTTTACCAATTTTTTAAAGCGATTTTCTACGATTTTATAGAGTTTTCTCAACATTTCTCGCGGATTGTTCCATGCTTGCGCGAAATTTCTTCTTTAGGACATTCCTCAGTGTCTTCCAAGCTGCCTGGCACCAAATCCATCCTTGAACCGTGGTTTACGTGTGCATAGGGCGCGATTCCTGCCGCATCATTCCACATCAGTCCCATCAGCGCTAGTTGTTAAACGGCCGAATTGGTTTACAACTAACTGGCTCTCAGAACGGATACTTACCGGGAGTATTATTCTCCATCCAATTGCATCAAGATATCTGCTTTTGAGGGCAGGGTTTTTACAGAGTTGACCAACATCAGGGTTTGAGCTTTCCGCCTTGGTTTCGACGAGAAATAGCCTAAGAACCAGATACTAACTAAATTCTCCTCCAATATTCCTCGCATCCTCTTCTCGTTCTCTCCGACTCTTTGCGAGTTTCTCGATCTCACAGCCAAGCGCCCAACACCACGTGTCTCTCTCCAGCCTGTTGCGACACCGAAACATCACGGCCTTGCGCTTCGCCGCCAACGGAGGCGGACGCGGCACCTCGGACTTGTGTGGATGATACCAAATCATGAATAGGGTGGCCTCGTCCGAGTCGTCCGTTTCCAAGCCGTCTTGGTAGCGTCGCGGAAGAGGGGGACTGTTTGCGTTGTATTGCCCATTAGGAAGCGACAAGGCGGCAAGAAAGCCGGAGCAGACATATGCGTCAGCGAGGTTGATCTGTTTGTGCATGGCAAGATGCAATGATGATTGGGACTCGATGTGAAATTGGACAAGATGTCCTGGGAGTAGGAATAGATGGACATATCTTAGATTGTGCGTGAGAAACTTCCAGGTAGATTAGAGTAACATACTTGTACTGTCCATAAAAGCCTTCCCGCATAAACAGCCTCCCAGAACGAGCAACGGGTTTGCACGCCTCCAGAGAACATCTTGCAAAGAATGAGTACCAATTCTGATTCCCCACCAGCTACTCACAGGGTATATAGGTTGCTTAATGTTGGGAGGGGAGCAGTGATATCGATAGGTGCTTCTGGAGGTAGTTGACTGTCATTGTGCATGATATGTCGACGAGGTGTTAATCTGGGCCGGTAAGCTTGTGCTAGGTCCATTTCCTCCGCCGCATCCATTCGATGTCGTTGCTTCCAATACGCCATCAATGCACGTAGACGCTCCACCCACTCTATTGCGACTTTCCGAGAATGCGCCTACAAAAGTAAGCAAGAGAAAGAATGGTATGCCCCGTTTCTCGCCCACCTCGAAGCGTATAACATGGCCATTCTTCAGCAACAGTTCAAACGAACGCCTCATCTTGAGATTAGGCTTGTCGGCGGCTGACCGCAGAACTTCCTCGCCCCCTTCGTCCTCGTCATCACTGAGTGAGCGCTCCACAGGAGTCCCAAGCGCGACGAAACCCTCCTCTTCATTATGTGGCTTAACGTCGTGAGTCGATGGCAGGACTGGCTGGAAGGCCCTCCGCACGGCAATGATACTGCGTACATCAACAACTCCTGTCGCGTCCATAATTTGTTGCGTTCCGCGTTTAACCTCACTCGACCGAAGGGATTCAGCATTTTGGACGCCTGGGTCGATTCCAAGCGGGCTGGGTGGATTGGCGTTATTTGAAGGAACCGAGAAGAGGCAGCCTTCATGGGAGACTAGGTACACTAAGACTTTCGTCTGCGTATTGGGTCGAATGCGCTCAAGATAGCCCTCAATAGAAGGTGGCTCGGATATACGGGTCCCGTTCTTGAGAGAGGTAAATTGAGGTACGTGTTGCGCGAGGCGAAGTTCGAGTTGTGGGAATGGGCGGCTCTGGAAAATTAAAATTAAAATGACTACCAGTGCAGTAGTGAATGTTACTTGTTGCATTGATAGTCCATAAAGAACAGCAGAGCTCCGCGGATCCCCTCGTACATCGAACTCATCGCAAACCCAGTCGAGCTGCGTACCTGCTCTCCAGGCAAGCATTAATGTTTTGCCGAGGGCCAACTGCCTTTCAATAAGTTCCTCCCAATCTTTGACACGACGAAGTTCCCGCATACAAAGCCTCATGATATTGGTGAGCGAAAACATCTCAGGAGCATCTTGACCAGGAAGCCGTGGCTCTGGAGTTTCAATTTTGACATGGAGATCGAGGGCTGGGTTGCGGACATCAATCGTAGGTGGTAAGACGCCCCCAAGTCTTCGCCTGTGTGACGGTTTGGAGACAACACACATATTGAGAGTAGACTGTACCAAATCTAAGTGGATTGAGATATAGAAGACTGAGCCACGACGACAATGACGCACCGACCACATCCAATCGGCTGCTCGAGAACGACTCTTGACTTTGCAAATGAAGATATTAGTGCCTTCTTTAACACGTCGAAACAACGCCCGGGAGCGTGTTTTCTTGTTGCGGGAGCGGAAGGTTGCTGGCGGACACGTCAAGGAGAAGGTAAGGTCTGTGAATGAATATAAGGAGAGTTTAACGTTGCTTGATTTCAAGGGAACGATATAGGCGAGACGGTATTTTGTTCCAGAAAACCATTTTGTGCCGGGTATATTCTGTGTTTGAGTTAAAAGTGTACTTGAATAGAAAAAAAGGACAATTACGTGTGGTTCATAGAAATGAATGATATTATTGTGCCATTGGACGATAAACTCTGCCCATTCTTCGTAGCGGACTCCACGCGTAGTCCGGCTTGCTTCTTCGTCGAAAGCCGGCCCTAACGACTCGCTTTTCGTGTAGCCAACTCTGACCAGCATACGATCTTGGCGCTCATGAAATCCATCTCAACCGAAAAAAGCAAAAAGTATACCTCGGATTGTAAAGTCCTCCCAGTGGGCCAATGGGGCGGGAGAAGGCGATTCGATGGTGGCGGCTGCACTTGTGTCTGGTATTTCTGCTGGGTTTCTCTCCAAAACTTCGGAAGGGGACGCCGGAGTGCCTGAACTAGATGCATCCCTGTCGGGTAATTGAGCATAGTGAACCGTCCGTTTAGCCACGACAGGAATTTCGCTGTCGCTCTTCACAACAGGGCTGGAAGGCTGCAAACTTGGTCTCGGTGGCGTGGCAAAGTCAGATTGTGTTCGCCGTAGCTCTTCATCTCCACCGTTCGGTAGTAAAGACGGAACATGCAAATTCGATGAAGAAGGAGCACCTTGTTGAGGTGCGGTAACGAAGGAGGATGGTGCGTGTGTTATCGACGTCGCATGCTCGTCCAGAGAAAACGGGAGGTGCGATGAAGAAGCACCAAAGCGTGTGGAACGGTTAGAGGTTCTGATACTTTCTGCTTGATCATGAAGAACGTTGACGCCGAGGATATTGCCGACTTCGAAGCTACCGCCGATCCACTTCGGTTGTTTCCAATCGGTTTTCTCTTTTCGACGTCGTAGAAGGCCCCACTCGCTTTCCCGCCACCGTCGGAGCATTTCCTCGCTAACAAAACGTTATTCCAGCGAAACATCAGTGGGAGATGATCAAGACTCACCGAATACCCTCCTCATTGTTCTCCCAGTCCTCTTCTTGGCCACCTTCTTGAAGGAAAAAAGCAAAGGCGTGGTCCTTGACAAACTCTGAGATAGTCGCGTCTCCATCGTCTACCGAGCCGAGCCGAGCCAACAGGCGCTTCTTGCCCTTGGACTGCCCGGTAACAGCCTCAAGCTGCTTCTCGAGAATCGGTCCAACAAACATTCGCTTCTGCAGGGGATGGCCATGTTCCAAATTGAATGAGCGGGATACTGAATGCTGAGTAGTCGCGCTCGGAAACCGGGTCAAGGTAGCAGGGGGCTCGACGATGGTGGGTATCATAGGTCAGGGAGCAAGCCAAGTGCATTGACGGTGATGGCACTGATGTCATTTGATGACCAGTTGAACGCGATCACGTGCGCGTCCGGTTCTTCAATTAAAGGCGATTGTCCACATATCATTATGAGATACCTTACCTCGATGAGGAGCATTGCCAGAGTCTGCTTTCTATCTAGCTTAACGCGAAGGCCATGGTCAAGACTCACTTGTGGACACAGAACCTTGTATTGACTCTATATACCTGTGACTGCACTAGACACTTGGAGTGCACATGCAGCTTCACTGGTATCATAGAAAGCCTGAACAGCAGAGACCATCCTTGAATCTGGACATCAATGCGCTGTAAAATGGCTTCATGTTGTGCAACAAAAATTAGCCTTAACCCTAGATTAGGTTTAGGTTATAGAAATAGAAATACTCATAACACCACAGGTCCACAACCATAAAGCTGAGAAAAAGATTGCATAAAGAGCAAAGTCTTAATCGTCCTCGTGGTATGTTACACTTTCCCTCGGAGAACAGTACTACAGTAGTGTGCTCTCAAATGCGGCAATTGCCGGGCCGCCAGTATCGGCAAATTTGGCATGTCCAGGGTCGATGGATACGTTTTCTAGTAAATCTGCGTCGCGTCATCGACGCTATTCATTCCAGATATTGGATATACTGAGCAAATGGTAGCAGGCACGGACAAACCGCCGGGCCGCCACCGTTGATTGGCCGCAAAAGGAAATATCGATAGTGTTGGTGTTGGTCTGCGGAAAGCTGTGTGCCCTGGAAAGATATTCCGGAGAGAATCGCTGACGAAGTTGCATACATTTCGTAAGGAATAACTGTCACCGGACTGGGGTAGTAAATAGAGGGGTGATAGGAAGAGATTGCGCAGGTATAGAAACACTATGAAAGACCATGGAATACCGGGTGATGAACCTAGGGTATACCTCCCCCTCAAACCGTGTGGTTCAGGGACGATAACAAGAACATAAGGGTGGGATAGTAATATGTCATTCAAAAGCAGCCGTTCACTCCAACAAAGATCTTGTCGTCGGGGTGTTACACGAGGAAATTCCGGTTGTCGTTGGACATCACTGGAATGAACAAGATTTTAAACGCATTCCCGACTATCTCCATCGACCACACTTTCATCCAGCATTCAGGCTCTCCCGTCGACAACCCCATGAATCTGTATTGTTGCGTAAGATTCGTAGGGTAGATGAAAACCTTGAGGAAGTAAGGACTTACCGGCAAAGTTACAAGTGTGCGGAGATCAAGTGGCCTAGGCTTTATACATTCCGAAAAGCCATCTTAGTCCATGCTTGCTGCTGTCTCTGTCTTGATTTTGCGATCGGAATTGGGTACACATCACGTAGGAAGAGGCATAAATGAGAGCTCTGGATCTCGCTATAAGCTGATTTACTATTGAACTGTTTAGTGCCACTTCCTTGCTTGCGGATGATGTAAACAACAGACCCACAACAAGCTCGAGGGCGGATTAAGGTCGGAGGAGGTTATCCAACGCAAGGTGGACAAAGAAAGTTTAAGGTTTTTTTGGATTACGAATGAACCAGACGGAAAGCATGTGGAAAGACAGCGACGGAGACTCGTAGCAGGCGCGACATTGCAGTGGTGGTTGCCTCGTGGCTGATTTGAAAGAGACCGGGGTGATGGGTCGTGGTGAGACTAGGAGGCTTGGCCGGCTGACGGAGGACATGAGGGGCTTGTATTTCTGAACGAGGTAATTATTCAAAAGCGGGACAAGATGAACGTAAACGAGAACAAGAGCTAGTCCACCCGGTCACTCGGTGTCACAGCAGGAAACTGCCTTTTCCTCAGCATGCAGCTTTAAGAGTTGCAACGTGGAGTGGCTTTTCACAATGCAGCCTTCCGGATTCTACCACCAACAGGACTGGGGCTATCCCACTCCCAACCCGAGCCCACAGGTTGAGCCTCGAACTGGGCCCATCCGTAACAGTGGCCCTCTCACTCGACGACAACGCGCTGCGCTCCAACACGAGGTATTTTTCATTCAGCAAGTTATCCGAGCCTGTCTGTAATTCTTCATTCTAGCCTTCACGACCAGCGACGCCTGGGCAGTCGCCTCATCATGACCAGTTTGCCCATTCCCTGGCTGATACCACTACGCCTACATACCATTCTCCACTTACCCCGACCTCTTCCACGTCGTCATTCTCACCGTATAGGGCCAGCTTCTTCGCCGCCCACTCGAGGTCTAATTCCATATCGACAAATCCACGCTCTGCATCACCCGCCCTTAGCACAATCTCGGCGCTAACGTCTATCTCGTCACATTCTGTCCCAAAGTCGTTCGGAAGCACAACAGCAGCTCATTCAGAATCGGAGCGCCCCAAAAAGCAGCGTCTGTTCAACACTCAGCGACGGGAAATCTGCGAGTTTCATCTTTCCCATCCCAACGCGCGCCAAGAAGATATTGCGCGACAATTTGGCGTCGAACGCAGCACTGTCAGCAAAATTCTCAAGAATAAAACAAAGTGGCTCAATATTGACGTGAATGAAACCCTGAAGATCGCCAAACATCGGTATGACACACGCACAAAGAAAAACTCTAAAGCCACGTATCTGACACTCGCTTAGGCCATCCAAATTCCCCGAGATCGAAGTGGACATGGTCAAATGGCTACTTGAATGTCGTGACAACAACGTCATTCTGAGCGACGCCCAAATCCGCAACAAAGCCAAAGAGATCGCCCTCAGCCTTGGTGTTGGTGAAGACCGTTTCAAAGCGAGCTCTGGATGGATTGAGAACTTCAAGCACCGTCATGGTGTCAAGGCGGGCATCTGGCAGGGTGAAGGCAAAAACGTGCGAGCTGCCCGAGCACTTGGCCTCGGACCACCGGCAGATGCGCCGCCACCCATACTATCCCAGTCTGACCTCATTGCCTTCGATAACGATGCCACAATGGAAGAGCTCGAACATGTCGGTCTCCTTCCTCCTCCCAGTAGCAGTGCTCGCCCACCACACATCGATGAAGCAACTGACCAGCCAGCGTGGCTCTCCAATCCCGTTGAGCCACCTACCACTCACCCTGTCCGACAGTCCGCGCAAATCGAAACGGCATCAGAAACTCCATCGTGGCTTTCGCAACCTGCCGATACACAGCCTTTAACGACTCAGCAACCACTAGCCCCAGCCTGGCTTCCCCAGTCAACAGACTCGATTCCGTCCCCACACCAACACCAACATCAACCGCCTCCACTTGTCCAACGCACTTTGTCTGACCCTGGGCCGAGCACGGTTCAATATAGTCCAACGGTTGAAATGAACGATCAGGGACATGTCTTTGAGGCGTTATATGAGCGTGCGCCACAACGGCCGGCATCGCTCTCTGAAGCAGAGGTTGCGCTCACAACTGTCATCAACTTTTTCGACACGGCTGGGCAGAATATGGTCCAGCCACACGAGCGTGACGTGCTCGCCACGTTGAAATACACGCTATTCCAGGCAACAAGTAGCTTGCCCTACGACCGAACGACGATCGCATACGAACAGGGCCAACAGGTTGTGCGTTGAACGTTGAAACCAAACGCCCTGCTCGGCCCATATGGACTATTTATTTCCACCACCATCAAAAAAAAGCTTTCAGCTAACGTTCTTTACCATGCATCTCATTTTGGCATTGCCGCTCATGCATCTCACTTCACGTCTGCTTATCTCATCTCATCCTGCTTACGTATATCGTTGCATCTTACCCCACTGTCTTTCTTTCTCGACGTACGACGCTCACGCAACCTATATTCGACACTCGCTTTGCTTTTCTGTACATATTAAAAATTTTGTACATATAGGGCAAGGACCAGCATGTTGTACCGTCTGTCTACTGACACATTTTGCTGTTTCCACGTCTCCGCTTTCTGGCTCCGACATTGATGACTAATAAGATACCCTGACAAATCATCTTGAATACATGCTGTACTCCGTAGACGGTCCATATTCCGACGGCTTCAACATAGGTCAATTCATTGCCAAAACCCTGGAATACAAGATAGCTTACACTCTGCATTCCGTTGGACATCAACGACGGATCGTCAATGATCATTTGTTGCCCTTGTTGAGGGTCTGATCCATCATAAGACATTCGAGGAGCAACACCGGCCATGTGCTGCAACTCTAGCTCTCCTGCGCGAACCTGGTTGTAGATTTTTCTGATATCTGACGCCTGCTCCCCTGCCTCTTCGTAAGAATAGCTGTATTGCTCAAGACCAGCAACACAGTTCGATACTTCTGGACGGCCAAGGCGAGCGAGAAGGTTTCCGGATTGGACAACACTGACGAGCATGACGGCTGGATCGAGTCGCTATCGAGGAGAGTGAGCTGCACGGTCGGAAGACTCGATGGCAACATACGAGGTAGCCATTTGATGTCAGAACGCCGGCCTGCAAAAAGCTTCAACAAAAAGAAAGATGAACGATAAGAGATCTCACCAAACCAGCTATTCGAAGAGCGCCATGTAATGCCTCGTCAGCCACTTTTCGCATGACCTAGAAGATGAGGACTTTAGTCTCCGAGAGACTAGCAACTTACCAAGTCTATTTGGGAATAGTTCGGGACCATGCTAATAGGTTGGTTCATCCGAATGACCTCGTTGACTTCCTTGACTCCAAAATCTAAACATCTAGTTAGGCACAATGAATCATGGAGTAATTGGACGAGACTACCATCGAGAGCAGAGAACAGCACAACCCACATGACGTGATAAGTCGCATCGCTGGCACAAGAGGAGACGGCCTAGAGACGCGAGATCAACTTCATAGCTCGTAGCGGTCATCAGAGAGAGAAGCTCGGACTGACCGACACAAAGTCCCACTCGCCCTCGAAGTTGCTGGGTACTCCAACAAGGGTAAGAAATTCGTCGCGCCATGAACTCAGCTGGGATGTCAGCCCATAGAGAACATCGAAGGGAATGCCATCTGAGTCTGTTGATGGCCGCCATAAATGTCTTGACATTGACCGGGCAACGCGGGCGAGAGCATGGGCAGCGCGATAATAACCCTATTCATCCCTGTCAGCCAGATAAAATAGAGTTGGATCAATGCGCACTAGAAACTAAAAGGAGAGGAGTTGAGTTGGAGTTGCATGTTGACTCGAGAGATAGACCATTACCTCTAGTTGTTCCCTAGGGTTCGGCGCAGGCGTATGTGAGTCAACTTCTGGAGGAGTCGGATCCACAGTATAGAAATCAATGTCATAATCATCATCGTCGAGAACGGGTTTGTGACGATAATAGACAGAGCCATATGCATCCGCGATGCAGGCCATCCAAAATGCAAATATCATGGTCCCTCGCGCGTCAGGCCTACCAGTAAGAAGTAAGCTAAAGCACTACATATAAGGAACCAGGCACGCACGCGGATATGGTCGTGAGCACCGATTTGTGATTTACCTGAAGTTTGGGCTTTAATGAATGAAGGAAGGTGAGAAAAGATCGCCCTACTTGCAGGTCAAGAAGATGTCGAGTAGCTGCGCTGACCCAGAAACAGTGGAATCCTGGCAATGTGCGTTAGCAGCCGATTGGCTACCAAATTATCGACCCACTGTTTGGATCATCCGGGTTTTCTTGGAAGAACACACGTCAAAAGGAGAGCGCTGGGAATAATTGATACCGTACGACTTTGGAGTGGTTCAAGGAGAAGACCGATGACAACGTGATCTGGTGACGGAATACGATGGACCTTGAGCGCTTCTGCAAGGTCTCGCGCACGGTCAATTAGTGTCTTGGCCAATAAACTCTGTCCGCCAGGTCGTTGACGATCAGCGACGAGCAAAGGGTGCTCAGAGAATTTGGTTCCCCATGCTATTACGGTGGCGACCAACGCAGGATGCAATGTGTCATCTGAAACACTGTTATCTCCCGGTTGGAGCCGTAGTTGACTGCGGAATTGTTCGGGGTTGAGAAGGGGGATGCGTGTGTGGACGATTTGGAAAAATACTTCAACAAGATCTAGTGCGAACCTGGAGGCAAAATGAGGAATTATGAAGCACGTAGATTCGCACGGCAAACCCACTCGGCGCGAAATACGTCAGAGTCAAGTTTGTGAGCCAGTTCTCCCCACTGCGAAAACGATCCAGGAGGACTAAGCAAAATAAGAACAAGATACAAAGAAAGGGAAAAGGCGAACTTTGCATTCTCTGGGGCTGCAAACACATAGGAAAGGACTTCTCGCGTCGGCGTTTTGAGCGTGATTGGTGGGTAGAATCCATACTTGACTAACAGCGGAAGAGCGTGAGGTGCTACGGAGAGCTGATTGGTTGGTGAAGACACGCCGTCAGACGGAGCGATGCTGCATTTAGGGTGAGTGGATGTTTGCTCAGCATAGGGAAGGTCATTACATCTTGGACGGACCGGGCCCTGGGGGGCTAGACCACGGTCAAGACGGAACGACGACAATGAAAGATGCAATATACCTAGGTTTATTATAAGCAGGGTTGGCTACAATGACAAGTCGAAGACATACCTGGCAGCAGAAAGATTCCTCGGCCTTCGAGTGAGGGTAGTTGACTTCTTCTTCTCGCTTGTGGCTTGTTGTACATAATGGCTGCTCGTGGATCAACGAGGAAATACTAGATCGTAATGCTGATGAACGGACGTGCAGGGATAGTTCTTCGACAGACAGTGCTAGTCAAGTAGGTTATTTGTGGCGACAAAGGAAAGAGATAAATGCCCACTTGGCACTGTGGGATGATATTGAGACGCGTTGACAAAGCTCGAGTGACCACATACCTTGGACTCAGTTGGTAACTTGACGCATTTCACTTTCCGAGATCGGCAAGCGTCACAGGCAGTATTCTGTTTCCTTGGTGGTGGAAGGGTCTTTGCGAGCTCATGTATTTGACTTTGCATCGAATGACTCGGAAGATTCAGACCTAGTCGTTGAATGAAGCGAATCAAGCAGAGAGAGAGATAATAGGTTGGCCTGCCTGGCTGCGATACGGACGACTCGTGGTATTGCTGCATGGCTGCTTGCTTCCTAACGGTTGAACACGCAACACTGAAAACAAGTTGTGATATGGAGAAAGTATTTGGTTGGTGGGCGGGAACAAGATTGAATTCCAGGATGCGATCTGTCACGTTCGGTACCGCTACGCACATTTTCGTTTGTCACCCACCACTTCACTCTCAGCCATGGTCAAAGTCGAAATTGTAGAGGAGAACAGTCCGTATGGATCAGAAGCGGGCTCACGGGCATCATCCACGACCTCCCTCTCCTCTGTAGAGTCCGACATTGACAACGACGAGTCTTTCATTGACCGTATTGCTGCCCTTGTCGACATTGTCCCGCCAACAACACGTCATGCCATATCGGAGCGTGTTTCCAAGTCGGCATCCCTCATAAAACGTGGTGGAAAATTCGCGGGCAACCTTGTTTGGATATTGACCACGTCCGCCCTTCTCGTTGCTCTCCCATTGGCCTTGGTGCTGGAAGACGAAGCCAAGATTGTTGCACAGGAAAGAGAGCTCTTAGAACAACAACAAGGTCAACAGCAGGTACGTTTGGTGTCTTTTCGCCTTTTTCTACCTGCAAAGCTGACACTTTTTGAGATGCTGGGCCCTTCAATGTACCCGCCAAATCCTAACCAGCCCAAAGCTGTTGTACCGCCAGGGTTCTGAACTACTCGACACCACTTTTATTCCCCCCCCCCCCCCTCACAAAAAAATAAAACACGTTTTATTGCCACCACTACACTATGCTGTTGTCTATTTGTGAAAAAAAAAAAAAATTAGCCGTTGGCAAGGTCGGATACAGGTTATGGACTGACAAGAGAAGGCCGAGCTGGGAATTCGACGGGTTCCGTGTATGTCTCCGCACTACGGTAGCGTCTTAGGTATTTGAGGGCAAGAGGCTCTATTTCGCTGGGCGTAATTCCCAGCTCCTCCCAGTCGCCGACGGTTTCGCTGTCATTCAGATACCTTCTCGTGACTTCGTCTGGACTCATCAGAGGCCACCACACAGACTGTGAGAGTTTGGCAACTGCAGTGGCGACTCCTTGTGGCATTGCTGGCACGTATGAGTGGGTAGAACGCAGTGTGACCGCAGAAACAAGGTCAAGCAGGTAGTCGTATGTGAGTGTTGAGGGTCCGGGGAGAGACAAAGTCCGAGAGCTCAAACTGGACTCCGGTACCAGGTTTGCGAGCGCTTGAGCAACGTCAAGGACCTGCAAGTTGTCAAACCGGTGTTGGGTTTACCCAAGGGAAATAATCATACATGGACTGGCCGGATTTGTGTCTTGCCGGAGTTCAATTTCCACCACCACGGAGACACTGTGGGATATGAGACGATGATTTGGGTTTGAGTTGTATGACGCACTAGCAAGGCTATTCAAAAGCTTGTCTTCATAGCCAAACATACTCCCAGGTCTAACAATCGTGGCATTCGGGAATGCAGCTTTAACGCGCTCCTCGCCAAGGGCCTTAGTTTGATAAAATTTGGATTCGGAGGTTGCGGAAGCATTGAGATGGGAGACGTGGACGAAACGCGACACCCCAGATCTTGCAGCAACGGAAGCAATCCGTTCAGCACCAGAAACATGGACAGACTCGAAATCAAAGTTTCTAGCAGTATTTTCTCAGGTTCACGTATCAGTGTAATAATATAGCCACGTACTTGGTCTCAAAGTCACGGCCAGCAAGGTTGAAAACGATATCAGAATGTCTGAGGCACTCCGCTATCTGTTCCTCATTTCTAATGTCCCATTCCTGATGCTATTGGTTAGAAGCAGGCAATGTGCGACAGTTGACGCGTACCATGCGGACTATCTGACCCAAATCACCCATAGGTTTGAATATGCGTGCCTCATCTTCGTCTCGGTACGGGATGATGACTTGCGTTCCCATTTTAGCTGACCAAGTAGTTGAGGATGGGTGGTCAACCGTGAGTGAGGTGGTAACCCACCGATTTTCGAGGCGAGATATCGTCCAAGGAAGCCGGTACAGCCGAATATCGTTACGGTGTGGCCGGACACCGCGCTGTAGCCCGGGGGGCCATAAGAAACGACGGGCTTATTGGTGGAAGGAAGAGTTTGAAGGTCGTGGTATGCTCGCTGGGAGGTATAAACGCATGAGCCAGTGAAAATTGAGCATTCCGACCTTTCCCGAAGACACAAGGGAGCGCTGAACGCGCAACAGCAACATTGGAGAGAAAGTGTGACAAATGTGACGGCAATCTTTACAACTTCTTCAAGCCTTCAACTCATGGCACAAGGCAAGACGAAGGGTCTTCAAGCCAAACAGACCAATGCTCGCCACGCGCACAAGGCTGCTACCGCCACGAAGAAGGGCAAGCGATTCATTGCGCCGAAGGTTTGTAGCGTCGCCCTCATTTGTTTCCAAAACTTTAGACCCGGTACAGAAAACTGCGCTAGTCAAACAAGCGGCTGTCCAAAAGGTAATTCTCTATGGTATTGACTTTTGACGACATTCAAACCATGCAGTCCCTCACCGCGAAAATCAACAAATCGATTGAAAATCAAATGGTTGCGGCTGCATCCGGAGGAAAGCTCACCATCATGAGGAATACACATGAAGGGTGAGCTCCATACTATACTTTAAATTCTAGTGTACTTATCCTTTTTAGATCGTCCGCGAAAGGGAAATAGGCTATTAACATCGCGCTGGGGTAATATGGGATCGTGGGACATTGTTTTTCGCGCATCCGGGAGAAATCAGACCACGAAAAGACAGGCACTTAGGTTCTTCATATGTTGACTTGCTATGTCGAAGGTCTCAACACGAAGGTCTTTTGGACCATTATGATTCCGCTCTGCTAGCCAAGTCTCCGTTCCGACGTCAGATGTTGTGTTAAATTCAATTTGGCAATCCTTTCTTTGTAATTATGATCTGCTGACTGTCCAGTATATAGAGGACCAGCCATCTTTCTGCCTCTCAGCAACATGGTTTTCCTCTCCACCCAGCAAACCGCCAAGATAGATGCGATCCTGGTGCTTACTTCGTCTTCTCAAGGTGTTTGGGGCTATAAAATACCTTGTTAGAGAGATGCAGTGACTGCGCAGAAGACTCCAGCCCTGTCCCTCGGTTTCGTAACTGCAAATTCTCCAATCTATATGCGTCACTATGGCACAAAACTCTTCGACGATCCATCGAGTGAGGCCATAACTGAAGACACTGTCTACTGGATGTGCAGTCAAACCAAATTAATCACGTCTGCAAGTGTGGGCTCTTTCGACGGCTAGCGCTCTGACGCATCCCCAGCTTGCTGGTCTCAAACTCATTGAGCAGGGCAAGATCCAGCTCGACACGCCCGTCGAAACCATCCTACCCGAACTGGCCAACCCAGTCGTAGCAACAGCCCATGATGCCACCGGCGCGATAACTGCATCCAGACCAGCGGTGGGAAAAATCACTTTTGGCCAGCTTCTCAATCATTCGAGCGGATTGGACTACTTCGTAGATGGACGCACATTTGCTAGCGGCATCAGTATGCCTCCCGATCATTCTTTGTGGCCTGGCTTTGACTCTAATTGTAGTGATGCATGATTCCTATTCCCACAGCTACAAGGATCAAGATGTGTCGGAATTCTTCAAGATTCTCCAGGTCCTTGTCATGCAACCATCCATCCTACATAATGTTGATGACTATTGGTAGGGTCCATTGGCCGGTGTTCCCCTTAGATTCGATCCCGGGACTAGCTGTAGGATCCTGACAAGATACCGCTGCTATTTCTTATTCTCTCTTCAGTTGCTTACGGGTTCTCGAGTGACTGCATCGGATTTATCGTGGAGAGACTGTCTGGTCAATCCCTTGAACAATATTTGTATGCTTTCCTTCCTCCTCCTGGCAACTGCTTACCATGCCCAGCAAGGAGTACATATTTTCGCCATTGGGAGTCACTTCAGCCTCGTTTTATCTGACTCCGGAGCTTAAGGAGAGGTTGTTACCATTGTCTTTCCGTCGCCCGGATGGAACAATCGAAAGATGGCCACGCCCTCCTGTGATCGAAGCAGAACCAGCCCATAGTATAGAAAACCGCCTCTCGTTTCATTTCGGTCTAAATTGTTGTTTAGTCAAAGTTCATCTTGGAGGAGTCGGCCTGTATGCAACCCAGAAAGATTATTTGAAGATCCTGCAACACCTCCTCGAGATACTGGGTAAGAAATGACTGCACGCATAAAATGGCAAAGGCAAACTGACGGCAATGCAGCTGGTACTGCCTCCCATCCAATCCTCTCAGTGTCTTCTGTTGCCTCTCTATTCGCAGAGACACTTACTCCTGCTGGTGCGGAGCAAGCTGCTCTAATCACCAGTCCTGTATTTTCCTCTATTGGCGTTCCTACCGGAAATTCGCAGTTTGGAAACGGTCTGGCTGTTTTAACTGCTGATGCACCAGGTCATCGGAAGAAAGGATCGGGTCTCTGGGGAGGTTGGGCATCAACAAGCTACTTCATCGACCCAGCGAGCGGAGTCGCCATGGTGTTTGGAACGCAGTTGGCTCCCACCGGTGACGAGATAGTCCAGAGGGTGTGGGCTGAGCTTGAAGGGGTTGTCTATACCGCTGTCCCTAAATAGCATGTAGTAATTACCTTTTTTGAGCGGAAGCGTAGTTCTGTGCTTCGGCCGATGGCTTTGTGATCCGAATTGCAAAACTTTTGGCCCAAAGCACGAGTCATTTCTGCACCACCATGGCGTCGTCATCCCAGGTATCTTTGCGACTTACAATATCGATAGGCGCTCATTGTTCAGCTGGCTCTTGGGTTGTCTGTGCCCCCATATACGGCGCACGCGATCAGTGTTTCGCTTCCGTTATGGAGTGATGTTATTGGCTATGAAGAGCAAGAAAAACGCGTTTTGGAAAGCATGACCACAGGATACCCTCGCTTCTTTATTCACCGCAGCATACAAAAGGTTGGCTCTGCTCTTGTCGCGCTTCACAACTCAAAGGAACACAAATAGTTGGCGAAGATATGCGAACAGAAGTTTGGCACGCGAAACGAAAAATGCTTGCTCTTTCCAACCGTCAGAGTAGCAAGCCAATGCCGCACCTTCATCCAGACCCGCTCGGCAGAACCTGTTACACCGCGATTGATCCACTTCTCTATCTGCCCGGAGGATAAGCACCCCTATGAGGACAGCGCCTTGATTTCTTCGGCCCCAGCAAACCTCCACATCGTTCTTTTCCCGGCTGAAATATTCCCGATTGCAAAACAATTCTGGCAACACGCTGGACTCGGCATCTCAAGTCGTCTCGCCGAACATTGTCTCTCCCTTCTCCCAGACGACCCTGCTTCCCCCACCAACGGTATCCACACCCCCCGAAAAGGGTACCACAAGCATTATTCAGCACGGAAAGGCAGCCCGCCATCGGCTTCCCCTGTGGAAACAATTGCTCCTGCTCTGGATAACCTCAGCTTAGATCATTCTGTCTATCTCGAAGAGCGCTACGGGCGAAATCTTCCCTTCAGTTTGGCTGCATCCGCAAAACGAGCTCTGCGGAGACGTATTGCTGGTGTTCTTTTGCGTGACAATTACAGTGACGGTTCTGACGAACCAGGTGCTGGCGACGACAACGCCATTCTCGGGCCGAGCTCCCGTGGAGTCAGCAACTTCTCAGAGAACGATGTATTCCTTTATCCGACTGGGATGGCGGCGATTTGGAGCTCGCACCAGCTCATCCTGGGGGCTCTGCCTGCTCAGAAATCTGTTTGCCTTGGGTATTACAATCCAGTGTTGTTTGATTGGCGCTCAACACTTTTCTGGTAGATTCCCCTACACAGACACCCTCAAGGTCCTCCAAAAGTGGGGTCCCGGTTGCCATTTCATCGGTGATGCGAATATCGACAGCCTGGAGGAGCTTCTGGAGGAAGAATCAGCTCGTAACCCGACTCGGCCACCCATCCTTGCACTGTACACCGAATTCCCCTCTAATCCATTGCTGCGTTCAACTGACCTTTCCCGGCTCCGTCTTCTGGCTGACAAATACAACTTCCTCCTCGTTGTCGACGAGACTGTCGGCAATTTCTTGAATGTGGAGGTGTTCCCGTTCGCCGACATTGTAGTCAGCAGCTTGACGAAGGTGTTTAGTGGGTATTCAAATGTGATGGGCGGAGCGTAAGAATTATCCTCTCCTCTTGATATGTTTATAGCTTCCCTTAGCCTGTGTCTGAACCCACAAGGCACACGATATAACCTGCTCAAGGCACATCTTGAAACAACCTTCGAAGAGGACGCCTATTTCGGCCAAGACGTGATTTACATGGAGCGCAACTCACGCGACTTTCACCGGCGCGTCAAGGTCATCAACGACAACGCACTAGCCGTCTGCCAGTTCCTGCAATCCAAAACCACAGAGTCGAATCCAGTTGTCAAGCAGGTCTTTTATCCCAAGTTCGTCACGCCAGAGAACTACGAGAAGTGTCGCATCAAGCGAGACAACGGGCAGGAGAGTGGTGGCTACGGCGGACTGTTTTCAGTGACATTCACGTCTCTCCCAGCAGCACGGGCTTTCTTCGATGCACTTCCTTTCTTTAAAGGACCCAGTTTGGGGACAAGCTTTACCTTGGCTTGCCCCTACGCAGTCCTTGTTCATTACACGGAGATGGACTGGGCAGCACGATTCGGTGTGGAGGAAACAATGGTGAGGGTCAGCGTCGGGCAAGAAGAGACAGCAGCCCTAGTAGAGGGCTTCAGGGCAGCAGTGGAGGCAGCTGAAAATGCATGATCAGGCCAACTCTCATTTCTTCAACAGGACTCACCACATCATTGCGCATTTAGAACTGACTGTATCCAACTACACGCAAACTTGTATCTATATAGCTTACTTCTTAGGTTTCTTGACACTGTAAAACAGGCCACGTTAGTAGAGCAACAAGATGGAGGACAGAGAGAGACGAACCCGTAACGACTCCGAGCACGAGCACGATTGACCACTCCTCCTAGATCTAAGGCGCCACGAACAACTTTGTACCTAGGAAAAGTGGGACTATAAGCTTTCAAAACCACAATCACAACAAAAAAAACATACTGGACACCAGGCAAATCTTGCGCCTTCCCTCCTCTGACCAGTACGACGCTGTGCTCTTGCAAGTTATGCCCTTCGCCAGAGATATACGCCTGGCATGTTTTCCCTGTCGAAAGCTTTACTCGAGCAACTTTACGCTTGCCCGAGTTTGGCTTTTTGGGCTTGGCGGTAAACACCTGAATGCAGACGCCTTTTCGCTGAGGCGAGTTATTGAGAAGAGGCGACTTGGACTTGGCGACACGACGCGCGTTGCGTTTGCGTTTCGAGGACTGGTTGAGAGTCACAAATGCAGGCGGGGTCGCGTGGAAAGAGCGGGCAAGGGTGAGTTGTGATTGAAATAGTATTCTGGAGGGCCCAGCTGTGAACGAGGGCCTCGGAGGTGCTCTCAGAGCCAACTGGCGTCCGAGACGAAGGGCGGCAAACATAGACGGAAGCAAGAAAAAAGGTGTGCACGTGACATAGAATTTATAGGCTACCTATACATTTGCTACATTTACTCGTCGTACCGTTTCCCAGTCACTCTATCGAGTCCTCCACGGTTCCCTGGGACCTGAAATTAAGGGTAATTAAGTAGAACGAGTTAGAAAAGGCCTCACATTTCGATTCCGACAATGATTTGCGTAATGCCCTTTCTCCCCACACTTGAAGCACATTACCTCGTCCAAGTTTCTGCGGACGGGACCCGTGAAACCGCCTCCAAAAGGTTCAAATCTGGCCATGCCAGGAGGTGGAGGTCCCTCGAGAGTTGGTGGAGCAGGGGTCTCATACGCTTCTGGAGGTGGGATATTTGGTTTGGGACTATAAGATCGCGTAAGGATGAGTAGCACACAATACGACGGCCTGCTCACTGGCCACGCGGGCAATCTGGTCCTAGGGGACAGAAGCCAGTCAGATAGTTTTGGCAAGCAACTCGCCGGACATGCTTTCGCGGACATGATGGGCCTGTAACTCGGTGCTGAGTAATAAAACACAGTGCACATTACAACTCACCCAGTCTGCAGAAGCCCCGATTATAGTCAGGACATTCAACGCGTCGCTCTTTAGGATGAGCGTAAAGACATTCTTCTCCAGTCGAACAGTAGCCGTACTTGGCATACCACCAACATTCCGGCATCCGTCTTAGATTGTATTCGTGAAGGAACTCGCAGGCATCACCCTTCTTGCAAAGACCACGCAGCCAATGCTTGCAGACGGTAGTCAGCCGGTCGCGGGTGTGGGTCGCTTGTTGCTTTGGTGGCTGGAAATTTTGTACAGAAGGGAGGGTGTGGCGTAGTGGACAATGAAGAGGACCAAGAGGACAGCCAGCCGGAGTGAGAGCAAGTCTACATATTTGGTCGTCTGGTGGGGTAAGCCCTAAGCGGACTCATAGAAAGCACGAAACACACCTTTGTCAAGTTTGATGCCTAGGTCAGACTTGATATAGTTTTCTAAATGGCAGGTCAGGACTAGCAGGCATTAAAAAATACTGTGTACCTGCAGGGAAATTATTCTGGTGGAATTGAGGATTGACGACGTCCCGCAGAGCTGACGGTCCACTGAGAGCCATTGGTGTGACCATCAAATGTGACGAGCGCGTCTTGACTCTACGACCAGTATGCCCGTCGCCACCACCACTCGTCGCAAGAGACAGCACGGCCGGCAGCCCTCATCTGATATCGAGGAAGACAATGGGACCCAACGCACCAAAGGCCGCGAAGATGTTGATTCTGACGAAGAGGAACCCGCTCATCGCGTAAAACAGGAAAAGACAAAAGGGAAAAAGAAAGCAAAACAAGAAGCCCAAGCCCAGCCTATGGAGGAAGACGACGAAGATGATGTTATCGACATTGCCAACTTCCCAGCCCAGCCCCTTACTCGCGCTGATTGCACCAAGCTCAACGGCCTTTCTGAGGACTGGAAAAACGCGTCGTCCGTGGTTCAAAGGGTTGCTGAGATGATGGGATCTACTGCGAGCGCCATGGTTGACTCTCAATCGGACGCTTTGGACGAAGTTTGTCTTTCATAATAAGTGGACGCGTCTCCTTCTCACATGTTCCCCTAGAGTCTGGCACAGCTCGACCATCTTATGAGAGATTTCATCGACGTAGAGGCTTTAGTCGGCTTCCATAGCCATGCGTTAACCGACATTGCCCAAGCTATCTTCCGCGGAGAGGCCATTGTCAGTCGATACCCCATATATGCAAACGCCGTCTAAACATCCTGCAGAGCGATGTGAAAAATCAATATCTTGAAGCTATAGATGCGGCCAACGCAAAATACGACACCAAGACGTCCCGGCAGAAGTACGCCAATCATGAGGAATATACTGGCTTCAGACAGTCAGTATGGGTATGTGGGATCATCTCTTGTTGGTGCGTCCTACTTACCCTGAATAGAATGCTCAAAATACTGAGGATGCGATGCCTCCAATGACTGACTTCATCCCGCGTGGTGAGTAGGCCTTTCGATTTCGCAGTTGTTTTTGGTGATGTACCCACAGAGGACGGTGATGAGAGCGACGACGACGACGAGATTATCATTGGCGGTGTCAGCCAAGACTACAAGTGTCCTCTCCTTATGACTACCCTCTCAGACCCATATACCTCGTGCGTCGTTCTCATTGAATTGCTAGTTGCGTTGCAGCTATTATGCAGGACCGTCTGCAAACATTCCTACTCTGGCAGTGCCATCAAGGAGTACTTTTCTAAAAAGCAGAAAGAGAAATGCCCAGCAGCCGGTTGCAGCAAGCAGCTTACCCTCGCTCAGTGCAAGCCCAATCCACAGCTTGCGAAACTGATCAAAGACCGGGAGCGACGGAGACAGGCTAATCAACGGGACGATAGCGACGACGGTGAGGTCATTGAGTAGGAAGCGATTTATTCTATACGTACTCGACGTGCTAATGTACTATATGATTGGGATGTTCTTGTTATTTTCAGTGCAACGACTTGGATTCTCACAGCCGACGAAAGTCGGAACGTGGGACCCATTTGATGCATGACATCATCGCAGCTGAGTCTTTCAACGCTCTTTCAACACCTTGCTTTTCTTTCGCTCAACCAGACAAACAAACAACCAAGCAGTTTTTTTGCGCCGAGAAGAATGTCCTTTTATGGGTTGCTCTAACGCGATCGCGGCAGTGACGATCGAATCTATACTTACTTGCCGGACACACGGAACGTCACGTGCCTTCCCCAGGCTTGCCTCTGCTCCTCTAACTCCCCACTCGTTCTTCACGACTAATAACGACCTTCGTCAGTAATATGCTTGCCTTTGGTAAAAAGAAGCCAACTTTGCCCCCCGCTGAGCATGACGGAAGGTCCGTATAATCCTATAATACCCACTTACACTCGTGCTTAATCCTTTCACCACCAGTCCTGCTGACGTCGCCAACGATGTGGCAGCCGACGCGGCGGCGGAAGCCCTTGTAGCCAGTCAACGCGCTGCACAGGACGCGGCAGATCAAGAGAAGTTGGCTGCTGAGGCTCTTTCCAAGTGAGAACGATTAATTTTTTCGGATTTAAATAACATCATGTCATCAAGGCATTATTGAACCTGGCACAGGTGGGGGGTGAATGCAGTCGGTGGAAATAACAACCAGACGCAACTGCAAGCGGGCGGGACTCAGGCGGGTGGAACTCAGCCAGGTGGTAAACTGTTATGCCCAAAAAACCCGAGATGGAGCACGAGCAGCCGCCCAAGAAGGCCGAGATGGAGAGGTTGGACGGGTGTCGAGAAAAGTGTAGGTATAAACATTTACCTCACATGGCACCTCACAAGGCATAACGATATATATCGCCACCCCTGAATCAGACGAGCGCATCGGCCCAACTGTCTATATATATACACAGCACCACCATAATTTCATAACTTTCATCCCACCATCGGCCCGGTCCAGGCCGGACAACCTGTACCACTTATAGTCTTTCACGTGTTATTGAGGTTTTATCAGGTACTATCTCGTATTACATGTCGAAGTACGCTGCACAGTTGTTACGGTGCGGTGGTAACTAGTAGCTGTCTGTCTGACTCTCATTCTAGGACGATAGAGGAAGAATGAGGGTTGATGTACTGGGAAGACGAGGCGAACGGGACTTCTGCATGATTGGAAGACGAGGCGAAGGGAGTGATCAGCCGTCCATTGGAGTTGTTGTCCGCAGGTGCCAAGGCCGTTGCGAAGGCGGTCTGCGCACCTTCTCCGGCTAGTCCTGGTCTACCGAAAAGGTCGTGCTCTCCCCAATCCACCCAATCGATCTTGTTACTGGATGGCGCTGCAGGTCCAACTTCTTTTGCGTCCGGGTAAGCAAGACTTGTCCTGGGAAACTTTGAAACTTACCTGACACGCGTTGTTTTTTGTCGTGCGGCTCCACAATTTCGCCTTCGTCATCATCGTCGTCGAGCAGATACGTGGCTGTGACCGCAAGAGTCAGTTTACAAGATCGTCAGAGTTTCTAGCCACTTACCGATCTTGCGTTTGGGAGCAACGGATGTGGTGAACTCGGTCTCCCCCTCAGTCCTCTCAGTCAGCTTCTTCATTTTTTCGGCCTTGAGGTCGTCTTTCTCTATAATTGCTGTGGCATCGCATCAGTTTGCGACAGCCCAAACCCTTGCAGGCTTATAAGCCAGTGGACTGAATAAGAGACTGCGGTGGAAGTCTGGAAGTGTGGAAGTCAGAGACCATTCAAAGCTTGAGTTAATGCTCAATACGCACGTGCTCAAGCGAGACGTGTTTCTTGGGGACGTTGCTGCCGTGAAACGGCTAACAGCGAGGAAAGCCATGAGTGGGTGATAGTGAGTTGAGAGCTGGTGAGTGATAGTGAGTTGAGAGCTGTCTTGCACGTGCCATTAGTGTCACTTTTTTTTTTTGACTGTCACTACCAGACAGGGGGCATCGACGAGCTCGTCCACCTAAAGCCGCCCTGAAGATCGAACAGGCTACAAAGGTGGCTGCTCGGAAGCGGGACGATGCCTTGGCAAAGGCCGAGGCTGACAAGATAAAGAAACAAGCCCAGGCAACACTTACTCGCCGGAAACAGGCCCTCCTGATCAAGGAGGACGAGAGTAAGGCCATCACCAAGGCAGTCAAGGCTCGTCTGGCTGCTGAACGAACGGCTTGGAAAGAGCGTCAACAAGTCGAGAAGGAGGCGGTCGATGCGAGAGTCAAGGCCACCAAGCTCGCCGAGAAAGACCGTATCGAAAAGGAGAAAGAAATCGAGGCCAAGCGTCAAGTTAGTCATTCTATATCGTCTTGTCTGCACTGACGATTCTTCAAGGCCGCTATAAAGATCATCGAGGCTAAACGCGACGCTGCCATCGCCAAAGCTGAGAAGGACAAAGCGGCTGCTGAACTCAAGAAGGAGAAGGCCAGTCGGATTGCCAACTCTCGTCAAGCCGACGACAACATTGCTGCCATTCCGGTGCAACCCACGTTGTGGCAACGTATCTGGGTAGGCTTCATTTTCGCCTCTGGTCTTGGTCTCATCCACATATGAAGGGCGACACAGAAACGCATCTCGCTGCTGAGCCCACTCCAGCACCAGCCCCACCTGCTACCAAGGCTTGAGTTCATGAACATTTCGTATACCCCTGCACGTTCCTGTCTTTTTATGCTTATTATGACCCTAACGCTAATGACTGTAATGATTGAATGCATTGCCTACGTTGTCTTATATGTATCATCGTCGTTTGGCCATTTGAACAGTGAGATTATCTAAGGTTGTTAGAGAGAGGACACTTGGGAGAGAGTTATGTCCTTACCTATGTACATCTGGAGGGTCTCATTGTCCGAGGTCAGCTTCTGGACCTCTTTCTGAACTGTCTCAACCCTTCCCAAGATCGCTATAGCCCGTTGTGAGGTGGAATGGTAGTCAAATATCAAGCGACAAACTGCGCAAGTCCTGTTGCGACGCCTCTATCTCTCTATTACCAGTCAGACTTCACCACACAGCACATCAAGTCGACGAACTTGAGCAGTTTCTCTTTCTTGAGGGCGTCCTTGACCAGATCTCCCACTGCCGGTGCTGTGCTGTCAGCGCCCCAAGCCTGCTCCTCGAAGTCAGACATTACAGTAAAATTCGGGTGATCGGATTACGTGAGGAACACGCGTTCTCGTTCTACAGTCATGGCAGATATTCTCCTCGCATTCAAAGCTGGGCGCGCCTTCCGCCAGGGCAACTCCAACACTGTTGATCCAAGCCCCACGAAAGGCGCCATCGTGCTCACTGTCGACGATGGGCTTCTGCATTTTGCCTGGAAGAATCGCACAACTGATACAACAGAAGAGGTATGTGGCTTTCAGCCAGCAATCGGACACAGCTAATCAGTCCAGGACCTGATTCTCTTCCCCGGAGATGCCTCTTTCGTCAAAATACCATCGGCGTCGGGACGCGTTTATGTCCTCAAGTTCGCTTCGTCAGACCAACGTCACTTTGTGTGTTGTTAATCCTAAATCTATACTTACAATGGGACTGACCCGAGCTTAGTTCTGGCTTCAGGTAAATCCCCGTTCGTGTTTTCGCGTGTGTAGCCAATATTCATGCAGGAAGAATCCACTGCTCGAGACGAGGAGTTCATCGCCAATGTCCAGAAATTGTTGGACGATCCCGAGGCCCAGCTCACCTGGGGTGCTAGTGCAGGCCCTTCCCAACCCCAAGCATCTACGTCTACTGCTGCTTCGTCGTCCGCGTTGGTGCCCACCATTATTTCTATTTTGCTCGTTTGACTTCATGCAGGGCGACCGCACCTCTAATTCCTCCAGAACAACTAGCACAGCTCCAGGCATTGCTGGCGGGTGGTCGTAGCGCCCCTGCTGCCCCAGGCATGTCGATGTGCTGTGTATTTGCTTGCCTAACATGCCCTAAGAGTACTCGTTGACGGATATCTTGACCCCCGCCAACCTCAACCCGTTGTTCACGTCCCATCCAGAGCTGATACCCACCCTCTTCCCCCACCTCCCGCCCGATCTTCCAGTTCCGCCTTCACAAGACGCCTTGCAGCGTATCATCAAGTATGTTTCTCTGTCGGTTATGCGGCAAGTGCTGACCTTTCCTCCAGCTCTCCCCAGTTCCGCGCTGCTGTGTCCAACTTTGACCAGGCACTCCGCACTGGGCTCTTGGGTGGACTGGTCAGAACGCTGGGACTTCCGGAGGAAGCAGGACTGGGAATCGAGCCATTCTTGAGGGCTATACAAGAGCAGGCAGACAAGCCAACTGATGACCGCATGGATACAGATTGAAGGTAAAATAGTAGTTCTGTTCTCAAGCTAGAGTATAGGAAAATGTTAGGCAGTCGCGACGAATTTATCAAGACGCTTTCGGAGGGCATGGTCCGTGCGTATTCCAACCAAACGAAGAGCGGTAGCGAGGTCCTTAGCCAGCCTAGCCCTCTCTTCCTCATCACCACCCTTTGACTCGAGCAACTCCTTCACAGATCGAGCAAGACGGCCTTTGGGGATGGGCGGGGGTGCACCATTCGCTTTGGGGATTTTCTTTTTCGGTTTCGGGCCCTTGATGACGGGGACTGCCAGCAAGGGCTCGAATACTTCCGTTCGAAAGCGGCGATGGGCAAGTGAAGCAACCGAAATGATTCTGTCTGGTGCACTGGCAGCCTCAGCGGAAGCCTCCGCAGCAGCAAGGGTCTCTCCACTCCCGTCAGCTTTGTACCCCCACTTCTTCAATTCATCGACACGCTTCTCCTTAAGCAGCTCAGATATCTTGTCGCGCGAGTCTTCGGCCGAAAGCGATTTGGCGACGGACTCGACAATATCATTGAGACGAAGCCAACCGCGGTCTTCGTCAACTGCCCTCCGGACATAATGACGGTTGACATAGTTCAAAAGGCGGTTGACAGAAAGTGCCCCGGCAGAGTAGCGGTTGAAACAGGGAACGATGTAGTCCACCAGCGCAGTATCGTCTTGGGGCACTCCGAGCATAATTTCCCTCGCAGTCTCCAGGAAATACTTGTCCAGCTGCTCGTAGAGGTCGTTCCCGCTGGCCACCTCGCCGTTCGCACGCGCCGCAGGCGTGTTGGCCTTGTTCTCGCTCTGGGAGGTAAAGCTGGATGGGCTTGATGAATACACGGGAAGGGTCGGCAGAAAAACGACACCCGCTAATTGTAACACGCCGTGTGGATGCCCGAGTAAAACACCATGTCAATAGAGGGTGCCTTCTTACAGTGGGGGTCATTCGTCGGGCTCTTCACGATGTGGTTTAGCGCGGGGAGGAGATATGCCCAGAGGCTGGAGAGTGAGGCAGCAGGGTTCGCGCTAGTGAATCAAGTTCAGCAAAACAGTTCTATGTAAAAAATATGCACTCACCTACCACTGCTGGGCCCAGGAAGCGGCTCGACCTCCTTGCCCTTGCCTTTGGCATTGGACATCGTCAGGTTCGGCTCAAGAAATCGAAGAAATCTCAAATTAGGTAATGCGTGTGACACGACACGTCATATGCTTATGTAGTACTCTGTTTTTGATGCCTCTAACTGTCTCCCAAACAACATCCTTTGCGGCAAAGCGCATCGTTCTCGGTCCAGACACGTTAAAATCAGCCAAAATAAACACCGGAGATGTTGTTGCCGTATGCGCGGAGAACTCTGAAGTATGTTCCTCGTCCATTTCTTCCAATCGCGCTCTCAGCTGTTAGAACTTCGCCATTGGCATCGCCTGGGCCTCTATAGACGCGTCAGCCCAACGTTCACATCCATCTCCCCGCGAAGACGCCCAGAATAACGCGTCATGTAGATGTTGGACTCTCGCAGTCCCTACTCCTTGCTACTGGGCTTCATTTAGGACAACAAGCACAAGTGATCCCGCTACGAAAAGAAACATCGACCCACCGATTACCCTCCCTTCATCAAATTCAGGAAGCTACCGAAGTCCGATTGTATGCTAGCACTTCAGCAGCATCGCTTCCGTCCGGCAAACGCAGCGATTGGCTGAAACTGGTAATCAGGGAATGCTTGGGTATGTGTTCCGCCCTCTGAACAAAAGAATATCGACTCAAAGGCCGTCAAGTTGACCTGAAATACATTGTATCCGGCCAGCTAATTGAAATAACATTCGAGCAACAAACACAACGCTTTGTAGTGGTCACACAATCGACAGCATCCGAGCTAGATTCGGACCTGGCAGCGTTATCGCTGGAAAGAAAACGACGTGTGTGCATTGTGGGCTGGGAAACGGCTATCATACTCGAAGATTCTCGCCCAGAGTCACCGGCGAGTCATATTACGCCTTTCTAGTCTATTTTCCTGACGGTTTGGACAGAAAGCAGTCGAGACACTGGAGCAGGGCTCAACTGAAACCGGATATGAAAGTGTTGGTGGGCTTGGGAAGCAAATATCCGAAATTCGAGATCTTCTGGAGATACCTTTGACGCGTCCTGAGTTATTTCGACATTTTGGTGAGTGTTTGTGTCAGACGGGGCCACAATATTCATTCATTGTAAGGACTCAAGCCTCCACGCGGCATCCTTCTCCATGGCCCACCAGGAACGGGGAAAACACACCTAGCCCGTGCCATCGCTGCATCAACGAAGTCTTCTGTCCTAGTAGTCAACGGGCCAGAACTCTCGTCTGCATATCACGGCGAAACAGAGGCCAAACTCAGAGACATATTCAAGGAAGCGTATGAGAAGAGTCCATGCATCGTTGTTTTGGATGAAGTTGATGCCCTCGTTCCTAAACGAGAGGACGGCGCTGGTGGCGAAGTCGAGAAACGCGTTGTAGCGACGCTGTTGACGCTCCTCGATGGAATGGCTGATACGCCCGATGACCGGAGTCGTGTTGTGGTCATTGGCACAACAAACAGACCGAATGCAATTGACCCAGCGTTACGAAGACCCGGAAGGTTTGACAGGGAGATAGAAATTGGTGGGTTGAGTTTACTGAACAATATGAAACTGCTGATACTTCGAAGGCGTGCCAGATGCTGCAGGCCGTCTATCGATCCTCCAAGTTTTACTATCAAAAACGCCACATGCGATCTCCGATGCAGAACTACTTCAATTGGCATCGAAAGCTCACGGCTATGTTGGGGCTGATCTCAGCGCTGTTGTGCGTGAAGCAGGGACTCTGGCCATCAAGCGATGGGTCGCCTCCCCGTCACCAGTACCACAAAGTCAATTAACCCTCTCCCTCTCTGACTTGGAGACTGCATTACCCACTATCCGACCGTCTGGAATGCGCTCCGTATTTGTGGACACCCTTCCCGTTCGGTATTCTGAGATTGGCGGGCAAGCGTCTGTGATCCAGAAGCTGCGTGAGGCCGTCGAATGGCCGTTGCTCCATCCAGATGCTTTTACTAGGCTCGGCGTCAAGCCTCCAAAGGGTGTTTTGCTCTATGGACCCCCAGGCTGCAGTAAAACAGTGCTCGCCCGCGCCTGTGCTTTTGAATCGGGTGTCAACTTTATCGCGGTGAAAGGTCCGGAAGTACTCAACAAATTTGTTGGTGAATCGGAGCGTACCGTGCGTGAGATATTCCGCAAAGCGCGTGCAGCAGCACCGTCCATCGTGTTCTTTGTAGGGCAGTTTTTCTTTCCGAGAGTTAAGCTGATAAAATATGATAGGACGAAATCGATGCCCTGGCCACCTCTCGTACCTCGTCGGATACTGATTCCGGCTCGTCACATGAGGGCGTTTTGACGAGCTTGCTCAACGAAATGGATGGTGTCCAAGAGCTTCTTGGTGTGACCGTCCTCGCAGCCACCAACCGACCCGATTCCATCGTATGATTCTTTTTCTGCGAGCGTATAGCCAGTTGAAGCCATTTCAGGACTCTGCATTAATGCGACCTGGTCGATTAGATCGCATTATCTACGTCGGGCCGCCAGACCAGCTTGGCAGAGAAGAGATTCTTCGCATAAGGACACGAACCATGACAGTCGGGCCAGATGTAAATATCACAGAAATTGCTCAGCTTGTAAGAAACCGACTTGATTCTATGCTCTGAATGCTCACGCATTGCCAGACCGACGGGTGTTCCGGTGCCGAAATTTCTGCTCTTTGCCAGGAGGCAGCACTGTTGACGATGCAGAAGGATATGAATGCGCCATTTGTGAGAACTTGTCGTCGTGGGTAGGTATGCAGTGGCTGATAAAACACAGGTCCCACACGATGCCTTTGTTGCTGCAAGTAGATCTATGAAAAGGCAGATTACACCAGCCTTACTGGAAAAGTTCACAAAGTGGAAATCGTAGGTATTAAACATGACCGAATTTGTCCCAATCTCCTGAATTTCACACCAAAAACGACGCCAGATGTGGACATAAATCATATTGTATTATGCATTAGGGTTAGGGTTAGCGCTAGAAAAAGTCATAAAAAAAGAGGCCCGCCTAGCCGAGTGGCCGTGGCAGGACTGGGAAATATTAAGACGGTGCATGAGCCGAAGCCCATACAAACCACGGGCGCTCTCTGTATGGACAGGGTCGCCGTGCTATGGAGAGTTCCCGCAGCCCACAGCTCCAGGTATGTGAAGGGAACTGTGCCATCAAGGTAAGTATGAAGATTCAGATCAGACACCATGTCTTTTTGAGCGGACAGCGCGGCGCACGGACCAACTCACTATCACGTGCAACATATCCCATCAAAATTCCTGATGAAGTGGTTTTCGAAGTTGATAACTCTGGTCCCTTGCAGACAACGAATGACTGTTTGCTTCATGGTTCTACATTCATGCGATTAAATAATTACATTTTTAATCAACGCCATCCTCAAACCAGTCTGCTCTCGATGGACTCCGACACTCCGACAACGCTCTCCTTCATGCCCAGTCCAAACTCTTCCATGCCCGCCAGCACGGGTTTGTAAACGCTCGCATCAGTGGGCCCGGCAACACCCCGGACTGTGACCTTACCATCCAGGACATTCAATGCTGCGATGGCGACGGGAAGGCCCACAGTCTGGGCCATAGCTGTCGCGCGATCGTTTCCAAAGGCAATCAACGAGGAACGATGGACCTCGTCCGAGTTTGCTCTGCCCGGCGTATGGGCCACTACCTGATGCTCCAAAATCACCATGTCGCGCTCGCCGGGAAGATAATTCAACGTCGAGGAGAGGAGGTGGGCGAAGAGGTCAAGCGGCGCGTGGTCCCCAGACAAGACCTTGGGCAATGGGCGGGAGTGGGCTGAAGGAAGCAAACATAGCCATTCGAGAGCGTCACGTAGTGCGGCTTGCTCTTCTTCATTCGGGATTGCTTGTTGTACCGCAGTCCATGCATCGCGGCCAACGGGAAATTGTAAAGAAAGACATTGCGGAAGGAACGAAGACCACGATTTGAGTCGAATGGTTTTGTTCATCTCGAGGAATCCAAGGACGCGGAATGACTCCATCAATTTTGAAAAACCAGCATATCTGATAGGAGAAGCAGTCAACATATGCTGACGCTGAGCTTGGTCACAAACCTCAAGGTTCCTCGCAGTACGGTTTGAATTCCGTTAGGTTTTCCAGTTTGTCCGAGATTGTACGTATCGAGATAAGACAACGAGTCTCGATTGGGTAGCCCCTCCAGCGCGAACTCATTAGTGATTGGGAGCGAAGGGAAGTAGTTCGGCAGTAGCTCTTTCTCTTTGATCGTTGTGATCTTGATAGAATTAGCGCGACATCAGGCGCGAGAGTATAAACTCACCTTATTTTGCAACACATACCGGGCTCCGTTAAGCGCAGCAGTCAAGACACCACGCGGACTCCAGCTGAACTTGTACCGTAAGGGAACGATGGGGACGTCTGGCGCGGGTAACCCTCCACAGAAGGAAATGAAGGACCTGATCTGTTTTCCTTGGCTTTGGAGTTGCGAAACTAATGAGATAGCAGAGCAATGGTCGATTCCGGGATCAAGGCCGATCTCGTTGAGGAGAAGCACGTCCGCGTCAAGCGCTCTAAACGCTATGAGTCGCTGACAATTTTGGACTAAAAAACTCTACTTCTGATGCAGAGACTGCATGGCGGGCGAGATGTAGGAAGCTGTTACCAAATGTTTTCGGTGCTCAACACACATCTCGGCAATTTCAGCATGCAGACCGGCTGGTAATAAACTGATTCAACGGTAAGAATACGTCAATCCGCGTCATATGAACCCACAAACCTAATGACAAGGTCGGCCTCTGCAATTAACCTTCCGAACAGAGCCTTATTTTCTGTGTCACAAAGTTCAGTCTTGATATGTGTATGATTGCCAACTAAGGAGTGCATTTGTTGAGCAGAGTTGCTTGCTGGGGCTGGTGAGACTTGATGGCTACGCTAATCTGGTCGAAAACCTACCGATTACCAACTCGATATCCCGCCTCTGCGACAAGGTTTCTACGACAGGACCGGCAACCATCCCACTCCCGAGCAAAAGAACCTTTTGTTTCCGTATAATGGTCTCTGGCACAGCAGATGATGACGAGGCCTCGTTTCTCTGCGCGCGGTATGGCGAGAGGTTGGCTTCCCATAGCCATTCATGCTGCGGCGCAAGACGACCATTGGATGCGATTGTGGCTCGCTGCAGTTCCAGACTAAGCGGCGCACCGGTTTGATAGTGGGTAATCAGGGCGTCCAGATATGGTGACAATGCCTTGGAAAAATGTTGCGAGGCATCATAAGGGATAGAGGCGGGAAGGATATCCACGGCCATCATCTGGACTGAAGGAAGGTCATTAGGCAGCGTGTTGGGTCGTGTCTTGTAGAAGGGCTCAGAGAGAGTGCTGTGTCATCAAGACCGATAATTAGACAGCGACATAAGACATATGTCGAAGCCATACCTGGAACGGGTGAGGAATTCGAGACCACCCTAAATGGAATCAGACTCATACTTGCGCTAGCAACAATAATCTCACCTCTGGGTCGCAACTGATATCGCCAACATTAGTGAAGCGCGCGCCTCCTATGGCCTGTGCTCGGGAGAGAGCATCAACAAGGTCGGTATTGCTCATGAGACGAGGATATGATGGCGCCCAACCAACGCCATTGAGGAAGAGAGTAAGATATGGGGCAACGTTTGTGGCGAATGTTGAACGGTACTTTTCAGGATTCTGGTAGTAGTGTGAACGGTCGTAAGATTGACCGTCCAGAGATTGCAAGTAATCTTGCGGTTTGGCATGAACAAGATAAATCTATAAATGGTCGACATCGCAGTGGACCTTGGAAGTTCGGACCGACCTTCCGTAAGTCTGCATCTAAACATAGATTAGATTAGAATTATATGCGAGGCAAGGTGCTGACCCTGTTGGTTCACAAGAGGAGCGAGATTCTTGACAGAGATGAGCTCGATTGGTAGTTCCTCGAGGATGGATAAGCATCCTTGTGTTACATTGCCGGTGCTAATAACAATCAGGCCAATGTCATGGCTTTTCAAAGGAACACACCCAGTCAGTCCGATGATGAAGGGTCCCAGTTGTTTGGGAGTCCCTTCGGTAGCAATCCGTTTGCCGATTTCGTGAAGAGCGGCGCGTAGGCGGTCAAGAGAGGGTAGAGTGTGAGGTCGCGGAGTATACTGCTCGTATTCAGTTTGTAACCCGCGTTGGCGCAATGAAACCAACCAAGAAAGGAGAAGCAACTCCAATCTCAAGATGCGAATGGGCCATGGCTGATAACGACTCGAGAACACCAGCCACTGGAAAGCGTCTCTAAGTTGCGGTTGGCTGCTAAGCGTCACGAAAACTTACCTCCTGCAAACCAGCCAAAGCCAACCGTCCGTTTCCCTTCCTCGTCCGTTAGATATTCATAATCAATTAACCGTGCTAGGTTTGAGTTTGAAGCATTAGGATAGTCCTTCGAGATGTACTTTTCCAATAAGGGAGTATTATAACTCTGGCCTTTGGCTGTGTGGCTAAACATCAAATGGGTCTTGGGTACATTGTTGACTGCGGATGCGATGACTTCAGGTAGAGGTGTCTCTTTGATGCCGAGGTGAATATGTGCTTGAGAAATATCGGTTGCGATTGTCGCTCCCGCCTAGTGTCTCGTCTATTAGCACAAGGAGCAAGAAAGAATGGGTGTCTCGCGGTTACGGCTGAGAACCTGGTGTGAAGTAAGCTGCACTAATGGCCACGAACCTGTGCGTATTCATAGTCTCTGAAGACTCTTCTGTCGCATGGCTGGACCAGCACTTGTACGCCTTGCTCAGATACAAGTCTTTGAACAGCGTCAGGAGTTAACGGGGTCCGTCTTTCCCAAATACGAGCGGGGTCTTCCCGTCGTAATGCAAGTGTTAAGGGACGTCCGGCGCGTGAAAACATAGTCGGTGGGCGGCCAAGAGTGGCCCTAGTTAAATAAGAATCGTTTAGATCCGCCCGTGAACAGTGGAGGCGCGTCCAAGGCAAGAGGTCACGGATCAGCCGACGTGACAGTTGTGTCACGCGACACCGGTAATGCCAATCATTAACAGCGTCATCGAAGACCCACGCCGCTCAACTGCCGTTTGACTACTTCTCGGCCTGCTTCTGTACCACCATGGGTGACGCCCAGCCCGCACCTCGTTACTCAATACGCTGTCCTCCAAGAATCTCAGCTAATTTCTCTCTGATCGTTGTTGTGTTGGCTTTTCTGCTTCTTCTTCCTGTCGATGCCTCGCTTGCCGGGACATTCGCAGATGGAGGCACGCCAAAACATTTTTGACAGCATCTAATGCTAACATTGCTCAGGCAACACGCAAGTTTCTGCAATGATGGTGCGTGGTTTTGGTCATTTGTGCTATTTAATTCATCGGCGTTGCCAGATGTTCGTCGGAAACGACGAAAAAGTTTATATTCTGGACAAAGCAGAAGGCAATGAAGCTCAGATCAATGGTCACCCTGCGTGGGCGTCAGTCTACGACATAAACACCCACAAGGTTGTTTTGCAAGATGTTCCAACCAACACGTTCTGTGCTTCAGGGATGCATTTGCCCGTTCGTCAACCTAATTACCGTCCCGCAATGGAAAAGTCAGCTTTCGTTAGAATGGCAGTTTCGTCACATTTGGCGGCAATGGAGCCATTGGTCCAGGAGGTGGTATAGGCTCGGTCAAGAATCCTGGGGGAGCATCTGGCTCATGGGACGCTGTTCGCTCTCCACCTTCCTTAACCTTCCAGATCACGCTGACGCGCCAAATCCAGATCTACCAAGATTTCGACGGTGCCAAAGCTATCCGTATTGTCAACCCTTGCACCAGCTCCGACGATTTCTCTTCCCCCAAATGCCAATGGTATGACCAGCCTGATGTACTCTGTGCGTGATTTGTCTCTTCTCCATCTTACTCTATAAGCCAACCGCTTGGAAGCCATGCAGAGGAAACGTTGGTACTCCGCTGCCGAACCTTTGGCGAATGGGACCATCGTCATCATCGGTGGCTTTGTGAACGGTGGATGTAAGCTTCCTCGGCTCTCTGTGGCCAGAGACGCTGAGCTCGGCAGATATTAATCGAAACTACCCCAACAATGATCCCACTTACTCTGGTGGAGCTGCTGAACCGACCTACGAATTCTTCCCTTCCAATGGACAAACGCCACAACTCATGAACTTCATGACTAAAACGTCTGGACTCAACTCCTACGCGCATACTTTTCTGCTCGCCTCTGGGAATGTGTTCGTGCAGGCTAACTACTCAACCAGTGCGCGTGTCAAGATCTATTTTTGCTCACCTTTTGATTGTTTGTTTCTATTTTAGTGATTTGGAACCCAGACACAAACACAGAGACGGCCCTACCAGATATGCCCAACCAGGTCATCAGAGTCTACCCTGTATGCTCCAAACTCTTGCTCTTTTCGAACATTTTTGACGATGAGCTCTGTAGGCATCGGGCGGTGTAGCCATGCTTCCGTTAACCGTGGCCAACAACTATACCCAGACCATTTTGTTTTGCGGAGGCTCTGATATGGTTCGTCTTCGTGAACTTGTTCGCTTCTTGGTGTAGCTTCAACTTCTTCGTAGCCTGATGCGGACTGGGGTAACTACGCGAACCCTGCAATCAACACCTGGGACTACCCCGCTTCGAAGGACTGCCAACGGATCTCTCCCGAAACGACAGGGACATACCAGCAGGATGACCCTATGCTGGAGGGTCGTACTATGGGGCAATTCATTATCTTGCCGACGGGTAAACTCCTTATGATCAACGGGTAAGTCTGTGCTCGTAAGTTGGCTTCCATTCTCAAGTCAGTAGCGGATTGAACGGAACGGCTGGTTATGCAACTGCAACAGGACAAACGAGCAGTTATGCCGCTATGCCATTTGGAATGTCTCTTGCGTCAGGCCCAGTCGGAACACCCGCTATCTATGATCCGAACGCACCCGCTGGGAGTCGATGGTCGAACGCAGGTCTCTCAGCATCAAAAATCGCCAGGCTCTACCATTCAACTGCGATCTTGCTTCCCGATGCTAGTGTGCTGGTTGCTGGCTCGAATCCGAATGTCGATGTCAACTTGACGACGGTATACCCGACGGAATACCGCGCAGAGATATTTTACCCGCCATATTTCTCAGCAACCACGCGGCCTGTACCTACAGGCATTCCATCCACAATTTCTTATGGCGGAAACTCGTTCGACATCACCATTCCTGCTTCCAGTTACTCTGGTTCGGCTGACTCCGCGGCCGACAACACCACGGTGGCATTGATACGTCCAGGGTGGACGACGCATGCCATGAATATGGGACAGGTATGTGGCTGTCTCCGCCTTTCTTCTTTGGCTAACTCCCTTCCAGCGATATTTGCAACTGAACAATACCTACACTGTCAACAACGATTCCAGTATCACTCTGCACGTGTCACAAGCGCCATCTAATGCAAACCTCTTCCAACCTGGCCCCGCATTCGTATTTGTCGTTGTTAACGGCATTCCAAGCAACGGAACCGCAGTCATTGTTGGTAGCGGGACTATCGAAACACAGCCGACAAACCCCCAAGCTATACTTCCCAACAATATCCAGTTGGCCTCGGCTACTGGCTCTGCTGATAAATCGTCGACAAGTTCTGGCAGCAATAGCTCCACTGCCCCCAATTCTCCGTCTTCCGACTCGTCCAACTCGCATGTTGGTGCGATTGCAGGAGGCGTGGTGGGGGCGGTAGCCGTTCTCGCGCTACTTGGTGCGGCTTTGCTTTGGTACACCCGACGAAAACGGTCAGGCGCACGTGTCCCTTCTCCGACGCGACCCTATCAATACACGGCTACTCTGGGAGGGCCAGAATCTGGGCTGGGAGCGATGGGAGCGTTGCATTCCGAGGCGGCGTCGACAGCAGCACTGCCCACACTCAGTGGTGGTTATAAGGACATGCCTTCGGACTACGAACCACCTTCAATGCAACGCTTTGCGGAGGGCTCGACATCGAAAGACAGTACCGGAATGAGCGGCCACTTTGACCCATATAACACACCACCGATGGCAGAGAGGCATTGAACTTAGCATCATACGACTTGCCACAGACATTTACGCATTCATAACGGCTTTCCCATTGCATCCATACTTTACGAACATAGATTGTGCTTATATTGATGTACTAAATAACTACTGTGACCCTTTTCTTTCGATTTCAGTGTTGTCGTCGAATCAAAGATAGTGCCTAGTTCGTGTTGAACTATATTTGTGGGCATTCAAGTCTGCACATTGACTTTCCATCTTCACTAGAACTAATTCTACACGTTCAAGTACTTTTCAAGATACTTATCCAACAGGTTGGACAAATGTACTTCGACTTTTAGCTTTTTTGATCCGCTCTTTCTTCGTTCCCACCACCAACGCATGTACCAACTCAGACGCTTTCTACGGCAAACCGGGTCGACCTACACACGCGTCGATAATGACCCGGAATCGTCGCTCTCAGGCCGCTATTCATCTCGCCGCCCTCTATGGAGTCGGCTGGTGATGCCCGTCATCTTCGTTGTCGCTCTCTTCGCGGTGCTCGCTGGACTTGCATCGTTTATGGGCTCCCCCATTACCCCTCCCAAATCGAAACCAGCGAATACTGGAATTCCCGCTCCACCGCCCATTCCACCACCGTCTCCACCTGAGCCTCCAAAAGAAGCAGACAAGGAATCGGGCCCACCATTGGCAACGAACCCCGCCGCTGCAGCCTTATACGCTCTCCGCTCTCGACAATCTGCGACTCTTGCCCAGGCTTCCTCGCGCTACACCCTCAAGACCGGCCGTATACCTCCCCCAAACTTCGACAAGTGGTTTTCAATGGCCCAGAAGAAACATTGCTTGATTGACGACTACGACCAAATACAACGCGATTTCGAGCCGTGGTATCAACTGGCTGCGCAAGACCCTGAGCATTTCAACGGTATGGTGGACCGGGGTCGGCAGCTGGTCAGTGTTTTTGCCACCTTTGCTCACTCACGATTGAGACTGTTCTCGTAGATGAAGATAAACTCGATGGGAATGACTATTATCAAGATTCAAGATGGGAAGGTGCATATGCCAACATTTCAAGGGACTTCGTTCGACGGCGACTGGCCACGAACGCTGGGCAGGGTAAGTACTTGCTTGTGAGAATGCCCCATGTTATCCAACTTGTTCTGCAGTTTGCCTCTGTTCTCCCCGACATGGAATTCCTTTTGAATGGTCGAGACGAGCCACGAATCGTATTCGACGTCCGAGCGCCCGATGCTATCCAAGAGGCGATGAAGTTAAAGGACCCAAAACCATTCCACATCGCACCGAAGCCGACTGCAGATTGGTTCAAGGAAAGAAGTGGCTGCAATCCCTCGAGCTCTCCCAAAGGCTTCGGAATGGATGGCAGCGCAGACATTGCTTTTCTGCGTTCTTCATCGAGCTCCGACTTCACCACAGATTTATGGCCATTGTTAAGCATGACCAAGCTCAGTCCTTGTGCGTACATTGACTCCCGCCACTCATCACTCTGGAAATATATATAGGCTTCTCTGATATTCTATTCCCTGGGCAGTACTTTTACGACGAGTCATGGTGGTCCGGAAGCTTCAGCCATCCCAATGATGTCAAGTGGGAGGATAAGAAAGCCAAAATATGTAGGTGGTCATTGGTGGACCATCTATAAGCTAATCTTGCTCGTAGATTGGCGAGGAATGTCCAACGGCGGTCATATCATTGGGCAAAACTACCACAGGTTCCCTCGTTTCCGACTGATCACCATCGCGCGCAACCATTCGGACCTCATCGACGCCAAGATGACGCAGTTCGCGGAGACACACTGCACAGACAACTGTGAACGCAACAAGATCATTGAAGAATACGACATCACGGGACCGAAGTCTTCAAAAGAAGAAGTCTACAAGTTCAAATACCTTCTCGATGTGGATGGCAATACCTTCTCGGGACGCTACCTGAGCTTGCTGCGGTCTGGGTCTCTGGTATTCAAGTCGACCGTCTACGACGAGTATTTTAACGACTGGCTGCTGCCCTACGAACACTATGTTCCCGTGTCGCCCGACCTCTCTGATCTTGTCGACAAAGTGCAGTGGGCAATCGACAACGAGGCCGAGGCACGTAGGATTCAAGAGACGGGTCAATTGTTTGCGGAGAAGGTCATGACGGACGACCAAAATGATTGCTATTTTGCCATGGTTCTTCTTGAGTGGGCAAGACTACAGAACAAGGCCAAAATTCACTAGACTTTGCATGGATTGGATGTATTTTATTGGCATGACAGTACCTAGTGTAGAACCACGCATAATCGACAATATGGAAGGGGGTAAGAAAAAAAGTAGAATTACGTAAGGGAGCTGCAGCTACTCGAGTCTGCGTCGTTTCCGCTCCTGGTCCTCCAAAATGAGTTGTTCGGCCACTGAAAGACCTGCTGGCCGCTTCTTGTCATTACTGCTCTCCGACGGAGTTGTTCCGGCTTTGAATACGTTGGGTCGTTTCAACGGATTCGGCTTCAGCGGGTTGGCTTTCAGGGGATTTGCCTTGAACGAAAGCGTTGGAGCAACAGCTACAGGTGCGGGTGCCGCTTTGGCCGAAAACGAAAGCACAAGTTTTTCGCCTTCGTCACGCTTCAATTCTTTGTCTTCAACGGGGGTTGTAGAAGAAGAGGAGGAAGCCGTCGATGGGCCAGCAGTTTCCGTCTCTTCTGCTTTGGCTCGGGTGATTTGCTCCGCAATGAGAATGCGCTCTCGCTGCTCATCAGACATGGCTGCCCGGTCTTTCTTCAGCGAAGCCTCCTAAAGTGGTGGATGAGCAAACCAAGTTTGCGAGGATAAGATATAGCACGCACCTGCTTAGCCAAGGCCTTTGGGCTGTTGTCTACCCATGCAATGAACCATCCTTTCTCCGTTTCATCAACTCTTGCGATACCCGCCCGCCCAAGGTGCTTGATAAACTCGGTGAGAGTGACCCAACGGGTTGCGTTCATGTGTAGATGGTTTTTATCTGAAATATACTCCTGATACACCTGATTTGCTCGAACGCGTTTGGTTCCAAAGCTAAACAAGGATGTCTCAGATGGATGAACTAATGGCACAATGTAAAGCACCGCACCGACGTGAGAGGAGACGAACAAACTCCGACTGGAACTCTTGCGAGAAATTATTGATGTGTCTGCCCGCATTTTCGCCAACGACGAGCATTTGGCGCAGGTGGGATTCGGATTGCGCATGACATTTGAAACCATTCTCGTCCCGACATTGCTTCTCGCAGACTTGGCAGTACCATCGCAGGCGCTGCAAGCCTTTTGACTTCATCTTGTTGGCCACATATTTGGGGGTTCCAACTAGCGATTGTCAGCAGAGGTTGATTGCAAAGCACTGAAGGACGTACCTTCGGCGCGGGGCATGGTGGTGGAGACTGATTAAGCTGTGTCGTCACGGTCACGGACTGTGACATCGCAACTTAAGCTCGACGCGTCGCGTCCATTTTCCTGTTATACCCCACTTTCTCTGCTTTTGCTGGTTGCACAATTGAAACCCATGGATCTATCTCTACCAACTCCTAGCGACTTTCCAGCATTTCCGTTTGCCACTCCATATCCTATCCAAGTGCAACTTATGCAGCACCTCTATTCGTCAATCGAAAACAAAAAGGTTACCATCGTCGAAAGCCCCACCGGGACGGTCAGTTGTACTTGCCATGATATACTGCGGCCTGAACATGTACAGGGAAAAACGCTTAGTTTACTGTGTGCAAGTCTTACTTGGCTAACGGACGAGCGTAATCGCGCCAAGAAAGGCATATTGGATGCTCTTGGGACTGAGACGGAAGGTGAGTCTCCAGTTTTACGCGTTCAGCTGGTGTTTGATTGGGAATGCAGCGGGGCGGGATTGGGTTCTTGCTCAGACACGTACCCGTCGCGCTCGTGAGCTGGAAGATGAGGAGCGCGACTATGAAACACGCCTTCAGGAGGCGAGAAAGCGAGAGCAGGCCATGAAGAAACGAGCCCATGGAAGAGTTACAAAACGACCCGTGCGAACTGTTTGCTGATGTTGTTTAAAGCTGACCGTTTGGCAGAAAGTTGCTGAAGACCAGCAAAGTGACGACCCTGATGATGCTTTCCTTCCTGATACTGCGCCTGAAGATAATATCTCGCCTGAGGTTCGCGTGTTAATGAAGCAGTTGCGTTGTTTGACCATACCTGAATGCAATCTCAATATGCCAATAGAATGGAGAAGGGGATAACCAAAAACTCTTTCTTTGACCAGGAAGAAGAGCCCACGTGTACTAAAATCTACTACGCCTCACGAACGCACTCCCAACTGTCGCAGATCCTACCGGAATTGAGAAGGCTAAAGCTCTCTCCTATGAACGAGTCGTCTGATCGTACCAGCGATTGCGCACCTGGAACTAGCCGAAAACGTTCTGCGCCAGAAGATAACGAAGAAACACCAGTCGCGTACACTCGGACAGTCGCACTTGCATCTCGAAAACAACTCTGCATCAACGACAAAGTTCGAACGAAAAACAAGGATATTGATGAAGGCTGTCGTGAACTTCTAGAAGGTATGCGAGTGTTCACTACAGCCAAGTTCATCTAATTTCCTTGCAGAAAAGGGAGATAAACGATGTCAGTACCTGCCTCCCCTCGGAGAAGAGGAGCGAATGTTAGACTTCCGAGACCAAATTTTGGTTCGTTACGACTCGGAGGCGTCGCTGGAGCTGATTCAGTGTAGTCAGCCCCAAAGGATATCGAAGACCTTGCGTCGGTTGGTCGGCTAGCGAATACATGCCCTTATTTTGGCTCTAGAAGGGCGATACCCCAAGCTGAAGTCCGTTTTCTCAACCTTCCGACTGATCCACTGAATTCGATGCAGCTGGTTACCCTCCCTTACAATCTTCTCATTCAAAAAACTGCAAGAGAAGCTCTCGGTATTGATCTAACAAATCAAGTTGTTATCGTGGACGAGGCCCACAATCTTATTCCGACCTTACTATCGCTGTCGACCTGCCGTCTCTCATCATCCCTGCTCGCTCTTTCCCTCTCACAAGTCTCGGTTTACGTCAACAAGTTTCGAGCAAGACTGTCGGGGCATAACCTTGTTCGTCTCAAGTGGTTGATCCTGTATCTGGAGGCACTGAAAAAGTTCGCGGAAGACTGGCAACTCAAAAAAGCCAAGGAGCAAGTCATCACTGTAGCAGAGCTTCAAGAAAAGCTGGGTCGACAGGCAGCAAGCATCAATTTACTCGAAGTCGAGCGCTACCTAAGGGATAGCAAGGTAATTAACTACACTCGTATTCAGTCCTCAGCCTCAAACTCCTCAGATCGCAAGAAAGATAGCTGGATATGCTATTAAGGAAGCGGAGAATGAAACGGGTCAGATGAATTTCCATGTCGCAACCCTATTGCTCATTTCATGTTAGACCCAAAGCTACGTCCGCGTCGCGGAGCTGTCCCACCCCTACATACGGTGGAAGCATTCTTGCTCTCATTAACGGCGGCCAACGAAGGTGCGCCGAAGTATTTTCTAGTGTCATTTTTTTTGTTGAGTCGAGCCCCAGATGGACGGCTAACACTCTCCCTGTCGCGCACCACTTCTGGTAAAGAAGAGGTCGAGATGAAATACCAGCTGTTAAATCCTGCTCCTCCGTTTCTGGAAGTCATCGAATCTGCTCGTTCCGTCATTTTGGCTGGCGGAACGATGTCTCCGGTGAGTGAGTGCCTCGCCTCCCATTCTTGCTGGATTAATCGTGTCGGAGATCCCCGATGTGATCAACCAACTCTTTTCTTACCTTCCTTCCGATCGGATAACTAGTTTCTCTTGCGGACATATCATCCCTGAAAACAATCTGCAAGCAGTTGTGGTGGGTAAAAGCCCCCGAGGAGGAGAGCTTGAGTTCAAAGCAGACAAGCAGAAAGATGAAGGAGTCGTGCGTCATCAAGCTTCGTATTCGAACCACCACACTCATTTATTGTAGATTGCAGAGCTTGGCCAAATCTTGCTCAACTTCGCAGCCCTCATTCCCAAGGGCATGGTTGTATTCTTCCCATCTTACAGCTTTCTCAACACGGCAAAAGCAGTATGGCAAAAGAGTGGCGCCATTGCTCGATTCGAAGCTAAGAAAAAGGTAGGGTGCTTACTTGTCTTCTCGTTCCAAGCTGACTTGCTACAACTTGAAAACTTTAACTAGGTTTTCTTTGAACCAGAACAAGCCAGCCAAGTGGAGCAAATCCTGCAAGAATATGCCTCAGTGATCCAACAGTCAGACTTAACGGTCAGTCGTTTGTTGCCTGTTTGAGTGAACTCACAACCCTATAGGATAAACCGAAAGGTGCACTGTTGTTTGCAGTGATTGGAGCAAAGTTATCGGAGGTAATGCTGACCGAAAAGGACAGTATCGTTCACACTGACTGGTATGAAAGGGAATCAATTTTGCGGATGATCTTGCCCGAGCTGTCGTGGTTGTCGGGCTTCCTTTTGCAAACCTGGGCTCTGCTGAACTACGGGAGCGCATGAAATACGTCAATCAGCTTGAGAAACAGCGAGGCTCGCAACGACCTGCAGGCCAAAAAGATGCAGCTGGTGAACTCTACGAGAACATGTGCATGAACGCAGTCAATCAGAGTATTGGTGCGTCAATGAATTTCACCAGTTCAGTCAATTAACTGAGCCGGCAGGCCGAGCGATCCGCCACCAGAATGATTGGGCATCACTGATCCTCCTCGACAAACGCTATGGCTCGCCCTCCATTCGGAAAAAGCTGCCCCAGTGGATTGGCGGACGGCTTTTAGTTAGCGATGGATTTGGCAAGGCGATCAGGGAGCTCGCATTATTTTACAAGAATAAAAAGATTTTATGACGTAAGGTAGCCGAACATCCGTCAACCATCAACGGATTTGCCGTCTCGCCATGTCAATCCACTCCGAGCAGTACCTCGACAACTCACGACAACCGGCTCGAGAGAAGCGGACAAACCGTGTCGAGCGAAGCTGCGATCGTATGCGTGTATTTTCTGGGTTGCCAATTACTGAGTAGGGTGACATAGTATGTCGAAAGCGGAAAGGTGAGTGGTCCTCCAGAAATTCAGAGCGGCCCACTCATTATAGACCGTAGTTCGCTGTGAGGATGATTTAAAAGTCGCGAACAATGCTCACACAGCTGCTGTAGGTGACGGCTTCAACAAGGCGGACAATAGTTGCACCAACTGCGCGAACACAGGACGCGAATGCACTTACGAAGGTGAGGCTGACAAATTCCAGAGTTAACTCTTTGTTTCCCTCGCGTAGAGCCCGCCAGGAAAAGGGGACCCAGATTCAAGGAGCTCGAGGCTTTGAAGAAACAAGTCGCAACTTTGGAAGCTCAGCTTCGCACGGTGCAAACTGTGTGTTCGCGATGCTCTCGGCCTCTGCCGAGGTCAGATGAGGGTACCACCAGCGTCACTTCCGACTCGCCATTATCCTCAGAAGAAGAAGAAGACAACGACAATGACGACGGCCAGGTCGCTCAAAAGCTCGGACGGCTCTCCATAGACCCATGCTATTATGGCTCAGTTAGCAATTATTCCCTCGCGAATAAAGCCATCGCAGTGCGTCCTTTTGTCCCACATCCTATCCTATCAACATCTGCTGCTAAGGTCAAAGAGCTTGTTACCGGTCAACATTCTACACATCCCCCTCGTAGCTTAAATCTGGCTCCCGTGAGTCACCCTGCACACCTACGATCCCAATGATAATTGACTGGACGCAGTGGGAAACCGCAGCATACCCACTACAATGGATAGACTACGCGTTTCCCGAACCCGACTTGTTATCGTCTTTAGTAACCCTCTACTTCGAGGAGTTCCATCCCACTCTGCCTTTTTTACATCGACCTTCTTTCGAGGTATGCATATCTGGCATCTAGGCATTGCAAGCTCAAACTGGAATTTAGCGCTTGGTGGACGATGGACTGCACTTGAAGGATCAGCAATTTGCGCAACTCTTGCTGGCTGTGTTAGCAACTGCTTCTTTTGTATGTGCTTCGTTATCTGTTCACTGGCTCAAGATTACTGATCATGCCACAGTATTCGAATGACCCTCGAGTCTTAGTCGATGACCACCCTCAATCGTCTGGTTGGAAGTTCTTTTCTCAAATTCCTTCGGGTGGCGGGTCCGTCGACCCTGTCCTCTACGAGACACAAAGATACTTGCTAATGACGTTCTACTCTATTGCAACCTCAAAGCCTCAAGCGATTTGGACGCATCTTGTTTGTCAGCATAAGAATCCCCGTGAACGCCGCTGACATTGTTTCATGTAGGGTCTTGGTATGCGCTGTCTCTTGCAGCGTGGAGAGCATGAGCGCAAACGAGAGCAGAGACCCACTCCAGAGCTAGAGCTTTGGAACAGAGTCTTCTGGTGAATCAATGCTCTACTCTGCCGCTGATAGGTTCTGATTCTAGCAAGGTCGTATATGTGCATGGATCGCCTTCTCTGTGGTTCCCTCGGACGACCAGTTGGTATTCACTCGGAAGAGTATGTGCCTTTCATTGTAGAACCGTCCAAAGGATGAACTAGCTCTCTAGTATTGATGCTTCTTTACCTCTCGAAGTCGATGACCAGTTTTGGGACGACTTTGTCCAACCCCCGACTATACCCCCATTGCATGCGTATCTAAAATGCTACTCCGAGTTGTGTGAGGTCAATGCAATATCCATGCCTACCATCAAATTCGTTGCTCATGCATCCATAGATATTGGCGAATACCACTCGTTTATACGGAGCCAAAAAGTCAAAACCACGCTGGGAAGGCCGAGAAGGAGTGCAGCAGGCTGTTGCCAGGCTCGACTCCTCACTCAACAAGTGCTTTAATTCATGTCCATCTTACCTCCACTGGGAGCCAGATGGAGCTCTCAACATCGATTTATTTGACTCGAGGACCCTGGCGTTCTTCGACCAGTCCTTCGTCTTATATGTGACATATCACTGGAATTCCGTTGCAGTAAGTTATAGGCAGTGCATTTGTGTTGGTGAACAACTTGGTAGATCCATCGCCCCCACATCAACAAGCTGAGCTCATTGGCCGCAGCCTCACTCGCAGCATGCACTACTGCGGCCCGGGCAATTATTCGCGCTGCAGACCGCTGGGTCCGCTTCCGGCAAAGGCTATTTCCACCTCCGGTCCTCTCGCCACTCTTTGTCGCGGTCGTTGTTCTCGTGATGGGAACATTCTCCAACAGAAATACAAGTCCTGTGAAAGACAAGGCACTCGCAGAGCGCGGAATGGATATGATCAAGGACTCGGCTACGCGGTAAGCTCGTCTGACCAAAAGATGCTTCTAGTTCTTACAAAATAAGGCGACAGTCGGAGGGGCGCCTCACAAAGATACTCGATCAGCTTAGAATCACTACAGTGGATTCATTACCACGGCGAGATGACTCTTATAATGCTCAACACGCGACGAGCGCACCAGAGTCCAGCGCAAATGCAACAACCCATATGTTTCCGACAACGATACCCCTGCAATCGCCCGCCCCTGTCTCATTCATACCAGCACCCTCCGATTTGGCCGGTGGCGTATCCATCGAGCAGCTATTAGCCGAGACCGCTGATTTGTCTTCATTCGAGATGCATTATGACTATATGGACATTTGGGAGTCAGTGCCAACCGACATCTCGTGAGTCGCCCTCTTCACTAGCCTGTTTGTCTCATCGACTCTGTTAGCGACCTCGCACAGTGGAATATATATTTGCAGCAAGGATTCCCATCTACAGCATAATATCAATGTTTTATTCCCACGGAAGCAAGGGCTCGTTGTCTGTCCCTTTGTCAGCAACAAGTTCAAGGCAGCGAGCAGGAAGCGAGGACTGACTAAGATGGTCAACAGGGAGGTTGTGTTCGATAAATGAATCCCATTCCATGACGTTTCTGCTCAACAGAATCAATCAGTGCAGATACTAGAGAGTTGCAATTGCGCACGAGAAGTTGATGGGGGCAGCCGTCCAGTAGGATAGGTCGAGCTCGTCTGGCTTTGGGACTGGAGGAAGCATCGACGGAGGTTCCATCCCGGAGAGTAATTCCTCAATGGTGACTCCTGGTCGCAATTCGTAGGAGTCCGAATGTGACAAGAAGTGGTCTGCATCCGAGGTGGAATTGATGTTTTCACCAGTGGCTCTTCCCCCACTGGTTGGTTCAGGACAATCCGAGTATGCCCAGGGACACCCCACGTATCGTAGCCTTACTAGGAGCCGCTTGAGTCTTCCATCAGGCGAGCGTCTGTCACACTTAGAACAACATTTCACAAGAACACTGTAACAAAGCTTTACCGCGACTCTCCATATTCCAATATGGACATCGTTTGGGCGATCAGCTCCTTGCCTTTTGAGAGTGACGGGACGATATTCGATGTTTTTGTCCCAAACATACTCAATATCAAGGTCGTTCCGGCGATAAACACGGGGCACTTGTCAAGTTGAGTCAGCAGGATGCGGAGAAGTGCATGCAGAACATACGACGACGAGAGTGGGTAGAAGACGTTGACGGACTTTGATCCACGCATCGGCGGCCTGAATAATGGAGCTTGCTGCATTGACGGCTATTGAGAGCGACGGAGCGGCGAGAATATTGCTCTTTTCAATGTATGGTCGATGTATCTAGGCCTTTTGCTCCATCACGTGCAGCAAATGTCAAGATTTAGGACGCACCACAATGCGAACGTAGTGATAGATAACGTATAACATGAAAGCCTGATCGTAGGATTGAGGTGACCTATTGTCAATGGAAGCCCCAGAATTCCATGATACTAGGTAGAGTCATCAGTTCAACGGGGGCATCACTTTCAAAAGTGACTTGCAGTGCACGGGTATCGAGTTGAAGCAGTCATTCATGTCCGAATCCAATTCAGATACGATATGCCGTTGCAGATCACGCGTGCTTGGGTCGTCACGTGTGCGCGTATTGCTCCCATAAACCCTGTGCATCGCATCATCGAGAATCTTTCGGGTAGCATTTAAAGGAGCGGTTAGCGGGACAAGCGTGAACTTACACAGCACAGACGATTATAGATGCTTGCGTAAGTTTGCACCTCTTGTCTGCGTGGAAAAGCCAGACTATAAGTTGGGGTCAGGTTTCGTTGACTCGTGAAGCATTATATCACGGACAGCTCGACATCTAGCCCGATGTTGGTAGTAGGGCGTCCAAATAGCGCAGATAGCATTCGGTCCATCACCACGAAGGACCTGCCGATCTTCAACTTTCCAAAAAACAAACTAGCATCGCTTTATCTCACCAAAACGCACGTCCCCACATATCATTCAGGGTATTGCTCTCTTCCTCGGACCCAATTTTAACTCTTCGATCCCCGCGTTGTTGTAGAAAGCGTATCCCGATGCCCTGAACCCGGTTAGAGGAGGTAATGTGATGTGTGAAACCAGCTACAAGATATATCCAGCTGTCCTGTGCCTTGGAAGTGGCCAGAGTATAAACCGTGAGAAGCTGACCAAGAAAGTTGGCCGGCAGCACCAGAATTGCATCTCACATACCAGATAATATGTGACGTCCCAGATGTTGGCCTCGCATCCTTTGTGGAGAACAGTGACTTGGTTGATGAAACTCCAGCCGGAAGAGTGGGCCGAGTACCCGTCAAGGAAAATGCGAGGGTCATCTGAATACTATGGAACAAATCAACGGACACTGCAACCTGAACGCAATGATACTTCAAGTTCACCAGGCAGGCCACTGATAAAACTGCAAGAAGAGCAGCAGCGAAGTGATCATCTGTGAGATGCAATCCTTCTGACAGCGCAGACTAATCAAGGCAAAAGGGTCATTCAGAAACACGACTTGAACAATGGACAAACCTCAAAATACTTTCGATGTAAGATGGGTAATGTTGGGTGGACATTTTCAAAGTAGAGGCCCACAAGTTCGTGCATCAGGTCGCTTTCAGGGAAGATGTAGAGTGGTCGGCGTTCATAAAGTTGTTGTTCCCACTGAGGCGGATTCAAAACCAGGATTAGCAAAAGGATGGACCGTACGAGTGGGATTTGATTGCAATCTAGGTCCTTGAATGCCTCTTTTACTACTTTCTTCCCGGGGGGAGTGTCGTCAGGCTGTAAAACCATCAGACACTGCCAATTCGTGTCAAGCTGATGCTTACGGTGACAGCTTTCGCAGCGAGAACGAAGTTGAAACCCGCACCAAAGCTGAAATTGGGTCCAAGGGACAGGCAGCCGAACTGCGACACGAATATCTCATCCTCGTCGCTATCGGAAGAAGAGCTTGAGGAGTCCGCTGGTTGCCTGTTTAGAGCAGCTCCAGCGCCTGAGCGTACCAAATCTTGCGACACGCGGCTCGAAAGAGAAAGGGGTTGAGAGCAGACTGCACAGACCGAAAGTTGCCGCAATTTTTCCTCAAGAGCCACGATTTGCTGTTGCAATTGTTCTATGCGGCTTTCTTTCTTCTTCGGTCCGCGGCGCTTTGCTGGCTCAAGGTAGGTGCATTGAAGTCCAAAATGTGTACAGTGAGAACAAACTCCGTCTTTGGACTGCGAGCCGTCGCATTTAACTTGGGGTTTGTCTGGGCAAGGGATGATGACAATTGAAGATACACACTCTTGTGCCTCCTGCAAACTGTTCGCTCGATTCAACACCGCTCTCTCCACCAGATGTGCATCCTACCATCACAGCTTCGCTTCGTCGTTGGGCCGCCATCTTTCTCGTTCAACACGATGGTGGACATGCTGACGCATTATAGCGTGGGAATTGCTGTGACCGTGACAATCGGCGTAGTCCACTCAACGCCCAAGTCCTAAAAAGGCAATTTTCTATGGTGATGGACTAGTGCAGATTAAGAACTATGGTACGGCTTGTATTGGATTTAAAAGTTTAGATTCCAGTTGCTATTCTTGTGAAAAATTGCACCCCATTGGCTGATATCAGACAGGTCAAGGGGAACATCATTCCACAGCGAAAGATCAACCATCATATCGTCATTAGTAATGGATGGGTCGGGGTCAAGAGGCGGTAGCGCGTTGAGATCTGCGGTTTCCGCGAGAAGCTGTTCTATGGAAAGGCCTGGCTTGGAAACGGAGGCCGATGAACTAGGGATATGACTGCTAGCGCTGACGCTGGTCCAAGGAGTGTTGGGATTTGGCAGCGACGAGCCGGATGAGAGTCTCAGAGCATCATTGACCATACTGGACTGGAGTGCTGTAATCGGACCAAAACAACCTAAGTGGGAACATGAGAGATAAAACAAGAACATGCTACTACATACCGTCGTTTAAGGGATCGTGGGTTTGTCCGTCTCGAACATCATCCTTGCGTGAGAAAGGACTCTCGTCAGATTGAAGCTGGTGTAGCATTTCCCATAATCGGCCCTCGGAACGTCGACTGGAGAAGCATCGATGTCAATGCCATTGAATGGACATGAAGGCAACACACCGCGTTGCGCATGTTTTGAAAAGATCCAAGCCCGACCTCACGAGTGCCTTGTCCTTCTCCACCACAGCGCTAATTGCCCGACTTGAGAAAGTCGACATTATAATCAAGACGATTGCAACGAAAATAGGTGACTAGTCGACGTTCAATGAAGCAAGTAGCATAGTCTCATAAAAACACGCACAATGGTCATCTGCGGCAGGAGACATCGGCGAGCCTTAATCCATGATTCTGAAGCGTGAATGATTGCGCGAGCTGCGCTGGCACATATCAGCAAAGAAGGAGCAGCCAGAGCATTTGATCCGTGAATATAGGGCCTATGAATCTTTAAAGAGTAAGCCATTAACCCGGTCATATCGTCACTAACTGACCACTATGCGGTTATAATGATAATTGGCATACAAAACAAACGCCTGGTCATAAAATGCGACGCAGTCGATGCTATCTGGGTTCCAGCGAAGATGATCAGGAAACGAGTCGAAGCATCGATTCATTGTTGAGTCCAAGTCCGCAACAACTTTTTGCTCCCAGTCTCGGCCGTCTGACCCTTGCATTGCCTTCGATTTCTTGGAGCTATACAGACGGCGCGTTGCGTTTCCCAGAATCTACGATGGTTATACCTAAGAAACGCCCTGTGAGCCGATAATACATCACTAAGTTGCACATAGTATGTCATATATGCATTATAAGCAGGTTGACCAGATGGTTGAACAAAGTTTGCATCCCAATACTTGTCGTCTACTTCGAGGGGGGGATCGGCTTCGACACTAGAACACGTCAGATCGATGGCAGCGACCGAGAAAGTTGATACTCTTCAGGATGCAGTCCCGTCGGACGGCCTGTCAAGTGTTTGTGGGTCCAAGAAGTAAAGAAAAGGGAGAGAACTTACCTATAAATGCGCATACGGACTTATCCAAGCAAAAGAAGTTCCTAGGGAGGAACAGCATCAGGACACAACAAGGAATCAGACGAGTACACACCAAAATACTCGATTCCAGAGCTCGGATTCATATGTCGGAGGATGCCCTCTTCGATAACGGTGCTCCCCGCGCTGTTGGAGGAACCGTGTGCCAAGGCCAAGATACGTCCAACATCCTTGGGGTCTCGAAGTCCCAATGTAATAGAAAGTCATAAGCTGTGCGGAGTTGGATGGGTACTATTATGGGCAGGAAGACTGACGAAGTAGAATTGTATCTCGTCCACTGTAGGTTCAAACCACTGTTGATGTTAGAACACCCCTTATTCTCCCATGGCGCCAAACCTTCCGGACAACTGGTAGCTGCTTGATAAAGCGCCAACCGGACGACAACGTCGATTTGCCGTCGACGAATACACGAGGGTCATCTGAATACTAAAACGGGTTCACAACATGAGTCCACTCAGTGAAAAACGCACACGGGATCCAATAGCGAGAACGACCAGGAGCGTTCCTCCGAACTGCGGGTCTCGAAGATATAAGTTCTCCTTAACGGAACGCTACTGGCAGTATGAGCAAACGCGAGAAGCAATAAATCTGTTCTGGCGCACCTCGAACGAAGGCTGGTGAAGGACAGGGATGGTTGGGTGAACATTTTCGAAGTAGAGAAATAAAAGGGATGATATCAAGTCGGAATCGGGATAGACGTAGTTAGTTTGCTGTTCATATGCATCCCGTTCCCACTATGAGGCGTTGACTTGGGCACTAAGGTGCAGAATAACCACAATGGCTTACCGGAAGCACGTCCCATATCTCAGTACGCCGTCGAGTCACCGATAGTTGGCCAGTAAACCTCTCTTTTGCCTGAACGCGCGTTATTGGTGTTTTTGACTTGGGATTCGTGCTCACGACGATAGCAGAACTGGCGAGCGCAAAGTTACTGACGGCCCCGAAGTATTTAGAGCCGATTGTAATCTTGTCGAATTGAGTGGATAACTCGTGGCCTAAATGTTTAAGTGTTTTGCAGCTCTCGAGTAGTAAGAGACGTAAGCTGACCAGTCGAGTCCTCTGCGTTTTGTTCGTCTTCGTATTCATCTGAGGGAGGAGAGTCGGAATTTGACTGCTGGAACATAGATGCTGAGGAGGATTCCAATAGGCCATTTGGATCTTTCTGAAGTGGCTGTGCGCATAGGGAGCAAACCGACAAGGCGCGTAGCTTAGCTTGCAGTAACAAATTCTCCCTTTTGAGGTCTTCCACCACTCTACTCTTGGGACCTCGTTTCTTGGCGGGCTCAAGATAGGTGCAATCCACCCCGAAGAAGCTACAATTAGAACATGTGTTGTTTGGCTTCTTCGACCCATCACACCGAACTGTGAGTAGTGATATTAACGAGGATAGAGTAGGTGCGAGAAGGGTAACACACTCTTTCTCCTCCTACATAGATCGCAACTCCGGTCGGGTCGTCTCACTTTCACTTTAACCTCTTCTGCTTCAACGCTCATGGCGGTGACGGTTGCGGACAACAATCAAAAGAAAAGGCAGTCGCGTGTTCGCTGCGCTGCGCAATCACGCGACAGCGTTAATTTGGCCAGGTGGTGGGTGGAACCGCTCAGTGGCAAATGTGGGGCGACGACGAGCACTCGTTGAGGCTGAGTGAGCAAACTGACGTGGATTACAAGGCAACCTTTTGTTGCTGACGCAATGCTCAAACTAATGGCATGCCGGGCTTGATGCCGGGCCGGACATAGAGGCGTCTTCTGATCCCGCCACTGCAAGCGAGCGCGTAGCGTTGACGATACGGGGCCCGCTTGTCAATGTTATTGCCTCCGAGGGCTTTAAAATGGCATGACTCGTGGTGTCGGCTCTTCAGCTTGACCTCAGTCCATCTTTTTTCGCCCTTTCCCTCGTCTTGACGGCGAATTTTCACTTTCTTTTCTACGGTCCCCAGCACCCTTTACTCTCGTCATACTTCGTTGCTTCTCTGCCATGGGCCGCTTCCAACTGCTCGCACTCCTCGTCCCTGCGCTCACCGCCGTCGCGGCCCCTCTCCCTGCCAAACGTGCATTCTCTTTCGGACTGAAAAAGTATGTTTCTTCTTTCACTCTCATTTCGCATTACTCAGACCGTTCATTACAGCTACAACGCCTTCCAAATCTCGGTTCGTGGGATTTTACAACTGCATACAATTTTTGTCAACGCAATGACAATAGGATAGCGTTGCTGGTAATGCCCAGGCACATGCTAACGCAGTTTTTGTGGACCCCTTCAAGTCTGTCGACCTGGCCACAGTTGACGCGACTTCGCTCAAAAACTTGGGTACCATGCGTCAAGCCGCCGAATCAGCCGAAACGGAACTGTTCAACCCTCAGATCAAAGCAGCATCCGGTGCTGCGGCCGATGCACTTTCTGTCGGGAAGATCCAGAACAAGGTTCTGAAGTTGACCGGAGAAGTTCAACAGATCAAGATCAAGCTGGCTCAGGCGAAGGCCAAAGGCTCTGACACCTCTAAGCTCCAGGCGTCTCTGACAGAAGAGCAGTGCGTTGCTCCAGCTCCTTCTACGATTGGGCTAAAATATTTTGTAGGACTAAGCTCAGCAAGAACATCGCTACGGATGTGAAGAACAAGGGCAAGAAGTCCAAGGTATACCATTGACTAATCCTGCATCGGTGATCTAAATGAAATGGACCAGGGTGTCGCCAGCAAGTCCAAGCGGGCGGCCTTTAAAGGTTTCGCGCTCAAGAACTACGCCCAATTCCAAATCTCCGTAAGTGTCGATGTTGTTGTAGGTTTCTACGGAGCTTGAACCCGAACATAGGATGGCACGGCTGGCAATGCTCAGGCCAAAGCCGCAGCAGTCTTCGTAGACCCCTTCAAGTTGGTCGATTTGGCCACAGTCGACGCGACATCAATCAAGAACCTAGGCACGATGCGTGAAGCTGCTGAGTCAGCGGAGACAGAGCTCTTCAACCCGCAAATCAAGGCTGCATCTGGTGCCGCCGCGGATGCACTCTCTGTTGGAAAAATCCAGAACAAAGTGTTGAAGCTTACGGGCGAGGTCCAGCAGCTCAAAATCAAGCTCGCGCAAGCCAAGGCTAAGGGCTCGGACACATCTAAGATCCAGTCGAAACTGACGGAGGAACAGTAAGTGGTCGCTTATCATCGCAATCATGCCTTCTGAACAGTTAATAGGACGAAGCTTTCGAAGAACATCGCACTCGATGTGAAGAGCAAAGGCGACGCTTCCAAGGGGGTTGCTTGATCTTGCTCCCCGCAAAGATCGTTCATCTTGCGCTGTGTTAAGTAGTGAACTTTCAATCAATCTACCATTTGCCGTTATTGAAGATGGGTTCGTGTGAGCAACGCAGATAAGACCATCCCTGCCGATTCGGACATGGCTCGGTTTTTGCACTCTTTAACACCCAAATTCGGACCCTTGACCATGAGCCAACTGAGAGAGGGCTTAACCTCCCGAGACTCGGCGCTTGCTTTGTAGCGACAGCAGCCGTGGCATCTTGTGTCGTACATCACGTTTTCAGTATCCACGGGGCTTGTGGATCCAGGTAGGTTGTTCGCACTTCGCGGGTCCTAGTAAGACCGGAGCGTCTATATAAAGGACCGAACGAGTCAACTTGCCCTCATTCAGCACCATGTCTTCAGACTCTTCTCCGCCCCCAAATCTCCCAATCCCTTGGCCAGAAGGAGTAGAGATATCAACCCACACCGGTGGTTGTCATTGCAAGAAGATTCGGTTCGAGTTTGAATACCCAGCGGACATATATTCGCTGCCTGTTCCCGAATGCAACTGTTCTATTTGCGAGGACCGCGGGTCAATGAATGTGTAAGTGTTGGGGTTATAAGTTTTGGATCTAAGCATAATCTCCATCAGGTACACTTGGGAAAACAAGTTCAGACTGACCAGTGGATCGGAAGGGGACTTGTCAATCTACAAGTTCCACGCCAAAAGAGTAAACCACAGATCCTGCAAAGTTTGTGGGTCGTATATTGGTGCTCTTGTCCCGGTTCCTACGCCAGGACATCCGGGCATCATCGTTGTCAACACCAGAACCATCGACAACATCGAGCTCAAGAAGTTTCAGCGCACGCCGGTTAATGGGAGAGCATGGTAACTGGGAGAACGTGGTCCAATATTCCATCCTGGTAAATAGTAATACATGTGCCAGAAAGAGACGGTGACGGGTCATTTCTTCTTTCCTTTGGCTCGCTTTTGCGGTGCTGTAATACCCTCGGGTAACCATTCATTCGCTGGTTCTGCAGGTGGTGGCTTTGGCTTTATCTTGGTCTCGGATTTTTGAGGTTTAGAAGAAGTAGAGGGTGGTGGGTTTCCCTTCTCCTCGGCTTCCATCCGCGCCATGGCAGCAGTGACTTCTTCCGCACTGACATCTTCGCCGCGCCGAATGCGTTCCATGATTTCAGGCGGAACGCGAACTTTCCTCACGCTGGTTTGAAAGCCAGGAGCTTTGGCAAGGTTTAGAGCACAAGAGTCGCTCGTTTCCAATACGCGCACCTCCTTTCCCAATTCCATGGACCTTCAGACGGCGAGCCAAATACCATTTGCGTGCATACCAACCTGACAAAAGCAGAAGAGAAGGGATCCTAGGCTATCATTTGAGCCGTATGCAGCATATTGAAGATGGAAATTCACGCTATCCAGTACAGCGACGGATAGTCGTCGACGTCAGCCATCGAAAAGTTTGAGGAACCCGTGACCTCGCCCCATTCATCTTCTTACCGCACTCTCATGCTTCGGACATGGAGAAATTCGCCACCTTAGAGCCTGTTCGATTGTATAACAACACAACAGGGCTACTCTCGCGGACACCGCAAAAACCGCAAACCCCCCCAGTTATTGGCCGACTGCCCTCCGATCTTCACCTACTCATTCTTTCCTACCTTCCTGTCCCAGACTTTCCGGCCTATGCTAGATGCAACCATGCGACTTCTGGTCTCAGCCGCTCTGAAAGCATCTGGGAGTCACGGTGGAAAGCACTAGGAGTTGAAGAGCATCAACTTGATTCCGTATTGGACTCGTTAGAGTCGCGTACTCGCAGCAAAGCGGCGGCATCGAGGGCTGCAGCACCGCCAACAATTACCGTCGATGACGAGTTTGGCGACTTCGCTTCCGGAGATGTTCTCTCTGGACCATCTGCCGACGAAATGGGCGACTTCGTTGGTTCATTCGGGCCTATCACGCCGGTTTCCGTCCGTCTACCCACACTCACCCCATCTCTCCCGACAAAGCCGACATTCAGAACCATGTTCATCCGCGCACACGGCCTGCTGAAACCGCTAACGACTGCGCTGGCTTCACCACCTCACGTGATCCTCACTGAATTATCATCCCTGCTGCCCGAACCCTCCCTTCGCCAGGAGTCACTCACGCTTCATCTCCTTTCACTCTTCCTTTCCCCGAAAATTAAGCCATTACGTAAATGGGAGTCTATGTACGCCGCTCTCCGATCCGCAATGGATCGTTTCGATGCCAATGCGCTTGCTGGATTCGATGCTGCCGATAGTCGTGGTGATGAAGAAGGTATGAGAGAAGCTGCCGAATCTAGCTGGCAAGTCTGGGATGGCACTGGGGAGTGGGAAATGGGCAAAGTGTGGGCTGAGAAGCGTGAAATATTCTACCAACAAGGACAGTGGAGACCACTCGACAATGTCACCAACGAAGGATATCTCAACTTTGACTCCATGCACGAGTTCATGGACTCCATTCTCGCTGCAGTAGTAGAGCACGGCTCACGTGCCGTTCGAGTTTTCCCTCCAGCATCTGGGACCCTGATCGCATTCTGTGACCGGATTGCGACCGAAGTCGTCGCGGAATATATCACCTCTCTCCTTACCCGTGCTCGAGAAATCTCAAACGCGACATTTCTCAAAGCAACAGCCGCCACGTTTCGCGAATCATGGCGGATGGCAGACGTGATTATGCAGGCAGCTGCAGAACGAGAAGACTCTAATGTACAGAGGACACGCGCGGAGGATGTGGTGTGAGTAGGCTTTCATCAATGCTGGTATCAACTCATCGTTGAGAAGCTTAATCCAGATATCGAATGTTCGAAATCAACATGGACGAGTATCTTGATGAGGAAGTCGAGTCCGTCAAGCAAGCCTTTGAAGTGACTTGCAAAAACTGGGATCGACAGATGGCCGAACAAGCGACTGCAGGAGCGTCTTCGACACGTTTCTTGTCATCGCACAATCCAGCTCAAGTCAAGCGGAATGTCCTTGCCTCATTCACATCTGCTCTGCTTGTGCCAGTCACGATTGTGCCCCGTGCCGTCGGTGGTGCCTTGATAACCGGCGGAACAGCTGCGGTACAGGGAATTGCCATGCTCAATCCACAGCGATGGGCGACCAGCAACGGCCCTGTTGGCAATGGCTATTCTCGCAATCTTGAGCTGGAAAAGGGCATGTTTGAAGCTGACGATGATGACGAGAAATCCAACAGGCAGTCGATACCTCGTTCTCTATGTGAGCATTCTTCATTGGTGGCTGGGCCTTCTTTGTTGAGCAATAATTAGCATCAACCTCTGCCTCGTCCTCCTCATCAAGGCTTGACCTGCCCTCATCCTCTTCATCAATACGGAGTTCTACATCTATTGCAACTTCTGGCGCCAGCACCCCTCTTCCTGGCGCTAGCAACAAGTTCGACTTGCTCTTGTCTCTGGATGTCGCACTTGAACTCATACATGCTGACCACGAGGCTCTGAAAAGAGTCGAAACATTTGCGGACTATCCGGGGCATTATGGACACCGTGTACGGGATACCATCGAGGAGCTCTTCATTTTGATGCTTCAAGCTTTGGGAGAGCGGCATATAACTGCTGGCTTTAGCATGTGGGTTCCTTTCATCACCTTGATTAGAATATCACTCAATATGTGTGTAGTGCTAACGAGCAAATGAACTCCTACAAGCCCGAGGAACATTCAGAGACCACGAGTGTCGCGCCGCTGTTGCAATTCTTCGAACTTGTCCATATCGGTGACACTATGCAATCCATGGTCCAAGTCTTTTTCGACAAAGAATTGGTCTATACTTTCGTTCAACGAGTAAAGTCTGCAACTGATACTTGACCAGGCACCGCACATCGATCGCACGGATTTTCTGAATCCTGTTGTCCGGGAGAAGAAGCGGTTCGAGAACGCACTCGATGATTCTGTGGCGACTGGGCTGAATGCGGGAACGCAAGTCTTGATGAACCAAGTCGAACACATCATCTTGACGCTTACACAACCTCGAGAGTACTATCCTCCTGACGACACACCGCTTGATTTGGGCTCAACCAAAGGGTGCACAGAAGCAATCAAGTGTCTCGATATGCACTGCAAACTGTTGAAAGGAAGCACAAGTAAAGAAGTGCTTGAGGTGTTTTATCAAGAAGTCGGCATTCGGCTGATTGCGTGAGCCACGGTCCTACTTATGTTGACGTCCACTAAATGTCTGCCACAGCATCTTGCAAAAGCATATCAAGCGCCAAATTATTTCTCTTGCGGGTGGCTTCCACCTGATCGCTGACTTGAACACGTACCATACCTTCATTTCTTCGTTGAAGGTCCCCTCGATCACTGCGGATTTCTCGCACCTGAAGATGCTGGGCCATGTCTACGTGGTGGACGACGCAAAGGATCTAGCGCAGATTGTGCGAGATGTGTCACGATATGGTGGGGCATATCGGCCCGAGGTATGCATCATTTAATTTGATTGCATCAATCAAGGTGATAAGATAATCTTAATCAGGATATCTACGAATTCATCCAACGGCGCTCGGACTGGAAAAAGATCGAGAAAACGGTGGACAAGACAATGTATAATCTAAGCTTCAAAGAGGACTGTATTATCTCTTGAATGTAACGACTAATACCGCGCTTGTTCGGTCAATTTGAAGTGGTGACCACGTGACAGGAAGGTGTCGTTGGGAGTCCGTGAGGTGGAGAATGTTTCCGGATATAATTTACAGTCCAAAGATGCTCTGATTGAATACAAGTGCTAGATGGCTAGCATTTTGTACCCCAGGAGACACCCTGTCTGTCCGCCAATACCGGGAACAGTGTCGAGTTCGGAGTATGAACTCGGTTTTAAATTGTTTTCGGTCAACGAAGTGGGTTGGGAAGATCTTGGGGTGGAGAGTTGGCGAGTTGAGGCGGAGATGTGTCGGCGTCTTTTTAATGTGCTTGCCAGGATTGAAATTTACAGAATGCAAGTCCAAATATAACCAATGGTAGTGCTTTCTTCCAAACCGGCCAGCTGCACATCTATTCGTATATGGATGGATCATGGGTTGCATACATAGTCTTCGGGACTGCTCGCGCAGAGGTCCAGCCAGCCTCATAGTCTCGACAATTCCCCATTGCCCGCCACTGACCCTTCGCATGTCTGATCCAGGTTTGCAATGCTTGGTCACCGTCAGGAAGCGTCACCTGCTGCAAATTGGGCAGCAACCTCCACATTTCCTCGATCTTGGCGGGGCTTACACGGCGCAATCCTTCTTCAACTACTAACGCGAAGCTGGGAGTCGCTGGTTCCTCCAGCGCGCGGAGGGGGAACTGAAACGAATCGTAGAGCGAAGCCGGGAAAGGGTGGATGCACAGTGTGGTCAGGTGAGGGAGCTTGCTTAGGTGCCTTCCTGTCATCGTCGCGAAAAAGGCCTGTGAAACTAGATCAATGAACGGAACAATTGAAATGAAGATAGGCAAACTTTCGATGGCTGCGGCTGGAAGTCATCTATTCCACCCTCACCATCGACTTGGTAGAGGATTTCCAGCCGTTCCAATCGCGGCAACGCTTCAGAGGCACGTGTAGCAACCAATTCGTCCCAGGAAACCAGTGTCAGGGCCAGCGACCTGACATGATGACGATATTGTTGGAGTTCGTCAATCAGACGAGTGGCGAGATGGGTATGCCAAATGGCACCCTGGACAGCGACATGTTGGAGCCCTGCCGTGACTCTTATTAGAGCGTTGATGATCGCGAGTGGCGCCGTCACAGAGTGGAGGCACGGGAACCGCAACTTAGTGTCCCAGAAATCGAGTTCTGGGCAAGAAGGCCGTGTTGGACTGTAGCAGAAAGTGTCAATGACTGTCAACGTGCATAGATTTTCCGAGGGGATTTCGCGCAGTATATTGGCGTAGTCCTGTGTTGGAAGCATGAGCGAGGGGAAACTGAAAGCTAGTACGATGTTAGTTGGAGAGCATATCATCGGAAAGCTGTGGGGTGCTGGAAATGTTGCGATCCCGAGGTGGTCAATTGCAAGACGAGTAACGGTGGGGAAAAGATGGATGAAATAGGGACTGTAAGTTGGGACTCTTTGTCGACGAGGCCGTAGATGTACAAGTGTAAGTACTTCTAGTGACGGTGGACACGAGAGGCGTGGAGGGGGATCGGGAATGACACACTGTCGGATTGTCAAGTCGCGAAGGTGAGGAAGGGAGTCGAGCAATGCGTAGAAGTTGGCTGGAATGGCTAGGCCACACAGTACTAATTGGAAGAGGCTGTAATGGAAACGGCTGATTTTGCTCAAGACGTCCTGGTGGAAATCTGGGAGATTTTAACACAGTACAAATGCTAATTTCGCATCATACCAAAGTCAAATTCTGACCCGTCGGGCTCTGGGTCTGAACTCAAGTCTTTACGCAGTGCTGGGGTGAATTTGAGGCTCAACGAGCGCACAAAGCGCTCCCTGTCAGGATATTTCTGCCAGAAAGTGTGCAGATGTTCTTCTGCTCGGCGATGACTTCGCCATACAAGATGGCGGAGGAGAGCACTTGCGCTTGCTGCATGAAGAAGACGAGATGTGATTGAGACAACGGAGAGAGTCTGAGAATCGACATAACCGAAGATGAGGGCCCGAATTTCATTGGGGAGTTGGAGCATGATGATCCTTGTCAAGTCCGTCGGCATCTTATTGCACCCGTGCACCTCGTAATGCTGCTGATTCATCAGTCACGATCAGGTGATAGGTGGCCTCTCTTGAGCTGTCTGAATGATTACTCATTGTGTTGCCTGCGAGCTCCGAGGGCAAACCGTCTCTGTACTTTGTCAAAGTGCAGAAGTAGGAGTCAGGCTGTTGTAGTATCTGTTCAAGAGATTCTAAGAATTTATTGCGTCAGCCAAGGCGTCAGCTTTGTTTTTCTCTGCTATCTCCAACTTCAAGTTTGAAAGACAGCCCTGCCACGAGCTCAAGATACAACAACGGCGAAACCTGTACTTTTCGCGATCATTTCGCTTACATTTGTGGGTCGTCAACAACGATTGTACGAATCGGCCTGAAGTATGTCTTGATAAGAAAATGTTCAAGTTTTGTGCTATATCTTGACTGCAACGACTAATACGGCGCTCGTTCCGTCAAGGCAACCTCTTTGTCAATTGGGTTGAAAGTGGTGACCACGTTGTGCAGGAAGGTGTCGCCACTAGAGAGCCCGTGAGGTCTCTGGGAAATGATTTTGGATAGAGCTTACAGGATAAAGATGCTCTGTTCAAATGCAAGCGCTGGATGACTGGCATTTTGTACTCCCAGGAGACACACGATGTCCCCCTGTTTGTCCGCCAAAACCGGGAATAAAAGGTCCTTCTGGTCCATGGTGAAATTCTTCCTGCCTATGGTGACAGAAAACTCTGGAACCGTTGCGTTACAGTCTGCTGTCCAAAGACTAAGTCCAGTTGCAGCAGCCGTGAGAGTTGCAGGGGGGTTGAACTTGGACGCGTAGCCAGCAGCGACGGGCTCGGGTACTACAACGAGCTGGGTGCCACTATCAATAATCGTAGGACCTGGCGTTGAGCTTCCGTTGGCGGCTGCTGGTATCGACTCGCTACCGGGGAAGTTGTACGAGTCAATTGTCACTGCATACCAGAGAAACTCGGCCGAAGTATTGGATGAAAGAGCGACAGTTTGGATGGGAACCGTAGTTGACGTGTGAGGCAACATTGCTACTGGAACGTCGCCGCCAAATGCGATATAACCGAGGTTTGGATCCAAAGTCGAGTTTAGCTCGTTGGCAACGCTGCCACGGTTGAGCGCTAAAGAGAAGTCTGAAAAAGTTATTTTTCGGGAGGATATCCTGGACTAAATGGGCTCACAGGGACGGTTGACTTTATTCTGTTTGTATGCACTGAGAAAGAAAGAATCGTAGGGATTACGGGTACTGCTTGAAGCTTTCGTTGGATCGCTGACATTGAACAAATGGGTATCATCAGGAAAGGCCAGGCCCTTGGAACAGTGAGCAAACTAAGGACATCATAAAACCTTCCACACCAGTATTCCCGATCTCTCGCCATTCCCTTCGAGGAACGCAATATCGGGTACGGCCACAACCTGTTTCTTGACCTCGATGCCAGCGATAGTAACGGTGTCGAGACCCATTGGCCCCGCTACAAATTCACCAGTTCCATATGTGTTGTTGAAGCTTACATTGTCGAGGAGCTGGAACGTTTTGGAGGCAGTGGGGTCAAATCCAGCGCTCCCCAGAGCGCAAGTAGATTGTGGGACCGTGTTTCCAGTTGCATTAACGCAGGTGAAGTTGATGTTGGGAATATATAGATCCGCACTGTGGAAAAGAGTGAGATTTGGCTGTACGAGTTTCCGATATTCGAGAGAGCACATACCTTCCAGTATCAACTAGGAGCCTGAAGTTCTGTCCTCCGACGGTTACGTTCACAAGGTATTCGGAGTCGGTATTCGCGCCAGCCAACGAAGTGATTCCGTTGCTACCCAACGCATTGGCCTTGTCCCTTCGACGAGATGCTCTGCCAGATATTGGTGCGGAAAAACTCGAAGGAGTGTAAGCAGCATCGGTGAACGCTGTAAATATTAGAGGAAGTAGAGCGAGTGAGGTAAAGGGCATGTTTGGATGGTCATCTCTCTTTGTTAAAGAAAGTTATATACCAGTTCAGAGTGCTGCGCAATGCGCGTCGTCTCAGGTCGTCTCGACCAGCGATGCGATTGAGGCTGTTGAATGTGAGGGACCAGGGTAGCAAAAAACACCCTGGGCCCGGTATTTTCTTCGTTTTCCTCGGGGGGCATTACATCGTGTCGAGCATTCCTACACAATTGAAAGGCGAGCGTTTGTGTGAGACTGAAGCATGGAAGAGTAAGTCAATCAGTGAAGTTACGTCATCAACTCGTCTCAATCGCAGCAACCATGTCTCTCGTGCGTTTCAGTCTCTCTGCCCTCTGACGTCGTCCATATGTCAGTAGATTCACGCTCTGGTCGCCCGTGGCTCCACTATTCTTGCTGAGCATCAGGCTGGCAAGCGCAACTTCTCTCAAGGTCAATTGTTTTGGTGAAAGAAACCTGCGAAAGCGACTGACGCGATTTGCCCAGCAACGGAGAAGATCCTGTCCAAGATCCCCCCGAACGACAGCAAGCTGACCTATGTCTGGGAGGAATACTTGTTCCACTATATCAAGGAGGGCGGGTTGACGTATTTGGTCATGGCGGACGATTCGGCAGGACGGTGAGTGGTCATGCAATCAGTGCTGGATTCAAAATTGAGCCATGTTATCAGACGGATGCCTTTCGCATTTCTTGCCGACCTTCAGCGAAAGGTAGTATCGTCATAAGCAGCATTAAATCCGCTTTCTGACCTAGACCTAGTTCCTCGGTGCCCCCTCCTCTTCCGGGTCCTCCGAATTGCCCGCGCACGGTTTGCAAGGCTCCTTTGGGCCTACGATTGCCGCGTTAATGAATACATACAACACTGCACCACCAGAAGATGCCCTCGCCCAAGCCCAGAACCAGCTTAACCAAGTCAAGGACATCATGGTGCAGAATGTTGAACAAATCCTTAGCCGTGGCGAACGTATTGAGCTTTTGGTCGACAAAACTGATGTCATGGCTGGTCAAGCGACTGCTTTCCGTCGTGGCGCTCGCACTGTTCGTCGCCAAATGTGGTGGCGGAATTCCAAGATCACTGCATTGTGCTTCTTAGTGGGTCTGGTACGTGACCTCCGCCAGGATTACATAAGCTTTGCTGACTTGAATAGGTCTTTCTCTGGATCCTTGTTGCGCAATTCTGTGGCGCTGGTCTGAATCAATGCTCATCAAAAAGCAAGCCTGCAGACCTTGCCCCATAGATATTTGCTTACTTAATTTATCGAGACACACACGGTATGGCTCCCTCTTCATTGTATCTTAGACACCTCTGTTATAAACCGGTTGCTGAACGATTTATTGGCTTGCAAGCGATCCGGCTAGTTCAACTCCCTCCGGATCGGCCTCGAGGTCTTTGCACTTCGCTCCCAGAAAGGATGTTTGCCTTTTAGAGGTGTGTGTCCCAGTACCCAGTTCGTAGGAACCCTTGCTCCGTGACACATCGTGGGCGTCGAACGCATCGATAACAATATAACGCACGTTGGCTTTCTTTCATGTGGCCCCATTATCCCGAAGATCACTAATTAGAGAAAGAAAAAACGCGGACTCTGTTGGCGTCAGTACCCTAATTTCCTTTTGCCAAGTTGCAGTTCACCCAGTTGGCCGCCGAGGAGAGCGCATTATGCCGCTTGTCCACCCACTGGAAACATCGTCCAGGGCAGATTCCACGGCCAGAAGCAGAGCGCGCGAATTCGCAACTTCAACCCAATCGGCGCCAACCTGCGCGAATTTCATTTCATAGTCCCCCACGAACAGTTAAAAATTTAGAGTTTCCAGCCGCACGCCGGTCGCGTGCACAAAACGAACCAGCTCGTCGCTAGCAATTCGTTGATTATTTCAACGCCGTCAACTAGCTGCAAAAACGCCACTATCGGTCTTGTTTGGGCTTTGCGCCAGTCGGATTAGAGCGGGGGGAAAATGAGACCTCGTGACCGCAGTTGGAGATTGCTCCGCCTCGGATCTACCGTGTCAATGAACATTGGCGCGATAACGTCCGAATCGAGCAAAGTTGTCCCTGGGGGCTGCCGTTGATGCGGGGCCGGGATTGAACTAAGTTTACTGGGCACTGGCATCTAGCACGCTTCTAATGGATCAGCCTGGGAGTATTGGCAGCCAAAGTTCGTTCGTTCGTTTGCTAGACTAGGTAGGTAGGTACCGGTAACACGGAGAGTACGGCGGAGGTTAAAATTACAACAAAGCGAAGCAGAGCAAAATAAAGATAGAATGAATACTGGGGGGAGATTCTAACGAGAACGGGTGTAGCGCCGGGGGGAAAAGAATGACGAGTTACTAGGCGTAGAGGGCGCTAGCTGCAGCCATTTGCATGGTGCTCATGGGAGGGGGAATGCGTTTATTAGGTTTGGCATGGTGCTGTGGTCGGGGATTGCCCGCGTGATCATAAGCAGCAATAACATCGCGTTCTGTTTGCTTGATGTGTTGGTCAAGCACGGTGAACGCATTGTTGTTGTTGCTATTGTTGGTAGTTGGATTTGCAGCAGACGGGGGATTCGCGTGGGCCTGCGCGCGAGGTTGTTGTGAGGCTGAAACTTGGCCTTGTAAATATGCCTGAGCGGAGGCAGCATGTACGACAGGCGGGGCTGGCACTCGGCCATCGCCATTCCCAGAAGAAAAAGACCCAGAAGCAGGAGACGGCAGTCGCAAACCAGAGACAGTCGGGGCAGTCAGTCGAGAGGGCGAAGGAGGTAGCATCATAGGTGGGTGAGGAGCAATTCGAGCAGCCGCTTTCTCAGCTCTACGTCGTTCTTTGTCTGTCAGAGTTCGACTGGAGTCTGTTGACGAACTACCGCTGGATGATCTATACAGCGGTGGCTTTGCTGACTCTGCAGGCATCGAAGTTGTGGCTGAGGGGCTCCCATATACCATAGGGGGGTGCGTGCGAGATTTGGTGACTGTGGGACGCTCGCGACTTAGACCACTCGCGTAGAGCATTGGAGGGTGAATCTCCTTGACTTTGCTGGAGCTCGCAGCAGGATAGGGTGGGGTACGTGACGAATCTTTAGCCTTGCCAGAAGAAGCGCGTTCTGGCTCCGCAGTGGGTGGTGATATGGGCAACGGGTTTTCATGGGAGATCGGAGCACCTGAAACTCGTTGAGAGGAGCTTGGAGCGTGCTTGAATTCACGAGAAAGTGGCGAGGGTGATGATGGAGCATGCATTGTCGGCATATTCGGAAGTGACGATGAGACTACTGGGTCGCTTAACAAGTCTTGTAATCGTCCACGCAGAACCTGGGCATGAGGATTGCTCGTTGGGATGTTGATCGACATTGACATGCCTTCGGGTGGACTGGGGTGAGAAGTGCTGACAGTGGTCGGGGATGATCGCAACGGAGACGACGCTCGAGACAATGACCGGCTTCGAGGACGAGAACGTGACCGTGAATGTGACCGCGAACGACGGTGATGTTCTTGAAAGCTAAGAGAAATGCCGCTGTGAAATGAAGAAGTCCCAAAACGCGCCATATTGACTGCGGCAGCTCGTGCTTGGGCGCCAGGCGAGAAGAGGAGAAACGGCATACAGTCGCACGAATGCGGGCAACCAGCGGCGCCACACAGTTTGGGGACTGCATTGTCGTCTGGAGGAGGCATCGGATCTTGACCATCTGGTAATTTCGTCTTCATAACGTTCTCCCAGGGCGTAAGAAATGGAGCAGACGGGTCTGCTGCGATCTGCGGCCAATTGGCCTGCGACACATCCGGAGGGTAGTCGGGAATGTCAGCAGGGCTGTCACCTTCAGGAGAAGAGAACTCATTCTCCTGGCGCAGTCGATGTAGCTCTTCATTGAGTAAAACGAGTTGGTTCTGAGAGGTCTCGTTCTGAAGGGAAAGAATTGGGTTAGCGGGTTCAGGAAGCCGTAGAAGAATGTAACTTGCCTGCCTATGAGCAGTTGAGTGGTCAAGACAGATGATATGGAAGAAATACGCACTCAGTCATCAACACCAGTTGACCTTCCACATTTGTGAGCTGCTCGTGAATCCTGTTATATTCAGCAGAGATCCCATCACGCTCTGAAGACACAGTCTGGAGGTTCTGCTCAATTCGGCGCTTCTCAATCTTGAGCGCCTCAAAAGATGCTTTCAGTCGATCGATATCTTGGGTAAGCGCCTCGTTGGTGTGGGCTAGACCAGCAACATGAGCGCGTTGGTCGTTCAAGAGCTTTCTCACATGCGCGATGTAATTAAGCATGTTGACAGAAGCACGCAAATCAGCATACTAACACGTATCAACATCGGAATGTCGGTCCGGACTTGGAGCCACTCACCATTGTCTTGGGCACCCCGGCCAAGAAGGCTTTGGAGCTACTGGTGAGCTCATTGGTTTGCTCCTCGGTGGCGCCATAGGATGCTATATGCACAATACGCTCTTGCAAATATCGCGCTTGTTCGTCAGGACTTGAATGCGACGCGGTTGGAGGTGACGCTGAAGGCCGGCGAAGACTGTCGAGGTCGACATGGAGCTTGGTAACGTGGCGGGCTTGGAAAGGTAGTCGACATAGGGGGGCAAGTCGGCCGTTCCACCTGGTTCAAGCAACTGAAAGAGCCATTAACAAGAACTGAAAGAGGATGAAAGGGGGTAGACTAACGAGGCGCAGAATACATGGCCACACGGGATTGAACATGGCACCTTGTGGTTCTCCGCAAATGGTTCGAGACAGACATCACAAGAGCTCCCCGAGCCAAGGCTGAGCATTGAGCGCAAATACGCGTGGCGAGACGCTGAGGGGGTAAGAGAAAGAGGCGGGAGACGGGGGTATAGGGCCTAATCACGAAGAAGGCCAGGATAAGAACGGAATATATCGCGTTGGGAATACGACACGTGCCAACGGTCGTGTCGAAGGTGAGAGGAGGACAATGAAAGGGCCCAAATGCACGGGAACATCAGAAATAGTAGTGTTATAACTTACGGCCACATGAGGCAGGTAGCCGAGCGGAAGCAAGCAGGCAGCGAACTAACCCAGACTTCTTTCATCAGCTGTCACAACGACTTGGCCCAAGAGAGAGTCCTCTGGTAGTCTCTGCTCCGGCGCTCTTTCTCGTGGTAGTGGCGATCTTCGTTGCGCAATGCTAGCAAGAGAATATTTTGCAGAATATTGGTGCTTGTTAGGGTTTGTTGGCTTGAAACACCGAGTGTGACAGAGCCGTGTCACGGCAAACTACGGGGAGTCCGGCTCGGAGTGACACCTCGTGTCCCATGCATGTTTTCGGGGGGAGTAAGGGAAACGAATACTTGTCAGAGCAAAGTCTCAGGAAGATACAGTCTGGACGCGCACACAGACAGTCCGTGAGAGGTTGAATTTTCGATTTTCTCGAAGCTATAACGGTCGCCCCTTCATCTGAGACGGAGATGAGACTCTAGTTTAAAAGACTACTAATGACGCGTCTATGGATATTGTAGGAAACGTACTCCAAGGTCCGTTGAAGAGCTCCAAGGGTGAGCGCATCGATGAGCTCAAATCGCGGTCGAAAAAAGAAATTTCAACAAATTCCAAATCTCAGGTACTCCAATGCAGCACCGCTGAGCTACCCGGAATTGAACAGGTCCACGGTGTTTCCTTCCCCCGAGAAACGAGGAAGCCTTTCTCACTGCCGGCCAAAAACGAATCTGGCAGCTCTAAATCTGCAACCTCTTCTTCCGCATTGTGACCCAACAACGCCTCTGGAACAGTAGTGAAACTGAACGTGCCCCGCGAGAGGGTGGCGGCGACTTCGGCGGTCGTAGTTTTGGGGCGATAAAAGAACTAGAACAAAAATACTGAGATACGCCAAATCACATTAAGTTGCACCTACTTGCACTCGCGAACCAGAGGGGGGAGACGAATTTGACTGTAGCGCTATCGTGCCTCGCGAAGGGTCGCCCGATAAGATACTGAACATCTGTTTTGGCTTATAACAGCAATAGTTAAGCTTTGCCTTTCGACACGAGAAAAAGAGCTTACTTCGTGGTCATGGATGCTGGCGAGACAAAATTCTTCGTAATCTGGGGTCTGTAGGTTGATTCCCTTTTGTTTAATGGCAGAAAGCAGGAGCTGTGTAGGAGTTTTGTTGTCGAGTAAAATGACAAGGTTTCCTTCCGACCTTTTACACTGTCAACAGTATTTTTGGTGTGGGAGAGATGGAACACACTGAGATACGATCATGGGCTCGGCCAGAGGTTCCATTCCATGGAATCGCAGTCCACAGCTGGCTTCTTGCTTCAAAGCAAGGCCGACCGCACCTGAATCGCAAATCTCGTCGTTCAGAAACAGAGTTACTGATCGGCCGGTAACAAAAGGTGTCGAAGCAGCGAAAAGCCCAAGCTAACGAGGAGTCAGCCTTGTGTAGACTGTGTGGACTCGGTGCAACAACCTTGTGTGAACCTGAGAATTGAGAAAGAGAGTTAGAGAGTCCTTCTGGGGCGCCATCCGTGAGATATATTATCGATTTGACGTCTTCTGGGCTTCACGAATGAACTCGGAAAATTAAACTTAGCCAATAAAGAACGCACTTCACACCACGGAGTTCAGGCGGCGGCTCGCTACCCACGATACTCTGATCCCAGACACTGTTCCAATCCACCTCGTCCGACATTCCGATATGTTCACCAAGAGAATCGCGTTGGGGGACTTCTCGACGCCTGAATGAATGGTATCGCCCAACTTGGGCGACTTCACGGCCTGGAATCTGTGAGCGGAACGGTGTACATGTTTTCGAGTCGAAAAATGCGAATGAGCAGCTGAAAATGTTCCTGGAATGGTGATGCGGGAGGGGGGCGGACAAACAACCAAGAGTCCGTGGTGAAAATGTAGTCAACTGGCGGACAAGTTTTGCAAGGTCGTCTGGAGGGAGATTAAGGGACAGAGAAAATAGTAGTGTTTGATCTCTGTTTTTTAAACGCGAAATGTAGGACGCGAGACGCGCCGGAGAGGATGTGAGGAAAGTGCTGAGTTGCATAAGCACGTGCTCCAAAACTTGGCATCGACTCTCGAGGCTGGTTGGCAATAATGTGTTCGCCTCCGAGTCTTCCTTCTCCTCTCCCCTCCTCGAAGGCTTGGCAGAAAATATCTAGGCACCGAAATGGCTTGGACTCCTAACTCCCCTCATATAACTGCTCGTCCGGAAGTTGTTCCCCTATGGCTGTTCATCGCGGTCGACGATTTGGGTTCTACGTGGTTGGTGTTACGGTGAGTATTCCTATCCAGCTTTCCCCCACCGGAATTGAACCCTGGTAGTTCATTCTGTTCTTGTCATATTGTAACCCCATCCCATGGCAAAAACTCGGTCATTTCCGCCATCCTCTGCAAGCATCGCTGCATTCATATTCCTCGAAACGTCCAAGCAAACACAGTCCGGCTTATGAGGACCTGGAGGTGTACAAATGGCCCGAGCCTAATACAGCAACTTTCCCGGATCAAATGGTCGGCGCAGAAGAATTCGACGATGCACTCGACAACACCATAACCAACCCTGCAATGCCCCCAGAGTCTTCCGACGCACCATTCAGACATGTCACGAGTGGAAACACCGTTAAGCTAACATCTGATCTCCGTCTTAAAGACAAGTTGGCTGCTGTCGACGAACTGCTGCAGTCTAAGGGAGGCCCTCCCATAGGACACAATCGTAACGCCCTTCGCGAGTTAACACACTGCATATATGAGGAGAAATGTGTCCACAAACCACAGCGTATGTTTTCCCAAGGTCCGCGAAGTACTCTGACCATTCTCCCAGTTGTGATCGTTGTCTCTGACGTCTACTACAAAGCCTACCTCCTCAAACCTTCGGGCCTGCCCTCTCCTCCACACACCGTTCTTGCCGCTTTCGACCGTCTCAATGTTTCGTACGTCTTCAGTCCCAAAGACATCGGCTGGGCCCGAAACGTACATATGGCTTTCCCGGATCAAGTAAAACTTGTACTCTTTGACCGTTCCGACCTACGCTCCTGCCTGGATGTTACCAGCAGTTGTGTGCGGACTGTCCAGAATCCCACCGGCATTCCCGCTTTCAAAATGTTCACCTGGGAAAATGAGGCGACGGAAGAAGCGGTGTCGCCCTTCGGGTACCCTTGGACACTCACCGCTCGACAAGCGTACGCTGGTGAATCCTTCGTTGGATTCAGCATACCTGACTCTTGTCGAAAAGAGGTCCCATATGTTCCTCCTGCCGATAGGTTTGATCGCGTCTGGATTTTGGCAACCGTCGAGACATTCTTCTGGAAAACTCATAATGTCTTCCCTCCTGAATATTTTGAGAAATTGGGAGATGAAACTAAAGTGCGGTTTTTTACTCAGCTGCATCCGACGGAAGGACGCCTCAAGGACTACCCCCAATTATCTGACACTCACACTGTCCCAAAAAATCTCGTCGATGTCGGCCAGCAGACGCATCTTGACTCCGTTGACGAAGGAGAAAACGACTTTGAGGCGAGGGCATTAGAGTACATGAGCAAGTCGCGACTGCTTCTTGGACTGTGGGATCCGCGCTTGTGAGTCTACAATTGCTCCTGACCTTGTACACAGCTCAGAACCGTATAGCGAATTGACTGTGCTCCAAGCGCTATGCGTCGGCGTGCCCTTCTTGAACCCCATACACCAGGTATATATCCGATTGGCTTCAAAATTCGCTGTGCTGTCGGCTAATCCTTTTTTAGTGGGATGCCAGCAATGCCACGAATCGAGAACTATGGGTAACGCAAAACCCAGAGCTCAATGTCCTTGACCCGCCTTATGTATACCACGTTTTCCCCCACGACTACGCAGCCTTCAAGAAGGCAATCTTGGACGCAATGGAGACACCAATAGCAAGCTACATCCCTCCCCATCTAACAGAAGCTGCCCTGACCAAACGTCTCTCTGAACTTTTGGAACGAGATTGGAAGGCAGAGGCAGAGAAGGTTGCGACGACCGAAGCCAGCCAAGACTTCTTATTTTAATCTTCTGGATACTCCTATGTTCAGTGTCCTTCGTGTACCTAACTGTAATTGTTGCTGTACTATGACTGGTGAATGTAGTTCGCTTGATCTAGGTCTGGATACTGGTAATGGCGTAGATAAACGTCCCATTGTGCAAGGTCACTGAAAACAACATTGATGTCAAGTCCGACTGTCGAAAGAAAGGCTCACTTGAAATCAGTTGGAGCAGCCTTCCAAACCCCCGCCCCAGACTCGTGCAGAAATGGTGCAGGTGAAAGAACAGGGAGATCCTCCGTTTGGGCCAACAATTGCTCTATTGATATCCCCTGATCATAATCTTGGATTGGGGAGAGGGAGGGGAGGGGGGAGTAACCGGTCGTTGTCCTGGGTGGATGGATTTCGGAACCGTGGGGGTCACGTTGTTGAAGTGGGTCTATGATGATTCGGATTTGATCGAGTATGCCGCTGAACCGCACCTCTGAATGTCGTCTGTTCCACGCAAGTATCAGGACAGTATCATTTGAGAAGTCTCAGCCACAATACCTTGCAGCGCAAACTTTGATTATATTCATGCCATCCTCGACTAGCGCCCGGTCTTTCGCATAGCTTGGCACACTTCTATTTGAGCAGATCTCGAGGGCGAGGACGATTGTAGCAACGAAGAGCGGAGAGACGACGGCTGCCGGAACAAGACTATGACGAGATCTTACCCAGCTGTTCGTAGCCCTAATCACTGCTCGCGCAGCGGTGATACAGGTAGCAAGGGAGGGTTCAGCCAAGACCGTATCTTTATGGATGAATGGTCGGTGAATCTATGGAAAAGTCAGGTGAAGGGGCGTTGAAATTTGATTCGGAGGTACTGCGATGCGGGTCCAGTGGTGAGTTATATAAAGAACAAGCGCCTGGTCAAAGAATGCCGAGTTTACTGAGGAAGCATTGTCTGGAGCCCATTGCAAATGAGATGGCAACGAGTCAAAACATTGGTTGAGCGACGAGTCCAGTTCTGCAATAGCTCGTTGACCGGGCTCCGGACCTAGCCAGGTTCGCCTCAACTTCTTCGAACTATAGAGACGTGTTGCTGTCACCGTGATCTACCTTGATCAGCTGAGAGTTGCCATGAAAGATGGTTGCACACCTCAAGAAGTTTAACATAGCAAGTGAGGAACGTATATAATGATGGAGTGGTGGGAGGTTGGACAAAATCATCCCAACTCTCATCATCAACTTCGAGTGGAAGGGAAGCATCGATGCTGACCAAATGCATTCAGACACGCCAGGTCGCTCGGGAAAGCCTATCATACTCTTCAATTGGGATGCTGACTGGACGCCCAGTAGAGCCGCAGATAATGCGGTCCAAGTACATGTACGACCTGTGTAAAGATTGGGTGAATATGATGGCATTTCTTTGGTCAAACATTGACTTGCCAGAATGTTCTGTTCCATGATTCGAATTCTGGTGTTGTAGGTTGCTCTCGTTGTCTATCATGTTCTCCTCGTTGTAAGAGAGATGCGATACCGAGGGCCTGAGAAAAATCAAAACCAGTCAACAAACGAGCTAGTTCACGGACAAAATATGTCCAAGAAATTTGGGGTGGTCGCGAAGTCCCGACAGAGTACACAGTCATCAGGAAATACTTTTGAGTCTCGTATAGTCCTGGCGCGGATAGCCAGTCAAGAGAAATTCGAGAGAAAAAGGGCCATCCTGAAGATAACGTCGTTTGACCATCAACGAATACTCGTGGATCGTCAGAATACTGCGTTAAATTAGTCGTCAGTATAGCTCGATGAAGCGGGTGCATACACGGGATGCAGTCGCTAAAACAGCTAGTAGAAGCTGACCAAATTGCAGATTTTTGAAGTGAAGTCCTTCTTCTACCGAGCGCTGATGACATCAGTTAGCATTACTGTCTGAGTAATAGGCAATCATATGCACCTCAAAAGAAGGTCGATGTAAGATGGGCATAGTGGGATGGAACTCTGCAAAATAGAGAGCCACCAAAGACGATATCAGGTCAGGTTCGGGAAAACCACTACTGCCGTCCGTTCCTGGGTGCTGTTGTTGAGATTCCCACCACTTTGAAAGAATCAGGTTTTGCAACTCCCAGTCTACCGAGACTCACAGATATCGCATCCCACGTGCGTGTGGAGTCCCGTGGTTGACCGGTCACCTGCTCATGAACCTCAAAAACATAGTCAATTTTGGAGATTGACCACAAAGATATACCTTCATGGCTGTATTTATGACAGAATAGTTGCTCGCGGAGCCATAAAAAGATTCATCCATCGAAAGGTGGCTGAAATTGTCGGCGAGATGCCCGTCGTCCTCGTCCTCTGGAGCGTCAGAGCTATTAGATGAGCTCTCTGTCTTCTGAAACATCGAGGCAGCCGAATCGGTTGGTAGAGGCTGCGAGCACAACGAGCAGACTGACAGTGTCCGCAATTTCAACTCCAACTTGGCTACTTGCTTCTTCAAGGCGTCCAGCTCCTTGAACCGCGGCCCCCTCTTATGCGCAGGTTCTAGCTTTGGCGTTAGTTAAAGCTAATGTTATCAAAGGTAACGAGCCTTCGTATGTGCACTGTTGTCCAGCGTTGGCACAGTTTTTACAGCTGCCATCATCCGTCTTCGTGAAACCGTCGCCTGGAAAGACGCTTAGATTATCGTTGTCAGATTCAAGGCGCTTACATCTAACTAGACCCCAAATTTCAGTCTTCGACTTGCTCAGAAAAATACTCACCTTTGCGCCTGCGACACACTAAAAGTGACGGTCTCTGAGTCAGTCGAATGCTCCACGTTGAGATGTTCACGAACGATCACAACTCCGGTCGATCCGCTCGCGCTTCTCTTTCGTGGCTGAACGTGGGTTGTGTTCTGTGGACCTCGACATGATGGCTTGCAACAAAGTTGAACGGACCAAATTTACCACGACACCGTGAACAATTGATGGATGATCGCCGATGTCATGACAAGATACAGTACGCTAAGATTTAGTTTTTCTCCTCTTGGGTCCCCTCCCCTCCTCTGCATCTGTCTCCCGCTTACTCTTCTTCCCAATCGCACGCATGACCTCTTTCTTTTTCTCCTTGTCTTTCTCGCTCCTCCTCTCTTCCGACTTTTCTGCCTTCTTTTGTCTCTCGGCCCGTTTTTCGCCCTTCTTTTCTCTCCTTCTAGCTACCTGATCTTTCCTCAACGCCCGCATCTGTTGTAATAGAGCAACAGCCTTGCGCTCTTCCGGCTCCATCACGACAGCCCTTTTGGACATATATGTTTCCTTTCGTTGCGGCTTCATTATCCGAGGCTTGGACGCGTAGGGTAAAGCAGCCTGCAGCTTTTTGGGCACGATAAGTGGGTTGAACCGCCTCTCGGGGCGTTCAATCCGCTTGTAGGTCGAGTTCACATTGAGCGGTGTCTTGATGCCTTCATCACGACGAACTTGGCCTGTCAAACGCATGCCTGACCACGACGACTTGTTCGAAAGGAGGAGCGACGTGACCGGGTTGTAAAATTTACGCGGTTGAATGGAGTACCAGGCGCGGAGGAATATGATGTCTGTTTCGCGTTAGTGATATAGCCAAACAGATGAATGCTGTCCTACCACTCATGAGCACCTTGTCCTCGAATGTCGCCCTGAATGCTCCATCTGGCTTCGCCAGCCCCTTCTTCACCTGACCGCGGATACCTGAGACGGTCCGGATGTTCGCACCCTCGAACTTTGCCACCTCTAATGCCGAGGTAAACATATCCTTCACGAACGCAGTGTTCTTGAATATTTTGTAGGGCACACCAGTCAGCTTGATCTTCTTGACTATCTTGACAGACCGATCAATGTCCAGTACAACACCTGTCGCAGAGACCCTGAATCCAGGCGCCTCTGACCCAAGCGAGTTGAATGCGCAGAACCCGGTATTGGGAAGTGCCACCGGCCCGTAAAACGTTGCAAAGCAATGCATGTGCTCAGGCGTATACTTGAGCATTCGCATCCGAATCGAGTGGTCATCCAAAGAGTATATTGGCACAGTTTGGAAACGCCGCCAGCCAAGGGAGAAAATGAGCGGGTCGTTAGTTTTGAGCGTCTTGACAAACCACCGATGTCGTTTCAGCCGCACTTGGACATAGCCGAATCGCTCTTCGGTGGCTAAAAGCCCTCCGACAACGATAGGATATGTCGGGTCAAAGTTCTCAATCATCTCACATGGTACATCAACCAGCTCGATGCGCACATAAGCCCCGGGTCGATATCCTTCCACAAGAGCACGTGCTTCAGCCGTCACATCCTTGAACTCGTCGAGATTGAGTTGGAGCTGACGAGATATTTCCTCCTTCTTTTCGGTGTAAAAATCCATCTTGGAGGACTCTGGATCATCATATTGTTCATCGAACTTGCGCTTTAGCTCTTCTTTCTTTGCTGCAAGGGCCGCGGCACGAGTTGCTTCTGGGTCCGTGTTTATGGGTACCGACTGCGATGGGGCTTCGAGGTCTTCAAAATCACCACCAGTTTCTTCGTAGTCATCCTCTTGCTCGGCTGATTCTGGGACATCGGAAGCACCAGTGATGAATAGTCTGCGCAAAGAGTCGAGCATTTCATCGTCCTCTAACCTCTTCAGCTCCTCTGAATCGACCAACTCTTTACTGCGATCAACGTCCTCATCTTCTTCCCGCCTAGAGACGGTCTTGACTCTGAAGAAATCGTCGTCGTCGGCGTTATCGTCCTCGCTTGTATGGACAGTGTCATTCCCGGCCAATATTTGTTCTGGCGTTAGATCGCTTGAATAGATGAGTTTCATCCAGTCCTTGTTTCGCTTTGAGCTTGTACCCAAGGCTTGTGCTCTCTCCGTGAGATTTCTTTTCCATTTTGGGACCGCTTCAGTGTCGCTGGATTCTTCTGCATCCTCGTCGTCGTCAGGTATATCTAGTTGGTCTTCATCATCCATCTCAAATCGCCCACCCAAGTCATCCTCATCACCAAGATCAGAATCGCTGTCCGCATAATCAATTTCTGTCCGTTGGAGCTTTGATGTGCTGGCGACGGGAAGCGTCCGCGCTGGGTTCCGTCTTTGTAGACGTCCAGTGTTCTCGCCTTGAGAAATGGGCTCCATATCTTCATCTTCGTCTTCACTCTCCGTTTCAAACCCAGAGTCGTCTCCATCCTCTTCTCCATTCATACCCTCTTCTTCATCAGAGTTGCCACTTTCATCGTCTTCCTCCGTGCTCTCCTCTTCAACGGTCAAGTGCCTCGAAGATGACTCAAAAAGCTTGATGTGGCTCTGCGCAACACCATCCTCCAAAGTCACGCCAGCTTCTTGCAGGTCCATCACCATCTGTTCTCCTTCGCCTTGCGGAACTGAGACGAGAAAATCAGCACAAATCTTTCAATATGTTAATTTAACTCGCCCTCGTTATTGCCTCTTGTGAAGCTGCCAGGAACATTGATATAGACTGCATCCTTGTCGTATACCACACCGCCGACATCGCTCATAGGGGCGTGGATCAGCAGTTTTTTCTTCTCGCTCAGCTTCCTCCGCTTCTCCGAGTCCGCATCAGGCAGTGGACATGGGTCACCCAGCATCTCCACACTCTTTATATCGAGATCTCCTACTCCTGGGATGTGAACCTTGTTACCCATGCGTAGATTTGTCCCGCGCACATAACCATACACGGTCACAGTCCTGTCGCATTTGCCCTTGCTCACCCGCACATTTTCTCTGGGCGTCAGATCCTCAATACGGTCAGCCAAAAGGTATGGGTGGGAGTTGCGGAAGACTAGCGGGCGGAACTTCATAACGCTGATGAAGCGGGAGAGGTTGAGAATTTCGGTGTCAGGGTATCGACCGTTGAGGACGCCGGAAAGGTAGAATAGTTTTGCGCCTTGATAAATCTCGGTCCAAAAACGTTTCTTAAGCGTCTTCTTAGTCGTCTTGAGCGTTGCAGCCTTTTTGATGAGGTCCAGGTGAGTAAGAATGCCGATGACCTTGGGGAACCCATGGGATTGGAGAATGTTAAGAAATTCGAATGTTTCCTAGACCAATGTAAACATAGAGAAAAAACTTGGGCAGGATTCTTGCGCACCATCTCAAACCCGAAGGACCCGTCTATCATGAGCAGGACGAGGTCTGCAACTTTGCCAATGTCAATCATGCTGTTCAGGTCGTTGTTGCATTCAATGAACGTCAGCCGCCGCTTTTTCCCGCTCACCACCGTCACTGGCCCCTTGACATCGTTCAACGTCTGCTTCGTGAACCTCCGCACCAAACTCTTCAGTAGTGTTGTCTTTCCAACCCCAGGCGGCCCAACGATTGCGACAATGACAGGTGGGGGCTCTGAATCGGGGGTGCGATTGACAAGGGGGACATGGAGACGTGCTTGGTCTCGTTCAACGTTGCGTCGGCCTTGGCGGTCCGCTCGGCGGCCAGATTTTGGCGCAAAAGCCTGCTTAGTTTTTAGTGAAAATCGGTGGAGGGCGATATAAATGACCTTCTCGTTGAATCCATGTTGCTTTTCTTTGCCCTTACCCTTGTCGGTTTTGGATGGTCGGTGGGCCTTGTGAGGCCTGTCCTCCATAGTCGTGAACAACAAAAAAAATCAAGCCGATCAATCTTATGTCATTGTTCAAGTTGCTCCTCTCCACTGCACCCAACATGGTCACTCCTGCAAGCTCTTTTGGTCAGCTTAAACGCGACATTGAGGCTCAGATAACAGCTTTAGACGGGACAATTACCGAGACTCGGTCCAGACTGAGCAGTTTACAGCTTCAGCGCGCTGCCCTTGTGTCTGAACTCGACCAACTGAGAGATCCGTCAACGCCGATCCACACACTTCCACCGGAAATCCTCAGTGAAATATTTCGATACTTCCAGCCTTACTTTCCAGCGTCACCGGTAGACGAAGAATCGAAAGAGTCAGCACATATCCCATGGTTCCTTGGTCTGGTCTGTCGCTCGTGGAGGGAAGTCGCGATAGGTCTTCAGGAATTATGGTCTGTGCTCGACATCGACGATACTCCAAGGGCCATGCGTAGCCCAATTTGGACGGGATATGACGATGAGGTGGGGTACAGTTACTCTCGACCACAAGACCGTTTGACATATGTCCTGGATAATGAATTCGAAGATGAGTTCGAAGCTGAACTACAACGATTGCCTGAATCCCCAACGCCGGAGGATGTTGAAGGGTTCTTCATTGAGTATAGGCTCGAGATCGTCAAAACGTGTCTTGAACGCGCCAGGACCCATGGTCTCTCGCTCCGCTTACAAAGTATCACTACCCTTGCCTCAACGTTCGTTCTGGATCTACTTTTGCAACATAGCCGTCACTGGGAGCAAGTTTCCCTGGTGAATCCTTCAGATTCCATATGCGACCAGATCCAAAGTCCTGAGCAGCGTTTCCCCCGACTAAGACGCTTGACTGTTGAGGGCCAGCAGTGGCATAACACGTATAACCAGTCCCGATTATCAGCTCTAGGTCCATTGCTGCATGGCTCTAGGGCACCGCGTTTCACCGAAATAGGTCTTATAAACCTTACAATGGCAGAAAACTTTGCTTCAATTCGCTGGTCAGGCCTCGAAAAATACAGCGAAGTTGACTGTAATATTGCACCACGGCATCGAGTCGACATCCTCCGCCAGCTCGCGAATTTAGTCTCTCTGACCATCAAGACAGACTCGACCTTCATGTGGACCGAACACGTCTTCTTTCCTCACCTTCGCCATGCATCGTTCGCCTTGGTTCAGTACAGTCAACACAGTACCATTGAAGGCCCTTTCACTCTGGAGATGCCAAATCTTGAAGACTTTTCGCTCCATGCATCGCGAATACGTTCCTTCGGTGGTTGTGTACCACAGAGCTCGAGACAGTTGCGCAAATTATCTGTTTCCTTGATGTCCGTTGATGTCTATCAAGGGGATGCAGAGCAAGTGTTTGCTCTCTTCCCCAAGCTGGAGGATCTCTCTTTATGGGGATCTAATTACCTGACTGACGGCACTCTCGAAAGCTTGACCCCAGGCCCCCAGCGTCCATATCTCTTGCCGTGCCTAGAGACGTTGCGCCTGTCAAGCACTGCCTTTGCCCACGGAGAATGCAAGTGGACGACATTACTCAATATGGTGCAAGGTCGATTGGGACCCCTTGCAACAACCACAGCTCTCATCCGGCTTCGAAGTTTGGAATACGTGTGCGATGCTAGAGGGCATGACGATGAGGTTGCCAAAGGGTTGCAGACGCTTCAGCGGCAGCGAGGTTGGGATATTCGCGTAAGAACCAGCAATCATCGAAGTGTCTGGACCGAGTCTGGGATACAGTGGCTACATACCTGGGGGACTGGAAACGGGGGTTGGTAAGCATTGGCAGCCGAAGGAAGAGCAGCAGCCTGCGATATGTGACTCCGCCGATTTGATCTTTCATTATTCAACGTTGCGTCGGCCTTGGAAGTCTGCTCGACGGCCAGATTTTGGCACAAAACCTTTAATTCTATTCGAGATATATAATCCTCACGTTGAAGCCTCGTTGAATTCACGCTGCTTTTCTTGGATCTGTCGGATTTGTATGATTAGTCATGTGAGAAGCGGATCAATCCTGGGTAGCTCATTCGAGTCATGTTGACGCCCGTCCCCAATCGAAGAGCAAGTTCGCCAACTCGTCTCAGACGCGACATTGAGGCTCAAATCATGGCCTTAGATGTCTCAATAAAGGAGATCCAGCTCAAACTGAGTGATCTGCAGCTTCAGCGGGCTGCATTGGTGTCTGAAGTCGACCAACTTGCAATTGATTTCTCGACGCCTATTCATCTTCTCCCCCCAGAAATCATTGGGGAGATATTTCAATACTTCCAGCCATACTTTTCGTCATCACTACTAACGGACGCAGAATCAAAACAGACAGCTCGCATTCCATGGTTCTTAGGCTCTGTTTGTCATTCGTGGAGGCAAGTTGCTATGAGTCTCCCCGCACTATGGTCTGTGCTCAACATCAACGATACTCCTCGATACGTGGATAGCCCCGTGTGGACGGGACACGAAGATGGGGTAGCACGCCACACGCCACAGCACTGGCTGACATATCTTCCGAGTGATGATTTTGAAGTTGAATTGCAGCAATCGCCCCGAGACACAACACAAGAAGATTTTGAAGGATTTTACACCGAGAATAGGCTCGAGATCGTCAAAGCATGCCTTGAACGCTCGGGAACCCACGGGTTATCCCTCCGTTTACGAAACATGAACGTCTTCGCCTCGAAATTTATTCTGGACCTGCTGTTGCAACATGCCCGCCGCTGGGAGCAGATTTTCCTGGTGGACCCTCCCCTTGCCGTATGTCTTCAGATACGAAACCGTCGAAGACTATTTCCTCGCCTAAGACACTTGACTGTCGAGGGTCCCCAGTGGTGGAGTGAGCAAACCACATCAATCCTATCCGCCCTCGACTCGCTATTGCCAGGTTCTGCGTCACCGCTGGCACGTGTAACCGAAATCAAGCTTTTCAACATTGTCCTGAAAGAAGGCTCCGTTCCCATTCAGTGGTCTGGGATAAAAAAATACAGCGAAGTTGCATGTTATATCGATCCCAGTTATCGGACCATCATTTTCCAGCAGCTCGTAAATCTAGTGTCTCTGTCAATCCAGACAATCTCCGACTTTATGTGGACTGAACACATCCTCTTCCCCAATCTTCGCTATGCCTCGTTCGCCTACAAACAACATGGTGAATTCGCAGTGGAAGGCCCGATCCTCTTTGAAATGCCAAATCTAGAAGACTTTTCGATTTCTGCCTGGCGAATGCGTTCACTGAGTGACTGTGTACCACGTCGCTCGTCCCATCTCCGCAGGCTATCTGTCTTGTTGATGTGCGTGGATGTTTGCCAGGGGGACACTGAACAAGTGTTTGCTCTTTTTCCCGAGCTGGAAGACGTCTCTCTATGGGGATCTAACTACCTCACAGATAGCACGCTGGAAAGCTTGACTCCGAGCCCTCGACGTCCATATCTCCTCCCGCGGTTGGAGACTTTATGCCTGTCCAGCACTGCCTTCGCCCACGGAGAATGCAAATGGACCACATTACTCGATATGATCCATGGACGATTTGGACCCCTTGCAACGACCGCAGCGCTGAGCCGGCTTCGAAGTTTGGAATATGTCTATGACCCCGCGGGGTACGATGATGAGGTTGGCAAGGCGTTACGGACACTCCAGCGGCAGCAAGGTTGGGATATACGTGTAAGAACCAATCATCATCGGATTCTGTGGACCGAGTTGGGAATACAGTGGCTACCGTCACTGACATCTGAACCAACAGTTTGGTACTGATACAAAAGGAGGTTTGGAGGCAGGAATATCACATTGATATTCTGTTGGGAGACATCGTTAGATGAGCCTGCAAAGCCCTCCAATAATAAAAGACGTTGCGTGTTCTAATTCCAGATTATCACGTGAGTCTGGAATACAGATTGGATGACGACTGAAATAGGGGGTTCAAAGGTAGGTTCGTTGCTTCCCAGTCGATAACATCCCGTGACCCACTGGTAAAACATTGCTCTATGTACATTGTACAAGTCTAGCCGACCAGGCTGGCGACATCTGTGATTAGCCCTTGGACTTCCTTCTTATTCACGACTGCTGCTTTCCCAGAAACGACCGCCTTCACATCGAGCACTTCGACTAGTGACCAGACCTGTCCGTCATTGGGTGCGAATCGTAGCAAACACGCCAAGGCACCCGCGAGTCGGTGGATAACTTCTTCGCCAGATTCCTCTTTGAGCGCCTCGGTCAGTGCGCTCACGAGTTCCACCTGCCAGTCCTCATCAGCGGCAGACGCAACATCCGACGGGTCGACATTGGTTGTTGGCGGGAGACCACCCAAACCTGCACCAGTATTCACCCGCACGCGTTGAACGGGAACAGAGGCATTGAAGGCCAAACTAGCTGCTGCCGTCCTCACAGCGCTATCAGCGTGTAATAAAGCCGGAACAAGGGTGCTCATAGCTGAACCATCGGTGCCAGCGAGCAACACGCGTGATAATGCGCTGTTTCCAAACGCATTCGTCAACAACCGTAGGGCTGTCAATACAAAGTTGCGCGCGCCCTTGTCTTCTGCTCCGCTTTCCAGAGTTTCTTGCGCCAGCTTGATGATAGAGCCAACTGGACCGGCTCCTGGAGACCCAGCAAGCCAAGTAGCTGTAGCTGGGTCAAGCACCGCCAGACGCCACATATCAACCAGTGGAAAGAGGGATTCCTTAGGCAGTGCACCCACGAGAGTCATCGTAACGGCACCCCATGCAGTCAAGAATGCGACGTTTGTAGGCGGAGGGGCTTTGGGTTTGTCGGGGCCAAACTTGCTCTTCAAGAAAGGTACGACCTGGGACCGCAGGATTTCTTTGGCTTGCGTCGAATGAGGAGATTGTGGGGCAGCGTCGATGAATGAGACCAGTTTGGTGAGGACAGCATCAAGCGCAGGTACTTGTGTAAAGAGAATCGGCGAGAGCGATAAGGTTTTCATGCCAGGGAGAGGTAGGGAAGCATGGGGATGTGCTAAAAGACATTTGAGATGCAGAGTTTATTCAAGAGACAACTCACGCGGATAAGCCTCGAAGAGAAGCAAATCGACCTGTGCGCGTAGTTCCCCAGGATCAGCGCCTCTGAGCTCTGACGTCTACGCAAACTCAATGTTAACTCGCTGAAAAGACAATATGCGCACCTTCTTTCCATTCAAAAAGAACATAAATGTCGGATATGCGCGGATGCCCCATTCAGAACATAGCGCTTGGCCACTGCCAACACTTGGGTCGATCTTGGTGAATGTTGCACCACGACTAGTGGCTGAGCGAAGCCCCTTCTCAATCGCGAGGTCCTCGTAATATGGCGCTATCATTCTACATGGGGCACAGCCCGCTGGGTCAGTAAATAGGGCTACAACAGCACGATGGCTTTGCAATAGCGTTCGGAAAGATGCCGAATTTGTTGTGGTATGCATTGGTCCGGCGAGGCTTTCGGTTGCAGCCAGTGGAGGGGGTTGAATTGAGGTGGTTGCTGGCTGCTGGGCTTGCGAAGCAACAGCTTGTAAAAGCGACGATGCGATGGGTTGGTTGGGGGTTGGTGGCGGTACCTCAGGAGCACCAGGTGATGGGCGGCGGTACATTGCGTCTATTGTTGGTCGTAGGGCAGCACCGAAAGGCGTGGACAAAAAGTCCGTTGGGAGATCTAATGCGGTTGAGATTAAGCAATGGGAATAGAAAATTTCGCACCTCTAACGAATGCAGGTATAGATCCACCAGTCAAGAAACCAGCACAATCATTTGTGAATGAGTTGCAATTGAAGTCTCGCACCAAAGTTAGAAAACACCAATGCAGTCACGAAGGCTTCACCTAGTAAATGGTACTTGAGGACGCCGTCAGCCGCGGACAGATCGAAAGCAAGTTGAATATTACGCACCTTGTCAGCCGTATAATGTGTTCTCATCTCTTCTAAATATTCCTGCCATGTCTCTTCGTCGAGCATCGTCTCCCCCAAGTCAACGACCTGCAACGGCTGACCATGGTGCGACCTCCCAGGAAGCGTAACACTGATTCCTTGACCGTAAAATGTTTCCTTGCCGAAGACAACGATCGAGGTGTGCCATATGCCGTCAATTTGGCGGCCAGTGAGCTGCTGTGAGAGCGACTTTGCGAGTCCGTTGGATAGATCGTATATATAGAGCTTCACAGAAGACATCGCAGCCTACGATGAGGGTTGAGAGAAAGTAATGACGCGTCGAGATTCGTGTCTGATGTGTCAATGCGAGTGACACATCGATAGAGAATGCTAGAAGGGTTGCAAAGACGCACAACGACGCGCCCATTGAAGAGAAGAAGTAAAGAAGACCTAAGTTCAGACCGATCATCCAAACGCGTTGACGCGTTACTGTAAACCTTCGAGGCTGTCAATGATGATGCAACAAGGTTTTGTCTTTGCACCACCATGAGCGATTCTCGGCCGTCCCTTCGCGTCAACAGTGCTCTCTTACCAAAGTATGCCAACCAGGCAATTAGACTGCCCTGTAAGCCTGTCCAGGCGCGTGTTCTTGAAGCAATCTTGACGCGTCGAAATGACTAATTTCGCGTCACTGGCAGTTTCGTGGCACAACGGCTTCGGTTGCTACAGCTGACGGCGGGCAAGTGACGATCACCCTTCTTCCTGTGTGTCTGCAAGGTTTTCCATGTGGTGGCGGTTATTGACAAGCTCATTAGGACACACATTTGACGACAGACTCTTACTTCGAAATACTGGGGACCGTGGTGAATCCTACCACCGTCAGGATGCTTGCGGTGACGAAGCTTGGCAAAAATATCGGTGCGGAATCTAGTTTTCTAAAACATGGCTGGATAGTCAGACTCTCATAGACATGTCTTTGGTCAACGACGCGATAAATCTGATGCACGACGGGCGGTTCTACCACACAATCTTCACCGAACAGGTATAAGGGCGTGGGCGAAGTTTGAAACAATGTACTTTTATTCCCAAGGCCTTGTTTGCCCGTTGCAAGGCCTTTTGTTCTTTAAGTTAGCTTTGTGTAGACACCATCAAGGATTCCTAACAAAGCTATTAGAGTCACCCAGTCACTTTTAACTTCTCATACCCTTTCCCAATCACAATGGCCATGCAGACTGCCTCCTCTGCCTCCTACACGGACGACCAGATACGGAACATCATCCAAGGCCCAGGAGATGTCGAATGGCGATATGAGATGCGGCGAGAGTGCCAGGAAATTATACCCGGCCTCCTCCTTGGACCTTTCGTTGCCTCCAAATCACTCGAAACGCTCCAGAAGCACAATATCACTCATATGTCCGTTCCCTTACTCGCTCTACACATATGGTGGTGGTGACGCTTGCCATAGTGTGTGCATCCGTGATGCCAAGGAGGCATTCTCAGTCCGACCCCGGTTTCCAGAGCACTTCACATACCTGACGCTGGACGTGGAGGACAATGAGGAGCAAAACTTGATTCGTCTCTTCCCTGGGTCCGCGACGCGTGTCTTGTCAAATCAGTCCAGCTAACTGAGTGGCTAGGGCAAAGCAGTTCATCGACCAAGCAATCCACCAGGGCGGACAAGTCCTAGTTCATTGCAACGGTGCGTGGACTCGCCTTGAGGCTATTTGGTATCTCACTCCGTGTTTCAGGTGGAATCAGTCTCTCGCCGACGTTTGTCGTCATGTTCGTTATGCAGCACTATCAACTTTCATGGGAGGACGCCTTGCATCTGGTCCAGAACCGGCGTTACTGCATCTCTCCGAATGGCGGCTTCCTTACTCAGCTTAAGGTTCACACCTTCATTGTTCGTTGGCGAGTTCCTAATGCGGTGCAGGAATACGAGGCAATCTATAGGGCCAATGTCGCTGTCTCGTCATTCCCGCGACAAATCCCCACTGTCGCCCGACGGAAGCGTGAAGACGATGATGAGGACGAAGCTGAGCTTGACCGGTGTGTTGAACCTGGGACTATTTGTTGGCCACTGACGGATCTTTAGCTTCGACGACCGAAAACGCATACTCATAGACCCCACCAACCAGCCACCACCACTCCCAACGTCTATTCTATATGACCCCGACGCGATGGAGATATCCTAGTCATCTCTCATTAGTCTTTCCTGCTTTCAGTTCCTTCCCTCTCTGGCTATGTATGTAAACAGCGTTCCCTATTAAACCGACTTAAGTTTCGCCACCTCCTTCTCCTGGACGACCTTCTTGACGTGTACGCCTGCGAAATGTCAGTCCTCACTGCAGAGTGCTACAGTAGGACCAAGCACCAACCTTTGGGTGTCTTGACAAATGCCTCGACCGAGATGCCCGCAAAAACTACTCCAGCACCAATCCATTGTGCAGGCGACAACTTGTGACCGTACCAGACGACAGACAGCAGCATCGTGAATACCTTGCGCGTCAACGTTATTGTTCTGCACTGATTTTAGATTTGATTCGGTTGATAAAGAATCAGCTTACACAAGAGTGAGCGAGCCAAAGTGCTGGAGTGTTTCGAAAATGAACAGCTGGCCAAGTGCACCCGTAATCGCAAACTGCAACAGCGGAAGCTTGATGGATGGGTGCTCGCGAATGAACGTCAGGGCCGTGTTCCATTCTGTGCCAGTTTCGGAAGGATGAATGACGGGAATATAAGGAAGTGGCAGCATTTCGAGCACAACAGTCACGGCTGTACTGAACAAATTTATCCACAGCATCATCTGCTGGCCCGTGACCTTGTGTCGCGCGAAAATCTCGTCTTGTGTTGAGTTGGTCGCGCCGTCGATAGCAAGGTTGATGAGGAGGTAGGTCAGCCCGATGAGATTCCCATTCGGGGTGACAGAGGCTTTGGCTTTTGCAGGCTTTGAAGGGGCGAGGCCCATGAAAATGGTGATTCCGGTGGTGACCATGGCCACGACAAGGTATTTGTGTGGGGCAAACTTGCGGCGGTACAAGAGAACATTCATAATCATCACTGGGACGAGTTTACAGGATTTGCCTAGGACCATCGCGGGGTAAGAGATATACGACAGAGAGGCAAAGCCAAACGGCGCGGCGGAAGTGATGAATATGGAACATTGGAGGTAGCGAAGGAGGAGATTTGTGCGCGAATAGCGAGTGTCGGGTTTGGAGGGGTGCTTGTCGCTGGTTTGGTGGCCAGGGGTTGGGGTATGCTCAAGTCCAAGGAGGTCGGTGAAGGTTTGCGATGGTTTGCGGCGTAATAACATGTAGAGAAACGCGGAGACAACACTCAACGCGCTCTGACACGTCCCCAGAAACATGACAGACTTGAATTTTTGAGAGCTTGACCCATCAATGGAGGCAAAAGGAACGGAAACTATGGAGCATTAAAGATGGGTGCGACAGCTAAGTTGACCACACACGTCGTTCTTGGGCTATGGCCCATAACTTGACAAAAATTAACGTTAATTAGAGCCAAACAGCACTGAATCTCACCAGAAAGCACGAATACACGCCGGTTACGCATAGCACCAGCCTATTTCATGTTAGAGGCGCGTATTCCACGAAGACGGACTCCAACCGAAGGATGGCCATGATCGAGGAAAGCAGGAAATAAAATTCCGAAAACGGACCGGGTCTGATGTAACGTGGCACTACGTCACCCGCTCTTTGACATGAACGACGACGACGAAATACCAACTCTTATCGAGCATCCCGCTGACGACGCACAAGACTCTTCTTCTTCTTCAGCTAAAAAAGTCCCTCTTACGATTATCTGCGGCTTTCTTGGTGCTGGGAAATCGACTCTGTTGCGACGAATCCTGACTGAGCAACATGGTTTTCGGATTGCAGTGATAATGAACGAATTTGGAGACACTGCAGTACGTACCCGTTACCTCTACTGCAGTTCGTCTTGATTCATTCCAGGACATTGAAGGTTTTACCTCCCTCCATCAAATGATGTATCTAATCCGACCCAGCAAAAACCATCAATCTTGCCTCTGAAGGTCAAGAAAGCGAAGAATTTCTCGAGCTCGCAAATGGGTGTCTTTGTTGTAGCATCAAAGATACTGGCATCGCTGCGATTGAGAAGCTGATGCAACGCAAAGGCGGATTTGACCATATTCTGCTGGAGACTACCGGCCTGGCAGACCCCGGGCCGATAGCGTCGCTTTTCTGGCACAATGAAGAGTTCTCGACTGGACTAGGAAGAGACATCGCCCTCGATGGTGTGATTTGTGTGGTTGATGCAGTCTTTGGCCCACAGGTGTGTTCACTTGAGTCCCCGTTCCTGATCTGAATCTGTGAAGCAAATGAGGGAAGATAGCGCCACTTCAACAGCTGGAGAGAGTCTTCGGTATTACTAACTGCTTGATGATGACTTGTCTAACGACATCTCACAGTCAAATTGCTGGCGCGGATATTTTATTATTGAACAAAGTTGATCTTGCAAAACCAGAATCGGTAGAAGAAACAGTCGATGTTCTGCGGGGTTTGAATCCCGCCGCGCCAGTATACCGCACGATTCGAGGTGAGGTAGAGATCAAGAAGCTTCTTGGAGTTCACGCGTATGCCGCGGCGCCCACCGTTATTTCCGGCCATGACCATGACCATCACGGAGACCACGTTCACGCACCAGAGCCAACCCACTACGAGTTGCGAGGCATTTCCAGTCTGCTTGTCACAGTGCCAACTCTTTCTCAAACACAACTTGATGGGTTGGATGAATGGGTCCGGACTGTGCTTTGGGAGCAACGCTTACCGGAAGTCACAACTTCAGAGAATACCGAACTATCGATACTCCGCTGCAAAGGGCTTTTTGTGACGGAATTTGGCTCACAATATGTGTTGCAAGGCGTGCGAAGTCTGTATGAAATGACGGTGGCCACTGATGGCCTTGGTCTGCCTGACGCCGGCAAGTTGGTATTGATTGGGACAGGACTTAACGCCCGTGTTCGGGAGAGTCTTGTGAAAATCTGGAGCCGATAGAAGCACGTAAACTACTTGCTGTACCTGTAGTTTATCGGAATCAGGCGGAATCAAATGACACATCGACGCGAAACTTCCTTTTCGATGGCTCACCATCACGGTCATCCTCAGCTTGTTTCTTACCATGTCGGATGACGAGGACCAGCATTATTATGCGTCCTCCCAACATTCTTCACCACCCGTAAAGCAGAAGAAGGTTGACAGAAGCTGTGATTGTGGGTGCTTGCTTGTGGAACAAGCACAAACTCTAACAATATACCACAGTGTGTCGCAAGAGAAAGAGTGAGTGTCCGTTGATCTGTTCGTTTATTGACTGACTTGGAGTGTAGTCCGATGTAAGAAACTCTTATTCGTATACGATTTAACGCGTTAAAAGCCCCGAATAGGCGACGGGCCCAAGACCGAAGGTGTACCGAACGCCAGTTGTGCCCATTGTGTTTCTTTCGGCTCCCCATGCACCTATCTACTCCCAACGAAGAAACGTGGACCCAAGAACAAACAAGTTGAGGAACTCAAGCGCCAGGTTGCGGTTCTTGAATCCAAACTGCGCACTTTGTCAATATGCTCTTTATGCTCTCAACCACTCCGAAATGATGGATCGGTCTTCCAACACGGAACCCCGAGCAGTGACTCTACTGCGTCAGATGATGTGAAGGAAGAGGCAGACGATGAGGAAGCTGAGGAGCTAGCGTCCGAGCTAAATCGAATAGCGGTCGACTCAAAATTCTTTGGAGCAAACAGTGGTTTCGCGTTGGCGAATGAGGCAATTGCAGTGTGTTATCGTATTTTAACATCGTCCTCAAACTCTCATCAGTGTCTCGTAGGCCAAGGAACGAGTCACTGGGCAGGTGAGCCCCGATACAGCACGACGGCTATTGTTTTGGCAAGTTCTCCCAGTAAGCGTCCGTTTCTATCATACATGACAACCTCATCCTCTTTAGTGGGAAAAAGAAGTCTACGAACAGCAAATTCAGTTCGTGTATCCTGAACCCAATCTACTCTACGACCTACTCCAACTATACTTTGCCTACGTCCACCCTACTCTTCCTATACTTCACCGCCCATCATTTGAAGTATAGTCGACTCCGTCCATGCATCTTACTTGCTGAACTATTCTCCAGAGATCCGTGTCTGAGGGTTTGCATCACAAGGATCCACAATTTGGGGCGATGCTCTTAGCAGTATTAGCAGTTGCCTCGCGAGTGAGTCTTCTTGTCCGGAAGTTTCAACACATTTACTGACTTTACATCTAGTTCTCTGACGATCCACGAGTCTTCGTTGATGGCCAGTCCACGCTTTCATCGGGCTGGCGATTCATAGCGCAAATACCTGTGGTATGAAGACGATATATCGGGAACGGCATTATCGCGGCTAACTGTGGGATTAGGTCAGAAAGTTCTTCGAACCCAACATCTATGAAGTCATCTTCTACTTCGTATGTTGGCCAGATCCCGCCATCTCCACACTAAAATTTGACAGCTAATGAGTCTCTATTCAATTGGAACATCGAGGCCCCAGGTGAGGTCGGCAGCGACGGGCTTTTGAGTTTTGCTGATCGGGTGTTCAATGGCAGGCGTCGTGGATCTACCTTGGCAACGGCATCCGTTTCCTACAACAACGGGGTGAACATCGTCGCAAACGTGAAGCAGAAACCGACAAGGACAAGGAGATCTGGTGTCGCGCATTCTGGTACATCTTATTTCGCGCTCCGCTCTATTTACGCTGATTGTGACCATCAGGTCATTTGTACTGCTTGATAGGATGATATGCGCCTACATCGGAAGACCTGCAGGTTCGTAGCCATCGTTTTCCCCTCGACCGCTTCTAATTAAACTCCCAGGTTTACATGTCGAAGAGTAAGTGAATTCGCCTGTTTGAGCTCGGGCTGCTCACAAAGACGAAGTTATGATGCCGATCCCATGCTCCAAGTTGACGATGAGTATTGGGACACCGGCTTCAAACAGCCACCAGATCGTCCCGCATATAGCGCCTTTTTTATCTGCTATGTTCAGTTGTCCGAAGTAGGCATCGTTTTGTGCCTCGTTATTGACGTGATTGACATTGACGACTGTAGATTCTCGGCGACGCCATGCGACAATTATACGGATCTAAAAAGTCGAAAACGCTCCAAGGTTGGAATGGTAAAGATTGGGAAGCGCGGGCCGTGTCCAATCTTGATTCCCGCATGAATTCAATATTTGACTCACTACCCCCACATCGTGCGTTCAATGATTCTTTCCAAATACTTGTCCAACTGTTTTTGTAGTCCGTTGGGATCCCGATAGGAAACCGCGGGATGCCTTTTTCGACCAGTCGTTCGTGCTCTATGTCACTTACTACTACACTCAAATAGTGGTAAGTGTTCTATTTTTTACTACACGTTCCGGCATCGAATGTTAACCTAGGTACATCGACCGTATATTCAAAAAATGAGCGCGGTCGCTGCCCCTTCACTTTCAATTTGCGCTCGTGCAGCCCGGTCAATTTTACATGCCACAGACGCATGGTTCAAAATCCAGAGACGACTTCCAATGCAATTCTGCGTGGTTTGCCTGCTCCTATGAAAGGCCTTTTATTTCGCTCATTTGCCTGCAGTCTCCGGTATTCGTATCCTCTGTTATTTTGATCATGAACACTTTCGGGAAGCGTCCTGGACCGTCAGTGGACAAGGACAAGGCACTGGTCGCAAAGGCCATGGAGCTGATCAAGTTTGCAGAGGCCCGGTGAGAATTTGTTTCAAACTTGAAATACTATGTTGTTGAACTACTGAATCAGACTACACCCTCAAGGACGCTTATGGGAACTGCTCAACCGGTTACAGTCTGTTGACGGGCCTCTATCAAAGCAACGAGTCAACATTGCTGGTGCCGCTCCTTCTCCATCTTACAAGGTCCCCCCACGCCCTTCTCCTTCGCATTCCCCACCATATATCCACGCGCACGCCAACTATGGGGAGATGGCTCAGCATATACCAGCAGCACCATTAGCTACTGTGTCCAGCGAGATGTACCCATCTCCACTTGCCAGTGAAGGCCAGCCTTCTCAAGCTGCGAAGGTATCACGACCAACGCCGCCGCCACCACCACCACCACCTCAGAGATGGCATGAAAGCGCGAACCCAAGCTTGAATGCGGGAAGCCATTTATCATATCCTCTCGCTGATTCGCCCCCGAACCCCAGCATGGTCGATTTTCATCAGTCGTACTCGTATCATCACCTCCAACCAGGCATGTCCATTGAAGAGTTGCTCGCGCAGACAGCGCAAATGGACAACGTTGTGGCGCCAGTTGGGAACCCCTATATCCAACAAATGCATGCTGTCTATGTCCAGGAGGACGATATGGCCATCGAGGAGGCTGATTTCCATATGTGGCAAAGTATACCCGACAACGTCGCTGACGTTGCCCAGTGGGGGATGTACATGCAGCGGAATTCCAGTGCGAGTCCCCCTAGCTTTGTCCGATCTTATTAGCATTAGATTTGTTGTAAGTAGCTGCTATACTCTTGTTGTACTGGAGGTTCATTTCTCAGGACACGACTCGGTGCGGTAGCCACTGAATTCCAGACTCAGTCCAGTAAGCCTCATTGGCACCAGTTCGTACGCGAATATCCCAACCCCGCTGCCGCTGAAGTGTCTGCAACCCTTTGCCAACCTCATTGTCGTAACCTTTGGGGTCATAGACGTATTCCAGACTGCGAAGGCGGCTAAGAGCAGCAGTCGTTGCTAAAGGTCCAAATCGTCCAACAACCATCTCGAGCAGCGTCGTCCACTTGCACTGTCCGTGAGCAAAGGCGGTGCTGGAAAGACGTAAAGTCTCTAGTCGGGGTAGGAGATATGGACGTTGAGGGCTCGGAGTCAAGCTTTCAAGGGTGCTGTCCATTAGGTAATTGGACCCCCATAGGGAGAGATCCTCCAACCTGGGGAAGAGAGCAAACACTTGCTCAGAATCCCCCTGGCAGACTTTGACAGAGATCAAGGAAACAGATAGTTTACGCAAACGCCGCGAACTCTGTGGCACACAGCTACCCAAGGAATACATTCGCAATGCATCGAGCGAAAAGTCTTCAAGATTGGGCATTTCAAAAGTCAAAGGGGTGTTCATGGTCTCGTATTCATTTTGTTGGTTGAAAGCAAACGACGCGTAGCGAAGATTGGGAAAGAAGATGTGTTCGGTCCACATGAAAGGAGACTCTGTTCTGATTGACAAGGAGACCAAATTCACGAGCTGCTGAAAGATGGTAGTCCTATAAGCGGGGTGAATATGACAGTTGACTTCGCTGTACTTTTCGAGATCTGAGAAGCGAATCGGAACCAAGTCCGCTAGTGACATTGTAAGACCAGTAAGACTCATTTCAGTCAAACGAGGTGTCGCAGGAGCATGGAGAAACGATCCTAGAGAAGACAAGTCTGAGGTGTCACCCCAACGGCGCTTGTCGAAAATCAAGCGCCGCAGTCGAGGGAAGTGTCGTCCTCGGATCTGCGAAAATGCGGCGGCGGACACAGTGAAGAGGATAAGTTCAACCCAGTGACGTGAATATTGAAGAAGTAGCTCCAGAGTGAATTTGGAGGCGGTGTTTATACCCCGTAACCGGAGGGATAGACCATGGGTCTTGGAGCGCTGCAGGCATGTTTTCACAAAATCGACTTGGCTTTCCAGGTCAAACCCCTCATCATCCTCTGTCGTTGGCTCCTGAGGCGGTCGCTGGAGTTCGTCTTCGAAATTCTCGTAGAGATATATTAGCTTGTCACCAACCGGTTGGTCGTAGCCCATATCGTCCCATGGGTCCATCGTGCGTTTTGGGGCATCGTAGATGTCAAGCACAGACCATAACTCGGGGAGACCCATCGCGACTTGCCTCCATGACTGACAGACCAGGCCCAAGAACCATGGAATATGGGTGGTCTCCTTTGGTCCTGATTCTATCCGTAGCGACGAGTGGCAAGGTCGAAAGTATTGGAATATTTCACTGAGGACTTCTGGTGGAAGTGTTTGGATCGGCGCTGACACCGGCGAAACCTGCAGTTGTTCAAGTTCAGACACCAGCCCACTGCGCTCAAGCTGTAGAGCACTCAGTGTGGCCTGGATCTCGGTTATTGTTACATCTAGAGCCGTTATTCGAGCCTCAATGTCGCTTCTGGGTTGACCAGGAGAGCCTGCATGGGTGATCATTTAGGTGCAGTTGAGAGTCTTTGAGAGTGAGGAGTGATAACATAAAATTGATCCGCATCATTTTTCCGTTGACCAGAAATGACAAAAAAGCAGTAGACAAGGTCCTCCCACCGAGTTCCACTAGAAATACACATTCATACCATAATTAATACAGAGATGGCTGGTTATAGTCCAAAATCGATTCTGTTACATTTTCCAATCAAAATACCTAGTGATGCAGTCAATTTTCATTGATCCGGTATCAATACAGCTAATTGATTTCTAGTCCCAAGGTTCGGGTCCTTCAGATAATTGCAGCCACTCTATTCCAGACTCGGTCCACACGCTCATATTATCGCCGGTTCTTACGCGGATGTCCCAACCACGCTGCCGCTGAAGTACCTGCAACCCTTTACCAACCTCGTTGTCGTACCCTCGAACATCACGCACGTATTCCAGACTTCGCAGCCGGGACACAGCGCCGGTCGTTACGAGCGGTCCGAACCGTCCATGGAGCATATCGAGTAATGTCGTCCATTTGCATTCTCCATGGGCGAAGGCAGTGCTGGAAAGACGCAAAGTTTCTAGTCGCGGCAGGAGACATGGACCTTGAGGGCTCGGAGTCAAGCTCTCGAGAGCGCTGTCGGTCAGGTAATTTGATCCCCACAAAGAAACATCCTCCAATTTTGGGAAAAGAGCAACACTTCCTCTGCAGCCCCCTGGTGAGAATCAACGCTCATCAAGGAAACGGAGAGCTTGCGCAGATGCGGCGAGCTACGCGGTAGGCAGCCGCTCAACGTGCCCAGACACATAGCCAGAATCGAGAAGTCTTCCAAGTTGGGCATCTCTAAAGTGAAAGGGCCTTTGACGGCACGGTATCCACTGCACCTCTCCAAGGCGAACGAGGCGTGGCGAAGATTGGGAAATAGTATATGTTCGGTCCACATGAAGGTCGAAGTTGTCTTAACGGACAAGGAAACAAGATTGACGAGCTGCTGTAAGACGACGGTCCGGTAACTGGGTGAAACAAGGCAACTGACTTCGCTATATTTTTTAAGAGCTGACCACCGAATTGGAACTACGCCTTTTTCTAGCGGTATGTGGAGATTGGCAAGACGAAGTTCAGTCAAACGAGGCGACGCTTGAGCATGCAAGAATGAATCCATAATGGGAGAATATAATTCGGTACTGTGCCACTGATTTTCGAATGTCAAGTATCGTAGTCGGGGAAAGTGTTGTCCTGAGCTTTCTATCTGGTAACAAATGGCGGGACAAGTTTCAACGAGAATAACTTGCTCCCAATGACGGGAGCGCTGAAGAAGTAGCTGCAGAATGAGATCCGAGGCGACGGTCTGTATGGTGTGTAAGCGGAGGGAGAGACCATGGGTTCTGGCGCGTTCGAGACACGTCTTCACACGCTCAACCTTCCATTCAATGTCGAATCCTTCAACATCCTCCTCCGTCAGGACTGCGTCTTGGGGTAATCGCTGAAGTTCAACCTCCAAATCATCATTCGGGAGATACGCTAGGTCGTAATGGTAGTAGCCCCCATTCGTCATGCGTCGAGGCAAGTCGTCAATGCAGAGCACAGACCATAGCCCACGAAGATTTATCGCAACTTGTCTCCACGAGCGACAGATTAGGCCCAAGAACCATGGGATGTGGGCTGTCTGTGCTGGTTCTGTATCTATCAGTAGTGACGCCGAAAAGTAAGGCTGAAAGTACTGAAAAATCTCTCCAAGAACTTCTGGGGGGAGGGTATGGATGGGTGCCCAGGAACCCCGCAGTTGGTCAAGTTCAGACACCAACGCAACGCGCTGAAGCTGTAGAGCACTCAGTGTGGACTGTGTCTCGGTTATTGTCACATCAAGGGCCGCTATTCGAGCCTCAATGTCGCGTTTTAGGTGAGCTGAAGCGCCTGCGGCTGAGTTGCGGTACGGGACGGTGACCATGATGAGGGTAAGACAGAAAAAAACAACAATGACATAAGATTGATCCGCTTCATTTGCTCCTTGCTGTTCACTACTACGCAATCCTGCAATCCTGGCAGGTCATCGGCATCCACCCAGACCTCATCGAGCCCGTGAAAACGCCCAAGACAAAGAAGAAAGGCTTCTGAGTGGAGATTCACCAAAAATATATTATTTGATTACGTGCTCGGTTAGGTCACGGGATCGTACCACTGTTCTGCTTCACTCCGTCGACGATTATAACATGGACGCCGAAGAGCTAGCACGCGCCGCCAAGGAGGTAGTATTCGACGCCCGGCGCAAAGACGAGCTCCAGTCAGTCGTATTGCCACTTGTTTCGCTCACTCACCTTCCCGGCAGCAAACTGACGCCGCGTCTCATCCGGCAGCGGCTCGAGACGCAGTTTGGGCTGGCAGAGGGAACGTTGGAGGGGTCAGAGTACAAAAAGGCGCTCAAGGCGGTCATTGGCGAAGCAACGGTGCGTTGCATTGTGGCCCTTTTTTGTTTTGCACCGCTGATCGAGAAATGCGCAGTCAGCACCAATACCCCCACTCAGCAAGCCAGTCTCTGAATCAAAGAAACGCAAGACTCCGGACGGCGACGACGCGGAGGCAGAGGAGGTGAAGAAGGATAAGGAACCTGCCAAACCGCGTAAACGGCCAAGCACGAGCAAGAAAGTGGTAGAATCAGACGGTGACAGTGACGAGTCTGACGCGCCGAAACCGCGTAAACGGCAGAAAACGACCAAGAAACCCGCGGTCGCGTCCGACGACTCTGATGAGGAAAAGCCTAATAACAAATCCAAATCCAAACCGAAACCGAAGGAACCTAAATCGCGTAGTAGCGCCAAAAGCGCGCCAAAGAAAGCGTTCAAATCATCCGTTTCGTTGCTTGTGCTTTTTGGTTTCCGCTGGTTTTTTTGACACCCGTACAGGAAACGGTGCTGTCATCTGACGCTGAACCAACGCCGGACGATGACGATAATGACAAAATGGAGGGCTCTTCCAAGCCGACTGAGAAACCCAAGGCTTCAGCAACAGCTGCCACGGCGGACAAATCATTGGCAGCGCATCAGAGTGACTCTGAACTTTCCGTGCTAGAAGACGACCCACCCAAAAAGTCGAACAAGAGGACAACGGAAAAGAAGAAAGAAAAGACAACAGGAAGTTCAGACGACAAACACGACGCGCAGATCAAGAAGCTCAAGGTATCTACGCGTCAGTTTTGGGTGCCCCAGGCTTATTGCCTTGACAGAGTTTTGTTTCAGCATGTGGTGTCAGGAAGGTGTGGTCCAAGGTGTTTGCAGATATCGACAAACCGACACGGCAAATCCAAAAATTAAAAGAGATCTTGGCGGAGCTGGGCATGGAGGGGCAGCCCAGTTTGGCGAAGGCGAAAGCGATCAAACAACGACGCGAATTGGCACAGGAACTGGGTATGTTACAAGATTTGCGGTGGTCATGTGGCGTTGACGCGCTGAACAGAGGATGTCCAAAACTTTGCGGCATCTCGGGGAATGAAAGCCAAGGCGGGTGATAAGAAGAAAGAACAGACACAAGACACATCTGAAGACGAGGCTGTACCAGAGAAGCGCAAGGTCTGTAGATTTTACCGTTCCTGGTTCTCAGACAATTGAACACGACTTGTCAGCCTAATGCGCGACAAAGTATCATGGCATTCCTCGAAGACCAAAGTAGCGATGGCGATGACTGAAGACGGGTGAGTCAGGTAGCGTACATGTGATGGGGTACTATCGGCTGTGAACGAGTTGTTCCGAATCAGTGTGTGCCTGACCGCAGATCATTACCACCACGAGACATAGAGGGGCCGTCGAACTCCACAACTCGAAGACTTCACGCAAAACTTACCCTCGAAACACCCTCCTTTGCCTCTGAATCGCAAACAGCCAGATCACCCCCCCCCGGATTTCCAACGGCAACATGACATAACCCGGTTCGCTTGACCGGACCAACCGAGTTGGACATAAATTGCTTTTTGACGCGACGCGTTTCTCCGCCACCATCGATTTCATAAAATACAAATGGCAATGACACTCGTGCTTCCACCTTTGGCGGTGTGGCTCGCGAAACAATCCCGTGCTTGTTGCTTGGCTGTTTAAGTATAGAGTTGACTTTCCAACTCCGCATTCTACCGGTCTTGTCTTCCCCCCGTTGCACCCAGACAATGCCAGCCTTACGCTCTGCCTCTACCTCTGGGTCCCATGCTTGTACCTTCTCTGGCTGCACGAAGCGATTTTCGACCAGTGGCCATCTGGCCCGCCACGTCCGTGTGCATACCGGAGAAATGGCCTTTGCCTGCTCCTTTCCCGGGTGCAAGACGCGTTGTTCACGACAAGACAACCTCAGACAACAGTCCGTGCCCATTCTTTTGTTGTAAACTAAAAAGTTGAATTTTGACCCGCCAGCTACCGTCTCCACTTTGATATCCGCGACCCTGAGGCGCTCCGGCGGCAAGCCCCACACAAGAAGCGGCGCAAGACGCGTGTTCAGCGCGTGTTGAGTTACAGTGACATTCCGCTTGTCGACAACCTCCCCAGTCCCCTGTCGATATCAGAGCAGTCCTCTTCCGCGAGTTCAAGCAGCTCTCGCTCGTCACCCTACCAAGTCCATTTAGATTTGGACGAGTCGATATACTGCCACTCTCCGCCATCGCAGCCGCTGTTATATGCACCAGATGCTGACCCACCAGCAACACTCTTCCTCTCGCCCCCCCCCCCCATCCACCAACTATTTCCCCGCCTACTCACCCACCTACTCGTACGGGTACGACCACTATTCTCCACCATCGCCAGACCACTATCCGCCGCAATCGCCCCCACACTGGTATTCTGGAAATTCGCAGTCTGGCGTGTACATTTGTTAATCGTCACCCCGGTGATGTGTTCAGCGAAAGCATGTTGCTATGATTACACGAGAACTATATCAATACATGTGTTTTTTGTAAGTAGTACTATACCAAAAAGAGATCAAGCAAAGCTGTTTTCCACGTCGGCGCTGTCGTCCCCTTGCTCGAGGTTCGCAAACGTAAGGAAGGCTGCTGGTCTATGCTCCTCCGCCCAGAACAACAATGGCGTGTCGAGCACCATCGAGTACCCGATATTCGGCGCCCACAATTGCGTTAGGCCAATACCGTAGTTCCACACTTTGCCTTCTGGGACCAGGGTCATACCCAGAATACGGTCGGATAGCAGCAGTTGAACTCGTTCAGACATATTCGGGTTGAAGCCGGCAGGATTCGCCCCGTTGTCCACGTTCTTCCTGCCCCAGTCAAACCCAGCGACAGTCAGCGAGTGTGCAGATAAGGATACTGATCCCGGTGTGAACGAAGTCGTCAGGCAGATCGACGATGGTGCCCATTCGGGGTGGTCAGCCATGATTTTCGCCTGGGTCGTCACGTCAGTGGGCGACAGATGATTAATTTCCAGCGCTTGGGTCTTGATCCACCCCAGCGGCTCCAGATCTTTCAACAGGAAATCTTCCTTGGGAAGTTTCGCGGGAAGCTCGACACTATTGTTGCTCCCTCGTTGGGGAACCCAGACGACCGCCTGATGATGTCATTCAGCCACAAAGAAACCCACACTGAACAGCAACTAACCTTGATCTCCTTCACTTGGGCGTTGTCGGGAGGAGACGAGCCGTACAGATATGCAGCAACTTGCGTCCGTAGGTCTGACGCAGTAATGAATGCTCGCAAGATGTTTTTGGGAAGCACATAAGTGTATGACGCCGCGTCGTCCTTGACATCGTCGTTGGAAACATAGATATGCTGCAAACGAAGAGGAAGATGTGTCGCAGAAATGGCGCGGACACGCCAGTCTGACTTGCTGCTGAACACAGACTGCTCGTAGTTCGTTGCTAAAGAGGAAATCAGTTATAAACTAGTGAGAACGATGCACATACTCGTGACGGTCTGGATTGCATCACCATGAACGTTGGTGGTCATCCTAGAATACTCCGTTAGCCCAAGCAACACAACCTCGAAGATCAGGAAAAACTTGCGTTTGAACAGCTGTGACCTGACTCTGTGCCTCCGTGCTCTTCTCTAGTTCAGCCATTTGCTGTCGCTGAACTGATGGCGCAGCAATCTCCTGTCCAAGAATGATATCTCGAACTTCACTGACAGTCAAGGAGGCGATGTTGACACTGTTGCGTTTGCCGAAATCCTATAGAAAAATTAACGAAAGTCAACAAGTAGAAAGAGCATGCTCACAGCAAGAATGAGCTCCTTCATGGCGACTTCCACCTTGATCCAGTCCTCATCGGTGAGCGATGGCCAGACAAAGTGGGGCTCGGTGATGGTGTTTTTGTCGGGATGCAGAATGATTTTAGCCTTCTCATTGTTGACGTGGAGAGCACGGAGAAGCAGGATAAGGCGGGAGAAAGCAGTGTAGCTCGAGATCGACTTGAGCCAGTCGTCGTACAGACTGAACAACACCATCTGCGGTTGTGTGGCGCGCTGAAAATAGCATTAGCCAATGGTGAAAGAACATTGGCATTCAAGCTTACAAGGATCAAATCACCGAACTTCTCCATCTTCATGCATGCTTGGAAGGGCAATTGTAGCTCGCTGCCCTTGATGACAATATTCGGGAAATCGAGCAGGTGAACCTCGAGTGGATCTACAAGGTAAATGAGAATCAAAGCCGAGAGTGAATGAGAGGGACAAACCTAACATGCCCTTGCGGGTGACAATGACCTGCTTGGGCTGTTCTTCAACGGGCAGCGACCGTACCAAGGCCGCAACTTCCTCGGCGGTTTTCCATTTTGCAAGCTGTCCGAGACGCTTCTGACCGGCCCATACACTGGTATGGATAATTTTGAGGAACAATTGGCCCGACCGAGGGTTAAAGATGAAGATGGCGCCGTCTAGATGTCTGAGGTCAACCGTGACTCTTTTTGTGATCAAGGGGACTTACTGATAGGCTTGGTGGTCAAATTACCCTCAAATGTCTTGTGGATCGTGACACGGTAGACGTTGGTGTCATCCACAAACCCTGCATTGGGTGAGCACAGAAAATGAAGCGTTATGATGGGCTTACAGATGATTTGGTTCGAGAAGAGCTCGGAATAGTTCTAGCAGTATCGTGAGTTGTTTTCTGAGAAGAGTAGCGCTAATCCTGACCTGGCTGTTCAAGTATGGTTCTGTTGGTTCAGACGAATATAGTTGAAGACCCTTCCTAATTCGTTCGCGAAGCACGTGACATGCCGGATTTGCTTTCATAATCTTCGCCATTGCTTGCTGAATGAGGGGTTTCATTCCAGGGAACCAGTTTCCGTAGGCAGACCAAAGATTATAGGCGAGGTCCATGCCAATCATGACACCGGTGGGGGACGGGTAGATGCTCATCGAATCAGATACGTAATCGAGGAATTTGGCGCGAGTATAACGTTCTATGTCGTGTGTGTCGAAGTCACCCCAACGAAGTTGGACATCAATCCAGAACTTATTGCTTGTTGTCCCATCGAGAACATCCTTGACCTAGACAACATGTGAGATGTACCAACTTGAGAAAACGAATATCTACATCAGTAACCAGAGAGGGCCGAGAGATGTTCCATTTGTACGCCGAAAAGAGCAAGATGTCCGCGCAAGAAGAATTCATCTTGTAACTCTTACGTGGATGGATTGTTTCCTTCTGGACAGTCTCGATCTGCAGTGGTTCAAGCTCTTGATCGAATACTTGACACTAGGGAAATGTTAGAACCAGGTTGCTGAAAGAGGCAAAAGCGTACCAAATCCATGACCACGCTCTCGTGAACTACACAACGAGATTAGCTTGTTAGTCCTTATGCAAAGGAAAAACATACTCTTCTGCCACAAATGGGCTCGGAATATCTGAATCAAACTGATCTTGAGCGTGGGAATCTTGCCATGCCTGATTGCCAAGGTCATCCGCGAAAAACAGCAAAAGGAAGGGACACACATGAAAATACCAGTCAAGTCTAGTTGTACTTGGAAACCGACATAGACATTGGCGCGATTGATCGTCGGACTCCACCAGAGAGTGAAACGACGATTCGGAATCTGATTGAGACCGGACCGTTGAGCATTGGTCAGTTTCTTGTATCTCATTGACTCCTCGAATCCAGAGGCCTTCTCCCAGAACAAACCTGAGCATAGATGAGTGAAATTTGGATGGATGCATTGGGCCCGTACCTTCCCAAGTTGGGAAATAAGTTCCCTTAAACAGCGTATGTTCGAGGATTCCCTCGACACCACCCAGAGCAGCAATGACATCAACTCGATAGTTGTTCAATTGCCATAGCTTGCCGTCATGTCGCTGAGACGTCCACCAGAAGGGATTGCTGTCGATGTGTTAGGTAGAATCAGACAAAGGAGGTAGCAGGACGGACTGCTTGAGGAGCTGATACTGTTTCCAGTCGGTTCGGACACGCCAACCACGATCATAGGCCAGCCTAACACACGTTGGAACGAGCAAAGAGATAAAAGGAGCGCACTCACGTATGTCGGTCCTTTTGGAAGAGCGTGTTGATTCGCGGGATACCTCGATCCCAGCTGTCCTCCAAATCTTCCAGGGTCAGACGACGGTTCTGAGCGTTGGCTTCCTTCCGCTTCATCGAGTATTCAGACCAGACACGCGCAGAGTCGAGGAACTCCGCCTCCCACGGTTGCAGGTAGCGATACAAGTTGGGAATGAGCTGGTCTTCTTCATGCGACATACCGGCGCGGAAATGTGTGACTAGAAGGTGTGAGAACGAGGGAAAGGTGTAGTGAAAGACACCTACCTGCTACATCGGTTTGTTTTGACCAACGAAGGTCGCTTTGCGGGATGAGAACATGGCCCATAGAAAGCATTCCAAGACCACCCAATTCCTAGCAACGAATAAGCTTACGAGTTGACTTGGCAGAGTTGAAACGCACCTTAGGAGTATAGAACACGACAGGAGGGAAACGGGAAGGCATTTTACTGTTCAGACCAATCTTGACACGAGTTTGAATCTTGTTCTCAGCTTTCACAAGCGAGTCAAGCAGCTCGTTGGTGTGGATAACAGCTTCTCGATAGTAGGTCATTAGTCCGATGAGCGCCGTGTTCCATTTATTAACAATCTTGGAGAACGTCGTCGAACCAGAGCTCATCAACACTTGTCGAATACGGTTATTGAAGGCTTGGACGCCTGATAAATAGATCAGGAAAAGTTGAAGACGAGAAGAAAACAAACCATCATCGGAGACCCGGAGGAAGGCTTGGGCAGTTCGCTCCTTCGTTTGCTCGTTGGTCAAGTTCCAGACAGCATCCTTCAACGAGAATTGTTCTCCGCTCATTGTTCGAATCTTAGGTAGAATACGGACTTCGAAGCCGCACATGGAGAACAGCAGTTGTGGGTTATTCTGCGAGTAAACACTAACGAAAGTGTCTTCCCATTCAATTGTCGTTAATGAACGCGGTAGACTCTGCTTGACGTTCCAGAATACTGCACGACCCAAGTTGACGTCGTGTTTGATGAGTCGCATGCGACAGTCTCGCGGCCAGCAACGCTTGTTATTGTAGCCGATGACATTGTTATTCGTGGGGTCGGGGTTGGCAGAAAGGTATCGTTGTATAAGATCACGGGATTCTTCGGCAGTGAAGCGGAAGAGAATGTGCAAACGATCGACGTATCTCGAGTAGAGACGAATTGGATGGTGCGTCTCTGTTTCCGAGTCGCGGTATTGCAAGAAGTTGTTGGGCATTGATGGAGGCCCGGCCATTTCGCTGGCGCGTTTGAGGCCCAAGATGAGAAGATCGAGTACGAGGCCGTAGTACTGGAAGACGAAAGCCGAGAATTGGAGACCGCGAATAAGACCAAAAGCGTTTGTGTGAGCCATGTCTTTGTAAGTGAGAACTAGCAAGGAGATTTAATCGAGGTTGAGACGGCAATTATGGGACGAACCGGTGTTGTTCTTAGCTGTGATGTAGTCTGCCAAGTTGTGGTCGAGGATCAGACGGAGGAGACGATTCAGCAAAGTCAGGTCGATCTTCTCGTAGACCTTGGAGAGGACCGTCTCCATGAGCACGTTACATTCGCCTTCGCTCGTCTCCCAGATGTCGGTCAGGTTGTTAATGCCTTGGCACCACTTGTAGACGAGAAGCGGTGGTGGCTCCGTATCCTGATAAAGTAGTTAGCGATGTGTTTGGAAAAAAAGCGTTCAGCTGTACAGCAGGTTTGATCCACGAAGGGAATAAACCTCGTTTGTCGGCCCTGGAAGATTATCAGCCTTGACAGCACTTGGAAACTGGGAATACTGACTCGAAGAAAAGGAATTGGTCAAGGTACTGGAGGTAATCGTGAGCATGAAAGGAATCAGTACCAGAGCATACGCACAGCATCCGTAATCTTTTCAACCGGCTCTATATCGTAGCAAGGGATCAGCTTGTCGTATGTATCGAAGAACTCGATTCCAGATTCTTTAAAGGCCCGCTGGGTGAGGAGGAGACGCTTGATACGTGATAGACCTGTAGCGTGATCAGTTGGAAGAAACAAGTAAAATGTAGACTAACATTCGTGAGGGTTATCGTAAGCCTGTTCAATGAGCGCGAGTTCTTCTCGTTGAGACTGGTTCAGACGACCCTTGACGGAGTACGCTTCCTTCAACTTTTCGAGTGCCAATACCAGCAACTTTGTGTCGTGCTTGTATGAGAGTGGTCTAGGTTGGTATCAGCCACTAAAATGACAAGAAATTTAGAACCACTAACGGGAAAGGAATGGGGGCGAATTTGCGACTCTCCAACCAATGTACTGTTGCGGTGTAGATGGCAACGGCCTCTTCTGCGCTGATGTAGGGTCCATCTTTAAGGTATCCGTGTTGACGTTCTTGCTCAGCCTTCAGGTACAAACCTAAGGCGATGAATTAGTGCTGGTCATCAACGTTGACAATTCTGGGTTGCACTCACGGGTAAGACGTCCCAAGTTCTTCTTCACGACCGCCTTGTCAACAGTCGCACCTCGACGGATACGCTCGCGGTTGTAGTGGGCAACAGAGCACCACCAATCCGCTTTGCTCTTGATGTAGCGCAAGATGATGTTTTCGATAGCAGTCGGCATACCCGGGACTTTCCATGGAACTAAAGAGAGTGAGAAAGGAGTGCCAGAGGGGTTAAGGACGTACTATTGGCTTTCCAGCAACGCCATGCTTCAGACAAGTGCTGCAAGATAGTTTTCGTCTTGTTCTGCTTGATCGACTCTGGCATCATGTCCATTATATCGTGCATGACGGCGGCGCGAAGTTCGAGGTCGTACTGAGACTCGACTCTCTGTTTGGTAACCGTCTTGGCGATACCTTTGCTGTTTCGCCCCTCGAATTGACGAGCAAGCAAATTACCGAGCCTAATATCCTGTCAAAAATATATATGACGAACAAAAGAAAGTAACGTGCCAGCGTTCAAGGAGAGGTACGATTCCACGCATGAAGAAGAGCCAGACACGCCACCCTGGAGCCCAGAATCCACAACCGGGGCCCTTACCAACAGGGCCTGTGTTGAAGCGGTAGTAGATCAAGTGCTTCAAGTCCTTTGTCATGCGGACTTGCCTCATGAGCTGGAAAACCGATGAGCGCCGGTGAGGAATGTACGATGGGGAATGTTACCTTGTACTTGTAACGATACATGCCCGTCAACGCGCCAATATGAGCAAAGATATACTGTAAAGCGTCGGCAAGCTGGAAGGCATCGACATTGCCCAATCGGAATTGAACGTTGGCATCGACAACAAGCTTCGTGAGGCGGAGGATTTCACGACAAAGATGGAAAGCGTTTCCAAAACGTGACTTCTTCCGTTCCTTAGTCGTCAAAGTCCTAAAGACAATTAGAAAAAAATGAGGCAGTAGAAAAAGGAGACGTGCTTGACGGGCTTTAAGTTCATGTTGTAGTCCAAATGAAGGTAGTTCAAGTTCTGCAAAAGACATCAGCAGAGAAAACTTGGATGAACACAGCCAAATAATACCTTGCGATGAATCAACAGATTTAACATGTTGTACCCTTGTCGGCACACTTGCAGCCCGGCCTCGACCCAGTCAAGCTTTGTTGTCTGGAAGAATTTGGTCGACTTGAGCTGTCTGAACAGGTTCTTCTTCGTCATCGGTTTCTCCGGCCGCGTTCTCAGCTCGTTCAACACGTAGCATTTCAAGAGTTTCTGGTAAGAGACTCGGACTTTGACGGCTTGGTTTGGCGGGCAATGTTCAAGGTACCAGTTCTTGACGAGAGGTATATCTTGCGCTCGCCGCATGCGGCCTGAACGACGGCCGTAAGGGTCCGGCGCCCACCATAGCGAAATAGCATCAGCAGTCAAATCATTTTCGAGGTCCTTTTCTTGTAGGAAAGGCTCGACGGTGTCAGGGAGCTCAAAATCGTCGTCGTCGGCGCCGTTGGGTCCGAATATCGAGTCTTCATGTGAGACGAGAGGGGCGTTCTTCGGAATGTGGCCGCGAAGTGAGACGGGGTTGATAAGTGGGTCGAAGTAGAAGGCCGGTAGGTCGGGATCATCCGTGCGAATATACACACTCTTTGGGGAGTGGTAAGGGGAGATGCGGACTGAACGTGGAAGAGAGTTGTACAGGTGCGGGAAGGCAACTTTGTATTCGGTCCGAATTTGCTGGCGGATGATAACCTTGTTGATGTCGTTGAACTCATTCCAATCATCGTCGAAGTTGTCCATGTCACGATACAAGGGCTCGAATTTGGGGCCGCCGGGAATGGCCATGTTGAGTGCCTTTGCAGTGAAGAAGGCTTTCTTGTCGAAGAGGTAGGTGGAATTCTTGTCGCCTTGGTCAGATAAGAGTGTCCTTCCCATGCGATACAAGTTCGCCATCACGGGAAGGGAAAGAGACCAATACTTGTATGAGGAGCCATTGACAGACGGCGTGTCGACGAGTGGCTTGGGGTCGTAAAACCAGTCGATGATTGCCTGGTCTTCATGGGGGTCCAGGTCAAACTGGATAGACTCTAGGGGCTCTACGTCGAGTACATTGTCGCCGTAGTCCAAAGGAGGTTCTTCGTCATCAAATGGCGGGAAGCGCATTCGTTTGAAATGCCTGCGGTCCCGCTTTTCGCGTCTCATCGCCAACCACATTGTGCTCCACTGCGCATGGTAGACCGGCTCAATAACGCGAGGTATCTCATTGACGAAGGTGATGGCGCCAGTAATGTGGTAGAGGACGGGCACCTCCCGAACCTGCTCCCACGGGAAAGGAAGATTTTCAAGCAGCTTCATGACGGCGTGAGGGACGTATTTGAGGGCACCTAGATGAACACGCTTGTCGTTGCGGAATTTTCGATTGCTCATGTCTCCATGGTCCTTGATAATTTTGCGAACGTGCTCGGGGGGAAGATCCTACGCGCCATAAGTAAAAAGACAACGCAAGCCAAAGTCGCGCACCTGCTTGCCCATATCGACATAACCACCCTTGCGCTTCTCTCCGTACCGCTTCCTTTGCATTTGCACCCATTTCATTGACTTTTGGGCCAATACTATTGCAAATGAGTCGCGGTTGTGTTTTTTCAAAGACGTGTCAACAGACCTTCTGGGGGAAGCTTGGATGAGGACGCGCCGCCAATGGGCATGCCTGGGGGAGGTGCAGGTACATAGCCTCCTGGCGGGGGCCGGAAACCAGGTGGGGGAGGAGGAAAACCGCTCATGCCTGCGAGCTGATGAGCGTCGAGGATGAGAGTGACGGGTCACGTCAGCCGTGACCTGGTCTGACTAAGCGATATTCCTCCTCCTCCGAGTCAAACTTCAACAAAGGACCATTCCATTCAAGTCCATGCATATCATAGTCCATGTCTACTACTACAGTCCATTAGGTTTAATCGTAAATTGGTAGAGGTAATAATCGGTCCGCGTTGAACAAGAAATTGTTGGCGACATCTTCCCCCTCAAGGAAACGGTTCGGATACAGCACTGGCAGACCGAATATTAGTTGCGGGTCGAATGCAGAATAAATCTTACCCAGATGCCCATTCAGTTGTCCCAGCAGCTTCTCCATCTCGTCTCGCTCCCATCTTTCAAAAGGCTCGGTGCCGGTATTCTTGGTAGTCTTACGCCGCTCTGGAGGGGTTGAATTGGACGTTGATTCTACTGGAGGAGAACTGCGACCATCTGATTCTTCCTCTTCAGTCTTATCGTCCGAGTGGGAGTGTGGATTAGGCTTCGGCCCAGGAATATTTGCTGGATGCCCAGCCGGATTGCCAGGAGCTGTGGAATTAGGCCCAATGGCGTCTTCGTCTCCAGTCTCGGACGGAACACGAGCGACAGCTTCAGGTGGGTTAGGATCATCGCGAGGCTGAGAACACACAGTCAGTGCTACCTTATTCTGGTATTGAAGCACCTACAGGTTTATTCAACCGCTCATGGTGAACGACAAACTCCTTGTACTGCTTCCAGGTCGTGATCAGGTCGTCAGGGATGGCATGGAAGACTTTGCGATAAATTTCGGTCTGTGGAACTGAGTGAGAGGTAAATAAAGATTCAAGAGTAAACGACAGACATTATGCGTGGCAGAAGCCACCCACACATTCTTCCAGAATTCATCACAGATAGGATCTTCAAAACCGCCAGCATCCACCTTGGGCCTTGGAGTCGGCAATGTCCATGTTTTACTTCCCAATTTGGCGCCGAGATGCCGTCTGAGTATTGATCGTGCCCTGGGAGCCGCCTTTTCTTCCTCTGTAGCATCGTCGGCTCCAGAGGGACCGGAACGAGCATGAGGCGGTTCATCGTCTGTTTTAGCATCACGAGAAGCATCCGCAGGAGCACCATACAGGTCGCCATCGGGTGTTCTAGGTTGAGGACTATCTTCAACATCCTCCGAGGTGCCGTTGATGCCAACAGTGTTCGGTGAATGATCGGCCGATGTCTCTTCAGCACCATTTTCAAGCTTGTCCGCAATGGGCAAGTCGTCGGCTTGGCTTTTCGGTGGCCTGTGCTCCAAGACAGTTTTCTCTTCTAGTGTGGGGACGAGAGCACTGGCGAAGCCTTCCTCGAGATTGCCCTCTCGATCATAGGTCATGCGCTCAGCCTCCAGCGAGTTCTCCCCTCCGGTATTGGCAGAGTTATGAACCAACCCAACCTTTCGCAAGAGTTTTGAAGCTGTGTGATCGCCCACCTCCGCGCTCCCGTGTAAAGCTATGACAGTAAGTGCTTGTTTAATTTAGCAGGTTCTTTCGCACCTTGATTGACTCCATCGAGGACCGTTTGGGCCAGAACCTTTGCAGCCGGTTTTGACTTGGACTCCTTCACATAGCCCTCCCCTTCGTCAGCATCAGGCACCCACTTTTCCTGCTCATGTTCGGGTTTTACAGGCTGTCGTGACATAAGGTCCTCTTCTTCGATGGTGTCCACATCGACGCCAAGATGCTCTCGCATCAGTCGCACCCTCAAACTGTGGGCGAACTGTCCAACCTGGAACGGCTTTCCCGCCATTTTCCTGCGACATTCTTGGGTTAACGACGCGTGATTAGAGAAGAAGGCATTTCCAATCACCCTGGAATCATCTCGGTGTCGCGAATAATCGCTGCCAACTCTGAATCGCGGTCTCCTCTTTGCGAGCGCTCATTGATGTTTGCACTTCCAATAATGGCAAGTCTATCGTCGACGATACACACTTTGCCATGGATGTACAGCTGGACGAGGGTCAATCATGTGACAGGCACGGAACCGTTACTCACTTGTTCCGTGGTTAAGACATCTCCCTTGAGCTTCCCCCAGTTTCGCAGGGAGAATACCGAAATATACTCGTCAGGCTGTACGGAGTTGAGAAGAAAACTTATCGACACTAAGAAGACTTACGTCAATGCCTTCCTTTCTCAGTCGCGAAAAAATAGAGTTCGGGCCCCTCGCTATCGTGCGGTTTTGGCACTCGAGGATAATACGGATCTGACGTGTCCGCATTGAATATTTCGAGACGGGAAATGGTCAGCTTACAGCACTCGCGTCGCCATGGTCAACAGGAAAAGTAAAGCCTGGTAGAAGAGGGATGACGATGCAGCACTTCCACGGCATTTTATCGTTATGAGCGCGGATAATGCGCTTCACAATAGCATCTCCAATCTTGTTCTCGATTTTCACGTCGTTGACAACGGTTCTGAGAAGACGTGAGCGAGAGAATCTTCAGGGTCGATGGACTGACGAAGTGATGAAGAACTGGTTCTCGATGTAGACGAAGTGTTCCGAAAGCTGAATGGCTAGAAATACCATGAGCCAGATGTCAAGTCAAGTTCCACAGCTGTAGTACCCTTGAGATACGCATTTTGAATAGAGTGTTCAACTTTCTTCGTTCCGAGCGACCATGGACCAGCAGAGCGACAAATCTGCATTTCACAAGTGCCTGTCAGCTGCATCTTGGTGAGTTCACTGGGTCTGAATTCTGGGGGCGGCAATAGGAACGGCATGGTTCGTGAGTGGTTCTATATTTAATTAGTCGTCAGGCAAATTTTGAGCAAGATTATCGACTTTGATTCGCAGAAGATAGTTCCACCTGAATCGGATTGAGATCATACTGCATTATGTTGGATGAAAGCGCACCGTTGGATGAAATGGCCTAAACCAAGTCTGAGGAAAAAGACATCAGTCTTAGAGAGGGAGACTTACGACACAGATCTCTTGCAGGCTGGCCTACAACCTGCATTCCGACGTCGTGCCTATGTCATGTTCAGAGAGGGAGGAAATCCGGAAGAAGCGGTCCTCACCAAGGCATTCTCGGAATTTTGCCTCTGTCGTACATATCCTCTTCCGGTTTGTTCAGCGTATGGAAGTCGGTGACCCGAGGATTGCTATAGTCCTTGCCTAGAGTAATTTAATGTGGAAACCAACGAATCAAACCTCCTTACCATGCCAGATTTTCGGTTGATCCTCTCCTTCGCCATCATCGATCACGATGTGTTGCGCGGTGTCCCAGCTAATAGAGCGTCACGTGATGACTCCAGATATTCTAACGACGCACCGTCCAAAACATAAATCCAATCCACCCATGAATGCGATAGTCGAATCAATAACGCACAGCTTCTCGTGCTATATATGGCACATGAGCTCGATGATTTCCGGGACGAGTATGGATGCTTTACATGAGCCCAATAGAAGGTCCCCGTTTGGAAGTGAGATGGTGAGCGCTGAACGAGAATGTTAGGATGAAGACCGGTGAGCCGCTGTTTCGCATAGCTTAAAGAAGAATGATTGAGTGCAAGACATGAGATGTGTCCAATGCCTACTTGCTATCCGTTGGAGTTGTGCGGCTTGAGACCTCCTGACTGAAAAGTGCTAAGAAAGAAGGAAACCAACGGCAGCGCGCTCACTAGAGGATGACATAAATCTTCACACCCTCCTTTGCCTTTCGTTCGAGCAAATGGTCCAATCGATAGCGATCCTTGTTCGGTCGACGGAGTTGCAGCTCTGGAATGATGAATCAGTTGAAACCAGAAAGGGAAAAGAGACTCATACCGGGGGATAACCACCAATCATGAATATAGATTGTTTCCCTCGCTAGCAGAAGCGCGCGCGACAGATTCCAGAAGTAGTCGCGCTATTAGCATCAGCTAGGTCATCATGTTAAACTGGAAAACGTACCCCATCAACCAACCACTGCGCGGCAACATTCAGACGAATGGGTGCAAAACTATCAAACCGATTGGGTTGGCAATAAGGTGAAGCCTTCACTTTTTCCAATGCTGTTATCCATTGCAGCATTTGACGCTGACATACTATGGGTCAGTTTCTAGGGCACGAATTCTAACAACGAACCTGATTGCGGGCAAAAAGTTTGAGGCGCATCTGTGAGTTGACGATATAAAACGTATGCTGCGACACGTCTTCCCCCGTTCTCTTCTTCTTTTTCTCGCTAGGATGCCAATTGCGCTCAGCGTTAGCCTCATCCGGCTTGTCGGCGAGTGGATTTGGGTTTGTTGACGGGTCAAGCATGGGGGTCGGAGGGCGGGAGATGGAAGATATGGACGAGCCAGAGCTCAGAGACATGTTATCGTCTCCATGAGTTCCATGATGACTCCTTCGAGACGAATGGACGATCCTCGAAAAAGAGCTTCGTATGGAGCCCATGATAGACCTGTTGTCATGCTCCGTTCCAGGAGGTTTAAGAAGGCCATTGGGGTGTTCCGCATGATCCTCAGCTTCGTCATCAGAGGCTTGGTGCAGGAGCTTCAAGCCCTGGCGATAATAACGCTTTGGTCGTTCGATGTCAAAGTCTGCATCGAGCATGAAAACATCCCAAACGGTCAGCTGATATGAGAGATGAGAAGTATGAGAACGGTGAAGGATGCACTCGCCTCGCCGGGTTCTCGTAGGACGACAATGTAGCTGTCCCTAACTGCACACCATCGACTTTCTTTGCGCTCCGACCAGCTCGCTGACTTCCGACCGAATCCACCGCCACCTTTTGTTGCCTCAATTTGTAGGTACCCAGCTTTGAGCTGGTGCCCGCCAGAGTGAGCCAGGTTCACAAACAAGGCGCTGATCTCGAGGAAGCTGGCAAGCCGATTAACTGATGGGTGGAACATCTGCAACGCGTCTTATTGAAAACCATGGGGTAGAGCACGAATTTACCACTGCACGGATTAAATTGATCAAATAAGTTTCTAGTTTTTCGCGCTGGAGTCGCGCGAAGTCCTTGTGGCCGATTTCCTTGTCTTCCTTCTGCAAGAATTTGAGGTAAGGAATGCTGGTCCTGGGGAATTCTGGTAGGTCATCGATATTACGGTTATATGCGTTAGAGAATGTGTAATGGGCATGAAGAGACAAGAAGTCTCGAAGCTGCCGGTAGACGACCCAACGAACGGCGCCATTTGCGTACTCGCATTCGATTCGGAAAACAGATTTTTTGCCCTCCAATGGATTCAAGCTGTCTGTGACGCGTATCCGAAGACGATGGAAGAGGGCGGGAATACGGCGGTGATTTTTCTCGTCGCGTTCGAACCACATTCGAAGCATTAGAGTCGATAGACCACCAGCGATGAGTTCGTCGGTGATGTTGACTGCGGTGGGAGTGACTGCAGATGCTCCTGGGGTCTCTGGCTTCGCTTGGCTGGCAATATGGGGGATAAGGGAGCGTAAACGACCCCATTTCGGTGTCGCCTTCTTTTCGCTCGGGGAATATGGCATCGAGGATGAGCGTCTGACATCGTTGCGGCCAGACGACCGGCTGTCATCGGTGTCTTGCCTTCCCTCACGCACTGCTGTGCTAGCAGTCTGTTCAGGCTCTGTGGTGAATGGCCCAGGTTTGTCGTCTTGTGGCGAGTCTTGAAACCATCGCAAGGGATTCCAGCCTTCTTCTAGGATGCGACTCTCCCGCTTCTTCCCTTTCCTATCGCTCCCTGGCATATCCAGCGGAGTTCGAAAGCCGTCATCGGTTCGAAAGCCGTCATCGATGTTTCTGGAGAAAGAGGATGGTAACATTCCATCTTCATACGCGTCTGCTTCCTCACAATCATCTTTGTCACCTGGAGTAGTAGGAAGTGTAGTGCCATAAGAAAGACTGCGAGGCGGTCCTGTGCGAGTGGATGGCGTTGACTGTCGAGGCCCATCTGGCCCAGACAAACGGGGTCGTTGGGGCGAGTCGGTAGGCGGCACTGACGGTGATGAGGAAGCGTGTTCTTTCGCGGCGTCTATCAACGCAGAGAGGCCCTCTATACTGGCCATGTTTCGTTGCAGCCGTTGGATAAAGGTAAAAGGAAAGTGGAGACGAAAAGCCAAGAACTTCAGGTTCGTCTGCCGACGTCATACCACGATCACATGTTTTGTCTTGATCACGCAACACGCGTCTCGTTGTTTCATTTTGCTCTACCTTGAAGTAGCTAGGTATCTGCTCGACGTTTGACCAGCTCTTCGTCCAAATACAGCTCCTGCAATAAGCCCGCTTCCACCTGGGTAGTTTCCGTGAAACAGCCCAACCATCTCCCCCGCGCAAAACAAACCTGGAATCGGCCGACCCGTCGAATCAGATATCACTTCCGCCGTTGTAGGTTCGATAGCCAGTCCACCAAATGTGAAAGTAATACCACAAGAGACCTTTACCGCTAGGAATGGCGGCTGGTCAATCGTCAATGCCCAGTTGGATTTAGGAGGAGAGAGCTGGCTCCCCGTTGAGCAACCGTCCTTGATGGCCGGATTCCATGCCGTGGGTTTCGACGATCGGTATGATTCCACCGCTGCGTTGAACTCCTTAATGGTACGCACAAATTCACTCTTCCTCTTCAGGCCTCTCTCTTGCAGCTTCTGAGCCAGGTCTTCCAAACTATCAGCAAAGGTTTTGGTGACCACTCCATCCCCGTATTCCTCTTTTCTTAGCATTGCAATGACCTTAGAGTCCCACACTTGGAAAACGTACGAGCCTGGCTGTTCGAGAATAGCTCTACCGAACTTGGCATAAGTATAATTTCGATAATCTGACCCAAGTAAGTCTTGATTTACGCAGAAATCGACACTCACCTTCTCCTTCATCCACAAACCTCTTTCCCTCGGCATTGAGCATCAGTCCGATTGGATAACCTGGATAAGTAGTTATATAGTATTGTACGCTATGAGAGTTTACTCGCCTGATTTAGTGTACTGATTTGTGAGTTCTCGGTTTCCTCCGTTGAGCGGTGCATCAGCATCCCCTGGAGTATATTTGTCATCGCACAAGGCGACGGGCAAGCACCGCTTACAGCAAGTACTATGACATCCAGCCCAGTGGCCTGTTCTTTGATGGTTGAGAAGTCGACTCAAAAACCTTTGGGGGAAATGTTTGTACCTGCGGGCGCCGAGGGTGGCAGCTAGAACAAACCCATCACCTGTATGCGGAATAAGGGCATCATAAAACGCTCATGGGTTTACTTATTGATTGTACGGTGTGCCTCTAAGCTGGTACTTGATATCAGTAATTCACAAGCAACAGCAAAAAAAAAACGTACGATGGCTCTCTCCCAGCCGGCTCCTAAGTGCCTGGCTCGGAGTTCGGAATTTGCCTCGAAGCCGCCTGCAGCTAGAACCACCGTGTGCGTCGCAATGCACACGCGTTTGCCATCTTTCTCCAAAATCAAACCACTGATAGTGCCATTCTCGTTTGTTTGAATATCCACAGCCCGAGAATTGAACCACATTTCGACCCCAATGCGCGCAAGGGCGGAGTGGTGGGCCGCGATAAGACCCTTTCCGCCATCTTCCGTGCATAGGGCCAGTCCACCCCAGAACTTCTGGCGTCCGCCCACATCATACGCCTGGCGATGGAATGAAATCCAGAACGGGATTCCCACGGTCTGCTTTAACCAAGTGATGGTGTCACGCGACGCGTCGACAACATTGCTCGCCAGAACCGCGTCCGGCCGCCCGCCACCCATGCGCATAATATCTTGAAGGAATTCTTCGCGCGTGTATGGCGCCAGGTCGATTTTCTCTGCTTGTTTAGCAGAAACATTACTTATAACCGACAGCAGGTCTTGCAATCCTCCGTGAGCAGTTCGGAATGCCCCTGCAGTGAAGTAACCATTCCCTCCAGCCCATTCTGGTGGGCAAGAGTCCACTAGGAGGACTAGTTGGAGTTCAGAGCGGGGTAACCGCCTCATATTGATTATCCAATTTCACCTTTCCTACTTCCTGATTCAGCGGCGGAGTACGCCGCGCAAGACCCCGCGTTTCCGGAGCCGACTACGATGCAGTCTGTCAAGTTTAAACACGGGACCGACGGCCTTTGACTACCAACCATATTGAGGCTCCATGAAGCTTGTTGAGGTCAAGACTAAGTGCCTTTCCATCGCATGACCTATTTGGTGAGATCAGGAACCCATGTGGGGAATTGAATCGCAACAGAAGCTTCTCTCGACCCCTCCAATCGAATCTGCGATATAGAGCTGATTTGTTTTCCCAGCGTCAGCTCGTGGAGTTCAAAGCCGAGCGTCGCAAGCATTCATGAAATCAGACTGGTAGTTTAGCGAGCAAATGGGGTATCGTGGGGTAGCACAAGTTCTTTCCGCGAATCGCAAACTCTAAAACGTCCGGAACAACGCTTCATTAGCCATAACGAGAAAACCTTATAAGTTTCTTACATCATCTAGGCGTGGATGATGTTCGGAGTTAAGGGTAACAGTTGAAGATTGTCATTGTCAAGGCATGGACATACGACAAACAGTTCCTGCGCCAGTATTGCCATCAAATGTGAAGAAGTTGGCGATGGGAGGATCGCGAGCCGCAAGCGTTTTGAGAATGTCTTGAGCAAGCATACCACCCACAATGGCGCACACAGGAGAAAACTCGGCCGTTGCAGTATCAGACAGCGATCTTGAGCGTCGCCGTCAAACAAAGAAGCTTGTAGGCGAGCTAAGGGGACTCACTGTATAAGCTCCGACGGTACCGACTCGAGCACCTGTTTTCTCACATCTGCTGCAGAAAGCAAGGAATCAGACAGTGATTGGAGCTCAGTGGCAGCCGCGGCACCGGCCGGTAGTCTTCCATGTCGTTTTTGGTACTCCCATAGACCTGGAAACGATCATTATTTCATTTTGGTCAAGCGAGGAAAGAAGGACTGACCAAGAATAGTAAACACAGCAGCAGGATTCACCTCTTTCGTTTGTCGTTTGGTCAGCTGTGTCCACTTGTGAGTCAATGCCTCAGTCAATGTTGGGTATGCAACAGTATATTTGATGTTCTTTTGCGCATCTTTTGGGACGGATCGGTCGTGACTAGCGAAACCATGTTGAGAAAACGGGGCGCTAGCAAATAAAAAAATAACCAACGGTGCAACGTATTCATGGGCAAGCAAATCACAAAATATATAGCCCAGAATGCCGTATGTGCCGCCGGCATAGAGTGGTTTCGCCAACCGCCGACAAGTCGCGTTAAATTTTAGCTGAATTGAGCGCGTCGGGCGTCAGCTCTAGCCAGAGTTGGACGGATGGTCGACTTACTAGGCCCTCCTTGTCCCAATCGGTCACGCAAACCAAGTCTACGGTTTGTACGATCGCATCGAGCTCTTCTCCTGCGGGAAAAGTGGCGATTGTCTCAATGGTCACAGACGGATTAAGGCTCTCTATGCGTTCCCGTGCTGCGAGGACCCGCTAAGCCGAAGTTACACCAGTGAATGTCCGTTGGCTGTTCCGAAATCGAGAAGAACTCACCTTTTTGCCGACATCCTCATCTCTGAAAAAGAAGCCGGAGCCAAGATCTTCCTCGACAACGTCTTCGGAATCCATGATGACAAGTTTTCCAATTCCGGCCAGCACAATATTCTTGATTACTTCAGTTGCAGTACCCTTCAAGCGCACAACCAGAATCGTCGCATTTCTCATCCTACCGCGTCTATCAGTATAGAATAACACTGATGTTTATGACTGGCCGTTGCTGAGCCTCAAAGCCCCATACCCGGATCTGTCGGTCGAGTCTTCCAACCTCTTCTTCAGTCAGTGTGGCCATGCTAATGCAATGCCACTTGTCACGTCGTTTCACGTTGATACTGGTCCTCTCTTAGGGCGTTATGTGATGTGAGCTAGTTGGCAGAGGCTAACTGGACTCGGGGCTGGACTGAGCAAGTGTACGTCGTCGCGGTTAATGGTCAAAAGAAAGTTGATCATGTGACCCCGTAACGTCATTAAGGCCTTGTACATTCTGTTTCGTCAATACAGCAGGATATAGCACACTTAATATACAATAAAGGGTATTCGTCGAGAGCAACAACAATAATAAGACCAGAAAAGCGAATCACGTCATCATAGCCATGCCCTGAACAGGAAGGTTAGTTGTACTGCCTTGGACAACAAGTTCAACAACATACGTCGCCTGATGAAGTCCCGTCCCTGTCGTCATCGAGCAAATAGTTCCGCTCAATTTCCGACAGGATGCTTAAAAAGTCCCCTACGAGACGTCAATTCATTGAAGACCTGGGAAGGATCAAGCAGCTTACAGAGATAGGCATGAGCTCGCGCGGCTGACGCAGGCGCTGTCTCTGCTTTTCGAACAGCATCCAATAAGGTGGACGCCACGAAGCGGACTTTGTGAACTAAACTCGGCCCATTCGTTGCGATTGATTGGATGGGAATGCTGTTAACAGGTTAAACGAGTCCGAAAGTCTTGGAAGCGTCATACCTGTGTAAGATGTTCAAGAGGTCACTAGCAACTGCCTCGCGATCCTCTGCGACCTTGTGTTCGTCGATGGCGCCGTTTATTTGCAGCATCAACTCATCACGGTACTGCTCGATGACGAACCGAACCAGTTGCTGGACGAAAGATGTCAGTATTGAGACATGATCTTAGGATGCTTATACCCACCTGAGTGACATAGATATTGCCCTGAACAACAAGGAACGGATTGAGAGCATTTTCCCTTGATGCATTGGGGTTGTCAAAGAAGTCTTTGACCTCCGCAAAAGTAGCTTGTCGGAATCCGGCCCCTCCATATTCGGGTGGTACATTGGTCGAGAATGATCGCTTGAGACGCAAAGGTTCGGGGCAATGCGACAGTGCTGCACAGATGCGACTATGGAGTGATTGGACTTCTTCAAGACGAGCAGTTGCAAATTGCCCTTGCGGCGGAGACCGCTTGTCGACCCTAATCCGCACAAGGATTTCGCCGAGGAGAGCGAATATTCTCGACGTATAGTTGAGTCCGGAAACAATAGCTAACGGAAAGTTAAAGACATCAAAAGCAGTTAGATGTCTGCGAACCCGTTTTGCCTTGCGGTTGAGGAAGATATGCGCTGGGAGTGATGCTGGGAACCGTCAGACCAAAAGGAACCACGGAAGAAAAATCGACCCACTATTCATCATCCAGTTCTTTGGGGAAGTGCAGAGTGCAGTCCTCATCACGCAAGCAGATGGGCCGACCAAGAAGAATCGACATGGACTTGTCCGCTACGCGACGCTCATCAGTCGAACACAATAATGCCCGTTAATTTACACACCTCCAAAAAGAAGCCAGAATACCCGACGTCGCACCTCGCACTCAATGGGATCGATGCCTTCGTAGGCGGCTTCCTCATGAAGTCTCAACGTGACCGCAATATGGGCAGCTTCCCCAAAGGCTGCGTGTTGTGTGGCATCATGACCCTCACAGAAATGGTAGATGCAATCGCTGAGACGCGTCAGATCAAAGAATTTGACAACGAGTGAACCAACAAGTATCGAATGACCACGTGCATCGACGTTGGTGGGTCGTACGAGGCAATCGTTATATGACGACTGGCTTCGTGGCAAGTCTGCGAAAGTTAGACTTATTTGGGGATAACGGGAGCAAGATTAGAAACATACCTGTGCCAACTTGCGGACTACGGGCCGCTCCATTGGAACGTAAGACCTTGGGACTTGGACCAGAGTCGACGCAACAGTCGACATGACAAGAGCGAAAAATAGGGGGTCCCGTTCTTCTCGGCGGGCATGTAGATCAGCCATGAAGGAAGGTTTGTGAATGCAGGGAGTGAGAGGGTAAACAAAGTCGAAGAATAACGCGATGATTAACGAGATGGTATCTCGTGGGGCAATCTCGTCCAATCGTCGTGGTCGATAGTAGTAGGAGAGTGGGGGGACAATGTTTGGCGGATGCGGAGGGAGGGCTTGATGTTGTTTATACGACCAGTTGTGTAAGGGATAAGTGCTGAATGACTCGGACGGTGAGTGAAACTCCTCAAGTTTCATGTTGGCCATTTCAGCGGGACGAATGAAGTTGGTTGGTGGCGAGCTGAACTGAGGATGGAAGGTGTCGGCGGCGATTTGGTAGCGGGAGGGAGGAACGGCGATGCTTGTAACTGAGGGTTTGAGAGTTGGCTCAAGATAGCCTGGTGGTGGACTCTTCGAGCCAACGGACAAATTTTTCTGGATTGGGCTGGATACCGGTGAAGTTGAAGGCTCATGGTCGGTTGTAGGGGTTTCGCTGGTTGGCGAAGTTACAGCAGCAGCCGCGGCAGCGGCCTCTTGTAATCTCCGCAAATACCTTCCAAGACTTGTTTGAGGCAATCGACAGCGGAGACAACAACACTCACAGGTTTGGAGGGCCGCGTTTTTTTGGTTGGTAGTCATAGGTGCAAGGAATACCAAGCGTTATGCAGTGTTTGCACGACTGTTTCTGGTCTTCGGGATTTTCTCTGGCGCAGCGGACTTTTCTGGCTCGACACGCATCGCAACCTAAAGGGAGTTGAAAATCGCGTTTGGTGGGGAAGGGGCAGTAGTAGACATACTCTGAGACTGGCGCCTACGGAAATCGTCAGCATACATCGAAGTTGAAGCAGAAAAAGTAAAGGACGTGGTAGACATTGTGGGGGTAGAATGCGGGGTTGGGAAGAGTTGAGGAAGAATGTCGGAAAAACCTACTTTCGTTTGACCTTGCTGTTATGGACATCGTCCTCTGACGGCGGAGTGGCTGAACTTGAATCTTTCTTTCGCGACGGCATTATCGTTTGGTGGGGGCAAGGGCGTTCAAGTCAGAGCCCCCACAGAGTGATTCTCTTTATGCAACCCGTCTGGCATTGGAGATCACTCGACCAACTCCTCGTTCAGACCATGTGAGCTAGCCACGGTCAATCTCCGGCCAAGATGAATCTCACCCAACAAGTTCCGCATCTCCGGGACTTTTTTCACGTGAGGAAATCATTTTTTTCCCTTCTGGAATCTTCAATCTATGTAAAATTCTATTATTCCCTCCTCGACAACTGCCTAATCATTCCTCGAACAGCTCGATCACTAACGCTCAACCAACCTGCCTTGTTGTGTCGCATCAAGCTCTTTATCAATCGACTTCGCAGTTGCTTCTGCTCCAAGTCTGCCCACAACGCCTTCTCCTTCAATATGTACTCCCAGAACTGGAACGCCAGCACTGGGCTTTCCGATTGTAAGGAAGCATAAACCAAATACTTCCCAAGATGAGGCGACGTGACTACGGTCGAGTGGTCGATGGCCTGCATCATCCGCCACACACTGTGCAGCTTTGCCCTCTGGTTGTGTCGTCCACCAGTTAGACTGCCGCGAACAAGCGATACGATTGACTTGGGGCTGAGGTGACCTTGCTTCAGTTCCCGGATGCGATTGACCATCTCATTTGCTAGTTCACGGTCGCCCTCTGCCAATGCCTGGTGCATAACAGTGCCATACGTGACGTGGTTGGGCTCGAGTCCTCGCTGTATCATGCGTTCGATTACTTTGGCCGCTTCTCTTGGGTCATGGGCAGCAACGGCCGTCAAGATAATATTAACATCTCGCAAATCGGGCATGTCACGTCGATGCAGCAGGAGGCGAAAGGTTTCGAAACCGTCCATATATCGGCCGACGATGAAATATGCTCGCGCCAGCGAAGAAAGTACCTCATGACGTGCATCTTGAATCGGCTGGTGTACTCGGATATATTCGTTGAGAACGAAAGTCGAGAATTCTTGTTCATCTTCCAGCTGTTCCCGAAGAACTTCGTTTTCGGGATTATCTGGCTGGTTGGAAAGAATGACTTGTCCCCGCCGAAAGAGATGTTGGTATAAGCTGAGAAACCGAATTAGCATCGCCGGGTCACCAACGAATACGCTGCGATCTTTGCCAGACGCAAATTTGGTCCAAAGCATCCTTGCTAGAATCGCGTGGCCATGACTGGCTAACTGAGCAACAATGGGGGCACGATGTTCGATGGGGAGAGGAATATTGCTGGTGAGAATTTCTTGACCCAAATCCTTGGCAAGGTGGGAGTGATAATCCAACAAATAGGACATCAGGAATGGTAGCGCCCTCCCGCGCGGACAAGGGTATTCATGGACTTCCATTACTTCCGGCGACCTCGAGAAAGAGTAGAGTGCATAAGCTTCAGACCCTGCGTCCAGGTCTGTCGCTGCGTCATAGAGCTGTTGAATCAAGACGTTTGGGACAGGCTCGACCTGGTGCACTTTTGTGATGAGGATTCGGCAGGCTTGGAGATCTGCCTCTCTTGGGTCGATGAGAAATACATGAACTGTGTCGATTGTAAGTCTGATGACAGACTCAGTGGGATTTTGGTCAATCAAACGCGAAAGTATCCGCTCCGCAAGTGGCCGCCAGTGCCAATACGCACTGGCTCGCACTAGCGACGCGCGAATAATGGAGACGAAGTCATCAACTTCAGGCATAGTTTGGACTGCTTCTGAGGGAATGTTTGCTGAATTGACGAGGAATTGGAATAGCTGTAGCGCCTGGGACTGCTCAGAGATGATGAGAAGTTTGTCAATGAAGGCAAAGGTGGCTTCGACGATGGGCGGAGGTGTGTAGCCCAAAATGTCGTCATTCTCAGGTGAGGATAGGCTTTCGAGGCGAGAAAGCAGCTCATGCGACAATATCCCCACAATGGACGCGTCAACTTGGCTAGGCGTTGCTTCCGTGAAAGCATCAGCAAGTCTTGTTATTTCCTTGACAGAGAACTTTTCAAAATGTCGAGGAATTGCTTCGAGGAGTAGAAGTAGGGTCTCGGGGTATAATAACATGAGAGCCGGCATGGATACTAACTGTTGCACCGAGGCAACAAGTTGCGCCGGGTGACAGAAGTGAAGGAGGTCCTTGACGAGGTCATTCATAGCCCTAGCCAGTTTGTACGACGCCGCTTGGTTGATTAGATAGAATCGTTCCTTTGTCGTTACACGCGCCAAAGCAGCACGGTCGACGAGACGAAGGTGACGATATGCATTGACTGGTTTAAAGCTATCCTGCGTTATTATGGCCTTGGAGGAAGGCCTCCAAGGGCTCTTGACGGCTTGTAATAGTTCTGCAGTAGAATAGGTTGTAAGCGGGTCGGGGCCAGTTCTGAAAAGACGTCTCGTTTGATGAAGCACTCTGGGTCCATTGTGGAACTGCAACCAGAGACGTCGACATGATATTAACATGAGTTAGCTGTTTACTGTTCCATTAGTACAACCCTGGGGCGAGAATGACGCGCACCTCATGCCGCCCTCCCGCCAACGAAAAATTTGGATGAGGGCTGTGACTTGAGGCGATTTGATGGCATGGTCACGCCGCATTCATAAACCTGAACACCGACGGACCGCCAGACTGCGCCAGTCAGTCTCCCTTTTCCATCATAAGGTCTCTTCGCTGGAGAGTGCGGACAATTTTCCCGGAAAGATGTCTGTGATGTCGAGATCCAGAATTGCTTACCCGGAACGGAGCTAGCCATGCTTAAAGTGAAGTAGAAGGATATCTACGAGGAAGGACAACTGAAAGAAGACTGTTCACGGTGTCTATAGCACATCTGCATAGCATAATAGTTGTGGCAGACGTGCATAATGAAGAATGAAGTAGCGGCACTTTTCTTCTACTTTTATACTTTGCTCGCGAGTGCCTGTACTATCGAACTCCTTCCAGCTCCCCAGCTGCAACTTCCACTTCCATTGTCAGATGAGACCCATATCTTTGCTGCTCAACGCGCCAACAATCGGTTCACGTGTCAACTCTAACTTTGTCCCTGACCGCGATGGGAGCCGGCCAATCGAGTCAGGCGTTGGATCCCTCAGGTGCGTATCGGTCTTCTCTTCAGTCTCCACTTTTCAATTCAGCCAGGCACCCCGCCCTCCACCGCTCTCCACGTTCTTCGTGTTACGCCTGACTCCCCGGCCTCTAAAACATCCATCGAAGTCTGTCCCGAGTTTCTGTGTTGGCCACCAGTTTGAACCCCGTCTAGCCACTATTTGACTTCGTCGTTGGATTCGAAGACGAGTCCTTGACGTCTACTATTGACGTAGCTGTTTTAGAACGGATTGTTGAGGGACATGAAGGCCGAACGTTAAACCTCCTTGTCTGGAATGCGAAAAATAGAGAAACCCGAGGTGTGTGGAGCAAACATAGCTGCTCAACGGTCTTTAACCATTCTACGCATAGTCGTTCAAATCGTTCCGTCGCGAAAATGGTCACTTCCAAGCGGCCCTTCTTCACCAGACGCGCAACCATCTCTTCTTGGACTCAGCATGCGAATGTGTGAGGTATAATTTCATCTTTCCCGCTTTGTGTAACCCTCAGGACCGTATTTAGCCTGAAGTCGCGCTTGACACTGTTTGGCACGTTCTCGATGTGTTCGTTGTGTATTTGACCTGGTATCCTGGCTCAATTGCTCGCAGGTTAGAAGGCTCGCCTGCGGAAAGTGCTGGTCTCGTTCCCTATGGAGGTGTGGCAGATTATGTTGCTCTCTTGCAGTCATAACATGTCGCAGACTACATCACTGGCTGGTCTGGTGGAGTCTTGAGCTCAGAAAATGACTTTTATGACCTTGTTGAAGCGGTAAGGAGTTCATGTCGTGTCAAGGGGCTAACTGGACCTTCTCGCAGCATATTGACAAACCATTGCAAGTCTATGTTTATTCTCATGTAGGTGCTTTCGCTCCTCGCTGTAGGTCTCTCACGTTTGAGTAGGATTTCGAGTTAGTGGCTAGTTCAATCATCTTGCTTCTCTGGATATTAACCTACATTAAGTGCATTGCGGGAAGTTGTACTGGTGCCGAATCGACACTGGGGCGGAGAGGGATTGTTAGGTTGCGTATTTGGGTCAGTCTTATGGTCATTTCTGCCTCACCAAACCTCATAATTTAAGCGTAGATATGGACTACTGCATCGTATTCCGCCTCAACCAGCCGACCGCATCGCAGGCGCATCGACGCCTCCAGAGCTTCACGAGCCGGATGATGAATTCGAGGAACAAGAACTCTTCGTTCCTGCCGACGTACATTACCCACAACCAAGATTACCCATGAACCTTCAACGACAAGAGGAGGATTGGCATTCGACCCAGGTGGATACAATACAGGAGGAGGAGTCAGTAACCCCACCAAACGAGCTTCAACATGACCACGGACATCTATATGGTCATAGCCACGACCATGCTCATCATGATCACGGACATGACCACCATGAACATGAACATGACCACCATGACCACCATACTCACGAGCATGACCATCCTCGGGAAGCGACACCAAGGCCTGAACCGCCCAAACGAACAGCCTCACTCAACGCTGCTTCTTCATTCCGGCGTGGTACGACAGAACTTTAGATTTACTTCAATGTACTCAACACTATTAGTGTCAACAGGCAGTCCCACACCTGTATTCTCATCACCCAGCAGAGTCCCAAGTCTCAATCATTCGGCTATTCATAGGCACACAGAGGATGGAAGTGACGATATGGATGATCGAGCAAGCCTTACCAGTGTCGACTGATGTTCTCCTTTTTCTATCTATAAACTGGAGTCCCACTCGTTATTGGAACGCATTCAACTTCGGAACATGTGTGAGGAGAGCATATGAGTGGGTGTTGGCCCTTCTCATCCCAGCCTCGCGTCTTGTGCCCATTGTTTGCAATATGAAGTTTATCCATAAAAACCAGGTTGGATCTTAGCACCGAACTAACAATACTTGCGGCATTGCTTGTTGAACACAACTAGATCAACGTCGTACTCGCGACGGATCCTCAGTCCGTCTATCGACAAGAGCATGTGATCGCGAAATGCTCAATCAAACGAAAGATCAAAGACCGCTAGCATGCAGCATAGTTGGGCATAGGACACTACATGACACCAGAGATCTACTCTTCGTCCTCCTCGTCGTTTTGCCTGGCATACACGTTAGCATAACCGTGGCATCCGAGATGCAGGAACTTACACAGCGTTGTAGCGCAGTTGATAGACGTCCTTGGACGGCGCAACGACACGGACCCAATCGCGGATCGATTGCTTTTTGAGGAACTTCTTCGTCAAGTACTTGAGGTAGCGCTTGGAGAATTGAATCGAGGTCGTGATAACGAGTTTCGAGCCAGCATCTGAAATGAAAAACAAGAAGTTAGCCCACAAACCTAGTGAATGCGTATAGACGTACTGTCCCGAACAATCTTGACATTATCACCAAGTTGTCCCGCTTTGCCCTCAACCTTTATGCGGTCGTGGAGGAATTTTTTCAAACTCGCCACCATCGAAGATGCCGTCTGCAGCTGGTTTTGAGTAGTCGATGATGAACTTGTGCTTGGAGACGGTCTTGGTGGGGGCGGCCTTGGGCTATTGCGAAAGTGTGAGGAACGGCTGCCTACTGAGAAGGTAACTCAGCAAAGCGCACCATGGTGGCTTGAGGAAAAAGTCGTTACATGTGACCATCAGTATCATGCTAGGTGTGACGCTCGCCGGAACAAACGGTCCGAGCTCAGCCAAGAAAAGGTGTCTAATTATACATTTCAAGTCGCTGGGTTGACGGCGACGTAGCCGCCATCTATGACAATCTCCTGGCCATTGGTATAGCACCCAGCTGGACTGGCAAGATAGATAACCGTCCCAGCCATTTCCTCCGCCGTTCCGGCCCGCTGAGCCGGAACTGGCATCACACCCTTCCCAATCTTGTCTACTTCCGCGGGTGGAATCTCGTCAAATGTCATTTCAGACGCGTATACTCCTGGCGCAATCGCATTCACGCGCACTTTCGCTCCCTTAAGAGCAAACTCGGTCGCCATCATCTTGGTGAGGTGGGATGCTGCTGCCTTAGCGCTGTTGTAGGCGAACTAATGCATGGAACATTCATTAGCAGTCTTCAGACACAGAGCAGACAACATACATGCTCTTGGGCGAGCTTGATAACGCCAGATATGCTTGTGATGTTGATAATGCTCGACGTAAAACCCGGCCACTTGCTCCCCTCTTGTGAGCCCTTGTCCAGCAAACCGAGAAACGCAGTTGACACGAAGAAGATCGAAAAGGTGTTAATCGTGTATAGATCGGACCACTGGCTGAAGGTTTGCTTCTCAAACAACGATTGACCAAGCGTTTCGATATCTTTCCGCTCTGGCGCCTGAGGGTCGTTGAAGAAAGGCGACGTGGGCCCCACTTGGCCGGCACTTGAAAATCGAGTATAAGTTGCAATGGGCAGTGGTCGGAAAAGAAAGTCACTTGTTGACAAGAATATGCAGCTTGCCCTCCTTCTCCTGGATGAGCTTCTTTGCTCCCAATATGCTCTCCTGGCTAGTCACGTCCATCTGCACCCTGAACAATTTAAAGCGTCATTATGAATCCTACAATCAAAAGATAGCAGCCAAGACACACGCAACCATGCCGGCCTTCCTTTCCCCTTCAGGTTTGCTATTCCATGCGTTGACGACCTTATCCAACACGTCTTTGCGTCGGCCTGTAATATATACCTTTGCTCCATTCGCAGCCAGGCCAGTCGAGATCATATAACCGATCCCCGTCCCACCACCCGTGACGAGCGCGACAAGTCCTGTGAGGTCGTAGATACTCTGCAGGTCGAGGGACATGGATGCGGAAGCCAAGTCAAGTTACAACCCGCGTGACCGCGGCCCGAGAAAGCATCTTCGGACCGGGGGCACCTTTTGAGCGACTAATCTCCGGCTTCTTTTCTTTGTTGCTTTATTCGTTCACGTGATCGCGTTTCACAAAACGGGAGTCAAAAGTCGTCATGGTTTCTAGTCTCGGATCCTTGACGTTAAGAGAGGCCTTGTCCCACCCATCCTAGTAGGTAGAACCAGTGTAGTGGTAAATCACTGAAATCTGTCAAAATTCTGTGATATCAAAAATTGTTGGTAAAAAGTGATGCGGGACAGGCCTCTATAACGTCTGGGGCATTTCGTCGAGCGAGGGTCCTCCAAATAAGGAAACCCCGCTGTGACACAACGCGTCTTGCTACCACTGGCAAACCCCAACCCCGTTCCTCCCACCAGCTCTCACGAGCGCATTCGTGCGCCGCTCGTACGCCAACCTTCAGGCTGCTCGTGACGCTGCCGCCAAAAAGCCGCGGGTACGACTCGACTGCGTTGTCAAGCCTGAAAAGTGTTTGGCATAAAGAGGAAAAACATAATCAGTTGCAATTTCCTTTCAAAAGAAAAAGAACAGCCAAGCTGGCCGCTGGAAGTCATGTGATGTGACATTGTGACAGATGACATCATTATGACATCATTGGGAACGCTCCGCAATGATGTCATACCTTGAAAACAGCATAAAAGGAGCTCAGTTTTGGATGCTAGAGGAGACAACCCCACTATACTTTCCCTCCCACTCATCCTCACATTTGAGTAGACACTACTGTGTGTACACTTGAATACATCTTACCTCTTTTGGACGATTTTGATCTGACATTTGATCCCATCAAACGATAAGGATTAAATAAGCTAGAACCCCACAAGAATATTTAGGAGTACTCACTGGCAGTCCTCTAGTATTTTTGATCTTCACAAGTCTTTGGTAGACTTATACGTACGATATACGAATTGATTGGTTTCCGATAGCTAAGGCAGTTATCTGGAATTAATCCCCGCAAGCCACGTTTACCTGGAATTCGCTTTGCCCGGTGCGCATAAAGGTTTTCTTCGAACAAGAATAATTGTTAGATCGCAAGCACCTAGTCAGCCCAACTTGATCACTCATTAAATTGACTCATCATTTGGAACTGCTGTGTTTGGATTAGCATAATTTTCTACTTTGCACGTTACGATTGAGAACTTGTTTTGCCCTGGTGCATTAGGTTTTCTACCCAGTTGTTTTTTTAGTTCAGTAAGCCAGAATTAGTCATTTACAGAATTGACTTTATCTTGGTTTATTATATCCCCAAATAACCATTTCTCAAATAATCCATTCAGAGTAAAATCTGAATAACCTACCATCACCTTTCCCACGAACTTATACGTGAAGTTCTTGGACAAAGTCGCTCCCAGAGCTTTACGTTGGAAAACAAATTTCCACTCGACATCATTGGAGCCCACCGCGAGGGGGATTAATTGGTGATAAACTTAATTAACCCTCTAAATTCCACAACAAATCCATTTCACCTACAACAATTCATCCCACCCTATATAAATTCTCATTTCACTATAAGAAATTCAACATGAGAATCAATGAAATACCCGAGTCATCTGGTATGGCAGCAGATGAGGCATTTGCTGCTAATCTTCAACAAGAGGAGTATGATCAACCCCAGGCAACTACTAGCAGGCATAAACCTATGCCTAAAAAGTCAAGAAAGGGTAAAGAAAGAGAAAGAGGAACAATCAGTGACTTTCTAGAAGACTTCAGTGAGGAGTCTGAGCCGGAGTATGTTAAACCATGGCCTAGAACTCCACCCTCCTCTCCTGAACCCCAACTAAGGATGCCTGCCTTACATTCATTTAATGCTCCCCTGAGGACTTCACTAGATATGCCTATTCCTGGTACCAAAGGTGCTCCCAAGACCTTCAAGGGAAAACATTCTGAGGTTGAGCAATTTGTCCGGACTTTTGATAGTCTTCTCTCTAAAAATAGAGTTACTGATGAGAAGGAGAAATGTCATTTTGTTCTGGACTACTGTTCTTCTAATATCAAAAATGTTATTAGAACCATGGACAATTTCCGACGACCCAGTTGGCTTGGGCTAAGAAAGGAAATTCTTAAAGTATTTGATGCTGAACGAGCCCTGCATAAATATCGGTTATCAGATATTGTCAGCTTTGCTAAGGAAATGACTAAGCAGAGTATAACATCTATGGCTCAGTGGCGAAAATATATTATAAGGTATAACACCGTAGCAGGGGGATTGTATACTCAGGGAAGAATTACTGAGGAGACATATCTCTGCTATTTTTGGGTTGGAATCTCCAAGGACTTACGTTCAGCGTTTGAATCATACATTTTACTGAACAGACGTCGCTTAAGTCAATCCCAATATTCTATGCAGGAAATTAATGCTGCAGCAGAATGGCACTTTAGAAGATCAAGAGTTGAAGAATTGTTACAGGACACTGCAGAATTTGGACTTGATGATTATGATCATGATGATGATTCAGAATCTGATTCTGATCAATCTGACAGTGACTCAGAATGGGATTATCGGCGATCAAAGCGAAAAAGGAGATCTGCCAAGAAATCTAAAGATAAAAAGTCCAGACCATCAACACCTAAATCCAAAGTTAAATTCAGTGGAAATGAGGAAGAGATAGCTGGGATGATTAAACAGCTAAATGGCATGAGACTGGAGGACCCAGAATATGCACCTACTTATTACAAGGTACTAGCTATGGACCAAACAGGAAATGCAGTACATTGTGTCAAGGCCCCAGCTCAAAGTCAGTCCACTTCCCAACCAACATATACACGGAGACCTAGCTTCTCATCATCAAATCAATATCCATCACGATCATCTGATGGATCATCGTCATCACCACCTACAACATCACAAAAAATTGCCTCTGCTGCCACTTATCCAAATAATATTCCAGTTGATCCTAATTGTTTTGGATGTAAAAAGCCTGGACATAGAATGTCTGAATGTCCAGAAATTAATGATTTGATTAGCAAGGGAATAATCAGCCAGCATCCCCAAACAAGGAGGTTGGAACTCAAATCAGGTGCTCCAATTAGAAGAATAGCTGGAGAATCCATAGTACAAGCAGTGGAAAGGTTGACCCAAGGACAAGTGGGTTCTGCTGTTATGTTGGCCTTTGTAGAGCCACTGTCTGGGACAAAAAGAGCAGTAGAGAATTTTTACCAATCCACAGCAAGGGTACAAGAGATTTACTCTGATCAATCTGATGATGATGAGGGTGATGAAAGTGCAGGTTATACAACAGATGAAGATCAGGATGAGATTGTATATCTGACAGTACCCAGGACTGTTCAGTTCATAGATGAGGAGAAAGCAGATGTATTTGAGGTTGATCGACGACAGAGTTCTATTCGCAGCGCCCGCAAGGAAGTATTTGATGGTGTCCATGTTCCGCCAAGGCCCAGAGCTAATACAAAGAGTCCATCACCAAAATCAAACCCGCCACCTGTTCATTCAACCCCAGCAGCAGCGCCACCCCACCCCCCCATGCTACCCCGCGTCCACCAACCCCGCCCGGATCCCGATCAGTACCTAAGAAGGAATTAAGTACGGACAGCAATATCAAACCTGTCGACGCACGGAAAACTCGCACCATTTCTGAGGGAGACATCGAGATGGTGGACAGGCCAGTCCGTGCTCATGAAGTCCCAGTACCACGAGATCCAGTGGATCCAGTGCGGCTGGGGCGAAATCGAGACAAGGAAAGCGGAGCACGAATACCTAACAGGCAATCAGCCATTTCCGCGACTGTAAATAGAAGTGACGTTACTAACCGCGCGCTCGATTCAAAGATTGAAGTCAGCTTGCGAGAACTAATGGAAGTCTCGAAAGATGTGCGATCAGAATTTACTGACCTGATACGGGTGCGCAACCCCAAAGCCGTCCTCATTGGTGCGCGGAAGACAGCCATGATTGGGAGCTTTGCGTGGCCCAGAATGGACGGTGTGTTGATTAAAGTGGAGATGGTGTCCGGAAATTCGATTATTACCGCCATTGTCGATACGGGGTCACAATTGAATGTCGCGCGAGGCGAAATTGCACGAAGGAAGATCCCGCAAGTAGTTGACACTACTTGTGTCATTAACATGAATGATGCTAATGGCGGATCGGGTCAGTTGCGAGGGATGATACGAAACGCGGAACTTGCCTGTGGAGGATTGAAGACCAAGGCGGATCTGTGGGTCTCGGAGCAAGCCCCATTCGACTTGCTGCTCGGTCGTCCCTGGCAGCGACAGAACAAGGTGAGTATTGACGAGCGAAGGGAAGGGACCTACCTGGTCTTCAAGGACCCCATTACGGACCGCCCACGATTTGAGCTGCTGGCGGCAGTCGCAGAAGACGATGCTGATGAGCCCGCCATACACTACCAGTCGCTGGCGTGGCTCCGCGCAAGCGACAAACAGGAACCCATTGAGCTGGCATCAGGGGATTCGGCTGAAGGTCATGCTGAAGGAAATAGTGGCGTCGGGAAAGAAGGGCAACGGTTGGGAGTCGCCGCCTTGCGACTTGCTCGACTGGTCATCAGTGCGACGGCGTTGGTGTTCTGTATTGTAATATTGAATTGTTTTCGAGCCACTAGATGGATGACAACGTCAGAAAACAACGAGAAGAACGAGCCAGAATACATACTGAGTGAATTTAACCAACCCCGTTGGCTTCAGCATTCAATCCCGCCTGTTCTCCGTCTTGAGGCTGCCGCGACCCGACAGTCAGCCGACGCATGGTGGCGTTTTGTCACCACACCCGTCGACAGGTTCTGGAGGTGGATGAATAGCCAAAGAGCAGCTGGGACCGAGACTGGGAATTTAAATGACGACTTACCAGTAGAGATTATTGGAAAACCATCTTTGAAACCGCATGCGACCACTACTTCCGTCGTTATCGAACCCCTGGTTACTTTGCTGCACATCGAGTTGATTGGTGGGGAGCACCACGAACAGTCTACGAGACTAACGAAGTCAATAGGACGGACAAGGGAGAACGCAATACTTACCGTTCTCCCAGATGGCCATGAAAATGATGATGATAGAACAGCTGGTGACGAAAATCGTCTACCAGACCAGAGACGATGGGCGGGAGCAAAAGGAGAACACTATAAAGAGGTGAGTGTCGATGAAGAACGGTCAGAACCAACAAATCACTCACCAGAACCAACCACCTCGCTCTCGAATTCAAGCTGGCCTCAGTCTCTATCCATATCATCATCACTCACCAAGATGCCACAGTTTCACTTACCCAGCCTCCAGCAGACACGATCCCCCAGCCTCCAACACCTCCAGCAGGTCCGCGAACCCCTCCCAACACGCCCAATGCGCCCCCTCTTGCAGCGAATGAACGCCATCACGGAGGACGACCAGGCAGCGCCTGGCGCGCCAACGGGCAACGCGGACGCGGAAATGTTCACGCGGGACGAGGTCGTGGCGGTGCACACCTTGGCCACCATGCACCAGCTGGACAACGGGGTAAGTAACCATCCATCTGTCTGTAAACACACTTACCGAAATTGCAAGGCCCGAACCCATATCCCCGCGGCCCATCTCAGCCAGCTCGAGGGCGATGGGACCACAGCTCAACCCCACGAGGCCCCCGCGCGAGTATCACCAGCTCTTCAGTTCGCGGCCCCACGACAGAGCGAGCTGCGACTGGAAGTAGCAGCCCGCCCGCCAACACCATTCCCGTTCCACAGTACGATGGACCGCGAGGCTGCGATGCAGGCTCAGCACGCGTTGCTTCTCCATCGTGGTCTGGTGGAGGCCATGGACCAACTCCGGATAAGCGAGGGTGGCTTAACGGCCAGCAGTCTGGTGGAGACACCAGACAACACAACCGAGTTGTCACCCCGGCCCACGCCAATGGTCCTTTGGTTTGGCCCCGCTCCTCTTCTCCCGTCAACCGCTTCCGCGCCACTAACCACTGACGTTGCCAACGAAGACCGTGCCGCGGTAAACTTCATCCGTCGTGGCATTGAGGAGAGTGACGCGTTCGGGAAAGCGCGGGCCGCCGCGTGGGACTGCCAGCTGACTACCATGCAGGCTATGCACGTACTGCATGCCCAGGAGCACGCTCATGCTCTCCAGGAACTGCTGAAAACCTTTTATCAGCAAGCCATCGACAACGGTAACCAAGGGCACGCTAACCTTTGGGCTGCCGCTGGATGGGCAGGGGAGAATGGCTGTGAGCGCATCGACGATTTTGCTTGTCGAAGGGTGATGTCCATGCTGCAAGCGGATGACCGATACGAAGAGATCTGGAAGGGTGTTGTCATCAGCGCTTGCGAATGGAGTCTGCAGTACAGCGAGTTGTACGCACCTTCTGTGCTTCAGTATTTTGGTGCTGACTTGACTTGCAGAGAGCGCTTGTTTGGCGTTGGGGAGGCCCAGCACATGGCGGAAGAAGAGACTAAGGCGTTCGGTGCGGTGACCGGTGACACGAGACCACACGTGGCTGTCACACCGGAGTCACTGCCCGAAAACCTCACTTCGCCGCCACCTTTCGATGCTTGGCCGACCCTCCTGCCCGACTACCCCTACGCGCAAGCGCTGCTCGCAGACCGGAAGAAGTATATGGTTGAAGAGGAGGACGGCACTGAAGGTCAGAACAAGCTTGAAATTGCAAAGAACACAACTAAACAAGTGAACTTACCAGGTGCTGAGTCCGACGAGAGTTTACCTGGAGCCCGCGATTTCATTATTCGCTGGCAGATGAATCGCATATCGGAGCTCTATGAAGCTGGTCAGCTGGAAGAAGCACGCAGGGTCTGGGTTAGCGCCATGCAATCCTTGTACAAACGCGCCAAATACCCTTTTCCTTCCCATTCCGACCTTCACCCCGAAGACGCGTCCGCCGAAAATGAGGGAGACGGTGATGACGACGAGTGGTATCAGAGCCTGGGCGGAGACAGCGAAAGCTCTTATGATGCGGATAGCGAAGAGGACGTGCTAGAAGACGGGTATGTGCGCTTACAGCTTACAACTTGTGTTAATTTGGTTGACAGGGAAATACGGGACAACATGCGCGCGGGCATGGACATTGACATGCCCTCGCTGCTTCCCCCGGACTCACCAGCCTATACTCTCTCTGACGAACCGGTGCTTGTTCGCAGTTCCATCCAACACCCGCCAATTGCTGCTTATCTTGTCCTGCCTTCTGTGCCGCAAGCCGCAACCAACCTCGCCACCACTACAGCTACTGCCGCGCCGCGCGTTCAGCTCGACAGCGCGCTCGGCCTCACTGTCGTCACCAACGAAGAAGAAACTCAATATAGCCTTCTTCACCCAGAACTGTCTTGGGAACGAACGGACCGACGTTTCGAGATGCACAACCTCTGGCGACATGTCTACCACCCACATGGCTCTTTTGTTCATCAACCACACATTCCGATGCGACTGTACGAGCAAGCAGGCGCATTCCGCGTGCTACCCTTTTCTGGCGACCTTGATCCACCCAACATCGAAATTTCACCTGATTCATCGGCAACCTCGAATTATCCTGACTCACCTTTAGCCGCATGGGACCCCGCGTATGAGTTCTCAACCTTGGAGTCTCATTTCGAAGAGGCGGTGGCCACTATCGAGAAACGGGAAGGTTTGCTGGGGGTAGCTTCGGTTATGAAGCGAATTTTGGAGCCTTATAAACTGGCGTACTCACTTTCCAGTGCGAACACGTTTGCGCCGCTCCGCCATGCTCACAACCTGGTTTATGGACGGACTGGTCTAGGCACTGTCTACGATCCCGACATGTGCCGAGAACCTGACGGGCAGCGCATGGAGTTCGTTATCGGAAACGAATTCCGGTTAGAGCTTGATGGAGAAGTAAATCCTGAAAAGCGGAGACCCTTTTGTAAGACTATCAGTTCAGAAACGCAGGATGGTACTGACATTGTGTCAGCGGGAACTCATTTCAATCTCCTCGCAACAGCGCAGGAGTTTCTTGGCACTTGGGATACCGCAGTGCATCGCATGCTTTTGATGGCTGCGCGAGCGGGGCTCAACCCGACCCAAGCAGCCTACCAACACCTTGTTCATCATAACCACGACAACGCGCGGGCCTTCAATTACCTCCATCCCATCCTCTCGCGTGACCAACATGCTCTCGGCGAAATCGCTTACCAACAGGTTTACTATCTTGGCTTTGTGGAGCAGGCCGAGCTCATGCGGCGCATTTTACGAATTCGATTTTATCCTCTAATTGAAGCCAAGCTTCAACAGCTCCGCAATGACGGCTTCCTCGACATCAACCATCTCGCTGGCGACCAAGAAGTCTGGACTCGTCACATCCCTGGGTTTCGGAGCATCCTCGACACCTTTGATAGTGACTCTGATCCCGGTTCAAGTGATATCGAATTTATCGACCCAATGGATGACCGACTTTTTGGTGAGCCACCATCCCCAGTATTCTCTGACTTCTTTCGAGATACTGATGACTATTCAGCAGCATCCCCATCCCCTCCCTTTCTTCAGCCTGATGACGAAACGGGCAATAACTTTCTCGCCAACTACACCGAGGCCCAACTTCGTGAAATTGCTGATGAGCTCATCGACTTTGGGCAGGAATTTCTTGGTGATGGTGATAATTTCTGGACTGGTGATCGCAACGACGAGACGATCCTGGTCGAGAGCCCTACTCAGGCCATCAATTATAGCAACGAGATCTTCTGGGCCAAGGCATAGGTCGGTGTTCGATATATACCAGGTACTCATCACATCTGTTCGCCGCGGGTCGCCACTGATTAGCACTGCAGAACCTGGAGATCGACAGCCTCATCCTGCTTCGCCGCCACAACTAACTGCAACACTGTATGTATATTATCTAAACTGGATAATACCCTTCCTTTTCTTCCTGTCACTTCAACTCCCTGCCTCTCTAGTCTTTCCTTCTCCTGTTGTTATCCACTTACCATATGACTCTATGAACCATCTACCTAATTTCCCTTTCACTCAATGGACATTTTATGCCTGTATATGGACATTACTTTTCCCTATCCTCCCCCTTGTTTCTATGGACTTAACTCTTGTTTGTCTTGTACTTATACTCAGAGTATTGGTGATCCTACTCAACAAATTTACTATTTGTCTTGGGTATCTCTGTGTGCTGCTAAGTGACTGGAGCTTAGTAAGACTCAAAATTGGATCTCAGACCAAAGTATCTTATTCAAATTTCTTCTTCTCAGCTTCTAACTTGGAGTTGAGTAATGAATCAACTCTGATGCCAGACACTGAGACTTGTGAAAATCTACTCAACTCAAGTTCAAACTGGACAAACAAAACTTGTGAAACTCAATCCTTGGGTTTCACACCAGAAGGTGACTCTGATATTTGGGAAGAAGATGATGACCTTATCTTCTATCCAGTAGAGATGGAGGACTCCAGTGGGAAAGCATATCAGGCTTTTACAATGTATAAAAGGGTGGATAAAAAGATCAGACCAGTATCTACTACCTTTTCCCCTGAGTATGAAGTCAAAAGACAAATTCCAGAAGACCCACTCAAGTCTCTCCCTTCACTCCCAACCAACCCACCAGTGTTTGTACCTACTGAAAGGATCACTACAGAAAGACTTTCTTTATTAGAGGTGAATTCTGACAAATTCCTTTCTTCAGAGGAAGAAAAGTTGATCTTACATCTTCTCAGGCTCAATGAAGAAGCATTAGCATTTGAAGATAGAGAAAGAGGCTCATTCAAGGATGAGTATTTCTCGCCATATAAGATAGCAACTATTCCTCATGTTCCCTGGGAATATAAGAATATTCCAATTCCCCCAGGTATACTAGACAAAGTTATTGATGTGCTGAAGTTAAAAATGGAGGCAGGAGTATATGAACTCTGTCAGTCATCTTATAGATCAAGATGGTTCTGTGTTATGAAAAAGAACGGAAAATTGCGAATAGTCCATGATCTCCAGCCACTTAACAAGGTCTCAATTCGGGATGCAGGAATGCTTCCAATTGTAGATGACTTTGTGGAAGGATTTGCAGGCCGCCAGTGTTATACAGTCTTTGACTTATACTGGGGCTTTGATGCCCGCAAAATGGAGCCAGAGAGCAGAGACATGACAGCCTTCATGACACCATTAGGACTTCTTAGAATCACTTCAATGCCAACAGGGTATACAAACTCTCCAGCAGAATTTCAAAAGTGTATGGTCTTTATACTACATGATGAGATTCCACACATAGCCAACGTGTTTATAGATGACCTTCCTATCAAAGGACCAGTATCTGCATATCTAGATAAAAATGGGCAGCCAGAGACCTTGCCAGAGAACCCTGGGATACGTCGTTTTATCTGGGAACATGCTAATGATGTTCACAGAATTATGCACAAAGTCAAACTAGCAGGAGGTACCTTCTCAGGGACTAAAGTACAAATATGCCGACGAGAAGCACTAATTGTTGGGCAATTATGTTCACCAGAGGGCCGTATACCTGATCGTAAGAAAGTGTCATCTATCTTAGATTGGCCACCCTTGAAGTCCCCCAAAGAAGTCCGACAATTTCTCGGACTCTGTGGGACTGTACGTATATGGATACCTCAATACTCCACTATAATTCGGCCGCTTACTGAATTGTATCGTAAAACTGTCGATTTTGCCTGGGATGAACGGAGATCACAAGCATTTGAGAAAATCAAACAGTTAGTAGCATCAGCCCCAGCCCTCACACCTATAGACTACAAGTCAGGCAGGCAAATAATATTGTCAATTGACTCTAGTAAGTATGGCACTGGTATGGTACTGTCCCAAATAGATGAAGAAGGACGCCGGCGACCTGCCCGGTATGGTTCTTTACCTATGAGTGAACGTGAATCCCGATATTCCCAGCCAAAACTTGAACTGTTTGGTGTATACAGAGCTCTCAGGCATTGGCGTTTATATTTGGTAGGGGCTCAAAATCTTCGTCTAGAAGTTGATGCCAAGTTTATTCAGGGGCTACTCAATAGTCCTGACTTGCAACCCGATGCAGCTGTCAATAGGTGGATACAAGGAATCCTTATGTTTCACTTTGAACTAGTCCATGTTCCAGCAGAAAAATTTCATGGGCCAGACGCATTATCCCGAGAGGGTTAGCACCTGGAGAAACCGCCAAAGATGATGATGATACCTGGCTAGATGAAATTGCTCTTCTTGTCAGAAAAGTAGACCCAACTACCCTCCCAGATAAAGCATTGAGCCTTCCATCCTGTCATCTTGCTAGAAGTACTCAGGAAATGGACTTGCGCAACATTGAACATTTTTTGAAAACACTTGAAGCCCCAAGTTTCTTGACACCACAAAAGCATCAGCGATTTCTGCGACAGGCAACACAGTTTATGGTTAACGAAGACAAACTATATAAACGAAATTCACATGGGCCTCCATTGCAAGTTATTACTGATCCCACTATACGCCTACGAATTCTCACACAGTCACATGAGGACTTAGGGCACAAAGGAGTCCGCGCCCTCTGGGAGCTATTACGTAACCGATTTTGGTGGCCAAAAATACATAATGACATCTCCCACCATGTGGCATCATGTCATACCTGCCAAGTTAGAAACACTCGGAAGATGGAAAAACCTCTCTCCGTATCAACACCAGTGACAATCTTTCAGAAAGTCTACATAGACATTATGAATATGCCTAAAGCAGGCAGTTTTACGAAAATTGTTGCAGCCCGAGATGACTTGACAGGTACATGCGAGGCTATGGCAATTGAAGACGCCACTGCGAATACTCTTGCACGTTTCTTCTGGACACATATCTACTGCCGCTATGGATGCCCACGCCGTGTAGTTACTGACAATGGACCCGAAGTCAAAGCAGGTTTTGAGGAACTCATGCAACGTCTGCGTGTTCCCCATGTCCGGGTTTCTGGCTATAATAAGCATGCTAACGGAGTTGTAGAACGCGCCACTTTACGTTGAGAGAAGCCATCGTGACGAGCCTGTGGGAAAAATCTTGATGACTGGCCTAACAAATTGCCTCTGGGAATCTTCGCCGATAGAGTCACTGTCAGCCGCGTGACAGGCTTTTCCCCTTACCAACTACTCCATGGCACAGACCCCATATTACCTTTTGACCTCTTTGAGGCCACCTTTCTAGTCACAGGATTTAAGCCCAATATGAGCACTACTGACTTGCTTGCTCTCCGAATTCGACAATTGGCCAAACTCAATACTGATGTGAAACGTGCTGCGAACATGCTTGCTCAGTCCCGATTTAGATCGAAAGCGCATTTTGAGCGGCGTTTCCACCACCGGCTGCTGAAGAGTGACTACCAGCCAGGCGAGCTTGTATTGTTACGAAATGTGGGCATTGAAAATCAAATGAGCATCAAGCGGAAAACAGAGGACCGATACTTAGGACCATACCAAGTGGTGCGAAAGAATGCAGGAGGAGCCTATATCATTAGTGAACTAGACGGAGCCGTTTTTTACTCAGAATCCAGTAGCCGCTTTTCGTCTTTACCCATATATCACCCGACGACACCCATTCATGCAATCTGACAGTGGCGAAAGTTCTTCGGATGACACCGACGGCTCCAGTGAGGAGGAAATTGACTCGGATAACGAGTAATCGGCGATTCCATGCCGAGAAGGAGGATGCTCGGCTGACTCTGTAAAACCATAACCATTAAAAGGAAGTCAGCCTTGAAGCGCACCTAACATGCAACTACCCACTCCGCCTTCCTCTCTCAAAGTCACCATGATCCCACCAACCCCAATCACTCGCCACAAGTCCACAGACTCTCTGGCCTCCCTCTCTTCTTCTGGAAGTACCATTGTTGTGCCATCCAACAGTGCTCGTAACTCGTTTTCGTCCTTCACCACTGAGGACCTCCTGGAGCTGGAAGCGGCCCGAGCTTCTAGTCACAATGCCTATCGCATCTGTCTTGATGATAACTCGATCAGCGAGGTAGCGCCCGAGGAGGATAGCGTATGTCGCCTGTGTAGAAAACATATACAGACGTGACTCATCAAAATTATCAGGGCTTGAACTTTTATATCAGGCAATCAACGACCACGAATACCAGGCTTGCGATATAAAGGAACCACCCTTCAGCCCAGCGTCCCTAACACTCCCATTCAAATCCACATTCACAAAACGATTACTCAGACTTGGAACCACTGTCTAAGTTCTTCATCGAAAAACCTGGAGATCTCCAATTGGGTAGGACCTCGGAAACCATTGAACGAGCCAACACTCCTGTACGCATACAGCCTTACTTGCTGTAGTGCTCCACTCCGCTATGACCACTCTCTTACCATTATTCTCACAGGTCCACCGCAACCGCTACAATGAACGAGAGGTCAAGCCTAAACCATCAGTCTGCAAACCCGAACCTGATGAAGTTGTAACCCCATCTATGCGACAACAGATTTTTCAAGAGCGTGCGGTTAATAACAAGCTCATTTCCGCCGCCTTGAACCCAGTCATGTGTGGCAACGCGCGTACCAGGTGGCCATCTCTGTTTATACCGACAGCCAGACTGGGGAGAAGTACTTTTGTATTTCGTCAGGTCTGCCATACCTACTCAAGAGAGGCGACACACTTGTCACCCACAAGGTTTGGAGGGGACTTGGAAGGTAAAAGACATCTGGACATCTGATTTTTGGTGGGCGCACGTCAAGCTCTACAATTCAGAGCGGAAGGAAGAGGCACTAGTCCGCATCAGCTATGAATACGCCAATGCTCGTTTGGTGTCTGGCACTATGGTGGGCAACTGGCTGGCCGAAGAAAATCTCTCAAGCAATTACTAAGCTTTGTCGTGCAGGTCAGGCTTTCCAACGAAACATTTATAGCCTTGTGAAACATGTGGTTCAAGTGCTCTTCGAGAGCGGAAATACAAACGCGCAATCCTTTTGACATTTTAGCTATACGTACGATACATATATGTTTTGTGTAGATGAACAATCCCTCGACTGATGCTCCTTCTTTTTGAATTTGAAAGGATTTAGCCTAGCTTATGTTTTTCCTCTATCAACTGAGGGCAGTTGAAAAATCTGTTCGCCGCGGATGTCAAGCCTGAAAAGTGTTTGGCATAAAGAGGAAAAACATAATCAGTTGCAATTTCCTTTCAAAAGAAAAAAGAACAGCCAAGCTGGCCGCTGGAAGTCATGTGATGTGACATTGTGACAGATGACATCATTATGACATCATTGGGAACGCTCCGCAATGATGTCATACCTTGAAAACAGCATAAAAGGAGCTCAGTTTTGGATGCTAGAGAGACAACCCCCACTATACTTTCCCTCCCACTCATCCTCACATTTGAGTAGACACTACTGTGTGTACACTTGAATACATCTTACCTCTTTTGGACGATTTTGATCTGACATTTGATCCCATCAAACGATAAGGATTAAATAAGCTAGAACCCCCACAAGAATATTAGGAGTACTCACTGGCAGTCCTCTAGTATTTTTGATCTTCACAAGTCTTTGGTAGACTTATACGTGCGATATACGAATTGATTGGTTTCCGATAGCTAAGGCAGTTATCTGGAATTAATCCCCAAAGCCACGTTTACCTGGAATTCGCTTTGCCCCGGTGCGCATAAGGTTTTCTTCGAACAAGAATAATTGTTAGATCGCAAGCACCTAGTCAGCCCAACTTGATCACTCATTAAATTGACTCATCATTTGGAACTGCTGTGTTTGGATTAGCATAATTTTCTACTTTGCACGTTACGATTGAGAACTTGTTTTGCCCTGGTGCGCATTAGGTTTTCTACCCAGTTGTTTTTTTAGTTCAGTAAGCCAGAATTAGTCATTTACAGAATTGACTTTATCTTGGTTTATTATATCCCCAAATAACCATTTCTCAAATAATCCATTCAGAGTAAAATCTGAATAACCTACCATCACCTTTCCCACGAACTTATACGTGAAGTTCTTGGACAAAGTCGCTCCCAGAGCTTTACGTTGGAAAACAAATTTCCACTCGACAGCGTGGCGCGATGACACTCAAGCCAAATTCGAGGCTGCATTCAAGCACCCCGCCCATGACTGGCAGTTGGACATCTCGGAAGCAGTGACACTGGGGAAGGATACTGTGCTGTTGGCTGGGACGGGGATGGGGAAAACAGCCCCATTCATGTTATTGCTACTTGGCAATGACAAAATGGGCCTGTTTATCTCGCCATTGAAGCTCTTACAGGTAGAGCAGGTGAGTGTTTCTATACCATATATTCGCGCTCTGACCACTCTACCTAGGCCGCAAAATTTAACGCGATGGGGATACCAGCGGTAGCGGTAAACGGAGACACTTGGGATGCAGACAGCGAGATGGCCAAGGTGCGTCGTCTTTTCATGCAATTTCTAGCACCTACTAACGTCTACAACTAGAAACTCAAGTCTGGCGCTTACCGCGCGATCTTCGCGGGGCCAGAGATGTGTCGCAAGCACGAACCTTTTCGTGCTTGCATTCGCGAACTCTCAAAACGGTTCTGTGTGCTGGGAATCGACGAAGGCCACTGTGTTTACCAGTGGGGAGGCAAATTTCGACCCGACTACTCCCTGCTTGCCGAACTCCTCGCTCTCTTACCCATCCGCATTCCCATTCTCGTTGTCTCTGCAACGATGAATCGTAAATGCCTCAAGACGGTCACCGAAAAGCTTACTATTTCCCTCAACACCTCTTTCTTTCTCAACCTCGGCAACGACCGTCCCAACATCTCAACTTCTGTTGTCCATATGAACAGTTCAGAAGACTACGCAGCCCTCGAACCCTTTCTTGTCCTCAACGCCAAACGAGCGAGCGACGTTACATCATCACCCTTTTTCGACACAAAAATATAGGCCAGACTCTCAAGTTCTTCTGACAGTATCTGGTTGTATGCCTCGGTGAAGAGTTGCTTCATGGCTATGCGTGCGGGTCGCTCCTCAAGTCTCGATATGGGTGGCTTCCAAAGGCGGCGCAGAATACCAGAAAGCTTATTGCCATTGACTAGCGTTGTCCGTGCACCCCGAATTCTCGCATCTTTGGTACACTGCTTGTCTCCCCACAACACAGCATTGACTACAGTCTCGAAGCTGAGGCCTATCATGTCCATCGTGTTTACAGCTGTTTCAATAAACCTTGAGACTAACAAGTTTTTTTCTGGCCAAAGGTCTTGCTCGGAGATATTTTTGATGGCTGATAGCGCGCACCTTATTTGGGTTATTTGACTGCGGCTAATGGCCAAGGCATTGAAGGCAAGCCAATGACCAAGTGTTTCTATTCCCCTTCTGCCACAGGGAGCAGTGGTTCATACTGCACAAATCTTGTTTCATGCACTGCTGCACGACGACGCAAACTGTGCTGACTGAAGCCAACGCGTTGGCACTTGGCAGTAGGACTGCCAGTGACGGCGCCGTCCATAGCCGCCTATAGCCGCGGTCGAAGGGCCAAAAAAGGTGTGTCTTATCATTCCATCAAAGGTAAATCTGAATAAAACCAGCGCGAAAGAAAAACAACAAGTCTCAAGGTTTATTGAAACAGCTGTAAGACTGTCAAGACTTTATCGCGAAGCTCTGTCGAGTCTGAGAGGTCATCGACAGCCGTGGGAGGCGTGGAAGCAGGTGGTGTCGTAACTGAGATGTCGGGCCCACTAGATTCCGAGGCCGAGTCATCGTGGTCAGAGTCGCTGGATGGCGGCTCGTCGTCGGGCATTGTAGTGAGGAAAGCAAAGCTCTGAGATTAGGAGCACTAGGCAGCAAATTGATCTATTATGATGAAGCCGCTACCGCCAAGATGTGACAGCGTGATGGATCTACAGTCTACGGTACGAAATGCCCCAGACGTTCCAGTGGACTTCCCGTCGCCCGATCTTACCCGAAATTTTTGATATCATTGATGCTTGTTCCGAAATTTCCCTGCGGAGATTTTCGAAGTCCACTGGAATGTCTGGGGACGAGACTACATGGTTTCATTATCGTCATGAAGAGTCCGAAGAGTTGTAATCATTTTTTATCATGCTCTGCGACTTTCGCTCCGACCGCTTTCCACCCTGCCGTGGGGCTTCCTCATCACTGGCGCGAAATGCACCAACCGTTTCTCTGGGTAGTTGACGAAATGTCGACCGTTCTCCGCAAATCCATACTGCCCCGTGATGCGCATGACTTCATATGAACAAGGGCAGACGCGCTGGAAGGCCCTGAGGTTGGGGAACGGCTTGCGGTGTCGTGCCAAGTCGACGAGTTCGAGTGTCCGCAAAGCAGGCATCCTTAACGAGCTCAACAGATGGAGCATGGCGCGGGGAATTTCAGAGCCATCCACAAGGAGGTGAAGGGACGAAAGGCGGCGGAGAATTGCAGGTAATGGGCGAGCAAGGGTCTTGATTTTGGAGGAAGGAGGAAGAAGAGCAGGACGATCGGGAAAAAGGACGCGCAATTCTCGCAAGGCTGGACATGCTCTGAGAGCATGGAGAAGTTCCGCAGCGGCCTTTTCTCCATCTGAAAACGCGTGGTGTCGGTAGTCTAAGAAAGTCAGCATGCCCACAAATGTCGGAAGCCAGGCAATGCGTATGCCGTCCAACACAAGTCGATTCAAACGAGGAGCAAAGCCAGAGAAGAGGTAAAACTCGGTCGCATCTTCGTTGTCGCGAAAGACTAGCTTCATTGACTCCAGCCATAGGGCTCTAGGAGCCCAACGTAAACTCGACAATGCAGCACTTGCCATTCTTGGCTCAGCGTTGGTACTGAAGATTTCGATCTCGAACGAGCGCCAACGATGAGCCTGGACTGCGAGGTTCTTCATAAGCCTGTCTACATTCTGGCCATCCAAACGCTGTGACACTGGCCTGACCCAGCCCCACACGCGCATCGCACGGTTTGGCCGCAAGCAAACATCCAACGGAGAGGATCTGGCACGGAGAACTCGGGCATGAATCAGGTTTTGCTGGCCGTCCATGTTCGAGTGAACCACGACAATTGGAATTCGCCGCCAGAGGGCCGGCGTATGTAGCGCTATGAGGCGCCATATTCGACAAACTTGGGACAGAGTGAATGGAATGAGGTCGGTTGTCGCGTCTGATGGGTCGGATTCGGCAGCAGCCACAAAGATCCTCGACAGAATCTCAGGAGGCAGTCTATGGATTGGTTGTAGACGCTGCTGGCGTGAACGTCGCGGTGTGGGAGGAAAGGTGCTATGTAGAGGAGGTGGAAAGCTGGAAAAGTCGTTAGTGTCGGGTGTTAGGGGCGAATGAACGCACAATTTGTGGAACATGGAGACTAGCTTGTAGCAAAAGGATGGCATGGTCGCAGGACGAGAGAGTGAAGCCGGGACTTCATTCTACGAACAATAGTATATATCATGAACGGCTGCTTACTTTGTCCGTGTTGGCGGTGCAGAGACGGCGCGAGTCCCGAAGCAGCCATATGGATACCGAGAAGGTGAGACAAAGGACTCACGTCGACAGTTGGCGGCAACACTGAGAACAAGACAAGAGGAAATGCAGATCCGAGAGACTGGGTTGGGCAGCTCGGCCTTAGAGGCGTTAATGGTGGCGCCTGCTTCCCTTCATTTGTTCGTGGGAGCCTACTTTAGGAGTTCAAGATACGCATTGGTGGCGGTAAAACCCAAGTTGGGCTTTCATGCGACCAAGTACTAGTGACATCACTCTTTTTCAAGACAACAAAATTGTGTTCACGATGCTACTTACGGTATACGACAACATTATAAGTACGACGGGTCTACTAAAACTAACTACGGATCAATACACAGTAAAAGCAACAGAATACACGAAGAATAACAAGCATTAAAGTGTTGAGTGGGGAGCGTGATTGGCGTGATATGGGGACATTATGAATGGAGTGAGGCGGGGAGAGATAAGCGTACAAAAGTAAGGGCAGAATTATAAGGCCATAAGGTGGAACGACGATGCGTTCTTTTTTCAGAAAGCGGTCATGTCGCTATCTCTATGAAGCTTCGCCAGCTCCAGCGTGAGTTAGAGTCGTCATCATTGCGGAAGTCCATGAAAGACTGCAGGCCGAGAACAGTCTTGCGACGAGCGCGCTTGGGAGGTTCGGCGGAGGCAGGCGGGGTGGGAACATAATAAGGGTTGTCGATAAGCATGGCCAGTTGGTCGTTCGTCAATGAGAGGTCGATTTCCTCATCCGCAGGGAGGATTTGGTCCTCGTCTTCATCTTCGCTCAGACTGATGAAGTTGCCCGTGACCTCAAATTTCGGTTTTACGGGCCTCTTTCCTTCCAGACGCTCCAATGCGCGATCTCTACGCGTGCGACGGTAGTGCGTAGACACCGTTGAAGATGTCGCAGAAGCCCGGGTCGCCTGTGAGGCAACAGAAGGTTTGCGCTGAACAGGGGTGGGACTTCGTGAAAGAGAAGGGTTGAGGACATCGAGATTGTTGTTATCGGGAAGACTCGGAAGAGAGGTCATCGGAGCAGGTTTAGCAGACGGCAAAATACGCGGAGATGGTGGTACAGTTGGTGAGTCTGGAACCATCACGCTGCAGCAAACCGAGTTAGGTTCGACGGTGGGGAGAAGAGGGGTCTAACTCACGAGTCAAAAGAGAATGGACCAATGGACCGTCGGTGGGCTAGATCCAGTGAGAGGAATGAACGGTAATCGTCGCGTGTTGGCGTAAAGTAGAAGTGCGACACTTCTGACGGTGTTCTCGAGTGACCGGATACTGGTAAAGACGACCTTCTTTCCGATGTTGGGGCTGAGGACGCTGGGGAGAGAAGTCCTGAGATGAAAAACGACGAGTAGGACATGGTGGCCAGGAACAAAAAAAAACAATAAAGAGTTCGTATGATTTAGTGCCGCGTTTTATGCGCGATGACGGTTTCAGCCGGACAGCGCATCATTGTGACTCTGTCCCGGTTGTTCACCAACCACATAGCAACCGCCACGTTGCTACCACCTGGCTGTGAAATTTTCGTTCATTTTCTCCTGTTGAGTCAATCTTGAGTGGGTCTCTGCATTTTCCGCTTTCTGGCTCCAGCTCGGCTCCAGCTTTGCTCCAGTTGCTATGCAAGACCGGATGTTTCTCTCGAGAATGCACACCGAGTATAAATTCTGGGTTCTAAGATTGCCCCTCAAAATCCCTCTTCAACGACCTTAACGACCCCAAGAAGATCATGCTCTCCCCCATACGCCTTGCTGTTGTGGCTAGCATTGTCTCCTCGTCCTATGCTATGCCTGCAATTATCTATGTCCCCGACTTTGGTATCAATGCGAACGTGAATGCTCAGGCATCCGTTACATTAGGTCCTTCCCCCTCTTTGGTCGATGTTTCGCCTGCGGTTTCTTCCGCTGCTGCTGCGATTGCCAAAGCTCCAGCCGCAGCCATCTCGCAGCTGTCGAGCGCTTTCTCGTCCCTATTTGTCCCATCCCCGAGTATTCCGGCTCTCCCAACTGGCTCCGCAGTCGCGACAATCCAGTCCCTTGCGTCAGGCTTTGAGAGCGCTGTTGCCCAACTGCTGGCCTTGCTGAACAGCTCAGTCACCCCTGACACCAAGACTCAGGTGGCGATAATCGTCCAACAACTCAGTCAAATGATATCGCAGTTGGTACGACGATTTGCCATTGTGTAGGCCAGTGATACTGACTGTGTTGCGATGTGTCTAGTCCAGTCAGGCATCGGGACTGAGTCAAGTAGACCAGAAAACCATTCAGGATGCTGTCAACACTTTGTGGAGCCAAGTAACCAAGCAAGGATTTCCAACAGTGTACCAATCGTCCCTCTGCTCGTTGTCTGGCCCATTGTTGGTGCGTATAATCCAAAATAATTGATGCCCTGTTAACCTCATCTCAAGGCCTCCGGCACTACCCTGGGTTTCCGAAACACCGCAGTAAGCCTGGGTGCAACCTTCGGCACCTGTTAGTTGATCTTATCTGACTACCCTGTTGTACAAAGATTATGGACTTAGCCTAGAAATGTGTACTGACATATTTTTTGTGACATTTTGGCGTGACCAGCTTGAAGCCGACAAATCCTCTAAGAATCACTTTCCCCAACTGTGCACAGCGGCTCGGGATCCATTATTCGCGAATTGATGCTGATGCTGAAATGTTGAACTGATGTCTATGGCGCTTATCGCGGATTGCGCCATCTTGTTCTCAGATTGTCATCGAAGTCTTGTCGAGGGCTCAAGAACTCCCAAATTCCTTCCTTCTCGCCAACTTCTCGCACTCAAGCAGCTTCTTCCATCGCCTACGTCGGGTAATGGCCCTGGAATGTCGCCATACCGCCATTCTCCGGTCAGAATCGAGGACAATTGGCAGCGCAAACGTTCGGCGAGTGCTGAGAGCGGTTTGACACCACGCGAAGAGAGATCAATCCATTCAAATACGTCCATATGTACGTGACGTATAAAAGCCAGGTCCCTTGAGTCCGTTGTACTTACCACCATGGCTCTCCTCCGCCTTCTGGCGCTTTCCCTTTTCCTGGCCTCCACGTCTGCCAACTCCGACGCGCGTGGAAAACACGGGGCCGTCGTCAGCGAGGTCAAAGAATGCTCTGACCATGGTGTCGAGATTCTCAAAATTGGGGGGAGTGCCGCGGACGCGGTGAGCCATTCCTCTGACGCGTCATTTGGATTTCTAAGCTGTTATAGATCATCGCTACGGGTCTCTGTGTCGGCGTTATCGGCGCGTTTCACTCAGGAATCGGGGGAGGAGGGTTCATGATTGTGCGTTCCCAAAATGGACGCAGAACTGCCTACGAAACGGTGTGTATCAACGCGTAACAACTTTGTCCTACTAAGTGATCATGAGATCGACTTTAGGGAGGAAATGCCAGCTCTCGGCAATGTCACCATGTACTCGCAAAACTCGAACCCCACTGCTTCGACCATTGGTGGTCTTTCGGTTGGTATTCCTGGAGAGCTGCGAGGTTGGCAATTGCTTCACCAGCGACATGGCAAACTCCCATGGCCTGTGCTCTTCATCCCTGCTATCAAAGTCGCACGCGGCGGGTTCAAGGTCAATGTCGATTTGGCTGCAGCACTCAACCGTAAGGCTTTCCATGGATTAAGATCAGATTCTGATGCCATATATTAATAGCAACGACTTATCCTTTCTTGCTCAGTGACCCATTATGGGCTGAAGTCTACGCACCAAACGGCAAAGTTGCTACCTTTAACCAGACAATCTACCGGAAGCGATACGCCAAAACCCTTGAGACGATCGCAGCACTGGGTGCCGATGCGTTTTACCGTGGACCCATTGCGGAAAACACCAGCAAAGCGGCTCGTAAGACCGGTGGAATTCTGACAACGCAAGATCTCGCCAAATACAAAGCGATCCTGCGCCAGCCAAGAAACATCACCTATCGCGGCCGCTACCGCATCTTCTCGACTGTTGCCCCATCGTCTGGCACTGTCGTCCTCTCTGCCCTCAAAATATTTGACGCTTATGCCAAAGACATCGAAACTGACCAGACGACCCATGCGCTAATTCAGAGCACCAAGTTTGGTTACGGTCAACGCACGACGTTCGGTGATCCGGCGTTCACCAAGAACGTGACCCAGTTGGAGGGATTGTATCTCCAGGACTCTACGGTTGCGTCCATCCGCGCCCGATTGCCTCTCAACACGACTTTCACGGCCCCATACTACATCCCGTCGAACTACTCTGTTCTTGATGACCATGGAACGAGCCACATGGCTGCGGTGGACAAGTGGGGGAATGCAGTTTCGTTGACCAGCACCGTCAACCTCTACTGGGGCAGTCGGGTGATGACTGAAGACGGATTCGTGCTAAACGATGAGATGGACGACTTTTCGTCTCCCAACTCGACCAACTCGTTTGGGTTCCCGGCCTCACCAATCAATTTTATTGCACCTTTTAAGCGACCACAGTCGTCTATATCGTCGTCCATCGCCGAGGACCTGAAGACAGGCGAGTTTATAATGGCGACTGGCTCTGCAGGCGGTTCACGCATCATCACTGCAACTCTCCAAAACTTGCACCACCATCTTGATCTTGGTTTGACTGCAGTTCAGTCAGCGTTCACACCACGCTGGCACGACCAATTGGGTGTCTCGACGCTTTTCGAAGGTTATGGCACTGTCAATGCCGCGGCAGGTGCTGCACTGGGAATCGCGCCGTTCTCCAACGCGACAATCGGGTACCTTGTTGGACTGGGGTACAACGTTTCGACGCAGGACTACACTGGGAGCACCAGTCACGTTATCGTCAAAAAAGACTCGACATTCGAGGCGTCCAACGACCCGCGCAAGTCTGCGGGCGGGGGAAGTGCGTATTAGAGCAATGTATACCCTCATTCTAATACGACAGTCTGCGTTTAATTTTCAGCGTGAGCATTCATGAGCAGCCAAACTAACCCAAAGCGGGTGTTGGACCAGGTCAGGCACTCTTCAGCGGCGAGGGGGCGCTTGGGGACATCTGGTTCGCCGAGCAGATGGCGAGGGGAGTAGGAGGAAGATGGCGTTTATCCTCGTCCTTCCCTGGTCGTGATCGTGCCAGGTAATCAGAAGACAGTCAACGAGTTGGATAAAGGAATTCATGAAACCAAGAGCAAATAGGATGGGAGTACCAGCCGTTTTAATGGCTAGCTGGTTCCGTGGCCCTCTGAACGCTCTATGGTGTCCCATGAACATTTCTGATCTTCTGAGACTTTTGAATTTTCTTTCTTTCTGCCGTTTTTGATGACGGAAAATATTTTTGTCGAAGCTGCCAGAGCAAGGTTTTACACCGGCCAGAAACCATTGTAGCACAAGCGGGAGGAGAGAAAGGCGATCGGCGTGACAGCTGTCAATACATCACCGAGTTGAGTCAAGTTGCACTCGACCAACTCGGACACTAATTATGATGATTTCCTTCGCCCACACACGTAACACTCCTCAGAAAGCCACCTTTTCCCCACATCCATCGCAATAAGACACTCGCTTCCACGAGGAATGTCATCCCCGCCTTCAAGCTCTTCCGAACTTGAAAATGAGGAATTTGGAAGACTACTGGACATCAAGCCCGACGACCTCGTTGCGCTAAGCTGGAGAATTTATAGCGGGCTCCAAGAAGAGCCGATCCCATCCTCCTCCGCACCGATTGCCCATCTTGTCGACACTTTCTATGGCTCATTCAATATTGTCCACATCCTAGAGCTCAACGGAGACCGCAAAATAGTTATTCGGATACCCATTACTGGCAAGTCTGGCAGCCTTGAGGGCGCAGCGGGCCAGGCTATCGAGTCGCAGGTCCAGACTATGCGACATATCCGCGCGACTACGACCATCCCCATCCCAGAAGTCTACCACTTCGACGTTACCGACAACAACGAACTATCCGCCCCGTACATTGCCATGGCGTATATTCCTGGTGTCAGTGTTGCAAAAATGTGGTTCAACGATGACGAGTCCATTGAAGAGAAACGCTTGAAAATACTTTCGCAACTTGCCGGGTTTTCCTGTCAGCTTCGCGAGTTGCGCTTTGAAGCAATTGGGTCGCTGCTGCCTCCACTTCCCTCTGATAGCAGAATGAGCAGCATTGGACCGTGCTTCAGCTGGGAAGAACCAGAAGAGGACCCGGACAACGTTGGTGTCATATCCTACGGGCCATTCTCGACAAGCGATTCCTGGCTAGAGCATATCTGGGCCCCGATACTCCGCAATCCCAAAAGCCACTATGATAGAGCCTGCGTCAAAATTATTGAAACAATGCTCCCTCACCTCCCCCAAACCGCGCCGCACTACACGCTAACCATGCCCGACTTCGATTCACAAAACGTAATGGTAGACGGCGAGGGCAATATCACAGGACTCATCGACTGGGACAACGCAAGAACCAAGCCTGACTATCTCGGCTTTGCACGCTTCCCGGGCTGGATCACGCGGGACTGGGACCCCCTCATGTATGGCTGGCCTCATTCAGACAACGAGAATTCGCCGGAAGAATTGAACAAGTATCGTCAGTATTACTTTGACGAAATGAAGACCATCCTCGCCGCGATTGGCTCCACAGACTACTATCTGACTGAAAAGGCGCATGTATTCGAGGCCCTTGTCATCGCGATGGCGAATGAGCACCACACGATCCCGATTTGCGCAAAGTTCGTTGCAGAGGTGATGCGTGCTCTGCCAGAGGAAAACGCGTTTAAAGAGGCGGGCTGGAAAGTCGGGCAGGAGATCGCTGTGCTTGTCTGTCTCGGGGATGGAGAGCTAGAGGAGGAGGCCTGGTTGCAACTGCAAGATGGACTGAAGACGTTGATGGAGCTTAGTGTCAGTTAGGACAGTGACTGAATTGTGTGTGTAGTTTTTCTGCCTTGAGCGTCGGTCTTGGCAATGCAAAACAGGCGAATGCCAAGTCAATTCGAATCAGGACAGTCTAGTGTACACTCACGGGCTTGAAATTGAGCTTGTTGAGCGGTATAAACTGGTTGGGATGGGGGTCTGTTTGGTGGATTCAGACACCACCAGTATGCGCTTGCAATGACAGATATTTGCGCAGTTGGATGAGATGACATGCGAAATGTGTCTGACCAGTGGTTGACGTCCACTTTATCTAACGTGAGCCCTCAACCAGCTCTAAAACTTGGAGAACAGCATAATAAGCCGAGAAGCACCGGAAAGTATCGTCCAAGTCTGGTCATGTGTGCTCAAAAACGACTTTTCTTCTCCCTCCCAACTCGTTTGAATTCCTGGCATCGTAGCGTAATCACGATCAACTTTATGGGGGGAGCTTGCGACCCCCATTTCTGATATAGGGTACCGTTTCCCGTTGATGTCGTAACCTGCGCGAATAACCTCCTTGGATATATTAGTCAGCGCTTGGTAAGCAGCCCGCGCGCGCAGCCAAACGCGCGAGCGTTTGTCACCTGTGTGTGACCTCTGTCATCCGGGTGATTTCGGCTGATCTCCCGTGTCACCTTTGACACGTTGACAGCACATGCTGTTTGCAACGCTTTTCAGGCAGATTGGCTTGATATAGTTAGCTCAGATGAATGATAATGCTCGCAGCTGGCCACTTAAGACTGTTTCTTGTGCTTGCTTCTTCCCTTTCCCTTCTCCCTCTCTGTTCTGGGTATTGTCCTTAGAATCCCTTATAAATTTTTGTTTAGACTAAAATAATAGTCAGGGCTGATGCAACTTCCAAGTGTCTATAGTATTCTGCTAGTGATATTCATTTGGCTCCTGATGTATCTTTTACTTTAAAGTTTCTATTCAGACAATAATAACTATATAGGACTACTCCTCCAAATACTCCTCAGCGCCAAAGAATAGCTGCTCAACATGCAGAAAGACAGGGTCGTGTTCTTGATAGCCCACATATATACGGCAACCTCAAGCTGGCCCTAGCAGACCAAATTTAGTACAGGTTCCCTATCATGGCAGAAATCTTAGCCTCTCTCAAGAGGTAGCTGGACAGCTAGCTGCTCTAGGTCTTCAAAATAATCAAGTTGCTGCTGATGTCTTTCAGCAAGGTCATGCAGATAATCAATACATGGGCCTTCCTGTCAATCAACTGCAACAATTGGCTCAACAGTTACAGCCAGGTTTGGTTTTTAAAAATAAAAAAGAATAAAATTAAAATTAAATATGTTTAGTTCCACAAGCAGATGATGATGATATTGAAATGCAAAGTCCACCACAATCTCCTACTTTAGGACTTCAACAACTACCACAGGCCCAGCTACAGCCACAGGCTCAACCACAGGCTCAACCACAGGTGCAACCACAGGTTCAGCTACAAGACCAACCTCAACCACAGGTTCAACCACAGGCTCAGCTACAAGACCAACCACAGGTCCAACCACAGGCTCAGCTACAAGACCAACCACAGGTCCAGCCACAGGCTCAGAATCAAGTACAACCTCAAATTCTTGCTGCACCTGATGAAACTACTAGAAGAGCTAGAGATCCACATCCAGATAATGAAAATTTGCTCTATTGTACCACAGGAAAGCATTATCAGCCCTCTGCTGATTTTGGGAATTTCCAAACTTGTGCACTGTTGTCGTGCCCGTCAGCGTGCATATAGAAAACAGAGAAGAGGAGTACAACAGATGCAAGCAGCACAACAGGAACTTGCTCAGCAGGTAAATCCACAGATAGCAGACCCAGTTGCTGTGAATCAGAATCAAGATATAGATCCTCTAGATCAACTTGCTATATCTGCTGAAGATTGTGCTTTGCTTAAAAATGTCCGTAAAAAATTAATGGATATTCAACTGGAGTCTTGTAACTCCTGCCATGAGAAGTGGTTTGATCTACAGGTTAAAGATGGAAAATGCAAACAATGTCAAAAGTCTGACAAACTCTGTGATGGTAACAAGATGGATCCTGGAATTGCTCCTCTTTTTACCTCCTTTAACCCAGATGGAGGAAATTTTGATTTCACCTGTACATGCCCTTACCCAAGTATGGCAGATTCATGGAGGCCAATATGCTTATCGTGGGCATATCTGTAACTTTCCACGAGATACTGCAGTATTTCACAATAAAGTTCCTCTTCTACCAGAGGAATGTGAAATTGTTATTTTTCGTCGTCAATCTGCAGCTAACCAGGAAACTGTCAATGAGGACTTTCGTGTCCGAAAGGCAGTTTTACATCAGTGGTTGTCTTTTTTGGAACAGCATCATCCAACCTTTCGATCACGGCAGGTTGAAATAGATTGGAACCGGCTAAACACCTTTGCTGCTGATGCAAATGTTATGAATCAGCTTCAAAATGTGACAGTAGAAAATCTACAGCCAAATTTGGATCAAGGCCCTCCTCAACAGAATGCAGAAAATCCAGGTGTACCACTGTTTTCTGGAGGTTTTGCACCAAATATTCGTTCTGGCTTAACAGAGTTTGAGCAACTTGCTGCAGCTGCTACTGGGAATAATCCTGAGATTATTTTGACTTTACCTCCCATGCGTGGTACTCCAATAAATGAGAACAGTGCACATCCTATAGCTATTGATGCATTTCCTACTCTTTTCCCCTTTGGACAAGCAGATTTCAAAGAAACTCGTCATAAGAATGTAACAATGGAAGAATGGGCAGCACATCTACTTCGCTATCAAGATGGAAGATTTGCAAGGCATCCCAGGTTTCGTTACTGGGCATTAAATACAATTTTTCGACAAAGAGCAAAGAGAGCATCAAAGTGGTATGCTCGTAGTCATGCAGAAGATGGCTCATTATCTGTTGAAGAAATCAGAGAATTGATTGAGGGGAATAATGCAGATCATCTAGCTCAGCGTGTTTCTAGGTCAGCTGCACCAATTGAAGGGTCTCGACCATTCTGGTCAAGTAAACGTAAAGATTTAACTGCTCAAATACGGGATATTGGCTGTCCTAGTGTTTTTTTCACCTGCTCAGCTGCAGATATTCAATGGCCAGATTTACATCAACATATGCCTGGATGGAATCCCAATATAAATGATCCTGATATGTATAGGACCAGATGGAAGGACTTAAATGAGAATCCAGGTATGGTGTATTAATTATTCTGGATTACATAAACATACTAATCTTCTCTATAGCTATTGCAGCATATTATTTCCAGAAACGTTGGGAGGTTTACTTTGAGTATTTTATGAAAGTCAAGTTTCAGATCAATTTGCACTTTCTATTCCAGTCACAAAAGATAGTAATTTTTCAGAATTAGCTCCTGCCTCTCTTCAGAAAATGCAGCAACGCTGGCATAGTATGCGTATTTTTATCATTGATGAAAAGTCAATGATTGGAAGGGCAATCTTAGGGAAAGTGGACCGTAGGCTCAGACAGATTTTTCCAGCTAAAGCTGAGGAAACTTTAGGAGGTCAATCAGCTATAATCTTTGGAGATTTTTTCCAGCTCCCACCTGTGGGTGATAGTGCTTTGTTTTCTACTAAGCAAGCAGATGGGCCAAGAGGCCAACTTGCTGCTGAAGGAAGAATGGTATATGAAACCTTCAAACAGTCTCTTACTCTTACTCGGGTTTTCCGTCAAGAAGGTGATGATCCCCGTCAAACAGCCTTCAGAGAGGCATTGTATCATTTACGAGAGTATGCTGTGACTGAAGAAGACTATACTCTGCTTTCAGAGCGTTTCTGGGATAAACTGTCTGCTGAAGAGCGTGCTACTTTCAGTGATGTTATTCACTTGCTGCCAACTCATAAACTTGTTGAAGATGCCAATCTTCAAATTTGGCAAAACTCAATAAACCTATAGTTCGGTGTAAAGCTACACACCATCGGATAAACAAGGCTTTGTCAAAGAAAGGATCTCCTGAAGATGCAGAAGGGTTACATCCTATGATTCTCCTCTCAGAGGGTGCAAAGGTTATGATCACTAGAAATATGTGGACTTCTAAGGGATTAGTGAATGGTGCACAAGGCACTGTCCAGAAGATTTGTTATGCCTCTAATGCAGATCCTCAAAAGGACCTTCCAGCAGTGGTATTTATTTCTTGTCCTGATTACTCAGGTATATTGCACAGTAATATTCTTGTAAACTCTTTCTTAATGTGATTATAGGCCCTCAAACTCCAGGTTGGACAGGCATTGATCCTTCTTGGGTGCCTATTACTCCTGTAACAACAAATTGGGAAACCAATGGTACTCCCTGTTCTAGAACCCAGTTTCCTTTAGCTTTAGCTTGGGCTATCACAATTCACAAAAGCCAGGGCCTGACACTTTTGAAAGCTGTCATTGAACTTGGTCCTAAAGACTTTTCCCCAGGATTATCATTTGTTGCCATATCACGAGTCAAGACCTTGGATGGAATAGCTTTCAAGTCTAGGTTCCCTTTGTCTAGGTTACAACGGCCAGAAGATACAGATACTTCACGTATGTTGAAGGCTGATATAGAAAGAAGAGCAGCCCTTGGATTCACCCTCAATGATTATGGTATGAATTTGGATGAATATGTATTTAATGATTAGTAATTCAGTTGTATTAACATATATATTTTTGCTTTTACTTGGATTTGGCGAGCTCCCCCCTCTCATGTGAACCATTGTTCACATAAACATATTTGCGTCGCTCAAGCGACCGCAGTCGTCTATAACACCATCTTGATCTCGGTTTGACTGCGGTTCAATCAGCGTTCGCACCCATTTGGCGAGACCAATTGGGCGCTTCGCCACTTTTCGAAGGCTTCGACACTGTCATCGCACCGTTCTCCAACTCGATCATCGGTTATCTTGTTGGACTGGGACCCAAGACTACCTTGTTGTAGGCGCCCAACGACCCGCGCAAGTCGGGAGCGCGAATTAATAGAGTAATGCATACCCGCGTTCTAAATAATACAGTCTATACGTTAGATTGATAAGTCCAAGTTCATGAGGTGATGGTGTGTATGGGCGGCTCCCAATCTGGGCCAAAGCGGTGTTTGAGCAGGTCGGTCATGGTCGACAGTCTTGTCAGACGGCATTTCTCGCGCTTTTTCCACCAGGACCAGGACCAGCGGGCATTGCTTTCCCAGATGTCGTGCATTCCGCTCCGCTCAGCGGGAGAGGCGAGCCAGAACTGGTAGTAGAACCATTCCGGGCCACAGTTGCCAAGTGGGCCTTGATCGACGAGCGGGAGAAGGCCATTGTGGGCGGGGGCGTCTGGATCGCCAAGCCATACGGCGAAGATGCGGGAGGGGAATAGGAGGAAGATGGCGTTTATCAGCGTCTGGTCTTTCCCCACGAAAAGGCCAAGTTGGAGGTAATAGTCGTGATAGTTGTAGAACGTCTGGCGCCACCATGAAACAGTGCTTGGCGACCCGCCAAAAAAGGATCCTGATGGTATCAGGACAAGGAAAAGTAGCGATAAATAAGCTGAACACACCCTCGCTGACCTCGTTGTCAATTGGCCCGTGATCTTGCGTCCAATGGCGCATGCTGGGGTGGGGGACACCCGTGAGCGGGAAGAAAAGGAGATCCGCTGGTGGTTGATGGGAAAGCAAACTGGCTTGCTGCCACAAGTGTTGCACGCGCGCCGGATCGGGCCAATGCGTGTAGTCGTGTCTGGCCCTGAAGCTGCCAGCGTCGTTCCAAAACGCATAGTCGTATTTTTGGCTGTGTGAGACCCGATTTAGGGCGTCATCGAGGAAGAATGGTTTGGCATTCCAAACCGCGTATAGCTCTGGGGAGTGGCGAAACTTTTCGCGGTCCTGGCTGTGCATTTCTTCGTAGCGTTGTCGTCGCCCAGCGAGTGGGGGTATGTCGAATGGTGAGGCATATGTAGTGTCGATGGTTATTGGCAGGTCGCCACGGCACTTGCGAACAAGCGGCTCTATTTCTGGCGGGGCGTAGAAGTAGACGTCGGTGGTGATGGGCTGTAGAAAGCGAGAAAGCCACTGCTCGTACTCCTGCATGGTGTGTTTCGACTTGGAGAAGGGGAAGAAAGCGGATACGAGGAGAATTTTTGGAAGAGGGCCCTCTGCTATAGTACTAGCCTCTGGCGACGACAAGGTCGCTGGGAACGAGGCGGCTGTGATTTGGTCTCGGTCATGGCGGAGGGAGAGTAGGAAGAGCAGAAAAACAGAGCAGGCGAGGAGAATTAAGAGTCGAATGAGGTGTTGGGATGAAGGGAAGGGCATGAAAGAACAGATCGGCTGGACGGCTTGTTCGCCTCATTTCTTTTACGATTCGGATTCTGAATCAGGGTATTATTTATTTTAGTAGTTGCCTCTTTCGAAATCATCAAAGCCGTTGTTCGCCGATCAACGGATGACTGTTGCTGCGCAGTTTCTTGCTTGTTTGGCTACTTGAAATTGAGACTCCAGCTCGCAAGCCCCACAAGACTCAACCGTGAACCAGAGAGCAACGGAAACCCAGAATCGTAGAAAGTTTGACGTAGAAAGCTTGACGTCATCCCGACAGAGTACTTCTCGATAAGGAAATTGCGGGTTGACTTAACATTGACAAGTGTTTTGTGGGAATCCATCGGATTGTCGTGGGCGCAGACGAACTTGCTTTGCGCGCTTATATATAGTTTGGAGAACAAAGGGACACAGCGCGCAACCCCGCAGAACAACTTCACAACGGCGCTGCCAGTGGTTGGCATCACCAGTATCAACCACTAATAGTATGTAAGATGCTGACAAACTAAAGAAAGCATTGCTTCCAAAGCGCTCTATTGACATTGGGACACATCATGCAAGAGGTGCGCCTGGAGAACCATTTGTTGGCAATCGTTGCTCCGACTCACGATTACGTTCGCAAAAGTCAATGTCACATGACAAATTATTTTTCCCCATGTTCGGCTTTTCGGACCACTGCGTCCGAAGTCTCGACTCTGACGTCGACAACTGTAGTAGTGGAGGTGGGTGGACCCGGCGAACATGCGATGTGTGAGTGGTGTTGTCCCGAGATAGCATATGTGCGGTAGTCAGGAATGAGCAAGGATCAAGTTTGACGCGACTTTTTCTCTTTCCCGAACCACCATCATGTTCACCAGGCAGGTCCTTCGCCGGTGGCCTGCAGTGGCCCCCAGATCGACTGGCCCGCTTACTCGTTCCCTGCCCATTTCTCTTCTCCGTCGTGAGCTGGCGACTGCCGCCCCGCCCTCATCAAACGACCCGTTTGCGAATGGCACAAATGCCTACTACGCTGAGGAAATGTATAGACACTGGAGGCAGGACCCCAAGTCCGTCCATGTTTCATGGGATGTTTACTTTTCTGGGCTCGACAAGGGCCTCACCAGTCCCCAAGCATTCCAGCCGCCACCGTTGGTTCCGGCTGATGGAGCGCCAGCATTACACGCTGGTGGTGGGGGCGAGCTCGATGACCATCTCAAAGTAACTTTTCTGTCTTTCTTTTACTATCAACAGTACTGAAAAACAGTTTAGGCTCAACTACTTGTACGGGCTTACCAAGTCAGAGGTCATCACGTCGCCGAGTTGGACCCGCTCGGCCTGCTCGATGCTGACCTCGTAGATGGACGACCCCCAGAGCTCGAACTCAGCCATTATGGTTTTACAGAGCGCGATCTCGACAAACAAATAACCCTCGGTCCTGGTATCCTTCCCCATTTCGCCAGCGAAGACAGAAAATCGATGTCATTGAGGGAAATCATCAAATTATGCAGACGCATTTACTGTCCGTCCTCACATTGTTTCTGTCCTCCAACTGATATCATTTAGGTGGCGCGGTTGGTATCCAATATGTCCACATTCCCGACAAAGAGCAATGCGACTGGATCCGAGAACGTGTTGAAATCCCCAAGCCATGGAATTACACGGTTGACGAGAAGCGCATGATCCTCGACCGAATCATCTGGTCTGAGTCATTTGAGAAGTTCATTGCCAGCAAATTCCCCAATGAGAAGCGCTTTGGTCTTGAAGGCGGAGAATCACTTATTCCGGGCATGAAAGCCCTCATCGACCGTTCCGTCGAAAATGGTGTCAAACACGTCACGATTGGTATGCCCCATCGTGGACGGCTCAATGTCCTGGCAAATGTGATTCGCAAACCACTCGAGGCTATTTTGAACGAGTTTTCTGGGAATGTGGCCGACGATTCTCCCGCTGGCGATGTCAAGTACCATCTTGGCGCCAACTACGTCCGACCTACTCCCTCCGGCAAAAAAGTATCACTTTCCTTGGTTGCCAACCCCTCACATTTGGAGGCTGAGGACCCCGTTGTTCTCGGAAAAACTCGCGCCATCCAACATTTCGAGAACGATGAGGCCGCACACAATACTGCGCTCGGTATTCTGTTGCATGGAGATGCTGCTTTTGCCGGCCAGGGTATTGTCTACGAGACGATGGGATTCCACAACCTTCCAAGTTACGGAACGGGAGGCACAATCCACCTGATCGTGAACAACCAAATTGGTTTCACAACTGATCCCCGTTTTGCGCGTTCGACGCCATACCCCTCTGACATCGCAAAATCTATCGACGCCCCCATCTTCCACGTCAACGGCGACAACGTCGAGGCTGTCAACTTTGTTTGCCAACTCGCTGCTGACTATCGCGCCAAGTTCAAGAAGGATGTGGTTATCGACATTGTCTGCTACCGCCGTTATGGCCACAACGAAACTGACCAGCCGATGTTCACCCAGCCCAGAATGTACAACGCAATCGCCAAACAGCCTACTCCTCTCACTCAATATGCCAAATTCCTCGTTGGTCGCGGTACCTTCACTGAGAAGGATATCGAGGACCACAAAAAATGGGTCTGGGGTATGCTGGAGAAGTCGGCAAATGCAGCAAAGGACTATGTTCCCACCAGTCGCGAGTGGTTGTCGTCGTCATGGCAGGGCTTCCCGTCCCCGAAACAGCTTGCGCAAGAAACTCTCCCCACCCGCCCGACTGGTAGTGATGAAGCAACCCTGCAACGAATTGGCAAGGCCATCTCTTCATACCCGAACGGCTTCCAACCGCACCGTAACTTGGCTCGTATCCTGTCTACCCGCGGCAAATCGGTCGAGGAGGGGACAAATATCGACTGGTCTACTGCCGAAGCCCTTGCATTTGGCTCGCTTGCGTTGGAGAAAATCCACGTCCGGGTTTCTGGTCAAGATGTTGAGCGTGGAACTTTCTCGCAGCGTCACGCCGTTATTCACGACCAAGTCAATGAGCAGCAGTATGTCCCACTCAATGACCTGGGCTCAAGCCAGGCTCGCTTCGTCATCTGCAACTCCTCCTTGTCCGAATATGGCACTCTTGGCTTCGAGCTCGGCTACTCTCTCGTCTCTCCTGATTCGCTGACGATGTGGGAGGCGCAATTCGGTGATTTCGCTAACAATGCGCAGTGCATCATCGATCAGTTCATTGCTGCTGGTGAGCGTAAATGGCTCCAGCGAACTGGTTTGGTTATGAGCTTGCCGCATGGATATGATGGACAAGGCCCGGAGCATTCGAGTGGACGGATCGAGCGATTCTTGCAGCTTTGCGATGACCATCCTAATGTTTTCCCGACACCGGAAAAGATTGAGCGTCAACACCAGGACTGCAACATGCAGGTTGTCTACCCGACGTGAGTTTAAAAATCTTCTAAAACTCCATCCACCCTTCTAACGAAAACCTCACTTCAGGACCCCCGCCAACTACGTATGCTCCTTCAAACAATTTAGAATGGATCTTGACTGATTTGGCTATAGTTCCATGTTCTCCGTCGTCAAATTCACCGCGACTTCCGCAAGCCATTGATCCTCTTCTTCTCCAAGAGTCTGCTCCGCCACCCCAACGCGCGTTCGGATCTTTCCGAGATGATTGGCGACACGTCTTTCCAGCGATACATTCCTGAGCCGCACCCCGAAGAGTCCCTGGTTGCCCCAGAAGAGATCACGCGTCACATTCTTTGCACGGGCCAGGTGTACCAGACCCTCCTTCAAGCACGTGAAGAGCGTGGTCGCAAAGATGTCGCCATCAGCCGCATTGAGCAGATTTCGCCCTTCCCATATGACCTGGTGTGTATTATTTTATCACTCGAGGAATTTGTTTTCTGACTAGATGCTGTAGATTCACCCGCATTTGGACAAGTATCCCAACGCCAGCCTTCTCTGGTGCCAAGAAGAGCCTCTTAACAACGGTGCTTGGAGCTACGTCGGCCCTCGCATCTACACCGCTGCCAACAAAACAGAGCACCACAAGGGCAAGTATCCTTTCTATGCCGGCCGTGGCCCTACCAGCTCTGTCGCCACTGGCAGCAAAGTATGTTCTTCTCTCCTGTGTTCACAACTCCCCGTTCATTGTCTTTCGCAGTCGCAACACAAGAAAGAAATTGAGGCATTCTTACAATCTGCATTCGAGGATGGCTTCGAATCTTAGATTCCCATAAGATACCTCTACTTACTTAATTTCCTGTTGTCAATATTGGATTCACGCTATTTTATTCATTATTGGGACCGTGACAACATCACATACAAGTAGGACCATAATCCTGGCTGTTCGAGTACTGCTAAATGCTACAATCTATTGTGTGCAAGCCAAGAAACAGGAAATGCGCCAAATGTACTAGGTAGTTGACTAGATATACGAGTAATCGATTTGTTTGCCTAACGCAAGAAGAGAAAACACAAGTCCAGCTATTGTGTACCAGCCGTCCGTCTGATGGGCTTGTCTTTGAAGCTCAAGCAGCTATACAGCGCAGCGATTTGGTCGCCCTGGAGGACATCAGTACCGCGTGCGAAATTTTGTGATACGATCACGCTAACCTTTTGTTCAAGAATGTCGACAACCTCGCGAAGATGTTTTGCGAGTAAGTTCCGCTTGGGGACGTCAGAAACGGCATCCATTTCCTTGTACTGGTCCGCGAGCTCGACATAGACACTGGACACGAGTGAGAAAGCGGCCAACAAGTCGCAAGCCAAAGTATTACCTTTTGTAGTGCACAAAATCGTCTTCAAGGTCGCGTATAACGCGTGTGACGAGCGTTTGTGGCGGGACCCCAGCTTTTCGTGCCGCGTAAGCGAAGTTGATGTCGTCCGGCTGACGCTGTTTGCCGTCTCTTTTCTCTTGCCTTGCCCGCTCCACGTCAACATCCTCGTCGCCATCGACAAAACCCTCGTCTTCCTCAGAATCGCTCTCATGCAGATGCTCTTGTGGCCGAGAGGTCAACCAAGAGCTAGGTGCTCGTTGGCCGCGACAGCAGACTGTGCAGGTGCGTGCATTATGCTCTGGCGCTGAGAAGAACAGTTTTTCGAGACGTGCGCCACGTATTTGAGGGAAAGGCGCTTCCGCGTCAGGATTGCCATTGCGGGCACGTGACGGTGTAGGGACAGGGGGACGTGCAGGATGAGAGATTCGACTTTTGGAGGGGCCAGCACGAGCAACAGGAGTTGGCGCGCGAAGATGTTCACTTCCTTCATCCGATACTTCCTCCACTGTTGCTCGTCTGTTTCGTTCTCGTGGTGGTGAAGGTGAAGGTGAGACGGGTCTTTCTCGACTGGCGTTGCTTGAAAGTTCGGAGCGACGTTCTTCAACATCCGCAATAATACGAACAAGCTCATCGTTTCCAATGAAGCGTGAAGAGCCAAGAGTGGCGTGGTCTGTGCGGCCAGCGGCGTTTTCTCTTGAAGACCCCATAATTGACATTGGATCAAAAGGTTCAGCCTCTGACTCTTCTTCTTCTTCAATCGAGCTGCCTTCATCGAGACCATCTTCTTCGTCTTCTTGCTCATCGGGAACATGGCGACGCGAGACAGTTTCGTCAAGATCTGCAGACATTCCGGTGTCCCCGGCTGACTGCATCCCTGATGTCTGGGCCTCTTCTCTTGCCCCCCGACGTTCTCGAAGCCCGTCTTCAACAACACCACGCAACACCTCCACTTCTCCAGCGAGTCTTTCAACCTCTTGCCTTAAACGGTCAACCTCAGCACTCTTCTCCTTCAGCAAACGACTGTCTCGTTCGCGCAACTTTCGCAGCTCCATCAAAAGGTCTTGGTGTGACGAAAGTTCAGAAGTGAGGCGGGTGAGATGGCTTCTGAGGGAAGAGATGAGAGCCTCGAGAGCTGCCACCATATATGAGTGAGGAAGAAAAAAAAACTAGAAAATGAGTACGCACATTTCTTTTCTTCTACAGCCTGCCGGTACCGCTCCTCGAGTTGAGCATCGATTTCCGTGTCAACGTCACGAGCTTTACCCTTTCCTTTCCCTTTGGAGGACTCTACCGCCTCGAGCCTAGCGCTCAGTTCGCTGCGTTCTAGTATCCGCGTCCGCTCCTTGACCACTTCACGCTTGCAGACCTCCAACTCGAGCTCAAGTTCCCGCACTCGTCGTCGAGATATTGCATTTTCATCTTCCAAGTCATGGAGCCTCTCTTGAACAGCAGCCAAGGTTGATAAAAGTCGAGCTAATACGACTTAATAAAGGACGAAATAAAAGTGCACAAACTTATCACACACCTTCGCTGTCCCTCGGACGATCAAAATCGGGGTTGTAGGTAGTATAGCCTCCAGGTTTAGCAGGGGATTCCACAGCGTTGGTGAGACCAGTGACGTCAGGAAGGTAGATACGAGACTTGGTGTTGTTGAGAGACCTTGAGGTGGCATCACGATTGACGATGTCAGCAAACGGATTGCGCTCTTTTTGTTGCTCTTCGGCGAGATCTCTAGCAACTCCTCTAGCCGCCTTGGTAAAATGTGATGCCGTAGAGCCACGCCGTTGAGGACGAGGAGTAGCGTCGTCAAGCGGTTTGGATAGCGGTGAGGGTGGAATTTGTGCATGGCGATGGTTGGGTTGGTGTAGTTGGGGACTGCGTGGTCGCTTTGGAGAGACACGCTGTAAGGCCTCAGCCAGACGGGGTCGGGGACTCTCGGAATCTGAACTCGATGAAGTGGCAGACGAATGGGGTGAACGTATTCGCACTGAGCGAGAATGCCCGGACTGGAGAGCTCGATCAAGCCTGCCAGGGCTATTCAGGGGAAGCTGAGTTGATGTTAGCCTGACGAACGAGAGAATGAGCACGGCAACACACGTTGTATCGCGAGCGAGACGGGTCCATGTCAAACATGCTGAGCTTGGGGTCTACAGCAGCCATCATGTCCTTCAATGGCCGCTCTGGGTCGAATTCGGCCCCGCTCAGGCTAATATCACGTCTGTTTCCTCGACCAGCGAGCCCGGCATTGAGGGTGAGCACACTGGCGTGGTGGGCAGCAGTCGAAATTGTCTCGCCACCACCATAAGGCGAGTGTGTTAAGCCCTCCTCGTATGACCAGGGACTTTCTTCGTGTCGGTCAAAGTCAATAAAATCGTTGCGGAAGGGGGTTGGCGCATGGCGTGGATACTCAACGGAGTTGTCGTTGGAGGAGAGGTGGAGGGAGGGTTCCGTGTGTTGTAGGTTGTGTTCTAGTTGAATGCGGTTCTGCTCCAGCTGGTCGTTGCGAATACCCTTTACTGAATGTCTCTTCATCGGGGTCAAGAAGGAAGCTGGGAGGCCGATCAATAAACAACGCGCTGAAATCAGTCACGAGACGCAGGTGACATGTGACATCTCATCTCTGTGACGACTCGCGCCGCAACAATGGACGACATTGACGATGACCAGCTGCGACCGCGTATCTCAATCGACGCAATGCGAGCCTGGATCAGGATCAAAACTGACATTCAACGTGAGATAGAGCAGGAGGCGAGAGAGTACGCCACTCAGCACAACCTACCACCCGACAGTTTCCTTCAGAGTGCAACGATAGTGCGTCCTGTTAAGCTTACTTTGGGACCGCTCTAACAAGCACTCCTTAGTATGCGAATGAGGTTTTTAAGATCGCACAAAGTAACATAAGGGTTGGTGGACGTGACTACGATACTCTGCAACCTCACGAGCAAGGTCGGCATAATACTCCTCTAATTACTGACTTGAAACTTGACTCATCTAGATGCCGAACCATTCGACGAAGTATTAGACCGACAGATATGGGCTCTTGCTGGTACACGATTGGAATGGCTTTACAAAATTTCTTCCGACCGGCGCGAGGAGCCTGGCAAACTTGCAGACAGGCTTTTAGCTCACTTTCGAGAAGCGGATGCCATTGAAGCACAGTGGGAGGCTGAGATGCCTTCATTTATGGACGAAGATGAGGACATGGATACCGGTCCAGTGCTCAATATCGACGGTTGGTCAAGATATTCGACTTGCTTCCTTAAGCTCACCTTCCCGTAGCTTCGCTTGGTCAGGAAATCATGTCCGTGAGCAATGAACTTGGGCAAACACTACCAGCTCAGCAAGAACGAGCGAAGCGAGCGAGGCGGGTGGAAGCAGACATCAAGGCAATCCAACCATAACTTATACTTGTATCATGTACTCGATTTATCTCTCTTTGGGTCAGGGATTTATGTAAACTTTTGATCAAAAAAGCTCGTGACCGCGGCGGCACCAACCAACCCTCGTGCTTCCTTCGGACCGACAGTGCCTCTTGCAAGCTTTCGCATCGCTTGCCGCCCCCAATGCCGCCCCAATACCATCGTTGCGCGTCGTCGGAGTCAATTTAACCGTTTGACACGGTCGCCATGACCTCAGCAATGTCCACTGTCCACTCAGTGTTGTCCATCGCGCCTGACGTTTGCGCCAGTTTAACCGCCATATACACAGTCCTCCCACTGCGTCTAAAAACTCCTCGATGCGTCAGCCATGCCTATAAAGCCTATAAAGCCATGTCGCCAGACGCAGCGTACCCACCAGTGGTTCCAACATGAAGTTCTCATTCAGCGCATTCATCAAGGGTCAGCGGTCCAGAAGGGCCCCAGTGACCACGGCAGATCTCTCTGGAAAGACAATTCTTGTAGTTGGGGCAAATGCTGGACTGGGTTTTGAAGCGACCAAACATTTCGCCACGATGAAGCCAGGTCGTCTTATCCTCGCATGTCGAAGCGAAACTCGTGGTCAAGAAGCGTTAGAAAGTAAGTAACCCCGATACCACCATGGGATATATCCACATTCCTCTCAGAACTGCGAGCGGAAATTAACTGTACAACTGCCGAATTGTGGATTTTGGATTTAGCAGATTTCGGTTCTGTCCAGTCCTTCGCTGACAAATTCGAGCGGGAGGGCGGGAGACTTGACATTATTCTTGCCAATGCTGCTACAATTTTGCCAAAGTACCAACCAACCAGGCAAGGCTGGGAGACCTGGTGAGTTGAACATTTTTTCAATGCGATGGGGTTCTAATCCAGACGCAGTCTCCAAGTCAACTGTCTTTCTATGCCGTTGCTTGCCCTCCTCCTCCTTCCACACATGGTCAAAACAGCTGAGCAGTACGGAACTGTCCCTCGCATCGTGGTTGTCGCGAGCGAAGTGCACCACTGGGCTTCCATCGAACGGCGGGTCGTTGAGGGTCCAAACATTCTCGGCACGTTGGGAAGCAAAGAATACTGCACATCCAAGTAAACCGTGCCTTTTGTGCACTTTCTTATCTGATCAGACAACAGGGCGATGGGAACCCGATATTTCCTAACTAAATGTGCCAATTTTGCTGTTACTCTTCGCTCTCGTTGACATTATTCCTAGTGTTGAACATCATGTTCGTCCGGGCCATGAACAAACATCTCTCGACGACTGCCCCAATAGTCGTCAACGCCGTCAATCCGGGATACTGCTATTCCAACATTAGAACCACATTCAGCGGCTTTCAAGCCCTCATTGACAGCCTAATGGAACGTGCAATCGCGTTGCCGACTGAAATTGGGAGCCGACAACTTGTGTGGGCTGCATTGGGAATGGAGAATAAGCCACTGGGCCTGAAGGGCGAGTACATTTCCCTCGAAAAGGTGGAGGAGGTCAGCGATTATATCCTCAGTCCAGAAGGGGCAACAGTGCAGGAGCGAATTTGGGTCCGTCGCCTTGCAACTCCGAATCCTTTGACTAATGTCCTTAGACCGAGCTTGTGCAAATTTTGACCAAGGCAGAACGTGTATCTGAAGTCGTGAACGTGCATCTGTAGCTGCCGCTTATGTCATCAGACATGATGAACCCCTAATAACATTCTTCACAAATGCTGCCACCTGAACTCGAACACCTTATCCTCGAGCACATAGCGGAAGACAAAAGCACCCTCCTGTCATGCACTCTTGTCAGCAAATCGCTTTGCTTCTGGGCCCAGTCCCGGCTGTTCAGCACTATCAGGATTGGTGATATATGGAGAGGGCTTATTAGCCGGCATCGCGACGCAGCATGGTGGTTAAGCTGTGTCGAACGTCTTGTTGCAGTCCTCACCACCTCCCCCCATCTCATCTCCCATATTCGCCATCTCGTCGTCCAATGTGAATTCAGTGACCCATCACTACTGGCGGTCTTGGCATCAATGCACTGGTCTGCGCTGGAGTCCTTACACCTGTTCGATATATCATCAAACGGAGTTGAGAGCATACAAAGACTCGTTTCTACCACTTCGTAACTCCGTTCCCTCCATGTACGGTTCCTCCACAACGAATGGCACATCAACTATTTGTGGGACATATTATCGCGTTGCCCATCGTCCCTCCAACACTTGAGCCTTGCTAACTGTCGCAGCACTGCCGAGAGTCAAGTCCTCCTTTCATCCCGCCATTCTAGTCACAGTTTCAAGTTCCGTATCGCCAGCCTCAGTCTCAACGGGGCGTTAGCAGCCGTGACTCCGGGCACCAACCCCGTCCAGCTCGATTTGAGCGGGGTCCATCATCTGGAGCTAGCGTCATTTAGAGAGTCTTGGGAGGATCTCGAGCCCATTCTGCATCGCATTAAACATGGGATACGTTTCTTGAATATCAAGACGGTAGACAGTGAGTCGAGCAGATGTTACAAGTAAGTTAAGCGCCTGCTGATCAGAACACAGGCGACACACTCAGGACCCTCCGCTCCGGATTCCCCATCCTCACGCACCTCCAATTTGCCTTCAAAGAGCTTGTTATGTGCGGCCTGATGTTTGAGCTCCCCGGCGCCATTCCCACTCTTACGACTCTTACCCTCGACACAGTGCCCACGCATTGGCAAAGCGAACGAGATGCCATAGAAAAGTTACTCGGTCCGCACCTCGACACGACTGCGCTTGACGCATTCCCCCGCCTCCGAAAATTGGTGGTCCAAGTACGGGTGATGTCACGCCAGTTTGATAGTACAGCCGTCGTCCGTGAAATAAAGCGGTCCATGCCCCGGCTCGCAAAGTTGGGAATAATCGAGGTCCTAGCCTTTTGTCCGTAGTGCTTAATTTTCAATTGGAGTAACTTAGCTTGGAAACTGACTCGAGTTCACATGTACAAACAAGATACTGCTAATCGATACAACACAAAATCCTGGCCCGTCCGCCTACCGCGCCCAATACACTCGAGGAGTTCTCTTAGCACATTGCTGCACCAGAGTCTTTCCGTCCCGACTACGTCATCGCGAAAAACGCATACGTCTGCAGAGAGCTTGTTTGTGTGCAATGGCCCAGCCAAACCCTGGAAGATTCCTAAATCCACGAGCTGCTAGTGGCAGGTCGGGAAGTTCAATCGCCCCAGCTGGACTGGCCATTGCTCTCCCACGAGGATGTACGGCGACCACGCTGGCATTGGGGGGATGCGGACGGAAAGTTTTGGCCATCACGAGACAAGATAAACTACTAGTCGAGAATCAGCAAGTCGTACTTCTAGATGTGCGATGGTGGCATTCATACCAATGGAAATATGGTGATGTGGCAGTTACAGTATCAACGGTGGATGAAACCTGTGGCCGATAGGGGACAGTTTCTTGTCTATTAAACAGAGTAAGAGGTTAGGACCGAACGATGGCAGACAATGACGATAGACTGGCCCAGGTCAGGTGGTCAAGCACTAATTCACTGTGGTCACTGTTGACTGATACACCTGAAACCATAGTAAGGACAACGTCGGCAAGTTCTATCCAGTAGTACACAACGAGTCAAGCATCGATATCAAGCAGAGAAGGCCCGGGGGAGAGTAAGCTCGAGACAGCTGGCACCGTGGGGCATTGGACCAGGCCTCAGATGGTGGGAGTTCAAGAAAGAAAGCGAAATGGTCGTGACTGGGGGTCACGGTCTCAAGTTATAGTTCGGAATGAGACACTAGTATGTACAATGTGGACTGCTAAGAGATAGTTTGTGGGGGAAATACTCTAGATCATGACTCTCCTCGGAGTATCGGCATTCGTTTTGTTTACTATGTGATACGATAAAGCACTTCACGCAAAGCAGTCGAATAGACTAACCTGTGGTGGATCGATTGTGGTATCAGCCATTTGCAGGGTTCTCTTCTTGCGAGTGTCATTGCGCATTTTAATGGAACTTGCTTTCTTGTGGGCTTTGGCTCGGCGCTGACCTATGTCTCTTGTGTTAGTATTGGCGCATTGAAGGAGGATTGGGTAGCATACGAGAGTCTGTCCCCTTTACGCAATCAGTGTCTGTTTGCCTGCGATCGATACGTGTGGAGCGACGAGTAGAAGGTGCAGATGGAGACGGAGATGCCACAGCAGAAGAAGCTTGCATAAAGGCTGAACCAAGATTCTCCTTCTCTGTGATGACAGGTGGAAGTTGGCTAACGACACGAGTTTGACGACAAGTATGGCGGAGTGTAGGTGATGTAGGTTGTTGCGCAAATAACAGAGGGGGAGTAGTGGAGAAATGATGAGACTGTTGCATCTGAGCATAGTGTTCGCGGGGACTGTATATGAACCAAGCGTCGAATTTCACGGGCCGAACAGGGGTTAGAACCAGTGCATTGGCAGACGGCTTGGATTGCCAGTCTTGCTGGACAGTAGAAATCGAGTCGTTGGTGGCGACGAGCGAGTCATTGTCGGCGAGAAGGTCATCAGACTCATCTGGACCAGCGAGGTCCCAGTTGATAAAGTATTCTATAGGCCACGTCGAAGGGTGAGCAGCAGAAGGGACCTCGAACGGGCGATCAGGCACTGCGAGTGGTGTAGCGCTCCCAAGCGATTCTTGGTTTGCTATCGAGAAGGGAGGGGACATTACGTGCGGGTGCTGGGCGTCTTTGATATCGCGCGAGAGGGAAGTCATGGTGGGCGGAAGGAGAAGGAAAGATACAGAAATATGTCACCGTCACACGAAAGTGTCTGCACGCCGACAAACAGTCCTTAGATAGGATACAGAATCACAAACATGACAGAAAAACAGTCCAAAAAGTCAAGATAAGCTTTTGGCCATTCGTCCACAATCTACCCCTCGTCTACCAATCAATGGATGATGAACATGGCTCGAAGTGGTTTTATGTCGCCATTCCAGAGGTGTATGAGGTCGTAACCAAGAAGCACGCGATTATGGCGAACAGCATTACGATAGCATTCAAGTAGATATTACAATGCTGGGGAGCGCGTCAGCTCGCAGTTTAGCACACAAAAAAGTCACCACACATTTTATACAAAACTAGAGGTGGCACTACTATTCTGCGTTTCGGACCAAGATACGGGCATTGTTGACAAAAGCACGAATAAGCTCGTCGAAGGCGCTTCGCTCCAATTCTGGTAAATTGGGGTCACCGCGTCGATGTGCAGCCGCGACGAGCACGTCGGGTCTGGCGAATTCGATTTCAAGCTCATGCAGCAGTTCTGGCTGTAGCAATGGCTAATTAAACCCAGAACGAGAGGTGGGAGGAAACACTTACTGCGCCAGTGGGCGATGACGAAGAGGTCACTTGAGTGAGGTCAATACTGAACTCTTCGTGCGAGTAGCTCAGACGGTCCTTTTTGCGAGAATGCGTCGCGGACCCGATAGGGTGGGTGACTGCGAACTGATGAAGTGGGCGCAACTGAAAATATGCATAGAAGCGTACCAGGAACTTCAAGGCTGACACTAATTCGCCAATCCGCTGCTCTTTTCGGGCTGTACACGTTGAGATCGCCCAGCCGAATTTTCCGCATGCACTCAACGACCTCGCCAGTTTTCTCATTTCGCGTCACGCGGATTTTGTTCTTGTTGTCGTCAGAAGGATAGAATGAGTCCACTAGATGCAGATGGCTGTATCCCAGTGGCGAGGCGGGGAAGGACGGCTGAGATGACGATAATTTGAGCTCGTTTAAGCGGGTGTTGAAATGTTTGTGCTGTTGCTACAAGGCCATTCGGTTAAGTCATTCAGCATGAAAAAGCAATCACGAACCATGCTCATATTCGACTCGAACCGTATCTCACTCCAGTCTGGCTTCAAAACTGGGACACGGCACACGATAAGAAAAAGAATCGCAGAATAACGCAGGGACTCACTGCTTTCTACGAGTATTGGCAGCATCAACCGCTGGTTGGATCGGTCGCGCAAGATCCCCACCTTTGCCTCAACCTCGATCTTTCCCTGGACGTCTGGCGGTGCGTTCTGGATTTGATAGTGGACCCAGTCTGCGATTTCTTTTATGAATTCATCGAGTGGCTCCACACCGAGTATAGACAGAGAAAGGGGAGGCATGGAGCCACCGTTTTCGACGGAACCTGTGCGCGCGCGTTTTCGAGGTGGTGATTCTGTGTGGTGAGGCATGGGAATTTCGTGACGTGTGACATTCAATGATCCGTTGATGAGCTCTTGGCCACGGCAACACCGGGCCGGCCCCGCGGCTTATCTCTTCTGCGATCGCGTGTATAAGTAAAAGTCAAGAACAAGCAAGCTTGTCCGAGTTGCACCATGTCGGCCACTATCCACCAACCTATCCATCCTTCCATGCTCCCTCGGCTCGATGCGGAATACATCGAGTTTCACAACACTGCCCTTGCAACAATTGTCCCGCCCCACACTCTTCCATGGGATCCGGCTTTGCGGAATTCACCAGCAGTTCCTGGGGGCTCTCAACCCTTGCCAGTTGGAAGCACTCAAGATATAGACCTGACTCACACTAAGTTCCGTGCGTTTACTCCGGAAGGTAGCGCACCAGCGAATGGATGGCCGTGCTTCATATTCTTCCATGGCGGTAAGTCAGCTGTCCAATCTCGCCTTTCGCTCTCTATGGCTCTCCCTCAGGCGGATGGACATTCGGGAATATCAGCTCAGAGAATTCATTCTCAACCAACATGTGTGTCCGTGCGTAGCTTATTACACTCCTTTGGTTGACCTGTACGAGGACTTATTAGGCGCCAAGTGTGTTGTCATTTCAGTCGACTACCGACTTGCACCCGAGCACAAGTACCCTACCGCTGTGGATGATGCCGTAGAATCGCTGGATTGGGTCATCAAGAATGGCAAGACAGTCCTGAATATCGACACGTCCAAGATTGCCGTCGGCGGTTCTTCCAGGTGTGTGTGTCTGAAGTCTGATTGACTCTATGACTGCTAACCTGACGGATCAGCGGTGGGAATCTCGCAGCAATATTGGCCATGAAAGCCGCTGAAGCATCCCCACCGATCCCACTTATTTTCCAGCTGCTCATAGTGCCAGTGACTGATAACACCGCAACCGTAGAAAATCGCTGGGCCAAGAATGAGCTCACTCCATGGCTCAGCCCAGCACGCATGCTTTGGTTCCGCGACAATTACTTGCCCAACAAGCAGGACTACACGAAATGGGATGCATCACCTATTTTCGCACCAGACGCGTTGTTGGCCAAGGTTCCTAAAACATGGATTGCGGTTTGCGAATGTGACATTCTGGCTGACGAAGGGATTGCGTTTGGAGAGAAGCTCACTGCGGCTGGTGTTCACGTCGAAGTCGAGGTTTACAAAGGAGCACCACATCCGATCATGGCTATGGATGGTGAGTCGTCGATTGGAAAAATTAGACCTTATGTTGACTTTGAATAGGGTAAGGGCTTCTTGACCTGCTGTTCTCTGCTAACCGTCATGAAGTGTACTCAAGATCGGTGTAAAGATGGTTTCGGAGGCAGCGAGTGCCCTGAAGAAAGCCTTTGAAATATAGGCTGTCGTATATTCAGCTCGCGCTACTCTATGTCCTCCTTCCTCTCTTTCCATGGGGCAGAGACTTGAGCAGGGCAGCTTTGCTACGGCTCTTATTCTTGACGTTGGCCCCAGAATAGAAGTTGGTTGCTTTTTTCTACGAGAATTTTGAGTACTGTGAATAGATCAAACGGAAGAAAAATACCTTGTTCGTCGTCATTCGAGCTTCTTTCTTTGGTGCGGAATGCTCTTCATCATCATCATCGTCGACGGATGCTTGTTTTGCATCGTCTTCCGGGGGAATTCCACCCCAGACATCATTCCATGTCAACTCCTCATCTTCCTCACCACCAGAAGCATTTTCGGCAGCTTCTTCTGGCTCGGGTTGCTCTTCATCCTCTGCTTTCTCCTCATCGCCGTCCGCTGGGCCCACGAAGACGTCTTGTAATGGCCGAATATCCTCTGCGACAAAGGTATTCTTCTGCATCATCGTTCCCAAGTTCTGCCTCACACCAACAACCTCTTGCCTCTCCGTCTCCTTGCCTTTTCCTTTGCTCTTCGCCGCCTCCTTTTCGCGTTTGGCTCGTTCTTTGGCCTCCCGCTCATTCAATTCATCTGATCTCTCTGGCGGTGGAACGAAGAAGGGTATTCGACCCCGGACCCAGTCACTCAACACAATCTTGGCGACTGCATCCATGTCGGGCTCTCCTTGTTTTCGTAACCGGCCCTTCATGCGAGCAAGAGCCTCCAAGAAGACTTCTGGCTCCCACTTGTCCTGGCCTTCAGGTAACGAGATGCCATATGTTCGCGCGAGGTAAACTGGCTTCACCCGTTGCATCAACTCTGGCACGTGATCCGAAGGGGTGCTCAGTGCTTCCACGCGAACGACACCTTTGAGCACTGTTGCTGTCTCGGAGTCATTGGCAGACGTGGGGACGATGCCAGGGCAGTCGATGAGGTATATCCGCCGTGTGAGGGTGATGTATTGCCAGACTTTCGTTTCTCCTGGCACTGGGGCGACACGACAGACTTTGCCGCTCTTGAGCGTGTTGATTACGCTACTCTTCCCGACATTGGGATAGCCCATAAAGCCAACTGATATTTGCTTCTTGTCCGAATGAAGCTGTGCGAACTGGCGGAGGAGTTGGATGAGCGCGCCTTTCCCAAATGAGTGGTTAGGCGAGGCATGGAAAGCGATAGTAGGATAGCGAGGAGTAAGGTGCTTGATATATCGTTCCTTGAGACCTTATTCAGAAGAACTACGAAAAAGAGAGGGAGAAAATATGCGCACTGTAACCCAGTTGGGAACCAAGTCGCACTTGTTGATGACCAAGACAACTTGCTTGTGCGATTTTTCTTTCTTGATGAACTCCAGGACCGACTCACACATCGTACCTAGCGGGTCTCTGGCGTCGAGAACATGGAGAATGACATCGGAAGAGTCGATGACCTTGTATAGTTCTCCATATATTCGGCGTGAAGTTCCCTTGGCATAGATGGGCTCGTGGTAGTCAGCATGTGTTGGCGCTTCAACGACGGATGACGCCAAACGTTCTGGGGAATGATAAGTTTTGGTCCTAAGATTGTAGGACGAATACGCACCGACAGTGCCAGTACCGTTCTCCATTGCAGCCTCCTCAGCTTTCTCGGCTGCTGCTGATCCTAATTTACTGAGCTCATCGAATGAGTTGGCTTCAATTCGGGGTCGTTTTCGTTGCGCCTTTGGACCAAACGTTTCGCTGAATGGCTCTACTTCAACGATATGCGGACGCTAAGAGGTGGATAAATAACAAGACTGAACATCTCTCGTCGGTAATATACCTTGCGCAAACTTGAGTTGGCAGCATCGTCTAACAGCGCCATAGGCAGTTTGTTCCGTCGCAGAAGAACAGAGTAAGGATCGTCTTTCTTCGTCGATAAGCTTGTCCGGAAGTGGTCCAGCGCAGTTTGCGAAATGACCCTGGTATTTCCTGTCCATTTGCGTTCAGGCGACTAGAAAGTAAAAAAAGACAAATAAACCACACACCAAACCATCGCCGGTCAGGCTGCACTCTCCCTGGCTTTGTCTCGTCCTCCCCCTTCTGGAATGCAGCGGCTTGTATGATCTTCCCATCCTTATCCCGCACTGGCTTGCCTCCACTCAACATCTTGACTCGGGCTGCTTTTTTTGCATCGCGATAGAAGTTCTCGCCCTTGACTTTCTTGAGCGTTATTTTAGAGGACGACCCAGATGAACGGGTTTTCGACGGCGACGCCGAAGCTTTTCTTGTCGGCGCCATCGTGTGTGGAGGTGAGGAAATTTACAATCAAAAATTTTCTGATTCTGCTTCTGCTTAGTCAGTCTCTTGTACATAGGTAAGTTAGATATATTCAAGTTTTGGCCTGTGATTTTTTGTTGTTCTCCTCTATAACCTTGCCGATAAACTCGAACAGAAGACGCAGCAGCGTGTACGAAGTACACGAGACGTGAGTAATTGAACGTGTTATAGTGCATGTCGATCTCAACAAGAAGGCCTGCAAGCGACCTTTGCCTGTCGTATCGATGTCGCACGCCCTTAGGAAAATCCTTGTCAGAGCAGAGTCAACCCTAACACTGCAAGTCGAGTCTGGCTGTGGAATGTAGTTGAACCCGAAATAGCGATCGACAAAGAGGATGAGCATGAGCGTCATGAAGAAGAGGAAGATCAAGAATCGCTGGATGAAGTTTGAAAGGTTCTGGTCGGTCTCGGCCAGCGACAAAATGTCGGCTCGAATGAATGCCTTTCTATGTTCATGCTTGCGGGGGAGGGACTAATAAGATTGTGAGTAACGAGAACGCCAACGCAAGGAAAAGTAGTTGCTTACATTGCACCATGAAATTAGGTTATTTCGCCGGCCTGTTGGGTTGTACGACGGTCGAATATGCATCTTCCCCATCAGTAACTTGACGTCCTCAGAGATGGTGTGAAACGTTGTAGACATATCGCCCTCTGCCCCACATCGTTGCAGTAATTTCGAGTCCAACAAGTTCGACACGATTCCCTCCATTTCAGATGTTTCTGCGACCATGCCAATCCGATATCGCGGCGAAGTTCGGGCTTGGTCAGCAAGCGTATGGAGGTCGTCTTTTAATCGTTCAACAATTGCGGAGCAGGTCGCGTGCATTTCCACATCTGTGCTTGGCTTCGGTTGGGAGGCGAAAAGGTCCAGTGTGTTCTCTTGCAACCCACTGAGCAGCCAGGAAACTGAGTCATCGACTTGTTTTGTGTATGTGCACTCCCATCTACAGTCGCTCAAATTCAACGCGACCCAACTTTCAAGGTGTCGTCGCTCCTTTTCGTCCATTGAAAGTTGCATGTCGAAGGACTGTATGACATTGGAGAAGCGCTCTGCGATACTGGGTTTGATGCCCAACTCCTAATGGACGGTTATCAACGTATCATTGCACCATAAAACGATGCTCACCTCTCGCTTCAACCACGTGGTAACAATCGTGAAAGAACGAAAGATTAAAGGCCAATGACCCCGCGCTTCTTGCGCACTCCAGAATGAGACGCTATGAGATCCAGGGTTGGAAATGACAGCATTGAGTAGATGAAGCAGGTTGATAGACTCGAGCGCTTCAAGCAACCTCAAGTTTGGCTCGTCCACAGTGCAACAGAACTGTGCCCATTTCGAGAGAAGAGTTGCCTGAGTTGAATCGAAACTGGGGCCTGAGTTAGCAAAGCTTCATGTGAATGTGAACAACCAACCTTGTAACGGGGGGCCTGCAGAAGCGAGAAAGCACCTTCAGCCATCGTAGCGCAAGATTATTTCGTTGTTCCATGCTGTCGATGTAGAACTCGTGCGAACGAGACTTGTCGGTGAGGTAACTTGCAAACGAGTTTTGCTGAACTCGAATAGGATCGCTAGCTTTGGTGCCAACGGCGAAGACCGAATGCATCGATGACAATGTCAGCGACACATTTCCGGGAGGTAGTTCTAGTAGCAATTCGATGAATTCCGGGGTGGTTGGAGCATGGTTGGGCAGAAGGAGGATAGCACTGAAGATAGAGAGCAGCTTATCCCTTTCCGCCTCGGCCTCGCTAGGCTCCACCGGTAGGCCAGAGACAATGATTTGTCGGTAAACTTGGTCAATCTGACCGAAAAATGACTCGCGAGAGGGATCTGTGGATGAGTTTGCTAGAATTAGCTTTAGCTGCTCCATAGGGTCTGCGTTTCCCGTTTGCACGAAGTGGGTGACGGTTGTTGCATAGCTGAACTGCCCCGAGGCGTTCATGATCAGTTTTTTCATATCGTCCTCGGCCGGCCATGTAGAAGGAAACTTGATTTGAGAATATCGAGGGTTGGCCCGGATAGCGGTAAATTCATGGGTGAAGTATTTCTCCATATCTTTATCCGGAAGGTACTCGCCGTTGAAGCTAATGGAACGCGTCAAAGACTTGACCTCCGAGAGGTTAAAGGTATTTTGAATCCAAGATTCAGGACGACTGAATATCAAGAGTCGCAAAGGAAAATCGCGAGATCGTTGGTAGGCGGAAACGAAAGTTTTGACAAGCCGCTCTTGTACGGTACTGTCGCCACATTCGTCAAGACCATCGATGACGATGACACATGGATGTTTGCGAGACACCCAGGGAATGATATGTCGCTTTTCCTTCCCTTCGAGCACAGGTGAGACAACCAATTCTTGAAACTGATCCTCCAAAGACCCCTCCAAAATGTTGGGATTATTCGAGATTCTTCGATCAATGAGAGAGTCCAGTGGTGGCATCAGGGTCAGAAGGCCATAGGCGAGCGATAGTGCGAGGAAAGATGGATTATTTCGCTTCGGGTCTGATTTGAGGAAGAAAAAAGACGCGGCAAGGTCTTCATCTTTGGCGCATTCCTTGGCAATTGTCAGAGCAACAGCAGACTTGCCGACGCCTGCAGGCCCCGATACCCAGCATATCGGAGGCGAGTCGCGGTCAGAGGCGATCCACTTCTTAATATCGCCTAGAAGCGATTCGCGCGTACCGGGAAGACAAACTCCTCGAGAAAACTGGGCGTCCGAATTGTAGGAAGCCCTGACGCCTGCGATTTCTTCCCATATGATCTTCGCTGGGCAAAAGGTCAGCTTAGAAGCTGAGAATCATCCGGCTAGTGTCGACTCACCCCCAGCAGCTGCGTAGTAAAACCTTTGCACGAGATCGTGTCCAATGTTGTTAAATTGCCCGCTGATGTGTTCGGCATCCAAGTGTAGAGTTGCGCCGTATCCTGCCCCGCCTGATCCACCGTGTTGACCACCCTGACCACCACCACCACCCGTTCCTCCTGCATCCGATGAAATCAGCTGTGATGGCTTCACGCTGCCATATGCCCACCGTAAATGTTGTATTGAGACATGGAAAGTTCTGAAAGAGTCTCAGAACGGATACGGAGCTCTGAAGGGAACTAACCAAAAAGAAGCGCGATGCAAGTATCGGATTGGACAAAAGACGCAAGTGATTCTGGATTATATACGCAACTGAAGGCCTCATGGAGGCCATGAACATGCAGGCCGAGTGTTGCGCGCCGACTATGATTAGACAGAAAGCTAGGATCGACTGTTGGCCTTTGAAACGGAGCTAACAGTCCGTATGAAAGGTAAAATGATGCTGCAGGTGGCCAGTAAGACGCATGGCAGCTATGCCGCCCAATGCGTCATGGAAGGCCACGCATAGATGTTGAGGTGGCAGATTTGCACTGAGTATACTCGAGTGATTCTGTGGTGTTGGCCCAGCGATTTGTTGAGGATCCGGAGCGACGATGGACTCTTTGCTCGTCGAAGGCGAAGAACCGGATGGCAAGACAAGCAGTACAACTCTATCATATCAGCAACGGTGGTTTACTGCGCAGAGCCGCACCATGCATTGTCAGACAAACTCTGCCGTGCTACCGAAGTACCGTTCATGTTGTTCAAGTTGGTAAAGCTGGAGGTCTGACTAAGCGGCTTGTCATTTTCCCCATAATCAGTCCTGGAGCAGAAAAATATATGAAAAGTCTGTGCTACATCTCTAACGGCTGTCTCAAGTGACTGGGTTGTTGTTGCCCGACTTGCCGCCGGGATGGCGTGTGGTGTGAACCGTTGGCTTGGGGTGGTAATGTCGAACTCAACATTTGCCGCAGCTCCTCATTCTCTTTCTCCAATCTGGACAGTTCAATCTCTCGTTCCATCGCGTAGTCCGCGCCAGTTGCATCGAGCGAGGTCCACGGTTCTCGTGCTGCCAAGGTTGTCCAAGGCTCGCGCTCCTCTACACTGAGCTGTCTTGACTGACCAGCCTCTGTTTCGAGAGTTGGAGGGTCTGGTTCAAGCGGCTCTCCGCCATGAGCACGAAGTAGTTGGCGCAAAACGTGAGATATTCTCATAAGTGATGTGTAAACGACTGTGCTGGAGTTGAGGTCTTCAGTGTCGCATTCCTCTTGTCTCGCAAGTAACTGTGATTCGTATTCTCGTGATAGCGCCAGTTCACGTTCTTGGACATCTTTCTTCGGCGATTCGTCAGACTCCGGAACCAGAATGACAACTGAAAAGAACCCACAGCGCGATTCCGGAATGTGTCTAGTCAGAAGAAGCATTAGAATCGCTCATGCAACAAAAAGTAACGCGCACTCATAAGAGTCTCCAAGGTCTGCTCATACTCCCGAATAAGGGCATTGAGTTGTTTGTTATCGTGTTGTAGCGCAATGTTTTCTGCAGTCATCGACGCGTTCATACGCTCGAGTTCAGCATCATACAGCTCTAGTTCGAGTCTAGTCAACAGTTGCAGGAAGCTTCACTGAATGCTAACCTTTGGGTTTGTCCAGATTAAACCTTAACGACACATTAGTTCAATTCTGGTCGTAGCGCCAGACACACCGTCGCAGCACAAAGCCTGTCTGAGCATGGATGGCTTGAGTCTTCTCGGGAAATAAGACCTCCTTTCAGCGCTAAACACGTTGGATAGACCTTTATTCCTCCGGCTTGCTGGTATATGGATGCAGACACGTCTCGGTTTTGATTTAGCTAAACAAAGTCGTTGGCGCAGGAAAGGTAAGTTGTTGCTTTAGCTTTCTTCAACAATAGCACCTGGTCGCTGAGCTCTTGTATGAGGGCCCATAGTTTTGCAAGGCTGTCTTCAGGATTTTCAAGGATGGTCATGGCTGCAGAACAAGATTGCCGGCGCACGTGAAGCCGCCACAACTTCTCCAAAACCAAGTTGTGAATCATACACAGTCGCACAACTCTTTCGATATGTCTGCCAACGCGAATTCAACGAGATCTCCCAATTGCGGTCACAGCCAACCAGCGGACTTCCCACAACAATGGTGACTGTTTCCCGGGAACAGCAGGATGCTATTCGCAACCTAATGGTACGCTCACTCGCTATGAGTGCTTTATTCAAGTGTTAATGAGCCCAAGCACGACTCTGTGAGCAGCGGAAACTTGCCTCCGCTATACGTGGCTGTTTCCGACCGTAATGGAGAAATCTTCATGCACCAAGAAAGCTCCACCAGCTATTCTCTACCCGAAGACACTGTATTCTGGATCTGTAGCCAGACCAAACTCATTACCTCCGTGAGTTTGGCATTCAACCCAGTTTTCTCACTCATCGCGGAATAGATTGCTGCTCTTCAACTGATTGAGCGAGGAATGATTCAACTCGACACCAGAGTATCGGATATTCTCCCAGAGCTAGCTGAACCATCCGTCCAAGGCTCTCCTGCCAAGCATGAAATAACGTTTGGTCAGCTTCTCAACCATACGAGCGGTCTGAAATACACGACCTCTGGGCCTTCATATGGAGCGCAGGTGTACCAATCGAACTCTGAATTCTTGGCTAAAATCAGAGGATCGGGCCTGCACCAATCTTTGAAGTTCGAGCCAGGAACGGACTGTGAGATTATGTTCGCAACGCACAACTATGTATTGCTCACTCAGTTCCAGTTGCATATGGTTATTCAACTGATTGTATGGGCTTCATCATTGAAAAGCTATCTGGTCAAACGTTGGAACGCTATTTGTGCGCTCTCTTTGTCTGCGGCTTCCATTGACTTATGCCTTGAAGTGAAGATAACATTTTCTCGCCTTTGGGAATCTCATCTGCCTCCTTCTACTTGACACCGGCTCTGAAAGCGCGCTCTTTGCCTTTGCATTTCCGTGATGGAAACAACGAGATTATTCTCTGGGACCACCAGACCGAAATCATCAACCAAGACCCAGAAACGTGTGCGTAGCTCACTCACCGTACATCTCCCACCATTATATCTTCTCAGTGAAGGTTCATCTCGGAGGAGTCGGCTTGTATGCTTCGTTGCAGGACTACCTCGCTCTTCTACGACACCTGCTACAAATCCAAGGTTCGCTCCTTTACCTAGCTATGAAAATCTAAAGCTCATTTTTTATAGCAAACAAGGCAACTCAACCAATCATGAGCAAAACATCGTGCGACGCCTTGTTTGACCCCACGCTCAACGAAAAAGCGGCAAATTCACTGGCTAAGATGCTTGGTCTTGCCACAGGTCAAGTACAGTTCAGCTGTGGCTTAATGATAGAAATGGAGGATAAGACTGGTCGACGCAAGAAAGGCAGTGGCTCATGTATGCTCTACTCCATTTAATATGTCCTCTTGACCCGGTTTTAGGGGCGGGTTATGCTTGCACCTCTCATTTCGTAGACCCAACGACTGGAATTGCGGTTGTCTTTGGTACACAACTTCTGCCATCAGGTGACTATGATTTAGCATATGAACGTCTTTGGATGGAAATCGAGGCTGCCTTGTACAAGGGATTGACGGCGTAGTCTACTCACAAGCAACTCCCCAATTGTCGCATTGTAAAAGTTTCATCCACACTTGCCCGACACCTTCCTCCTCCGTCCCCACTTGCATTCCGTTGTCACGGAGAATATAGTATTCTCGTCCCGGCGTTTGCACAACGGCCAACGCTCCATGCAGAGGTTGACCCTTGCGACGACCGCTTGCTGTGAAATGTAGACTTTCGACGTTGTGATGGCTGAAGAGATCATAAGAATACGATATGCACTAAGAAACTAGGACACATGCGGAGGAAGATACAAGTTGACCCTCGGTTTTGCCGAAGTCCGGGAGGCATGTACCTCGGGAAGCCCTTGAAACTCTTGATCCATCTGGTTTGAAGACATCCACCGGCCGCTCAGACTAGAGATAGCCGTTGGAAAGAAGCTGGAAAGCTGAGCGGGCTCACCTATTGCCCACAACACAAGCTAGCACGTAACGTTCAGCGGTCGATCGCTTGATGCAACCCATTTCGCCCCCTTCTTCCATTCGTTTCAGCCAAATCCGACTGATGCCATGGTCGTATTCTTCGTGGTTCGTCCAGCTCAGGCGTTGGAGAAGCAAGTCAGTCGCGGATCCTTTCTCTTGGGCAGTTTGACTAATGTAAGCAGCCCAGTCAATACGAACCGGGATTCCACTCATTCCTGAGGAGTCTTCTGCTGCCGTGAGTGGCTCGCATGTTTGTTCAAGAACATAGAAAGATTCAGTCTCCTTCCCTGTATGACGGATAGTGATCTTCCACACTTCATCCGAGACCACAGGTTGCGCATCGACAATCTGGCCTTCCCTCCAACCCAATCCGCCTGTTGCTTGATTGTCGCCAACAGAAACTTTGAAAAAATGTCTAGTCAGAATGAAGCTAGAGGGTAACATTTAGAGAGAACGCAGGATGGAAACAAAGCCGAACCGGAGAGCCACAACCAATTGTCGTTCATGATCTGGTGATGTCCACAAGTGTTGTGAGACAATGTTACTTGGGAATAGTCGTCCTAGAAAGCACTGCTCGAAGAGCCTTCTCCGCGTATGGACCTCGGTCAACCGCTCAGACAGATATGGCCACATGTTGATTGTTCGCGCTGCATCAGGGTAGCGAGAGAGGACTTGGGAAAGACGCAGTCCCTTGAAGTGTCGACAAAGATACTGATAAGAGGAGAGATACACTGTAAGTGTGGTTGGAATGATTGATTATTTGCGGGACCACACACATACCTGCGTAACGAAACATGCGGGACACGAGCACGCAACGCCTGAGATCTTGGTCGTCGAGGTAATCAATCGCAAAGGAGAGCAACAGAGCTAATCGAGGAACGCGTTTTCTTTGCGCAATTGAAGGCGGGAAAGAGGTGGATGTTAACTGCTTTTGGAATTCAGCTGAGGCTGGAAAATCCAGATAGAATGGGACATCGTGCGGAGGGCTAGAATTGGTGATCACAGCAGATGCGTCTGAGACAGATGTGCGGGGTTTGGGATTGACTATGAGTGGGATAAATCGTTTACGCGGTGGGTTGACTAGTTTGGTGCTCTCTTGCGTAAAGGGCGATCGTTCAACTTGGGCGACAGGTTTTATTGTCACCTTCGGTAGTCCAGTCTTGGAAACCATTGTGAGTGGCAAGACAGCAGACTTGGCTTTCTTTGCTGGCGCGTCAATCAGTGAAGTCGAAGGTCTTTTCGAAGGGTTGAAAGGTTGAGGGATCTGGTTATTTAGAAGCGAGAGCGCAGAGTTGGAAACGATGTCGGCAATTGGCGCAGAACTCGAGGCGACAACCTTGGACAAAGGCTTCAGTTTTTTCTTCTTGGCCGGGTGCTCGGAGGTTGCGATATTTGGAGTGAGTGTTTGAGTGCCTAACGCTAGAGGATCGTGATTGGTTGGACTGTCCAAAATCGCAACAGATTCAGCGGCATTGCTTGGCTTCCGCTTTCGTTTCTTGGAGGAGTTGGTTGTCGTAGACGATGCACCTTCCGCTGACACTCCACTGGCCGCGTTTCGGTTCTTGTTGGATTTGGCACTGGGGACCAAGTCGCTTGCATCTGTTGATGGGATTGTTTGTGTGGTTTGAGGAGGATCGATGGAATTGGATTCAACAGTTACTGCCTTTGGGGTAGAGATCCTCTGATTCTGGTTCTTCTTGACTTGAATATCGCTCCTTATTGATTCTGTCAGATTAGCGGCCTTGTTCACAGGCTCGACTGTTGACGTGGATGCATTTGCAATTGTCTGGGGACGCGAAGGCGCTGGTACCGGAGTCATTGCAGAAGACGACGACAACGAAGAGACTTGATTCTGCAATACTTTGTCGGGCAATTCGGGAATCTTGAACACAGAATCACCACTGGTCCGATTGATCGACGTGTCATTGGAGGAATGGGAAGAGGATACGGCAGTGGGAGATACGTCTGTAGATAAAACATTCTGGCCCACCAGCTTTTGGATGAGCGCGTTTTTAGGGAGTTTAGAATAGCCTATGATTATTGATTTAAGGGGAGTAGCCTCCGTGGATACAGACTACGCACCTTGCAATTTTTTCTCCTTACAAAGGGCTCTAAGCTGAGACACAGTGAGCTTCTTCAAGTCAGCTTCACTACTGTTTGCCGCCATCGTCGTCTTGAAGCGTTCTCAGTGTGACTGTCGCGTTACCGTGACGGTCAGGATAATTGCCATCACATGATCCCATCAAACCGCAAGATTGCTGAAGACCACCCTGCAAACACGACGAGGGGGCTTATGCGCAGGACTGGACCACAACAATTTCGATTGCGAGTCAGCTTTTGGTCGGGACCGCCATCATCGGTAGCGTTTCGCGTCGAGTCATGTGTCTGCTTGATATAGTCGGACGATTACGGGCTGCTTTTGTCAGCGAAAACCGCTCATTCAACCCAATTTCTCTCCCATTCTGCTCCTCTTCCTATGCGTGAAATAGTCCATCTGCAGATTGGCCAAGTGGGTCCCAGTCTCTTAACCGTGCTCATCTTACATTCCAACCATTCGGTAGTGTGGTAATCAAATTGGTGCGCGCCTACAGTGCGATTGGGACATCAACTGACTACTTGTTAGGATCCCGGTTCTGGGAGACTGTCTCAGACGAGCACGGTCTCGATAAGTCGGGCCACTACATTGGCGCTAGGTAGGTTCATGGCCACATGTTATCCATTTTCACCTCACTTTAAGCAGTGATCAACATACTAGTGATCTACAGTTGGACCGAATTTCCGTGTACTTCAACGAGGTTGGAGCCGCGAAATATGTTCCACGGGCTGTTTTAGTCGACCTTGAGCCTGGCACAATGGGTGTGATCCGGAGTGGCTCTCTTGGCCAGCTATTTCGCCCTGATAATTATGTTTTCGGACAAAACGGAGCTGCCAACAACTGGGCCAAGGGCTGTAAGGACCCATTTAGCTCGCCTATTATATCTCTTATCCCTTTCCAGACTACACAGAAGGCGCAGAATTAGTCGATTCAGTTCTCGATGTTGTCCGCCGCGAAGCCGAAGGCGCTGATTCTTTGCAAGGTTTGTTGCTCTTTTCATCTTTCAGATCTGATTATGCCAACATTTGTCCAGGTTTTCAAGTGACACATTCGCTCGGGGGAGGCACTGGTGCTGGTCTAGGAACACTGATGCTAAGCAAGATTCGAGAAGAGTACCCTGACCGCATGATGTGCACCTTCTCTGTTGTTCCGTCTCCCAAGGTGTCGGATACCGTGGTTGAGGTAAGCTCAAACTCTCTCTGGCAGCGGCACTGATGATCCAAGCCCTACAATGCCACACTTTCGGTACACCAACTTGTTGAAAACTCAGACGAGACTTTCTGCATCGACAACGAGGCCCTGTATGACATCTGCTTCCGTACTCTCAAGTTGGCAAGCCCCAGTCATGATGATCTTAATGCCCTGGTTTCAAACGTTATGTCTGGAGTAACCACCTGCCTACGCTTTCCTGGTCAACTCAACTCTGATCTCCGCAAATTGGCCGTAAATCTTGGTGCGTCGCATAGATCACTCATCACCGCTTTCATTGCTTAACAACCGAAGTTCCGTTCCCTCGTCTTCACTTTTTTATGACGGGGGTTGCCCCTTTGACGGCCACTGGTAGTGCCCAATTCCGTGCTGTCAGTGTGCACGAACTCGCAGCTCAAATGTTCGATGCGAAAAACATGATGACTGCAGTATGTATCTTCCTGTTTGGCAGATCCCAGTTCGGTTATATTTCGTAGGCCGATCCCCGCCAAGGACGATTCCTTACTGCACGTCTTTCATCGGTGTGGCTCTCCTTGAATTTATCGTTTCGTTAGGTCGCCGCACTTTTCCGTGGCAAAGTTTCCATGAAGGACGTCGACGATGAGATGCAGAAGGTTCAGCGCAACAACTCGACATTCTTCATTGAATGGATTCCCAACAACGTTCTCTCAGCCCATTGTGACATCGCACCCCGCGGTAGAAAAATGTCTGTTACTTTCATCGCTAACTCCACTGCAATTCAACAACTCTTCCAACGAGTTAATGAGCAGTTCAAAGCAATGTTCAAACGTAAGGCATTCTTACATTGGTACACCGGAGAAGGCATGGATGAAATGGAGGTGTGCTACATACGTGGTCTTCAGATCAGGCTTGGATCTCAACTTTGCCCTATAGTTCACTGAGGCCGAATCGAACATGCAAGACCTGGTCGCTGAGTATCAGCAATATCAAGATGCTACGTTCGTTTTTCTCGGAGTTGCACTGTGTCTTTTGTGCTGACCTATTGACAGCGTTGATGGCGACGAAGTCGAGAATGATGGCGAGGAGTCTGCTGCGTAGATCTAATTATGGTAATTTATGGACACCAGGATATGCTACTATCGTTGTTTCTCTCAAAGTCTAAACTGAGTGGACAATGCGTGTTTGTTTGGGTCCCGATGCCCGTCATTGCCATACTTGTCGCGAACTCGCTTGGGTTACAGGCTTTACAGCTCGAAGAGCTGATCGTTGCATGTGACCGTAGACGTGACAACTTTAGACGTGACAACTTTCGCAGTCGCAGTTCGACTGCTCTTGGACTGCTCGCAAACCTTTTCTTCGTACCCCGGGACGGCCTTTGCTGTGGCGTGGACACATCACAAGTTGAACTTGATGCTGATTTGATTGTTTTGAAGATGGTCCCGCCCTCCGGTACCCATTGACAATTATGCCTGAGTACTGCAAAACTCTCTCAGAAGCTGTGTCCACAACAGATCAGAATCATGGATAGTGCCGTTTCTAGTCGACTTCGTGTAGGCACTCTCCAAGCTCCCACGTTCTATTCGTGGCCTTCGCAACATAACACCAAGCCGTGGTCAATGAGAGCAGCGTCCTCGACTAGCTCCTCTCATCGCATTGTGGGGGCATCTAATCCTCATCGAATACCCACTCTTTCGAATCATACGTTATCCAACCCTGGATTGGCAATTGACGCTCAGCTGCCGGGACTCCAAATATATCGCATGGGCTATAAAACAGACTCGCCCTCGGGGACTTTTATTTCCTGACTCCCGCCCGACTCACCCATCATGTCTTCGGCAATCCCTGCGACGGTAGAAAACCCCGTAGTGCTCGATCTCTCCGCCTCCTACGGCGCTCTTATCATTGCCGCTTATATTTCATGCGCTTTGTGGGGAATCAATGTCATGCAGTCGTAGGTGGCACTACGCACGAAAATCTATTTACTAATCGAGTACAGTTACATGTACTATTGGAAGTCCGTTATTCGTCGAATTGCAGTTTCTCGATATTCATTTATTCAGCTATCCGGAGGATTCATGGCAGAAGAAGACTTTGGCAGGTTTGCTGTTCATTCCCGGTACTCATGGCTTACTCCGCCCAGGTTGCTTTCCTTCTGTACCGGTCACACTTGCCTTAAAAATGTTCCAACGTTGTCAACAGACTAGTAGACACGGCTCATAAGGTCCTAATCACCAAAGTTCGTGAGTGCATATTCACCAAGCTGCTTATAACAAAGCTCACTTAACGTTCAGCGTTTTTCACCTTGATTCAAAATTGGGGTCGGGTGTCCGCCGTCCTTGCATCGCCAGTGTCAGTGACGTTTCCATGTATGTAATGTTTGTTTGTTCATGGGGAGGTTATTCCAGAGAAGCTCTAGTAAGTTTGGAACCCTGCCTCACACTCCATTTCTGAACATAAAACAGCACGAGGCGTGGGTTGGCGTGAGTTTTTATTTGAGCTGGTCATCCGTTCTGACTGAAATGCAGTCCATTATCGTTCTTTGCGTACAACTCTACTATCTTCATCGCATCGCACGATGTCGGGCTTCGTTCCCTCCTTTTCCTAGCCTTGTTCTCAACGAGCGGCAGTTGCATCAACTACTCGACATGCCCACACTTGGTATTATTGGCTGGCGTTGATTGTGCTGGTAAAAGATTCCCCCCTCGTCAACGATCTTTGACTCGGTCACTCCAGGTAGCTCTCTCGATCCTACAAGTTCGTAAGTGAGGATGCTTTGAGCCAATTAACATATTGAACTTGTTGTGTAGCGTTGACTGCTGGTGGGTGTTTAATCTTGATCGTGTGTTTCGCCCAACCTTACCGTTCCAGCCTATTGCGCCTTCTCCATCAACAAGTCCAACATTTTTATCCCCATCAACCTTGCAAGTTTGCTTGCTCCCATAGAAATGGAATTGAAGGATCTGATGACATTCCAGCGCATCAAACGGACGGGATTGGTGGCTGCAGCTATCGTCGATGTGGTCATCACGATAGCGATGTCTTTCCTCTTGAAGGATTCGCATGCGATTGACGGCGTGTACAGGTCTAAGAGGTCAAGAAACCATCAAGTTCACCTTTACCTCCAGCTGATCAAAGATTTCCAGAACTTCACGCACCATCCGACGGTTGACCATTATCATCATCAACACCGGCTTGGTCACTGCTGTTGTTGCTGTCGCATCGCTTATTCTGGTGAGTCTTTAACTTCCCTTCAGTCTATCCAGTACAAACCAGTTAGGACGAAACTGCGAGTGGAACCGACTTCTATACCGCAATCGCGCAGTACCCACAATGCTCGATCTACTTCTCCACTCTTCTTGCGAATCTTAACGCCAGACATTATGTTGGCGGTACGCTTGAAGTTTCCAACATCGAAGACCTGCAATTTGCGACGACTACTCGGAGTCGGCGGGATACTGAAAGTGCCGGAGATAGAATTGTGTTGGGCCAGCTCAAGTCAGTTGGTAACTCCAGTGGTTCAGAGACCACACAGGCCGCGAGTAAGAGGCAGGATGAGAAGGATGGCGTCGTTGTCATCGAGTGATCAAGCGTGGGAATATTATGTATCATTCTTCCCAGTTTGCGACCAACGCCCTCGACTGGAAATTCTGTCCATAAACTCTCACCTATTTATAATCCGCCATCATGTTCGTTGACGCATAAAGGCCGTTTGAAACTAGAACCTGACCCCCATGGCGAAACAACCCCCCACGCGTATCGGTTCCTTCAGCGAGAAGTGGCCGCCGAAGCCTACATGGCACGTCGAAGATGTCCCTGACCTTTCGGGAAAGACTCTACTTGTTACTGGTGGTTCAGCTGGGATCGGAAAAGAGACTTGTCGGGTGTGTCTTTCGTTGCATTGCGGCGACTATCTCTCACACAGTCGAAGGTCCTGGTTGAGCGCAATGCCAAAGTCTACCTTGCAACACGGTCAAAAGACAAGGCAGAATCTGCGATCGCAGACATTTGCAAGACGACTGGCAAGAATAACATCCACTTTTTACACTTGGACCTCGCAGACCTCGATTCTGTGCGAAGATGTGCAGAGGAATTCAATTCCAAAGAAAAGGAACTCCACGCTCTTGTCCACAATGCGTATGTCTCTTGTGTCGTGCTCTCGAATCAGCTCAACCATTACTATAGTGGTGTTCTATACGCTCCCGCAATAGGCCCCTTGACGAAGCAACAATGGGACATTCAATTCGGAGTACATGTTCTTGGACCCTTCTTGCTCACTCAACTTCTGCTTCCCACTCTCCTGCGGACTGCAAAAGGCGAAATTTCTGGGACTCCGTGTCGAGTCCGTGTCGTGGCAGTCTCCTCAGACGCACATGAAATGACGGCGCCAAAAGAGGGCATAGTTTGGGACTCGCTTCAGAAAGGCGATGCTTCCTTGCGCGCTCGGAAGAAGCTGACTGGAACGAGATTATATGGTCAGAGCAAACTGGCGAGTTGGTTTATGACCAACGTACTCCATTTGATAACACAGCCGTTTCAGGGCATGGTGCTGGTATCGTCAGAGCTAGCGCGACGATACGGTGACCAAGGCATAGTGGCCATATCTTTGCATCCAGGTATGCCTTCATACGAAGCTGGTACTGCTAACTCCTTTATATCAGGTGGCGTCAAATCTGAACTAATGCGTAATGTCAATCCAGTGGTGGCTTGGATTGTGGAGAAAATTCGAATATACCCAGTGTCGCTCGGCGTCTTGACCTCGCTGTATGCTACAACTTCGGAGGAGGCGTTAGACTTGAATGGAGAGTATCTGACTGCTTGGGCACGCCGTCAAGTGCCCAGTAAGCATGCTCAGAATCCAGAGCTGGCGGCCAAGTTATGGAAGTGGTGTGAGGACCAAGTAGTAGTCTAATTTCTGCGCATGTATTAATAGACATAATCAGCACGTGATCTCGACGGGCGCTCCGAGTGTTTTGTGCTCAATTTGTGCTCCACCATAATGGTCTTTTGCGCCAACGTCGGGCTACTCGACCTTCATGAAGCCTGCATGCGCAGCGTCTGGGCTGCAATCACTCCCTCAGCAATCGTGGTGGTTTTTTGTGCCGTCAGATTTTCTCCACGGCTTCCAGAGTTCGTAATTCATCGATTACACACATCCCAAACCCTGTTCCAGCAATTTTTAACACTGCAGGAAGCAGAACAGCTAATTACCTCGGAAACAGACGATGAAGTTGCGCCGCAGCTTAACCTACCTGTCTGGCGCCCCCTCCTCACAGTTGTTGGGCTCGCCCAATGTGTCGTCTGGGTTGCCGTTGCAGCCTACTCATTTGCCATCGAAGACTCAGCGCTGTCGGGACTACTTCAGCTACTTCTTAGCGCATCCTGGTTTTACACCGTCATGCGGGCCATAACACATCCCGCCGCAACTCCTCCATATGACCTCTTTACGCTCTACTGTCTATTCACTATAACAAGCCTTCTACAGCTAGGGGGATACGTGTTTGAGCATGCGGTAGATCTTGTCCCGCTCCCTAGCTCCGCAATTCTCGTCGGTTTAGCGTTGAACCTGGCGAGCACTCTGGCCGTTTTGACTGCGGTGTTGACGATGCCGCTTGGTGTCCCGAGCCAAAGGGTTGACGTTCGACAAATTGTGCGTACCTCCTGTCTCTCGCCGATACCTGCCTGAGAGTAAACTTAGGGTATAACTCTGACAACGGAGGACTACGCTCCTCTTTGGCAATGGATCATATTCAGCTGGATATACCCACTTGTTCGCAAGGTATTCGGGGAATTGAATGCTCTTCTTCTACTCAATCTATTCAGGGCACATATTCCACGCTGGATTATCAAGATGTGTGGCAACTCAGTCCGACTCTTCAGTCACGACCCGTCTTTTCGAAATTTTCGACCTTCAAGTAAGTGACTCATTTGAGCACTTTCACGTAGTCTTATCTGTCAGACTTCCGACGCTTCTGCAACGCCTTTGGAAAGCGAACTCTTTCGATATAATGTACGTCGGCCGCTGGCACGAGCAATCAACACCTTGTAACTCATCAAAGAAAGATTAGACTTCGTGCTTACCCTCGTTGCTGTTATATTCAGCTATGCTGGTCCATTTTGCCTCAAGTGAGCAGATTTTTTTGGTGCTTCTGGACACCAACGCCTTTTTGTTGTCAGACGAATTCTCGATTCTATTGACAAAGAAGTGCCGACACGACGCGACAAAGGTACTGCCTACATCTATGCGTTCCTAATGCTGGTGTTTGTTGTTCTGAAGGTCTGTTCACGATATTCTCATTTCGCTTTCTCTAATTCGCTCATAGGCACAAGTTGACCTACAACATCTGTACCTCAGCCGCCGGGCGGCGACCCGCATCCGTGTCGAGCTTATAGCAGCGATCTACGACAAAGCCCTCAAACGCAAGGACTATGCTGGCTTGATCGACAAAGATAAGGCTCGGGCTGCGGCGGAAGCCAAAGTTCGCAGCGAAACCAAGCAGAAACGGGCGCGACATGACGAAAAGGCGGATGACCCCAAGAGCGGGGCCGATGTCGGGAAAATTGTCAATCTCATGGCCGGGGATCAGACTCGAGTGTCTACCATCGTTAGTGGCGCGTTCAACATCTACGGTGCGGTAAACTTGAGATGCATGAGACAACATTTGACTTGTTTATAGGCGCACCCATGGAAATTCTTGTCGGGAGCTGGTTTCTGTACGTTCTGCTGGGGTAAGGAGAATCTCAAAGTTGGTGATTATATGCTGATGTCACTACAGCTGGAGTGCATTTGCTGGATTCATTGTGCTCCTTGTTGGCTGGCCTCTCAATAGCTATGTAGCACGAAGACGTGTTCGAATGCACAAAGGTGAATTAAAGGCGCGGGATGGGCGGATGAGTGTGATCAATGAACTGATTGGTGCTGTGAGAAATTTGGAAGATCTCTCCGCATCCATTTTAACCAACTTCCAGGTTAAATTCATCAAGTTTTTTGCATGGGAAGAGCGTTGGATCCAACGTAGCCTTGACGCTCGAGAAATCGAGATGAAGTGGATGATCAAATGTGGACTTCATGACCTTTTTTCACGAATCGTCGACTTACACCTCTCAGCTAGACTCAATTCGATGTTGTTCAACTTGATCTGGCTACTCGCCCCAATAGCAATGTCCACCATCTCTTTTCTCACATTTGTTTTGCTTGGAAACAAATTGACTGTTGGAACGGCGTTCACGGTGAGCTCTTGAACCATGCATTCCTCTCCAGCTCATCTCTGATAGTCAATTACTCTGTTCTCTATGATCCGCTCACCCATGAATATAATTCCTGCCTGGGTGGTACGCTTTTTGCAGGTAATTCCACGCTTCAGTTCTTTTTCTTTTTCTTGACTACCGGATAGACTCGTGTTGCCCTCAATCGCATCGCTGTGTATCTAGATGAGGAAGAAGTTTCCGCTCAAGTGTCTTCCCTTAAACAGGATGCTATCGTTCCCCATCTTCATGGTGTTGAAAATGAAGGACTGGGTCTTGAAAACGCGTCCCTGCGCTGGAATGAACTGCCGGAAGAAGAAGTTTTACCTCTCAAAGGTACCCCCCCTTCATCGACGAGCGGCAACACGACTGCACTAGGAGATGAAGTGAATAGGTTTGAACTGCGTGATATTTCTGTTATCTTCCCTGAGGGGCAACTATCGATGATAACTGGACCTACTGCAAGGTGCGTATTCTTTTCGCGGAAACGCACGGTGTCAAGTCCCGAATAACATTCTCACAGTGGTAAAACTGCTTTGCTCGTATGTGCTGATTATAAAACTTTGACTATTCCCTAATTGACTGGTGCTAGATGGCGTTGCTTGGCGAAATGACCCTTCTTCCTGGTGGGCGCATCGTCATGTCAAAGAATCGCTCTCGCGTCGATGAACACGGCAATATTTATGGTATATCCTATGCCGCTCAGACTCCTTGGCTCCGTCATCAATCCATACGCGAAAACATCTTGTTCGGGTACCCATACGACGAAGCCCGCTATAACCAAGTGTTAGAGTGTTGCGCTCTGCAACCGGATCTGGATGTACTTGAGGATGGTGATGCAACTGAGATCGGAGCAAGAGGAGTTGTCTTGTCTGGAGGCCAAAAAGCAAGGTGAGAATGTAGTGCCGTTATCTATAGCTTATCTGACTTGGCTTTCAGGGTCGCATTGGCTCGTGCAGTATATGTTCGCAGCAAATATGTCCTTCTCGACGACCCACTCAGTGCTGTTGTGCGTTGTATTTGCATTTCTACTCATCCTACTTATTCTTATTCCTGAAATTAGGACAGCCATACTGCGCGCTTTCTATTCGAACATTTGTTGTGCGGTCCTCTGCTCGCAAATCGCACAGTTGTTTGTCCCTTATCTTATCGTTAGATCAGATCACTTTGATGATCATCAACAGATCCTCGTGACACACCATGTCGACCTAGTGCTGCCTGGTGCGCGTTACCTCGTTCGAATGTTGGATGGACGAATCGACATACAAGGGGCTGTAGAGGACCTCAGAGCGCTTAACGTCCTAGAGAATATTGCCCAAGACGCTCACACCAAGGCCGAAGTTTTGGATTCCGTCATCACTGAACCGGTTGTCAGCATAGATCGTCTAGACACACTCAAGACAGCAGGGAAACCACGCAAGCTAGTCAAAGAGGAACACAGGGCAGTTGGAAGTGTCAAGTGGAATATTTATAACTCTTACCTGAAAGCGTCCTCTTATTGGACATGGGGATTCCTCCTCTTTGCAGTTATCGTCAGCCAACTTTTGAGTGTTGGCGAAAAGCTGTGGATCAAGGTTTGGTGCATTACATGACTTTTTCGACTACTAACAAACAAATTTCTCAGACATGGGGCTCAGCATATGAACACAACAGCACTGTCCCTCAAGTTAACGAAAACTTTCCATACCTTGTCATGCATCATTTTGATCGGGCACCTACCTTCTCTCATGTGGCTGTCAAGACTGGGTTTGAAGACGTCAAATGGCCCAATGCTGCTAATCACCCGCTTTTCTATGTCGGAATATATGCTGCAATCTGCCTAGCCACTGCCTTTATGACGCTGTGTTCAATTGCTACCCAATTTACGGGAGCGTTGAGGGCCTCGCGCATTCTATTCAAGTAAGCATTTTCCAGTGAGATTGATTTGCTGGTTTCTCACGCGGCCGCAGACAACTTTTGTTCTCTGTCGTGCGCGCAACCTTCCGGTACACTTTCTCTTACCGAGGCTCTGGTTTTCCACCTGATCGCGAACTTAGATTCCATGACACCACCCCAGTCGGGAGAATGCTCAATAGGTTTGGACTTGACATGGAGAAAATCGATCAAGATCTTGCCGCGTCGCTTCAAACCGTGAATACATCTCTTGCAGGATTTTTCGCTTCTGTGATCACGATCACGTGAGTATCAACATTTTCTTGGTACTATCCTTGACGCGCGTTTTAGGGTTGTTTTTCCCGCATTCCTTTTTCCTGCTATTGCTTTAGGCTATGTTTACTACCGTCTTGCGCTTGGATATTTGAACACGGGACGTGATCTCCGTCGGATGGAGTCCAACAGCCGCTCTCCCATTTATTCGGATTTTGGTGAACTACTGGAGGGAATAGTGACCGTTCGAGGTGAATTTCCGCTCTTTCAATGACGATACCTACTCAGCTACGTGTAGCATTCTCCGTAGAACCGCGGTTCTTGGAAGGCCTACACAATCGTATCGACACAGCGACCAAGATGTGGTATACATTTTGGTAGGTGTTTGCAAGAGGTGTCGAAGTTTCAACCATCTAATTCACACAGGATGACCAACAGATGGCTTCTTCTCAATTTCGACTGTCTTGGTGGGCCTGTTTCCATCGGCATGACATGACTTATGAGCTTATGATCTTGTCAGGCGGTATCGTTAGTTACAGTGTTCCAGAACTGGGTTTACGACAAGCTTAAGCGCGTCTTTAGGCAGTATTCATCACAGCTGTTCTCTCAATCTCGCTGCTGGAGAATGATGCTGGTATAGCAGGACTAGCACTAACGGTCAGTCCACTTCAGTCATATCAGATTAAACTCACCTCGTCTTTAAGAGTGCTGTTAATTTCACTAATGCAATCTACTGGGCCTGTAGAAACTGGACGACTCTGGAAGTGAGTCCAACTTGTCATCTGCAGGTCGTGCACCCTCAAATCCGACATCTAGGTTGACCTCAAGTACATAAATCTCGTTGAACCTGCCCACAACGTTGCTCATTTTATGCAGTTCTGTGGAACGAGTGGTGGAATATCTCCAACTGCCTCAAGAGCCTCCTGCCGTGATAGAATCCAATCGGCCTCCGGCTTACTGGCCATCCTCTAGCACTGAACAATTGGTGCAAGTTGAAAATCTGGCCGTCAAATATTCACCCGAGCTTCCGTCTGTGTTGCATGACGTGACATTCACGTTAAGAGCCGGTGAAAGAGTTGGGCTTATCGGGCGGACGGGCAGCGGGAAGAGCACGCTTGCTATGAGTTTACTCCGTTTCGTGCGTGGACCACAACCCGGCTATGATTTGCCCTTAAACGATCACAGATCGATCCAGTTAGTGGTCGTGTTGTCATTGACGGAATCGATATAAGCACCATCGGCGTCAATGGTATGAGGCTTGTTTTGGTCTTTGCTATGTTTGCTAATGTTACAAAGATCTGCGTTCGAGGATCGTCAGTTCACCACACAAAGTAGAGAGTGACTGATTGCTCACCACATTGCAGACATTTATTCCTCAAGACGCTACCTTGTTCTCTGGTACACTGAGGGACAATTTAGATCCCTTTGGAGAACATGATGACGTCAGCTGTATAGACGTTTTATATCGCGTCCATCTTCTCAGCGACAGCCCTCGAACCTCTCGAGGTGCATCCCGTGGTCAGTCTGCGACAGCGACACCTCATTCATCACGACCGCCATCAATATTAGAAAGCGCGACGGACGTTTCCCTGCTCAGCAGCGAGACAGAAGCAAAACCAAGTATTACCCTGAACACGCAGGTTTCTGCTGGGGGAAGCAACTTCTCTCAGGGCCAGCGACAGCTTATTGCTATGGCGCGGGCACTGTTGCGCCGCAGTTCTGTGGTTGTAATGGACGAAGCAACATCCAGTGTCGATTTCGAGACTGACGCAAAGATTCAGAACACAATCAGACAGGAATTTACTGGCTCGCTTTTGATCACTGGTGTGTTTGATCAACGGACGCTTCACAAGATGGATAAACTCACTTCTTTGCAGTGGCGCATCGTCTCAGAACTATCATCGACTATGACCGGCTTGTGGTGCTTGACCATGGCAAGGTTGTAGAGCTAGATACACCCTTTAAACTCATACAGAAGGAAGACGGTGTCTTTCGTAGTATGTGTCTCAACAGCGGCTCATTCGCAGAGTTAGAGACTGCAGCACGCCTGAAGGCTGAGGTAACCGGACGAATGTAGTTGTTCAGTCTATGTAACACGAAGCAATATATCACCAAATGGTTCCCGCAGTGTTTCTTTCACCCAGTTTACGTCTGACTTGTGCACCAGAGAAATTGACACCTTCAAAGAACTTGAAGTCAGTGTCGAAGCTAAAACTGCAATTTCGCTAGTCTCGGGACGATAGTTCTGAATAGAAAGTTGTCGTAAGGCAGGGATAAAGGGTGCATTCGATGCCATTTGCACAAACAGCAAAGCAAGGGAGCCCAGTGGCCAGTCTATGTGGACGATTTCGAGGCTTGGGTTAATGCTGAGCATTTGCAGGATTGCGTCAGTATTCATGTGTCGCAGACAGATAGAACGGATGGTCCACGACGAGCGCTCTCCTAAGCTGACGCCTCTAAGTATGGCTGCATTGGAGTTGAGGCCATTGAGTTCCAGCGAATCAAGCTTCGGGAGAACAAGGAATGGGAATAGTGTGCGATCGGCACTGGTGACCAGGCGAAGTGTATGAAGGTGGGCAAGAGTTAACAGAGCTGGGGGATGGAGAAGGTCGCGATCCCATTCTAGCTCTGCTATGAGCTCCTCAAGTCTGGATGCGCGTCGCAGTATTTCGAGGCACGAATAGGCCGAGCTCGATGATGCCCGAAACTCCAAATGTGTAATTAGCTCGATGGGAATATATTCTACAGAGCTAAGAGTTGCATTGGATAGTGTGAGATGCCGCAGCAAGGTTGCGGAGACGAAGACACTCGGGGGTGTTACAACTCTCCGTTGGGGCAAGAACTCGAGAATCAGACTTTCTAGGCTGCTGCACTGGAATTCGGACGGAAAGGATGCAGACTCTTGGATGGGAATGTCCAGGGCACGTATTCTCGGCGAGAAGGGTGCGAGAAGGGCAAATATCGTGTCGATTTGGTGTCGGTGGAAAGCGTTGCTGACGTAGATGTCAAGAAGTGTGTTTCCAGAGCGTGAAAGCCATAGAGGGAGGAGTTGGAAAAGGTCCCGGATTCTCTGGTTGCTTATATTGGCGCCAACGGGTGGGTAGATACGAATGACACCCCAGAGCTCTGGCAGACGGAGGGCCAGCGCCCGCCAGCTGGAACAGACACTTGCAAGAACAAGTGGTCCAGTTCTGAGTCTGCTACTCGAGCCAATCCGAGGCGGTTCAAGCGCTACGAAATGGACGAATACAAGGCTCGCAAGTTCTGGAGGAAGTGATTGCATTGTAGTAGTGGGTGACATCACGGCCCTCAAGTTCCTTCAGGCTCTCATAGCCAAGTAGCTAAGTCACCCCCAAACCTGTGATAAATCTACTCTACTTTTAACACGAAGCAATCTCGATCCCGGGGACTGAACACTTGTGTTAATATCAATGTTTTCACCAAACTTCAGTATTTCATTGACCCAGTCAACATCCAACTTGTTCACGAAAGTCAACGAGACGTCCTTCAGAGAACTTGTAGGACTCGATTCGAGAGCGTTGAGGGTCGAGGATAGAACGGCGATTTCGTCTCTCGCGGGGCGGTAGTTCTGGATAGAAAGCAATCTCAAGGCTGGGATAAATAGCTGGGGTGAAGCCATCTGCTCAAACAAGCGAGCAAGCGAGTCGAGTGGCCAGTCGAGCTCTATCGCTTCAAGACCCGTATTTGCGACAAGGACATGAAGAATGGATATGCAATTCATGTGCCGCAAACGGACGGACCTCAGAGTCCATGAAGAGCGTTCGCCAAGAGCGTCAACTCTGATGAGGGCCAACTCCTTGTTGCTGCCATTGATTTCTATTCGCTTTAGTTTCGGCAAGACGAGATATGGAAGTAGACTGCGGCCGACTGGGGTGACGAGACAGAGCGTGTGGAGATGGGAAAGAGTCAAGAGTGGCGGTAGGTGTAAGGGCAACCCCGGAGGCCTGAGATCAAGGTCCTAGCAGGGGAGGATCCAAAGCGTGAACATTGGTAAGCGAATACAAATGAAGCTGACCTAGCAGGGGAGGATCCAAAGAGAAGAAACTCTGAGGGTCCGCCTGCTAGGTAGCTGACTATATACTGCTTGTCCATAGCTGCCGCTGTCGGGCACAGAAGGCCTGGGCGGCGTCGCAGGCGAGGTCCCAGGGCGACCGTCGGGAGGGCGTTGACGGATCGGTGATTGTGCGGGCGAGATGGAGGGCCAGACCGGAGTCGGAACCGGAATCGGGCGCGTCTCCGGGCCGAAAGGGAGGTTCCCCTGACATCACCCCCCCCTTTGAATGCGGCGTCTCGACGCATAGACCGGAACAGAATCGAGTCGAAGGTCGCGGAGGTGATGTGTCGTGGCTTGCCAGGGTACTTACAATAGAACTCCGCAATTTTCTCCGGGGCGAAGACACAGTCGAAGCAGACCCACTGGTCGTGCGATGCGTCATAGCCTTTCCATCTGATGAAGTAGTTCAGCCGTTTATACCTCACCCTTGCGTCCAAGATTTCCTCTACTTCCCACTCCAGGACTCCGTCCTCGAGGTCCAGAGGGGGCTGGTCGTAGCCGGGGCGTCCGTCGAAGGGGTCGTCCTGGGCGAGCTCGAGCTTGACGACGGGAAGACCGGGTGGAGCTTCGAGTAGCGCGGAGGGAGGTCGAGCTTGTAGGCACCTTTGCTGATCTCCACGACTATCTTGAATGGTCCAAGGTGGCGGTGGGAGAACTTTTCCGAGGGGCGAGTCGTCCTGATGTCAGAGGCATCCAGCCAAACACAGCTCATTCACTCAGGAATACTAATAAAAACGTGGCTACTGGTGAAGGGCTGTACTCATAAAACCTGGGGAAGGGCTCAAGGGTCACAAATGTCACACTTTTTAAAAAACCATTTTATTCATTTTTGGGTGTTAGATCATAGTATTGATGATGGGATTGATGGCATCAAGATAAAGTGATCAATGTGGAACGATTTTTGATGGACATCAGTATAATTGATGGCTATGTCAGGATACATCAATTTTAGCCTAATTAGGGTGTATACCTTTGCCCTAGATCACAGGCCTACCTAGATGTTTATCCGGGTCTTCGGCCTGAAAAAATGGTGATTTGCCTTTCCATATCTGGTAATATCTTAGTCATAGCTGTCAAACTCATTGAGATATTCACAATTGATTGAATGTCACATTTTTTGTCACAGTACTCCGGCCATGGCTGGCATGAGCTCCCCCAGGTTTTATGAGTACAGCCCTTCACCAGTAGCCACAGTTTTATTAGTAAAACTGAGTGCACATCCTGCCTATGGAGTTGGATCGCACCAGGGCTCGGGGTGCCCCTCGTCGTGCCTGCTTCAGGTGCGGCGACCCAAACCATCTCGCCCGGGATTGCCCCCTCCCCGCCGATGTCCGCTCGATGGACATCCTCGACGAGGTGATCCAACAACTCGGTGACGAGATGTTAGCGGAGTTGATCGCCCGCTACGCGGACACAGCTGCCCTGCCGGAGACGCCAGCGGAGTCGATGGCCGGAGAGGATTTTGTCTCCCGCAATGAGTGACTGGTGTGCCCTCGTTCGCATCTATAAATCGTTTTGCCTCCTTGTATGATGAATGCAGTTCCTTGCCCTACAATGAGCCTGAAACGAAAGACACACCCTCTCCTGCCCCCGCCTCGACTCTGTCTCCGACTCCGCCCGCGACTCCGGTCATCGTCCTTCGCCGCCTCACTGCCTGGGAAAAGAAACTGCCCAAGCAGTACACTGTTGCCGCTGCCCCTGGGGCGAACTCCCTCCACCTCCCGTTGGAGCTCGAGTCCACCACCAGCGTGCTGAAGCTCTCGCTCTCTGGGCTTGTTGACTGCGGTGCCACCTCCGACTTCATTGACACGAACTATGTCGCTCGGAATGGCATTCCGGTCCGCACTCTTGATCAGCCGATTCCGGTCTTCAATGTCGACGGCACCCCTAATGATGCCGGCTCCATCAAACAGATCACGGACTTGGTCCTGCACTACAGAGGCCATGCCGAACAAGTTCAACTGGCCGTCACCCACCTTGGCAAGCAAGACCTCATCCTGGGGTACTCCTGGTTGCGGAAACACAACCCAGAGATCAATTGGGAAACCAAGGAGGTCAAGATGACACGGTGTCCCCGCAATTGCTCGACCTGCCGCGAGGAGGAACATGTCGAACAGACCGAGTTGCGGCGACTCCGGTCGCTTCAGAAACGTCTCCGCTCCGGCCCGTTCCCCTCGGTTTGCACTATGGACCTCTCTGGCCCTGAGGACGGAGACGATTCCGACTCCGGTCTCGATTCCGACCTGCCTGATCTGACACCGGACTCGGACTCGGACGACGAGGATGACCAGCTTGAAGATGGTGACCGCATCTTCTACACCTCGTTTCGTCCCTCGGAGGAGATACGTGCAGGTAGCACCGTCTCACAGCGCCTGGCCGAAGCCTTTGCCAGGAATTCTGCCCCTCCGCCCTCTGAGATCCCGGACTGGGCTAAGGAGTTCCAGGACGTCTTCAATAAGGAGTCCTTCGATACGCTACCGGAACGGAGAGCCTGGGACCACGCCATTGAACTCGTCCCCGACGCTAAGCCCACCAACTGCAAGGTGTACCCCATCTCGCCCCTCGAGCAACGCGAGCTCGACGCGTTCATCGAGGAAGGGCTGTCGACGGGCCGGATTCGCCCATCCAAGTCTCCGATAGCGTCTCCGGTCTTCTTCATCAAGAAGAAGGATGGCGGACTCCGCTTCGTCCAGGACTACCGTGCTCTTAATGCGATGACTGTCAAAAACCGGTACCCCCTTCCGCTGATCAACGACCTCATCAACCGGCTCAAAGGCGCTCGTTACTTCACCAAACTCGATGTCCGTTGGGGCTTCAACAATGTCCGGATCAAGGAAGGTGATGAGTGGAAAGCGGCTTTCCGGACTAACCGAGGCCTGTTCGAGCCCTTGGTGATGTATTTCGGCCTGACAAACTCTCCCGCGACGTTCCAAACGATGATGAATGACATTTTCCAGGACCTCATCCTCTCCGGAGACGTCATGATCTACCTTGACGACATCCTGATCGCCCATTCCGACCTCCGGAAACACCGGCAGATTGTCCAGGAGGTCTTGCGGCGACTCCGAGAGCACAAGTTGTACCTCCGAGCGGAGAAGTGCGACTTTGAAAACTCGTCAATTGAGTACCTCGGAGTCATCATCTCCCACAACCATGTCGAAATGGACCCTGTCAAGGTCGCAGGCGTCTCCGCTTGGCCGACTCCGGAAAACAAGAAGGACATTCAGCAGTTCCTTGGGTTCGCTAATTTCTACCGCAGGTTCATTCGGGACTTCTCGACCCTTGCGCACCCTCTTTTCGTGCTCACCAAGAAGGACCAGCAGTGGACTTGGGGCGACGCGGAGGCCTCCGCGTTCCAAGCGATCAAGGATGCGGTCACCTTGGAACCGGTCCTGGCGATTCCGGACAACGCACGGCCTTTCCGACTCGAGGCGGACAGCTCCGATTATGCGACGGGGGCGGTTCTTTCACAATCCGCCCCAGACAGGAAGTGGCACCCTGTAGCATTCTATTCCAAAAGCTTAAATGATGTCCAGCGCAACTACGAAATCCACGACAAGGAGATGCTCGTGATCATCCGCGCACTCGAGGAGTATAGACACTTCCTCGAGGGCGCCGCGCACCCTGTCGAGATTTGGACTGACCATAAGAATTTGGAGTACTTCAGGAAGACGCAGCACCTCAACCGGAGACAGGCCCGGTGGTCCCTGTACCTCTCCCGGTTTGACTTCATGCTGCACCACAAGCCTGGCCGCGATATGGGTCGACCTGACGCCCTCTCTCGGAGACCCGACCACAGAGTCGATTCCGACAACTCCGATGTCGTCCTTCTGCGGCCTGAACTCTTCCACGTCCGTGCACTCGAGGGCGTTTCCGTTTCCGGTCCCGGCTCTGAACTCCTCCGCGACATCCGTGATGCCCTCTCTGGTGAGCCTGACCTGGAGGAGCCCGTCAGGATGTGCACTCAGTTTTACTAATAAAACTGTGGCTATGTAAGGGCAACCCTGGAGACTCCGACGAAAGCCTAGCAGGGGAGGATCCAAAGCGTGAATAAAAGCTACGGAAATACACGGAGGGACCGACCTAGCAGGGGAGGATCCAAAGAGAAGAAACTCTAAGGGTCCGCCTGCTAGGGTGCCAACTATATACTGGCCGTCCGTAACTGCCGACGTAGAGCGCAGAAGGCCTGAGCGGCGTCGCAGGCTCTG